AGTAATACATATATATCGAGTTAAAAAAAACTAATTGGTTTAAATTTATAATAAAAATCAAGAAATATTAACGACAGTACTCTTTTTATCACGATTTCGTAAATGTATTGTAAGGATACAGGGATTCTTATTAATTATTGACGTATAACGAACTCTGGTTAAAGGAAAAGAAAGATCTAGAGATGCACCCGAATTGGTGGGCAGCTGAATGTGGGCAGTCGTCCCCCACCAGACCCACCAGGGTATGGATCAACCTGTTGTCCAATCAGTTACGTGCTCAGTCCCGTGACCCAGGGACTATAGGGATCATTGCTAGACCTGATAAATGGTAGAACCATCACACTTTTTTTAATAACCGGTTTTTTAATTAGGTAATTTTACCGCTTTAAATATATAAAGCCTACTTTTTTACCGCACTTATGTGATGGTTCCACCATCTATCAGGTCTAGCAATGGTACCCATGGTCCCCGGGTCACGTGACTGAGCACGTGACTGATCGGACAACAGGTTGATCCATACCCTGGTGGGTCTGGTGGGGGACGACTGCCCAAATCTAGCTGCCCACCAATTCGGGTGCATCTACAGATCTTTCTTTTCCTTTAACCAGAGTTTATTATACGTTAATAGTCAATAAGGGTCCTTGTATCCTTCCAATACATTTACGGAATTGTTACAACTTATACTTTTTGGTTACTTTAAAAATAAGATAAATATTTCTTATTAAAACAAATCCTTACTAACTTTTTTTCCATTAAAGTTATAACGAATAAATTCTTCGTTACTTACCTTAAAATTTAAAAGTTCTTTTAAGTAATAAAAATACGCATTATTCATAGTAATATAAGTATGTAACCTTGTTATCTCGCTATTTATTATTACCTTTATTTATATATATCAAACGATTTCTTTTTATTATCAAATGTTAGATCCATGTGATTCCACAGTCAAACCATCCATACAGAACCCACATGTATGATTAGATAAGAGATTAGATACCGGATTGTGAGGTCACTTAGCCAGACCTGCAGGTCCAGCTAGACTTCCCAATCCAACCATCAGCAATATCATGACCTTGACCCAATACTCGAGTATTATGATTGATCGTTCAAGCCTGTTCCAACATATACATATATATTCAAAGGTTGGTTTAGAAAAAATATGTACGATTAAAAAATATTTTATATTGCTAATGTAGTTGTTATATAATTCAAAATCTTTTTTTTATAAGTTAAATATTTAATTTTAATACGAATTCACGTTAAACGCTTAACTTAAAGAAAAAAAAGAAAACTTATAGTGGGTAGACAAAACAACCCGAACACCTTTTAATTTTACTTCTCGCACTTTTACACACGCTTGTCAAAGACGTTATTTAATTAAAAATAAAGGAAAAATTCTCTAAATTAAGTTTTGTATATAAATATTAAACTATTAGTTTCATTTCGTTTATAAACGGTTCTTCTGTAATTAATAGTACTGCTTAAAAACTAGGTATATATTTATATAAATTTACCCTTTTATAACAGTTTTATAAAAATAAGTATAGAAAAACTAAATAAGCTATGTTTTAAATCGTAGAATATTCAAATTTTTATCAAAAAGACATTCAAATACATCGATTATATTAAAAGATGTAACAATAGGTATAATATAGCTAGTTCTACGTAGTTTTAATAAAATATCTATAATTATTTAAGTTAAAATACTTTTTGAATTTTGACTTTATTACGCCTTTAAAACTTTAAATATTTGTCTTTATGCCGTAATTTTTTTCTCTTGCGTAAAGCTTTGAATGTAGTCATAAGAGGAGGGTTCTTTTATAAGATTAGGGTGTTCGGTATCTGTGCTGACCCACTGTAAGTTTAAAATTTAGCTACGTGATTTTTTCTACTAAAAATATATATTAGTAAACTGTATTATAAAAAACTAGTTACGGCTTTTTAAAACTTTCAAAAGTATTAATCTTATTATAAACATTGTTTCAATTTTTTAAAACAATTAAAATCGTTTATAACAAAACAGCGTTAAAAATAAAAGCCTAGTCTAGCTATATAAAATATTTTCAAAATATTTACTTATAAATACTATTATATAAGGCTAGCTACAGCGTTTTTAAACCCTAAAAGTATAAATATTACTATCAACATTCATTTTAAATTTAATATAGGTAATAATAAATACGGCATCCTTTTATTCGATCTTACCTTGCTTCTTATTTACAAAAAATATACCCAATTTAACACCTTTACACTTAAATTAAGTTTTAAATAACCTTATTAAGTCAACAAGGTACATTAAGCTTGCTTGACTTAGACTTAACAAGTTTTTCGGATTGGTCGAATTGATTGGATGAATGGGGTCGCTTCATGTGGTCGTTCATGTGGCGATTAGCCATTCTGTTATTATCTCCTGTTTGTGGAATCGTCGGACCACATGCCATAAGTGACTTGCCAGTACCTGAGATGACTGCTGCGAGATGCGCTCACTTCTGACTCCACGGTATTGGAAGGGGCCTGAAACAGAACTGTCCCTTGGGGAGAAGCCAGTGATTTCTTAGAGAATTGGACAGGTTCATCCCAGCTGCATTGCGCGCCTGAGGCCACACAGCCACATTGTGAGTAAGTATTTGAACCTTCAGTGTTTGATTTGGATGTCCTCGTTGAGAGACAACGTCCCCCAATAGGCACAGCTCCCTTTGTGACCGGTTGAGTAACTCAAATTCGCAGGAAATCCGCACCCAAGCTCTATTCTGTCATGAGATCTATGCAGTTTCGTCGTCTTGAATACTAGAGTTACGGATAAGCAGGTCGTAATCCAGGCTCGGTGCCGAATGTTCTCCTGTTCATATTCACTGCAGTCACGAATCCCGAGGTACCAGATCTTTCGCGGTGACGTCTGTTCACGTTACCGGTGTGGCGTGGCTTCGGATGAAGACCACTAGACCATAACAGCGAGACCGCTTCCATTCCCATACTCGAATCCGTGATCATTGAAGACGCAGACTTGCCTCAGCCACAGGCGTTTGAAAGGACAAGAGGCGATAGTGAAACGTGAAAATGGTGCTGGCAACGATGGGAAGGTAAGCCACCAACGTCGTCAATGTCGAGTTTAGCTTATAGTATGGATTTGTGCCTCTCCGAAAGACGCCGTCTCTCAATAGCACAATATGGCTGTATGGGGTCAGGACATGGTCATCGAGCTGCAACCGTATAGTACATCATCATCTGCACTTGGAGACCCATCGCTTCATATGAGACGTTCCTGATTGCAGGATGCTTGACTTGTACGAGTTCATATGCCTACTGTAGAGGGAAACCCGCAATACATCTCTGGGGATCTGGAGGTCCTGTGCGGCCTTTCAAATTGATGGTGAATTGAAGTTGTGGGTGAGATTGTTGACTCCGTGTATTCACTTTTCAGCCTGTGTGTAGCGAGTACGGATCCATGGTAGTAGTTGACGATGGGATGCTTTGAGAACAAAGCCGTGTCGATTGGCGGGACACCTTACCATGCTCGTGGATAATGAAGGGCCGTCTGCTGATCTCGGAGGACAACTCTCAAGTAGAGAGCATAACAGTCCCTAGATGATTCAGCCCTCTGATTGCCTCAGGCACAACAAGGTAGATGAAGCCGAACTTCCGCCCATGGAGGCCAACTGTGTACTAGGTAGTTAGTGATGAACTTAGGTAACCGCATGAGCAACATGTGGCTTGCGAAGAAAACTCTAAATCAAAGGACCATGGCCGAATGCTTCCGTCACAATGTCCTCAGGTGCAAAACACCTATCGGCACATGTAACACGTAGTTAGCGTTGAGATGCAAGCCAGCAATTGGAGTTCGCCGGGTCGCCAGGCCGCGGCGACACCGGCTGGCTGCATCGTACTGTCATCGCCGGTGGTCTGTTACAGTGACGTACCTCCAAAAATATATATCAAAAGTTGTAGAAAGCATACATGCACAATCTAGATCAGCGCCAGTAGCATTGGATGTTTGACGTGGCGGCCAACGGCATCAGACAACTCAGGGTCAGGGAAATCGATGTATAAGTCCTCGCTATACCATCGACTGCTCTTTATCGTATTGCATCCTCCCACAACGAATACTGTCAAAAGCAGAAAGTGAATGGACATCCACTGCCTCGTCTTTTGAACGGGAAAGAGCTCCCACCCGTTTACTAGTACCTCCTTCAATTAATTATGAGAAGATACTTGGCAAGCTTGGTTACCTCAGCAGGCTCTTAAGGTGTGCAGGTGCCGTGCTGTCACTGGGCCCCACCTGCACTTGCTTGGAAAGCTCCACCTTAGGACAGCAACCGGGTCGACCCACCTGGGCATTATTACGTCCATCGACCTTCAACTTGCATCTGCACCCGCACCACCTGCACCTCTAACCTTTTTCCACCTCAAGAGAGCTGTCTGCCTCATCACCAGCAATCTTCATCGTCAACACCAACCACCAAGCAACAAGCAACCAGTCCAAGCCGGGGAGACTTGCCTTCTCCAGCTTGCCCTATCCTCCCACTGCACTACTCCGAGTCTGGAACTGACGGATCAAGCGGCCTGCACCCGCCTGGACCATCTGCTTCTAGCTTCCAGCTTCCTCACAGAGCCATCTACACCCGACCTTGCATCATCCATCGCCTGGTAACCACTCACCCACCCAACAACCCGCCAAATCCGAGCCTACCTCGACGCATCGCGACCGTCACTTTCGACGTGATCCCGCACTTCGACTTGCAAACGCCCCACAGTCCGATACCCGCAAGGCTGATCAGCTTTGGAGGCGAGGCGCCCACCACACCTCTCCCATCGCGCGCCGCTTCGTCACCCCACCTTGTGCACCGAGCAGCATACCCATAATCCCACTCGAGAGGAGCAGTCCAAGTTGTATTGGATGCTCCGCAACGACGAGTCAAGTTGTCGTCACCGACTGCCTGATTATCTGGTAGTGGAGGGGGAGTTGATACTTTCTTTGCGGCATTGCCGCCCGGGCCTTCACCATGGGAAAGATAACGAAGGCCATCCAACCTAAGCACAAGGAGACTCTGGTGAGTTCCTGCACATACCGCTGTACTGTCGTTACGACCTACTGACTCGCTCTATTTCCAGTCTCCTTGGCTGCAAGAATTCGTCGATGCTGCCACTTCGACACCGTTACCGCACCTACCCACCAAGCTTGCCTCATTCCCGTCAAGATGGCCCTTCCCCCGGGGAGACTTGTATCATTGGATACCACTTCTAAACCGCTTCGACGGGATCATGGAATCCTTCTGTGATGTCTACAAGTTGAATGAGGGCCCGCAAAGTCGAGACTTCGGCTGCGAGGTACTGTTGAGAGACGACTGGTTATCTGAGACGCATGCAGAGCCTGACAAGATGCAGAAGCTGTCCGAGTTGGGCTACAGCAAGGATGGCGATGTCTCTCTTATCGTCTCGATCTTGAACTTTACTCAGATGCTGCTAGACCACTGCGGCAACCGCAGTATCTACGCCAGCAGCGCCCACCTCAACGATCTGCTCCACAGTACCGACTTCACCGTCATCTGCGCTGCCCTCAAGGTTGGTGTTGAGCTGGCCCAGCGCTATCAGGCATCTGTGAAGCGCTTCAATCATGGCATGACAACGCGTCAAGTACACACCGCGATTCTGTCGAACCACTACAACATCGACCTGGATCGCGTGCAGCACATAGCCCAGCCGTTTGCCAAGACGCCTATAGTCAAGTCCGCGGACTCCCTGCCTCTATCTACACCAGGTAGTGCTAGCAAGGTCAAGGAAAAGTCGCATGGCGGAAGTCCAAAGAACGTAGCCGCCATGTTTGCGAACGATCTTTGCGCGATCGCAAAAGCTGACTCTACGGAAAATGCCGGTTCTCGAGCACGTTGGAATGGCTGGGCCGATGTGAAGCTTGCATATTATCCTGTATCGGCCCTTTCTACGCAAGAACCGACCCAGCCATCCCTGCCTGATCGAGCCTCTAACCCGAATGCACCGTTAACGCCAACGCCTCTCAGACGCAGCAACACGGCTGCTTCCACACAGGTAACCGCGCGAGCGAATCGTCAGGGATCTTCAGAGGACAGCCAGGCCTCCGCTTCTCGATCTCCCGTCGTAGGACGCGAGGAAAGTGGCCCCCCGGGTCAGAAATCTCTCGAGATACCTCAATCTTCGGTCGTCTCTTCATCCATATATCAGCTCCTGGACAGAGTACCTGCGGGTATGCCAAAAGAGACTCGCTACGAGTTCCTGAACCGACTCCGGGTTGCCAAAGCGTTGAGCGGCTCGGTTGAGACTCGACAACAAGCACTCATGGCGCGACTACTCGCCATACAGAACCTGGCATACATCTATGTAGAGCCCACGTTCATTGAAAAGGTGCTCAGACAGGATAGTGATGAGCCGCGCCGTTTCCAACTCGTGTACCAGCTTGCTGAGCTGATCCATCCCGGTGCTGACGGTGTGACCACCGTGCCTCTCGAGCTTCAGTCCGTCGCACTATCATTGCTCGAAGCAATCGCCGGATTCCATAACAAGGTTCCCGATATATTCTCGGCGTTGAATGCGACGGTAAACCATGGCGTGCTGCTATACGTCATCAGAAAAGCAGTTTCCGAGATGAAAGAGGATGACGCTGGTGAGCAAAGGACCGAAAAGGATGAGTGGAGGGATAACCTCTTTTCGCTCACACTTCACATCACCATGGCCATGGCCAATACCTCAACGCGTAATACGCCCGAGATCATCTCTGCCGGACTCTTGGATATCATGGTTGAGGTTCTTAACCTCAGGTCCAACATAGCCGAGCGGACATATGGCACCCTGGTAGGCTTCCTGGACCAGCTCATCTACAATGTCACAACGTCTTTCCAATCTTTGGTCAATGCGAACGGTCTTGACGCTATTACCAACCTGATCACCCACGAGGTTGAGTTAGCCAAAAAGCTCATGGCTGAGGGCAAGGGTACACCGACAAATCACCGGTCACACGTAGTGGACTATGAGATCCCCTTCTACCAGCAACAAAACCTGAAGTTCCTTCTGAAATTCATTCACCACCTGATGTCCAACGCTTACGCCTACGGTGGAAGCACTGATCGTCTACTCAGAAATCTAGTCGATAAGTCTGATTTGCTCGGCAGCTTTCGCGAGATCATTGAGAACATGGCGCTTTTTGGCTCCTTGGTATGGACTAATGCTGTGACGATCCTGAGTGACTTTCTCAACAATGATCCTACGAGTTTCTCGGCTATCTTCGAGGCCGGGTTGATTCAGAGTTACATCACGGCTTTGACAGGCCGACCTGTTACGATCGGACAATCTAAGGACACGGGAACAGGAGCTACGGAGAGGAGAACCGATGATGACGATTCAGCTACGGATTCCCCTACACCGGATTTGGAGCCTGACACCAGACCACACCCCCCTCCCCAGGAGAGTCTGGAAGCATCCCGAGAAGGTCCTCTAGCCCATGGAATACTGCCATCCTCGGATCCAATTGCCATCGTGCCCACTGTTCTGAACGCCATCTGCTTGAATAATCAGGGTATGAAATTGGTCGTCTCCTCACGCGCCTTCGATAGTTTCTTTGAGATTTTCGAAAGCCCTGAGCATGTCCGAATCATGGCAGCGGATGACACGCTGGCTCACACGGTTGGCGGTAGCTTTGATGAGCTTGCAAGACATCATCCATCCCTCAGAACTGCCATTGCGCACGCAGTTCTGGACATGGTGGCCCGAGTCACGCATCTCGCTCGGGTCAAGGCTCGGGACGACAAATGGGGAGCGAAGCTATATGTCACAGACTCCGATGGGCAAGAACTGATAGCTGATGAGGGGCTTCTGGCTGAACCGTCGGTATTGCCTTCTGCGAAAGGGAAAGGCAAGGCCGTAGCTTCGGTTAACGATGCCGATGTTCAAATGACAGATGCGAGCTCCGAACAGGCGCCAACCTCAGGTTCGACGCAGAGTCCCTCTTCTGTCCATAAGTCGATCGGCCCTTACATCTATGCTCTGGCACAGTTCCTGTCCCAGTACGTCACCAACTCGAGTCTGAAGACCAGTTTCATACAGAATGGCGGAATAGAGCAGCTCCTTGATCTCTGTACCTCCCCAAGTCTGCCGCATGATTTTGGAGACACTGCAGCGTCTCGAAGCCTGCAAACAGTGATCTCTCAACTGATAGAGGCCTCTCCCATCATCGGCCTCCCTTCGCTGCTGAAACGAACACAAGCCGCGATTGATGTGCTAGATCCAGTCCTCAAGGCACAAAGCACAACGTCGTATCTCGGGCCTTGCATTACAGACGTCGCCAACCTAAGCGACCAGACAGACCCCGAGTTGGTCAGCCATTTGGCCCATGGAACACCAGTGGCCAAGGCATTACTCAACACCCAACTATTGATCAAAATTCTCCACCAATGCTTTCCGTTCTCCTCCCGCACTCAAACGATCACGCTGCATGCTGTCAACGTCTTCGATTACTACAGCCGCTTGGTCAAGTCGCTAGGACCTCTTCTACGCGCTGCAATTCTGGAGGATGCATCTATGACCTGCATCGTTCCTCAAAACTGGACGAGACAAGGACAGGACCGGCAAGGCCCCACTCCCGGTGCGCCGAATTCTGATTTTGATGTGGCGGGTCTGCCGGATGTCTTGTCGTCGGCTGCCTTGTGGAAGTCTACCGCCGAAAAGGGCCCGGGTCAAGGCCTTACCAAGAGTGAGCAGTCGGGTCCGCGCTACCAGAACTACCAGACACTTACGACCTTGCTTCACGGCTTAATGCCTGCTATCTTTCCGGTCTTCCAAACTCTTGGAAAGGCTCTGTTGCCGAAGCGCGAACGTGAGCCATACCTCAGGATTCATCATGTGCAACTGGCGGAGGAGTTGGCCCAGACGCTTTTGAGTCAACTCGAGTTGCCTGAACGGGAGACGACGTCGAAGGATTATCGCTATTGGATCGTTATGCTGCATGCCGTCCATGAAGTGCTGGTTAACCGTGCGGCCGATAGTAAGTACCGGCTGTGCCATTCGGAATATGCATTTAGCTAATCCTACTAGCCCGCCCTGACCGGCAGATACCACCTCAAATCATCGCCCCAGTGTTGATCGCTTTCAAGAAATTTGACGGCTTGAAGCTTCTCAACACAATGCTACGCATGTTCAAGAATGAGGTCTGCAAGGACCACAAGGGCGAGGAAGAGGAGTCCATGTCAAGATTGGCAATCATCGGTTTTAAGAAAATTCTTGACATCTACGCTATGATCGTGAACGGGAAAGTCATCAGCGAATCCCTCATGCCGATCAACATCCTGTCACGCGGTGCTAACGACGGCAATCGCGACCCTGCCCGACGACAAGAACTTCAAGTTGCTCCCAGCCTGGTGGTAGAACTACGAATGATCATACTACCAGTGATGCGGGAATTATGGGACTCGCCGTTAGTCGAGAAAGGAACGGCAGCCACTCTTGCCAAGATGATTAACATTCTGAAGTCTATCTCGAATGCTGACAACGAGAATGGCGCTTATAAGCGCACTGACAAGGTACGGGTGCACCCTTCTTATACCCAATCTGGCCGGGCATAATATGATTTGCGTCGTAAGTATATGTTTGGTGGTTATCCGCACGAGGAAGTCCTTGGGGTAATCACTCAGCCTGAAAACTCATGTAAATCGTTTTGCTACTCGCTTGCCAGGTTATTGTTCCAATGCTGACCGATACCAGAGCCCCCAACCCGAAATTCTGCAGTCCAAGTCTGTTCAGTTCCCATGGTCGAAGCGTAAGGACGAAGTTGCACGACTAACCACAAGTGCCGCTTGGCCAGAGGATCTTGTCCGGGAGGCTGTCTACAGGACGTACGTATCAAGTAATTCCGCTTCACAAGCTTCTGAGTACTGTGCAGCACATCAAAAGGGCATGGCCGGATCTCGAAACCCCATACCTGAAGACGAAGCATCAGAAGATGCGGAGACCGGCCCTGCAGCTGAAAGTAGCGCAGTGGCCGAAGGGGAGCCCTTGGCTTTAGAACTGCCTGAAGACCTGCCTCCTGGTATTCTGGATGATGACATCATTGGTGAGCTGAGAGAAGCCGCAGCGCTGTCGAATGGCAATGATTTGGACACACCAGGCGCTACAGTCTTCGGCCAGGAAGCCAATGGAACCGGCTCTTCCTCCACGAGTCCCGCCCAAGGCCCTTCGGCCGAAGCGACTGCGGAGACTGATGACCAGAATCGCCCAGCTGTAGCCAAGGAAGATCTGGATGCAGAGCGCACCAAACTCCGCTTGAACTTCATCGATAGGTGTCTGGATGTTATAAGGGCGCATCCAGATTCAACCCACGAGGTTTCTGAGCTGATAACGGCGATCGTCACACGAACCCCCGGTGACGAACTGTCGGCCAGGCAGGAGATGGGTGAGACGCTGGTAAATGCATTGATGTCATTTGCCATGGATGACGACCTCAAGTCCAACGGGCGAAGCATTGCTGCTTATGCCCATCTCCTATCTCTCCTTCTCCAAGATAAGGTCTTCTTCAGAGCCACTGTGAGCACACTGAAGGAGAACGTCGGCGAATTCCTACGCTTTCTCCATGTTCCTGCGTCGCCCTCCACGGAAGATCTTGCTCCGTGGATCCCCTACGTGCTCCTGGTTTTCGAGATCCTGTTGAGCGACGACGAGCAACCGGGCGAGATCAAATGGAAGGCTCCTACGACCGAGAACGATCCCATCGAGCCACTAGAGTGGTCCCAGACAGATTTGAACGTCAAGAGCGACGATCGTAGTACCCTGCTCGGGTCAGTACTCGAGATACTGCCTCGCATAGGCAAGGATGAATCATTGGCAGTATCCGTGCTACGGATCCTGGTTATCATGACTCGAGACCGTGCAATTGCTCGACAAGTTGGCGACAAGAAGAACTTGCAGCGTTTATTTGTGACCGCAAAGCAGCTTTCTGGTGTCGGTGCCCCACGTCTCAGCGAAACGAGGATTGCCTCAAACATCGTGACGGTTCTTCGTCATGTTATCGAGGACGAAGAAGTCGTCAAGCAAATGATGAGAAGTGAGATTCGGGCGTACTTTGACAGTGGACGCAATACCCGCCCTCTCGACCCAGCGGCTTTCCTGCGACATTTCTCAGCTATCGCCTTACGTGATCCCAGTTTGTTCGTAGACGTCTCGAATGAGATGTTGAAACTCAGTCGATGGGGTCCACCCGAAAGTGCTCGCGGGCAGGCGATATCCCTGAAGGAGTTGGCTCCGGAGCCACCGAAGGACGATGTGACGCCGACTGTGCGTGCTACAGAGGACCTGTCTATTCAGGATGTTAAGCCGTCTACTGAGAGCGGAGACAAACAAATGGAGGACGCGTCCAAGCCCAGCACCCAAGATGTCAAGCGGCCTGTGCTGGAGAATCCCGATGGCGTGGTCCACTTCCTCCTCTGCGAGCTTCTGAACTACAAGGAAGTCGATGACAAAGACGCGTCCCAAGCTACCAATGATGGGAAGTCAGCTGAAGATCAAGGTTCATCTGCTACTACGGCCGCCCCTGAGACCGAGAGCCGCCCTGGTGATGGTAAGGAGAAGAAGGCGAAGATCGCTTTCCGAACCGAAGAGCATCCCATTTTCATATACCGTTGCTTCCTGCTCCACTGCCTCGCTGAGCTCCTTCAAAGCTACAATCGGACCAAGGTCGAGTTCATCAACTTTAAGAGAAACGCCCCTCTCTTCGCCAACACTCCTGTCAAGCCCCGATCTAGCGTCCTGAACTACCTACTTACCGATCTTCTGTACCCAAGCCACATGGACACTCCTTCGGATACAATAGTCCACAAGAAGAAGTATGCCACGGCAATCCAAACGCAGAATCTGCTGGTTGCTCTCGTGAGCAAGACTGGAGAGAAACCCGCTGATCGAAGCCGCGAAAAGTACGACTACGATGATGAACCCGACTTGCTCTTTGTGCGAAGGTTTGTCCTGGACACTATCCAGAAGGCCTACAAGGACGCTTCCACATCTGGTGATCCTTTCGACTCTAGGTATGCCAGGATGCTAGCACTTGCAGAGGTCATGCATCTTATGATGGGTGATAAGGACAAGGACTCGCCTGTGCCAGCCCGAACGAGCCACGAACCCCCTGAGCGTTCCCAGGCCCAGATCAGGCGGCTCATGTATGAGAAGGGTTATCTTGCTTCACTGACGACGTCGATCGCGGACATCGATCTCGCCTTCCCGCCCGTGAAGCGAACCATCAAGTATATTCTTCGTGTTCTCCGGATCTTGACGAGCACCGCTATCCATCTGAGCCATTCCAATATTCTTCCCGCCAGCCCGACGCAAGATAACGCGGACGACGAGCTTGTTTCGGCCAGTTCCCTTTCTGATATGGAAGATGATCGAGAAGAGACTCCAGATCTCTACCGCAACTCGGCTCTTGGCATGTTGGAACCTGGCAGAGGTGGAGATGGAGATTATTCCGAAGACTCGGAAGAAGGTGGGCCTACCTCATCTATTTCATTTTTCGGTGTTTTACTAACAACCATCTCCAGATGAGGACGAAGAGATGTATGACGATGAGTACGACGAGCAGATGGGATACGAGTCCGAAGACCGGGAAGAAGACGTCAGCGACAGAGACGAAGAAGAAGAAGGTCTCGAAGGCATGGGTCCCATCGAAGGCCTCTCTGGTGATCACGACGTCATTGAAGTCACAATGGAGGATGATGACGATGACGATGATGATGACATGGACGAGGACGACGATGAAGATGGCAGTGAAGATGACGACGAACTCGACTCCGATGAAATGGACGAAGACGATGATCGTATTGAAATTGTTGACGACGAGGGCAACCCACTCGAAGATGATGGCGCCTCCGGTTGGGAAAGTGAGACGGACGACGCGGATGACGATGAGATAAGAGCGGAATACGAGGCAGAGGCCCAGGATCTGCAAGAGGCTGACATCCATGATCTAGATGTCGATGGGCTTGGCCGATTTGGTAACATCATGCGTGCTATCGAGGAAGAAGGAGACTTCGAGGGAGTCGACGAAATGCATCAGCTCAACGACCGATACATCGAAGACGACGATGAGGATGGTGCGTCTAGCATTCCTTTGGGGCAACGCCTGACTGACTGATGCACAGAAGACGAGGACGAAGAAGTCGACATCGACGATGAGTATGCATATGAAGACGATTATCCAAGTAAGTCGCAGTCGATTCTCTCGCGGATCCAACACAAAATAACTCCCACTGACCTCGTTTCCAATTAAAGACGATCCTCCACCTCATGATGCGAACCACCCAAGTCCGGGATGGGATACCCTCATCGTGGAGCCTCCTGGCATGTTCGGCGGGCATCATCATCGACATCGGCATGGACCCCGTAGCCCCTTGCCCCCTATGCCATTCATGGTGGGGTCGCGTGACCCCCTTGGCAATTTTGGCGGTATGTCAGAAGATAATTCTCATCGTGTGGATCCTGCTCTCATTGGCGCCATGCTTGAACAACAAGAGCTTGCCAACATTGAGCGCCTTCGAAGCGCACGCAGACGCCTCCAGGCTAACTCATACCCAGACCCACGGGGTTTTGTCCGGGGCCATCGGCACGACGGACGGACTTCTAACAACGAAGATGGCATGAACCCTCTACTTCGACGAGCCAACGATAACGGTCAAGATGCGGTGCCCCGGCCTACTAACCCTAGCAATCTGGTTCGGCTCGGCCTGCCTGGCAGTATTCTGGGCGGTGTTAGCATTGACAGCTCGTTGTCTATCCTAGACAGTCTGATGGCTTCGCTCCCCGTCTCAATCGGTCGTCACGGACAAGCCCTTCACTTTCAGATAAGTGGCGGAGGACCGCCGCGCCCTGAGTTCAGTGACCTACCTTTCCCCTCCTTCGCTTCGCATTCACGAGAAAGTCGCGCAGATAGCCGCCCTGACGTCTACCAGGAACCCATTCAGTCGACTTCCTTCGCGGGTGATTCCACGATTGCACGGTGGACCGAAGAAGTCAAGATGATTTTTGGCATTCAGCACGCGGAGAAATCACACAGACTGTTACCCGCGATTCTTTCATATGTTGTACCGCCTGCCATCCAGCGTGAAAAGGAGCTCAAGGCGAAAGAGGCAGAACGCCAACGGCAACTGGAGGAAGAACGCAAGAAGCGAGAAGACGAGGAACAGAAGGCACAAGAAGCCAAAGAAGCTGAGGAGAAGGCCGCTCGGGAACAGAAGGAAGCAGCAGAGCGCGAGGTCGCTGCGGCCGAAGCTGCTGAAGCTGCTGAAACTGCCACACAGGTTGATGCGCCCGCTCAGAGCACCGAAGGTTAGTTGGTTTCCGAGAATGGCGTATGCGAGAGATTCAATCCTTTCGAAGGCGTCGGTCATTGGTATAATTAGCGCTGGACATGGTTGCTAACATTTGATAGCAGAGGCCGTCGCTGCTACCCAAGAAGATGATCGTGATGATCATGCAGAGCCTGACGCTATGGAAGGTATTGAGACGTCAGACGAACCTTCCGGCGCGTCCAATCAAGCACGCGCCTTCGCTACGATCCGAGGCGAGCAGGTTGATGTCACGGAACTTGGCATTGACCCGGACTACCTAGAGGCCCTCCCCGAAGAGTTCAGGCAAGAAGTCATTGCTCAGACAGTGAGCAGCCGCAGGGCCGAAGCTCGCGATGCCCCAAGAGGTACTGGGGAGCAAACAGAGGTCTTCCAGGAGTTTCTGGATGCGCTACCCGACGACCTCCGACTGGAAATTGTACAGCAAGAACGGCAAGAGCAGCGCCGACGAGAGCGGGACGAAAGCCGCCGCCAGGCCGCTACGGCTGGCCTGGTAGCTGAAGCTCAGGATATGGACACTGCCAGTATCCTCATGACATTTCCCCCTGCCCTGAGAGAACAAGTTCTCATGGATCAAGGTGCGGAACTACTTGACTCGCTACCACCTGAGATGGCAGCCCATGCTCGACGACTTGTAAGAACCACCAATCCCGTTGCACACCACGATAGAGCCCCTTCTGGTTCAAACCGCAGAGATGCCGCCGTTCAGCCGAGCGGTGCACCAGACGCAGATAAGCCTCAACGAAGGGCTGTGGTCCAAATGCTGGACAAGCCGGGAGTTGCCACTCTGCTGCGTCTGATGTTCATAAACGTCAAAGGGGGGCCAATCGAGAATTCCCTGAAGTACGTATTCAAGGATGTGTGCGAAAACCGACAAAACCGGTTCGAGGTCATCAGCACGCTTCTACAAATATTGCAGGATGGATCAACCGATGTCGATGCTGTGGAGCGAAGCTTTGCCCAACTTTCTATCAAGGCCAAGCAGTCCAAGGACAAGGACGCCAAAATACAGACTCCGCAAGGCCTGAAACGCACCTACACCAACATCAGCAACAGCAATCCGGTCCAGACAGCCTCGGAGACGTCCCCTCTCCTGATTGTTCAGCAGTGCTTGGATCTATTGTGCTACCTTGCGGACCAGAACGTTCATGTACCCTCCTTGTTTTTGACCGAACACGAGGCAGCCAGCACGACAATCAAGCGCAGTTTGAGCCGGAAAGGCAAGAACAAGGACAGCAAGGCTCATAAGTATGCCATCAACTCTTTGTTGGCTCTGCTCGACCGCGAGCTCGTGATGGAGAGCTCCACCATCATGGATAGCCTCTCTCAGCTCCTGAGTCGAGTAACATTCCCACTGCTTGCCCTTGATCGCAAGCAAAAGGAGGCAGCAGAAGCGGTCAAGAAGTCAGAAGCTGAAGCCTTACAAGAAGGAGGATCGGCCACAGCCACAACAACTGACCCTACGGCAATGGCCACCGACAACGCGACTAGCAACGATAACGGGGATACGAATCCGCCTGAAACTTCAGAAGCGCCTCAACCGGCACAGGACACAGTTGCAACGGACGCCCCCGAGCCGCCCGTTAGCGCGGGTGCGTCTAATGCCGAAGCTGGATCGTCGAAGGCATCAGAGAAGCAGGTCGCTCCGAAGAAACCCAAACAGCTACACCCGCCTGTTATTCCCGTTCCCAACCTGACACTCATCATCAAGATCTTTGTTGCTCGGGAATGCAGCTCCAAGACTTTCAAGGAGACCTTATCGACCATCAAGAATCTCTCTGTGATTCCTGGAGCGATGTTGGTCTTCGGCCAAGAGCTTGCTCGCCAAGCTCAAGTCTTGAGTGAACAGATTGTTGTTCACTTGGACGAGCTACTCCCGCATATCCAAAATGCTGCCTCGGGAACTGAAATTCAAGGTGTTGCCCTTTCCAAGTTCTCTCCCGGTGCTTCGGATCAAAACAAACTACTCCGAGTCTTGACAGCTCTCGATCATCTATTCGCCCAAAAGAAGGCGGACGCGATGGGGAGTACCAACTCGGCGGAGGAGTCTCAAAAGCAGGATCTGCTCGCCACCCTCTACCGTAACCCGACCTTCAATGCCTTGTGGGAGAAGCTGAGTGCGTGCTTGAGTGCAATTCGCCAACGGGAAAGCCTGCTCAACGTAGCGACCATCCTCTTGCCTCTGATCGAGGCCCTCATGGTCGTTTGCAAGGATACTACCCAGACAGAAATTGCAGCCTCTCAAGGTCAGACGGCCAAGGACATGGTTCTCTCGAGCCCGCAGCCTGAGTCGCACATGGCCGGGCTATTCTACACCTTTACCGAGGATCATCGTAGAATCCTCAACGAGCTTGTGCGCAACAACCCATCACTCATGAAAGGGACGTTCTCTCACCTTGTCAAGAACCCCAAGGTTCTGGAGTTCGACAACAAGCGCAACTGGTTCAACCGCAGTGTCCACAACAAGCAACAGGCGAGTCATCGACCTTACCCTACACTGCAACTGCAAGTACGGCGTGAGCAGGTGTTCCACGACTCTTTCAAGTCACTCTATTTCAAGAGTGGCGAAGAAATGAAGTTTGGCAAGCTCAACATCCGGTTCCATGGCGAAGAAGGTGTGGACGCTGGCGGTGTCACTCGTGAATGGTTCCAGGTCCTCGCGCGGCAAATGTTCGACGCGAACTATGCCCTGTTCGTGCCCGTTTCCAGTGATCGGACAACGTTCCACCCCAACAAGCTCAGTGGCATCAACGACGAGCATCTCATGTTCTTCAAGTTCATCGGGCGCGTTATCGGCAAGGCGCTGTACGAAGGCCGGCTGCTTGATTGCTACTTCAGCCGTGCGGTCTACAAGCGTATTCTAGGCAAACCGGTCTCGGTCAAAGACATGGAATCATTCGACCCCGAATACTATAAATCTCTCTGTTGGATGCTGGATAACGACATCACTGATATTATCACTGAGACTTTTTCGGTTGAAGACGACGAATTCGGTGTTACGAGGATCGAAGATCTCACTGAGAATGGTCGCAACATTCCGGTCACGGAGGACAACAAACACGACTACGTTCGCCTTGTCGTCGAGCACAAGCTCCTCTCCTCGGTCAAGGACCAGATGGAGAATTTCCTAAAAGGCAAGGCTAATGTGCCAGGTCCAGTCATGTCGAACTTTGGTTGCTAACCGATACTTAGGCTTCCATGAGGTCATTCCCGCGGAGCTCATCTCCATCTTCAACGAACAGGAGTTGGAGCTTCTCATCTCTGGCTTGCCGGACGTCGACATTGATGACTGGAAGAGCAACACCGAGTACCACAACTATACGCCGTCTTCTCAGCAGATTCAATGGTTCTGGCGCGCGTTGCGCTCATTCGACAAGGAAGAGGTCGCTAAACTGCTCCAGTTTGTGACGGGAACCAGCAAGGTCCCTCTGAATGGTTTCAAGGAGCTTGAGGGCATGAACGGTATTAACCGGTTCAACATCCATCGCGACTATGGAAACAAGGAGCGTCTCCCAAGCTCTCACACATGCTTTAACCGTAAGTGGCGTTACTCCTTGTTGAATGCATTCCATGGTACTGACTTGTTGCAGAACTCGACCTTCCCGAGTACGAGAGCTACGATATCCTCCGTCGACAAGTGCTGAAGGCCATCACGGCTGGCAGTGACTACTTTGGCTTCGCCTAATTGGTGACGGCCGTTTGACTGCGTGTATTGTTTGTACAGCATGGGACGCAACACGAGGCCAGGTAGGCAGAGTCACCTTCAGGACTGCCATGCTTTGCGCAGACATTCTGCAGCTGAACCAGCCATTTTGACGGAGTGCAGGCCGTCGATCTGGAATGGGTTCGCTGCTGATATGGTGGCCATTAGCTCATGAGAGCTTATGTATGTTAGGATTCTAGGCACCAACACTTGCTTAATAAAGGCGATGTGTTCGTTAAATATGCGTTGACGTGTCCCAATGCATGAGTGATCACGTAGTCTTCGACCATGCTTGACACTTGTGATGATTCTCCACGCCGTAGCATCACGACTCGTATCACTTCCACTGTACTTGGTGGTTACTCTAGGGTAGTTGGCTGGAAGAAGCATCGGTTCTGGTATGCGCATCATGTTTTCAAGCAACTTGCAAGGCTCTGCCGCTTGCTGATAGGTGTACCTTGTTGGGCGCGGCTACGACACCGGCGAGGGCGTCGTTGCATCGCATATTGTCCTTTCTGCACTCAGTTTCAGATTGACTGACAGGAGAATGAGGTCATGGCGACGAAGAAAAAACTCTTGGCTGGAACGAAGCAGCTGCGCTCTCCCTTTTAAGGTACGAGACACCTCTCTTGGCCTGGCCACCGATGCCCGGAAGCCTTGGTTGGCTCCGCCTCCCTCGTGCATGGTAGAAGGGCGCCCACATATCGAGAGCTGGCAGCCAGGATTGCAATATGGAATCGTTGGATATTGGGGTGACGGTAGATTGAGACTCTCGGGTGGATCGGGATCGCGAGCCTCATGCTAGGGCTGTGAAGGATGAGCAGCTGCTGGGCCGGGTTGGTTTTTATCCTCTTGAGATAGTAAAAGTCTGTGATTTACTCCCCTCTTATACTATCGTTTAGCATGAGTATCTCGCATAAGTGATACGAAGAGCTCTTTCGCTAAGGGCAAGCTCGACTATACAATTTAAAGAATGGCCATTCAAGTGTCTGGAAATAAGGTGACACTCATCCATAAGTTACACTTGGCGAGTGCTTACTGACCGTGATTGGTGGAGAACCGGGCTGTTGTAAAACGTGCAACTTTGGAATACCGAATCGGGAACGTGTAACCAACATCTGGCAATGCGAGAAACCACAGTTGCCTCTACCATGGCGCTCGTCATGTACAGTCCATGTTCTTGGACGATAGTCCTTTGAATTTGGGATTGGTCGTTGGGCACTTCTTTGCAAAGATACAACACGATGCTGATGATGGTCAAGGAGCAAGCTCGGAAACTGTGCAAACTGATTGAGAGTAGCCCATTGGACCATTGTAAGTCTACCTCCTCTAACGTGAGCATCACGGCATCCAGCCATCAACTATGAGTCTATGAGCTCATTTCTTGGATCTATGTACTAGATCTAGGGGGCAGGGTATGGCTCTCCGCGCACATTAGAGAGCCACTGGCTGCACCGCTGTAGTGTTGTTACACATCTTTCAACAACGTCAGTCGATCTCCGCGTGGACCAAGAGTCTTCCTAGTAAATCCAAGAGGTTAAATGGCATCCGGTCGTCGATCTTGTTTGTAGAAGTTAGCCTTTTCCCTTGTAAAGTAGAACGACCTTCAGCTGTGACTTCCCCAGGAAGTCATCCACCACACCAGTTGTGCCGGTCCGCCAAGACTACGGTGCACGGACCATAACAAGCACCCCTGATTTTCTGGCGCCCGGCCCGAGCTTGGGCGGCAGGTGCCCCGACAGCCCGATTTCGATAATTTGAATGTGATAATTGGAAGCTCAGTTAGCTAACAGCAACACATCATCCTGTCCGCCATCAGTCACAATGCAACCAACGCGGTGTCTGCTGAAGGGCCGCTCCGTGTGGAAAGGTAAGCACTTCCATTCCCTACCTACAAACCTTCCCCAATGTCAATCCCAAGAGAGGGAGCGAGTTAAAGCTGACTACCACCATTCCCATATAGGACCTCACATCGTGCCGTAAGAAAGCCCCCCAGACAGATCCCCAGCCCAGCACCCCGAACTCGGTCGTCCCGGCCGACGCACAAACCCGCCGAACTAACCCGACTCTTATTAACGAGCTACCTTACAGCCTCCCCATCGTCCGCGTGGTCCCGGGCGAGCGAGTGCGGCCGATCCGCACGCAGGCGCGCGCCGCCACCATCCTGCCCAACTTCGTGGGGCTCAAGTTCCAGGTCTACAACGGCAAGGTCTACAACGACGTCACCATCACCGAGGACATGGTCGGCCATAAGCTGGGCGAGTTCTCTCCGTACGTTGGCTTCCTCTTTCTGCTCCTTATCCCTCTGCGGGTCGATTAAGGGGGCGTAATCCAAACTGACATTGGATCACTACTACTAGTACGAGAAAGCCGTTCGTATGGGCACGATCCAAGTAAGGAGCTGCGGATGAGATGAGACGAGAAGAGACAGGACTTGAGACTTCTGGCATACCCTGGCGTTTGTGGGCATTCTGAGATTAGAGGTAATCGTGGACCACTGTTCCTTGTACTACAACATAAGATGTAAAACACATCTGTCGGAGAAATGGAAAAGAGGTATCATTCGGCGCTCAAAAAAGCTGCCTGTTATGCGGTTTTCTTCATACATGCAGAACTCCTTCCGGTTTACCCCGTCTAGCTGGCACTGGGCTCAACCGTTTCAGCCTGCGCAAGTAAAAGCAGTAATGAAAATGTCCCTGAACGCCATGCAACCTTGCGCCCAAGACAGCAATGTCTATGCCCTGCCCGTCGTGATGATATGGTTTTCGTCGCAGACTCCGACCCTCGCGGCAGCGTGGTGATGCCGTCCTTCCTCCAGGCACATAGCGATCCGTGATATCACTCGTACTCCCAGATGTGCCCAAGTCGAATACGTCGCATCTTATCGGTAGAACTCGCTCCGCTTCACGTTGACACCGTACTCGCCCACGGCCATGCCGAGATCCTCCATGGTAAGGACGGTCCGGTTCTGGCTGCCGCCCTGGCCCCCGCCGCCGTAGCCCGCCCTCTGTATACCCAGCGGCCCGCCTCGCCCCTGGTCCTTCCCGCCCGCCGGCGCCTGACCAGGGACGGTGATGCCAGCGGCGGCGCCCAGGTTACCCATCGGGTTGTTGGCGCTGGTGTTGGAGGCTCGGATGCGGCTGTATTGGTAGGCGTCGGCGGCGATGTCGGCGACGAACTTCTGGACTGCCAGCGCGATAAGGCGCGCGAGGCGGGGGTCCGTGTCCGGCGGTGGGGGCAGGCCGGCTTTGGTTAGGTAGTAGTTGGTGACGGCATCGGGGATCTAGGACTGGTGGTCAGCTATGGCGCGCTTGGGTTTGGATGATGGATGCGCAGGCTTGGGATGGGAAACCTACGACGGGCGCGTAGTCGTCCATCTTGGTCAGGAACTCCTTCAGGGAGATATCCTTCCGCGTGGCCAGCTTAGCCTCGGCAGACATGGGGACATGCTCCTGGTTCTGGTGTGGTTGCGAGGCGGCAGGAGGGACCTCATTCTCGGTAGGAGGGTTGGGGTTGGCCATCTTCGCGGTCTGTTGGTTGGTAGAATTGCGAAGAAGAGAAGATGTGGTGTTGGTGGTGTAGAAGCTAGGCGCGGCTACTCGAGGGTGGTGTTAATGGCAGTTTGGAATAAGCAGCCTTCGGGGTGTTTATTCCACTTGATCGACGTATAATTGTTGGTTATTCCCAGCGGTTATGCCAATTGCTTATTCGATGGTACTGGGAGAGGAGAATCGGGGTTGAACGAAGTGCCTTTAGGTTGATCGAGAGTGACGTCCAATTGCGGTATCCAATTGCGGTATCAGATTAGCAAATGCGATTAACGGCGAGGTCCTGGCAGCCCTGGGTGCCAAGTCATGGAGGGATGGCCGCGTTGATTGGTTGGAGGCGCCAAAGGTGGAATGCACGGCAGAAACTAGGTAGTGAGGGGCTAAACCTAGTGCGTGCGCCGATATCGTCCATGATTGGTTGTTGACTTAGAAAGGTACCCAGCAGCTTGAGCCTTGCAGGGACTCCGAGCTCACCCGCCGATCCCTTCGGTAGAGCGCTTTAGTAATTTTTTCAAATGAAACAAGACCCTTCTCTTTATGGCAGCCCAGGTCATGTGGAGAGACTGCATCTTCACGAGCTACAGACCTTCTTCTCATGTCCTTTCAAATCCTCCGTCGCAGCTATCTTTTCCAGGGCAGACGACCTGTCTCTAACCTCTTCTGCCGGTACACCTCACCACGGTGCAGCATGTGTACAACGTCCCATTAGCCAAGCAGATCCTTCTCACATTGGACGCAAGCCTGTCACGCCACAGTGCTGCAGTGGCTTCACAGTAGCGAACCCTCGCAAGCCTCGCTCCCCCGCGGTGCCGTCGCTTCTCACCCCGCTCGTCCAACCAGCGCATACCAGCGCATACCGCCGCATACAAAGCTGAACACCACCGGCCGTCTGGTTACTGGTCCCCTTTCTCCTTCCTTCACGATGGTCGAAATGGCGAACGAGGTCAAACTGCTCGCCGGCAACGGCCACCCCATTCTGGCCAATCTGGTTGCAGACCGGTATGTTGCTACTCTCTTGCACACATCCGCAATAGACTATATATAAGCTGTACTTGTGCGCATGAACTGACGACTCTTACTAGACTCGGCATAAAGATCGCAAAGACCACAAGCTCCGATGACTCGAATGCCGAAACCAGTGTCATAATCGGAGAGTCTGTACGAGACGAAGATGGCACGTTGCGACCTACTCTTTTCGAGCAGTAGTCTCTGATAATGAACCCTTCTGACCGGTTACCGTCTTTACAGTCTTCATCCTGCAGTCGTCAATGGCAGGCGACATCAACCGCGGTTTCATGGAGCTATTAATCATGATCCGAGCTTGTCGCGATGCCTCGGCGCGCCGCATCACCGCTGTCATTCCCAACTTCCCCTACGCGCGACAGGACAAGAAAGACAAGAGCCGCGCCCCTATCACGGCTAAGCTGATCGCCAACATGTTGCAGACTGCCGGTTGCACCCACGTTATCACCATGGACTTGCACGCGTCGCAAATACAGGGCTTCTTCAACGTCCCTGTCGACAACTTATATGCCGAGCCTAGCGTACTGCGCTGGATGGCCGAGAACTTGCCCGTCGAGGACACTGTCATCGTCAGTCCTGACGCTGGTGGTGCTAAGAGGTAAGGAAGCCCTCCATTCTGGCAGCCCAATAATCTTTCATCAAGCGACAAGAAAGAATATGCAAACTGACACTGCTGCCCACAGAGCCACATCCCTAGCCGGCTACATCAACCGCGACTTCGCTTTGATCCATAAGGAGCGTCCGCGTCCCAATGTCGTGGGTCGTATGGTGCTTGTCGGCGAAGACAAGGTCGTGGGCAAGGTGGCCATCCTGGTTGACGACATGGCGGACACCTGCGGAACACTTGCCAAAGCGGCTGCCACTGTCAAGGAGCGAGGTGCCCGCGAGGTCATGGCCGTCGTCACTCACGGTATCCTGAGCGGGGACGCCATCAACATACTCAATGAGAGCTGTCTCAGCCAGATTTTGGTAACGAACACAGTACCGCTTGGTGACAAGGCTATACGTTGCAAGAAGATCCGCGTTGTGGACGTTAGCCCCACAATCGCCGAAGCTATTCGTCGCACTCACAACGGAGAAAGTGTCAGGTATGGGCCTGAGATCCAGCCTCGAATGATGTCCAGATTTGCTAATGATGGTCCAGCTTTCTCTTCAACCATGCCCCGGCTTAGGACTGTACTGTGGCTTTGGGAAGGGTTGGTTCTCGGGGGGGTGGGATGTCGTTTTGGCTTTACGACGTAATGGTAATGCAGTAATGGCCTTCTCTCTCTCTACAGCACATCAGGAATCCACAAGATCCTCACATTTGAATGCATGCATTGCTCTAGAGGTTTGAAATTTGAAAAAGGGGTTTGATGTTGGGAATCAAACCAACGGAACGGCCGCATCTCATGGTTTGGGGGCGGACACATTGTTGCATTTAAGGCTGTCTAGCATAGGTTCATGGCGAATTGGAGATGATTCAATGTATTTGTATATCCACCGCCAGTGTTGGGGGTTCATGTTGGAAAATACCAAAACAAAAACACTTGAATCATGTGCACCTGCGTATAGTGAATGACCCTAGATGATGACAAGACGGGGGGTTCGAATAAGTGCGCGGCAAGAATGAAGTCCATAAGTGTACTTGGTCGCCTTCAAGAAGAATTTCTCATGAACACTGTCCCGGGATTACATCTATCACCAACGTCACAGCGTTGGCTTTTCTGCCTGTGCGGTGGTGGCATGCCCACCGTCTTATCGTGCCGCGTCCATGGTTAATTACCATGAGGAGGTTGATCAGATGGGGCCTCAGCGTAGAGTTGATCAGGCTTAGAGATTTCGCTGTCCAGTCGGTGTCCGAGTCAGCAATGGCGGCGCTTGAGCGGAAAGGAGCACGGCCAAGGCGAACTGTCGGGCCAGTAATGTCAACAAGTCACGATCGGAATCAGGAGTAGGTGTACAATGTATGTGGTGGGAATCTCAAGTCTCATTTTTGGGTTCCGGGAATACACTGAAGCTATCTGGGCTATCTAGAGCCACCTCAGCCATCTATCCCGCAATGCCTGCCTGTCATTGACCATGATTCAAGCCCGAATGCAACTACTAGAAGACACCGACCGAACGCCTGGAATCATCTACTTGCGCATGGAGCTTGCTCTTCTCTTGCGAGCGTCGGCCCGGGTGGCACGAGCATCGGAAACACGCTTGGCGAGGAGCTGAGCGTACTCGTTCTGTCGGGTAGTCTGTTAGATGGTGATCTGCATTTGGGTAGTCGTGGGTGGATTCAACATACGGCCTCGTCCTTGACCTTCTCGGACTGTCTGCGCTTGAGCGCGATTCGGTGGCGCTTGTGCTGGAGGCGCTGGGGGGTAACCAGTCTCTGGATCTTGGGAGCCTTGGTGTACGGCTTCTTGCCCTCACCCTTGGGCTGGACCTCACGTCGAATGACGTACTTTCGGACCTATAGCGCGGAGAAAACCGGCGTATTAGCCATTCTTGTTCCCTATATATATTGTGTTGTTTCCTCTCAGACTCTACATCGGTGGTGTACGTTGCGGATGGATTCTTCTCTCTCATCCCGCAGAAGCAACGACCGAGTAGGTGATGACGAGTGTGCAACGGTTGCTACTTACATCGTCATCCTTGCTGAGACCGAAGAAGCGGCGGATCTTGGTGGCGCGCTTGGGACCGAGGCGCTTGGGGTGGACGACGTCGGTCAGGCCGGGGAGCTCGCTGTCGCCCTGCTTGACGATGGAGAGGGCGAGGACGGACAGGTCCATGCCGACGATGCAGCCACGGACCGATTTGCGCTTGCGCTCTCCGGTGCGGCGGGGTCGGTAGCAGGAGTGGCCTTCGGCGAGGAGGAGTCGGACACGAGTCGGGTGCATGACACCCTGCTCTGATGGATAAAAACATGTCGCGTCAGTACTTGAACCCTACATCTCTAGTATATACCAGCAACGCCCGGCAAATCAAGAATGTTCTACTCACTGCCAAACAGTTAGTATCAAAAGCCAAGGGGGAATATTCTAGAAATCAACAGTTCGGTTTATACACACCTCATCGGGAAACCTTGCTTGTCATTACCGCCGGTAATGCGGAAGATGTAGCCCTTGAACTCGTCGCCGAGGTTGTCACCGGGGACTTCCTGGCCCATCTGTTGGAAGCACTGATATTAGCATTCCGTACCCTTCTGATTTGATCTCGAGATGTAGCATTCGATTGCGAGGCAGACGGAGCCATGTATGTGCCTGAACAGGGAATGTTGCAATCCAAGATGCGGTGGATATCGAGAATTTCGCAGGCGGTGGGAGGCAGGAGCTGGAACGTACGCGCTTCTCCATGAAGTCTCGGAGCTTTCGCTCATCTTCGATCTCGACCAGCTTTTGGCTGCCATTGGAAGGGTAGGAGATGTTGAGCTTCATCTCGGCGGTGGTTGTTGTCGTGATCGACTTGTTGCTTGCTGGCTGTGTGGTTAGTTGGGAGGGAACGAAATAGGTCAATTGTGTTATTTTCTTCGCCTAATCCAATTTTCTGAAGTGGGAAAGCGCTAGGGCTTCATGTGCATGGACCACCTGAAATCTGTACCTGGGAGGTGCGCCACGACCTGCGGGTGGGGCGTTGTCTGCCACCCAGCCCACCCGAAGATAATCCGTCACCGCGCGTCTTGACGCGACAACCCATCACGGTGCAAGTTTCCGCTAATTTGAATCTCATGAGAGGTACTCCTTACCAGAATCTCATACAGTGCATCTGGCAAAATGGCCTCTTCAGTCCGTCTGTACCCCCGGTCAGGTCACGCTGAGACGCCCGCCGCCAACCCGCTTCCTCAACTTATACAGACACCCTCTGGCCTGGCGATTCTGGAGCTTCAAGGCACTATCAACTTGCCACAGATAGATGAGAGTGGCAGCGAGATAAACACAGAGGACCTCACCATCGGCCGCATCACTTTTCCCGATTATCACCCAGAAACTCATGATCCTTCCAGCACCTCCTGGATGAAGCGTATCCACCTCTACGTTGGACAACATCAAAGACTTACCGGAGAAGTCAAGAAACTGCCCAGAGCTGTGGCCATCATTCGCAAGAAGCCTCATTCAGGTGAAGATATGGATATGGCTGACGCCAATTCCGAAACCACCAAGGAGGACCTTGAGATTGTCGAGATCGTCAAGCACAAGCTCGTGTTCTCCCAGCGCCCTGAGCCTGTGGGTAGCGGTTGAAAGATATTTCGAGACTCTCCAAATTGGACATCTCCATCCGCCAGTTTGGTTGCTTGGTTCCCCGCCCCTGGGACTGCCATGACCCATTTGCCCTTGCCGCGGGGTCTTAGCCAAGCTCTGGTCGCGGATATACTGTTGCTGGCCAAAGACCCTATGAATTCAATGACAACACGCAAGAAATTCGCGAACTGTCGAGCTTGACGACAGATGAAACGCAGAACTCCGTTGTGGGTACCAAAGGCTGCGTTCAACTCGACATCGAATCGTACTTGGCGAGCTCTTTGATGACAACCGGGCTGGATGAGCAACGTTGGAGCGTTGATGAATGTATGATGGGAGCTTTACGGGCTAGGCACGCTACACTGAACCCTCACAAATCTCCATACACGACCCTTCTAGCAAGCAACGATATATTCATCAAATCGGAATAAGCATACCGGAATAAGCAGTTTGATCTTTATTTACCATGCTTGACACTTTTTCCAGGGCGCTTATCCCAGTATTTCCAACTCTCCTACTGGTGGCCTGGAATCTTGCCAACATGCGCGTACGGAGACTTATGAGGGCTGAGTGTACATTAGATATGTTGGTGCATGTATAGTATATCATCAGCTACTCCAACAGTTGAATGCAGCTTTGTCAGGGGATGAAGGGAGTGGGTATGGAATTTCAGAAGGACTTCACTCCCATCAGGCACAATGAGTCTCATCGGTCGTGTCAGAGGTCGGCTATATTCTGCGGATCCTTTTGGACCCAGCAATCCATTGACACGGACGGAACTTCTCCTCTCTGAAGTGTTCGATGTAGTCCTGGTGTCATTCCAAACGTGTTATGCTCGAGCAAGGGACAGCAGGACGAAAAGATGGACTCAACCAAGTCTGATCAAATTCTCTGATCATGTTGTTTTCAGGAAAGCGATACTAGTCTATCTCTAGTGAGGTGTCTACAAGACGGTCATAACACATGTGAAATAAAGTCAGAAATTACGACCAGCAGGCAAAACCCACGCTCGCGTTACTCAATACAAGGGGTATCATCCGATCTACCAAACGCCAAACGTGCAAAAAACACCGCCCATATTTAGAGATTCTAACCACTGCCGTGATCGAAAAGTCCATATGTACGAGACAAAAAAGGATGCCCAGGTCCGTGTTGCAGCTCGCTCAGAACATGTCCTCGTGTAAACGGTGGCTGCGAGTTGAATGAAGTATGGCTCCTCTCTGGCCAATGCGTAACGACAGGGTTCCTAGCAGGTTCTCGAGGAGCAGGAGCAGGAGGAGCAGGAGTAGTGGGAGGAGGGAAACCGTGACTTATCTCGTCTCCACGCTGCGTAGTACGAAGATAAGGAGTTCGTGGTGGTCTTGCCGAATCTGCCACGGAACGTTGCCATGGCTTCCCCCATACTGAGCCTCAATCTTCATCCTCCGGCTCTACACTGGGTAATAATAATTCGCACCCCGTAACGTTTCGGAACTCGCGGGTGAAAACCTTGCTAGCCATCATTGCTTTAGATTCCGGTGTGCTGCCCAGAAGGGTATCTGCACGCAGCTTGGCTCTGAGGGCGTTTAGACAGTCCCTTCCCCGGTGGCAAGCACCGCTCAGTATGTCCCCTCCCGTACCCTGGACGAGGCCATACTGGCCAATGGTGACGCTGAATCTCGCCAGACTTTTCAGCATGTATGTCGTCAATGTCCATCTGTGCCCATCCGGACTTCTCGCATAGTTTGACAGCTGGTAACTCCAGAAATGACTTTGTTGTTGTACGTGAAGGAGGAAGGAAACTATGAAGGTATCTAGGAGACGTGATCTTGTACACTGAACCCTCATAAGTCTCCGTACACCACCCTTCTACCAAACCGCAGTATATTCATCGAATCGGAATAATGTGACGAGCCGTCTAACCTATGAGGCTAAAGGGTTCTATAGGGTTTATGTTCTGAGGTAAGTCAACACAAAGGACGACAGAGGCTTCTGTCAACTAGAAGACACTCAGATGCTGGGGCTTGGTCTGATCCAGGGGATCACTGAATAGTCGAATCATTAGGAAATTTCTCCCACCTTAAGGTTGGCTAAGATGCTTAAATTGATCATTGAGGTAGAGACTGTCTATCTGTCTAGCTAGGAAATGTCCATCCTTATATATCCAATCTCTCCCTCATTAATGAGACGTGCTCACTGTTGCTCGCGTGAGCAGACGTGAGCAACTCTAGTCACGTGATCCTGGCTCCCTGGATCACTGGATCACGTGCCTGGATGCCCTGCGCTGTTTCGTGTCGTGCCCCCGTTCTGATTGGGTTCCCTCGTAGGTCATCCTTTTCCCTTCAGGCCTGCCAACGGGCCTGTGGTATTTGTTGGTTCGTAACAAATAAGCAGACGGGAACAAGCATAAAAAGTAGCTTATTAGCTTAGATCTGCTTATTCCTGTATCTTATTCCAGTATTCGAGGGCTCCAACGGGTGATCGTGCTGTAATATCATCAACATGGCGCGTACGGAGACTTATGTGGGCTGAGTGTATATATAGGGGTTGACCCCTAAATTGTGGTGCCGTCATCTACTGCCGTGACAATACCTCATTGCCGCTATGTGCATTCAGTAGTTTGGAGGAACTCTACCCGTTTGTGCAATGAGCGGTGTTTCTGTATCTACAGCGATGCTGTGCATCGTCAAAAGAGGACATCCAGATCCGTTCTCGGACTCGTAACTACTATACACTGTTCAGTCTGATCTTGCAAGACTTGCGACGCCTACTCGTTTATGCCCTTCCACCAACCCTCAAGGTCACCCTCAACTCTGCTGACGTGGGCTCTTTGCGGACCGCAAGCATGCACGTTTCTGAACTTGCGGGTGAAGACCTGGTTGGCGTCTGCAGGTAACTTGTTCTCAAAAGCGTTCGTGCAGTTCTGGCCTCTGCTGCACAAACCGACCTCTTTGTGACTGTACCCGTCGGTGCCCTCGATGAGACCGTACTTGTTGATGGTAACATCGAACTTCGCAAGCTCATCAGCAGATATCTCCTCGACCCTCATCCGTACCCAGCCAAAGCCTTCGCATGTGTTGTGCGTCGCCTGGACGTCCCATGTCGCTACATAGCGCCTCTTGTTGTAGGCCTGGTCGTGATGGAAACGCTCGATGACCGTAGAGCTGATCATGTGTGTTGTATGGTCCCACGAATAGTTTCGGGCTAGCTTGACAAGGTATCGAAGTATGTTGTTACCGGGATTGCGTTCACGTAGGTATAGGCTGGCTCGGTCGTCCGTTCCGACATCCCAATGTACCAGTAGTTCGGACTCCATCGACTGAATGACAATATTAGTCATCAACGGCATACATGTATACATAGGATGGTGACTGGGCTTATGTTACCTTCTTGTTCTTGGCAGCGCGTCCTCCCACGGTGTCCTCAAACGGTCCAAGTACCGAAGTGAGGTGCATTGGGATTGTCTGTGCAGGGACAACCGGCATTTGGATCTCCGAGAGGGATTTTTGGAGATGAAGAATGGAATCATCGATCGCTCGGATTCTCTTGTTGCGGTATTCAGTCCATTTGTCTTCGCGGCTAACCAGCATGGACGTTGCTTGACCAGAAGTAATGGGAAGGTGCATGTCGAATAGGCGTCTCTCGCGGGTATCCAAGACCGCTATGGCTCCTTCGCGCTGTCGTCTGATGTCGGCGCCAACGAGGTCATCGCAGTGACCGCAGAACAAGCCAGCTCCTGCATGAAAGAAGGGTGGTTGATTGACGATGATACCACAGTGTCGACAATGGGGTACCAAGCCCTGAGCCAAGGTAGATGCATCTGCCATGCTGCAAAGGATGTTAGCAAGGTCTCGTTATGGTGCATTGTCAGGTTGGAGGCTTACTTTCGCGTCAATCAGATACAGGTCGGCAAGCGCGCTTTACCAAAGCTGAAGTGAGTCAACAAATGGCTGAGCCTTGGGAGGATGATAGCGGAGGAGCTGGATTGAGACTGGATCGTGTCGAAGAAGCCCGTGCGTTGTGCAGGCCGCTCTTCCTTTTCTAAGCCGCTGTTCGAGTGTAGTTACGGGGCAACCCGGTATGTGCTGCGTTGTGTTGGGCCGGTAACAATTATACGTATCCACCTGTTTATGCCATATCGCTAACCGAAAAGGGGCTTACCTGGTGGCCAGGGCAGATTACTTTGCCGGCGAAGGCTGCTTTGTGGTGGATTGATGAATGGGGCACGTGCAATGGTGTGAGGAAGAGTGCGCCAGCAAAGGTGGTCCTTGTCCTCAGAGGCTTCTTCGCGCTGTTTGTCACGTCGGCAGCTATGAGGTTAGTGCATCGGTTGCAGAACAACGATGCGGAATCCTTGGAAACGGCCGTGCCGCAGTAGCGGCACTTGAGCCCTAAGCCCTGGCCCGAGGGCAATGCCTCATTCATACTATGTGGACGTTGGCAAGATCTTTGCTTAGTGGGGATGTCATGTCATCTAGAATACATACTTTGATCTGGTAGTAGAGAAGACGGTAGCAGGGTATCACAGTTCGACTGCCCTCTAGAAATGACTTCGTGGTTGTATTTGAGGAAGGAAAGAAACTATGAAGCTAGATATAAGAAATAACCTGGTATAAATAGGGGTTGACTCAATGGGGCTGTCTAGTGCCATGACAGTTTGTTATTCTTGTTTGAGCATCATCTGTACCAACTCTGTTTAGACAAAATAATAAGATACCATAGACAATGTTTCCTGCAGTACGTGCTTAGGATCCATATCTAAGTTGCAGCATAAACTGGATGATGGATTCTCGTCAGGCTACATGAGTTGAGATAATCACACGCTGCCCCTTTATGGTTTGTTACTACAATTGGCGGTTGATGTTCCATGGAGTCTTCCTTTCAACGCTCATAGTAGTTGTAATTAAATATCCAAAGTGGACTAGAAGAACTACCTAGGAGCTATCATTCCAAGAGGTGAACGTAATTTTGCTGTGAAAATCAACGGCGTCGAACGTTGGGAAAACTGGGTCTGTTCCGTAATCCGGAGAGGTGGGTCTCCGGGAGCGACACGGGGTCTCGGGGTGATCTTCACGTTTCAGAGACACAAGATCTCCAACCCCGGCTTTCAGCACTTCTTCCAGCTTGGGTTCAGCAAGGTCAGCAAGGCCCAATGGTGAGGTCGTCCGCGGCCCGCATCAAGCAAGTTCTGGGGTGGCTGAGCTATTTCGCGCTGCGACAGATCTCGTGGGGTTGCACTCCGGAGTTCAGGGGTGACGCTCTCCAACCCTGGCAGCTCGTCCGCTATTCTGCTTCACCAAGAGTCGCAGCCGCCGCAATACCGCAATTGAATTGGGGAACCTGTTCGTCCCCATTTCCCTTTGTTGAGCGACCTGCGAGCCAAACCATGTGAGTTTATGGTCGGGGTGCGGGAGAGCGACAAGCTTAATCCTACCCACACCACCCACCCACTATCACCTGGCCCTTCGGATCATGGTCGCTCTACCTCGTTTCTGATCGGTTTGGGGACCGGGATGGCTACACCGCGCCGCCGAATCACGAAATCAGACGGTGAAGCCGCACGCTCCATACCATGATTCGTATTCTTCAGCCAGGGGCCGAGCGGGTAAAGGGCAACACTTGCGGTGACTCGCCCCTCCTGACGTGATATCGGCGAGAAGTGGCATGGGAGCGCTGCTGCAAGATCAATTCGCGTATGCTACGTCTGTTGCGAAAATGTCCTATGAGGGGCAAGCTGGTTACTGTACTCATCCGTATGGGTGTGTGGAAGCAGGCTGGACATCGGATATTAAGACCCAACCTCGAACCAACAGCGTCTAGCTCTGACACCCGCTTCTGATGCCATCGCTCGAAGCCCAGCTGGACGTGAACAAGAACGAATCGAAACAAGTTGGGAAGCCACCTGGATTCAGCTCCAATTCGACGAGTCCCATAGCCTTGTTTCCTTGTGCTTCCTGTTCGAATACTTCGCTGAGGACTTCCCCATCGACATTTCTTACCATGGAAGCTCGCATATGACATATTTCACCATGAAGAGACCTGGGGCCGTATCTACCGTGCTGTGGGTAGCGTGGTGTTTCGTGACAGTCGCCACACTAGACAGACACGAGGTCTATGCCAAACATCGAAACGACTCGTCCGGACGACGTGGGGCGAGGCAGCTCGAGATGCGGGAAAGCGACCAAGATCATCACTGGAGGCCACGGCGAGACGACATACCAACGAAAACGGGCCTCCCGACTCTCTTGATCACGCCGTCGCCGAAGACCACTAAACTGATAAATCGTCAGCCTGACAACGGCCTAAAGGATGGTCTAAACGGTCTCAAGGCAAAGTCAAGCAGTATATCGAGCAGCGTATCCACCTCTGTATCAATCAGCGTGTCAAGCATCGCATCGGCCAGCGCGTCCACGGCCCTTAGCGCCGCTTCTCTATCATTCTCATCGGCTTTTTCGACGGCCGTCCAGTCCGCCAGGGAGACGGGCCTCAGCGACGGATCGTTCTCAGCAAGTGTGTCCGCCTCGGAGGCAATAGCCTCCGCAAACGATAAGGCTGCAGCTGCTTCGTCACAGCTATCGTCGGCGCTGGCCGGCGTGACAAGCGCCAGTATCATCGCGAGCGTACAGGCGAGTGCCAGCAGCGCGGTAGAGGCGGCTCAGAGCAGTGCCAGCAGCAGTGCTCAGAGTGCGATCGATGCCGCGAAAGCGAGCGCTTCGGCCGCTGCGGTAAGAGCAGCCATGTACGATGAATCTAGGAAGCAGAAGCTGACACAATGCAAAGGGCAACACTGACACGCCAACCGAAAATTCGGGGCTCTCCCCAGGAGAAGTCGGCGGCATCGTGGTATCAGTGACCATCGTGTCGTCTCTGCTCTCTGTCTTCCTCACTCTCTTCATCATACGCCACCGAAGGCGAAAAGCAGAGGCGGCAGCACATGATGACTCCGACTCACGACCCGAGTCGTCGAGACGGCTCGCGCAGCCTCCTTTCAAGGTCCTCCGCGACGGGTTTCGGTCTCCGACGTATACCGCCACCGTCACGGCGGGCAGCAAGCACCCAGGAACCCAGTTTCCTCCAGACGTCAAGCAGAGGATCCCACCCCCGGTGGAACACCACCCGGCGATGGCTTCGTCTGCGCTTCCAGCTAGTACCGCCACCGCTGCGAATGCAGCTGTCCGCTCGCCAGACGAGCCAGATTTCCCTGTCTCGCCCCTCACGAGTCTGCGTCCCAACAGCTTCGGGCGAGAAGGCCCGCCCGGCTTTGGGCTAGGCTTCTACCCAGGCGAAGCTCAAGTGCAGACGGGTGTGCCAGACACTGGCGAGCCTTCGCCGATGAAATTTTCGTTGGCCCGAACGGAGAGCATCAGCGGCGGGCAGCGCGTGCAAATCGTGCGCGTCGGCAGCCAGAAGGACAGTCTGCACCGTGTACTTTTAGATGAGCAGACACAACGATTATCACCGCCCTATATCAACCCAGGTCCCGCCCAAGATGCAGCAGACGCATACACAGGCGAGTACGCAGAAGCACAAGGCCAACAGAACTTCTACGACCCCACCTCAAACCTCGACCGAACAATCTCAACCAGAACTGCAAGCTCCGCTGCCCTTCCCACCCCACGCAGGGCGTCGATGCCCTCATCCATCATCATGCGCCGCCCGCTGGAGATGAACCCAGTACAGCTCCAGCCAGGCAGGCACAACGATAACCGTAGCCCTGTACCAGACCGCGAGACCTCCTTCTCGTCCACGGACGACGACGAGACGCAAAGCCGCTAGCTATCACGGCAATTCCCGTTCGCGACGACCTCGGATCGGGGATCTGGGCCAAGCCACATGTCCTTTCTGCTGCAGTCTCAGCAATACCAACTGCCACAGCATCATCCACACCCAGGCCCACGCAGTTTCGCAGAGCAGCAACAACAGCCCAGATCGCACTTCTCGCACTCACCCATCCCACCGCCCTCTCCGCCGTCACCATCACCGCCGGCCCGGGAACAGGAAAACAGAATAGTCCCGCAGTTGCAATCGCCGGTACCGCAGCGGCCGGGCATGGCGCCTCCTGCATTTACGCTGTTCCCCAGGGGTTAGGCGATGATCTTGAGCAATCTATTTTTCTTTGCAGCAGGGCAGGAAAGGAAACATCGTGCGAGCGGGCTTATTGAGATTCAGGGGCTGGCTGAGTGGCAGGTAAGGGGTCCTCTGGGGCTTCGGCTGCGAATTCAGGTGGGAGGCGCGTGGCGTATTCAGTGGGTGGATGGATGTATGGAGAACCAGTTACAGAGACAGAGGCGAACACATGTCCGTGGGTATTGAGGCCAAGTCTGCCTCTACCTACAACGATCCTTACCTAAGTACCCATTAAATAGGTATTTACCGAACTTTTGTATAGGAAGACATACCTCAGATGACATGACCAACGCCCTGCGCGAAGTTCACTGCTTGTCAGACTGACACTTGCCCGCGATCCGGGTCTATGACCAAGCCACAATTCTGGAAGGGTTTGATTCAGTGTCGAACACATCGTTATGTACAGTAGTTCTACATTAGTCTAGAGCAAGGGCCGTCCCCGTCCCATGAACCACACTTTTCTGAGGCTGGTCAAGTTACGACCGAGCCGACCCGATCCTACCGAAACGCCAGTCATGCTCCCTACCACCGTGACTCGAATACCCGCCTCGTCGAAATAGTGGTTAGATCTCCCAGAATATCGGATGTTTTCCGTCTTTCGCTTTGCCAGAGCCTCATTTCTAAAGGGCAAGAGCTGGGCCGATCAACTCACCCAGCGGTCTCCCTGGTCAAATACTTATACTGAAGTTGGACAAGCTCTTTAGCTCGTCCTTGGTTGGTATTCCACTTCCTTACTACCACAGACATTCGGATGCCTCGAGAGGACGGTCCTTTATACCGGCAGCTTGAACTTCTTGCCTTTCATGACCTTGGTGTAGTAGATCCAGAAGAAGTCGCTGTACAGGACGGTCTGGACAAGCCCAGCGACGATGGCGATCCAGTCGGCCTTGTGGTTGGGCTCGGTGAAGTAGCGGTAGATCCAGTTGGGGATGTAGAGGCCGCGGTAGATGCCGAGCGCGAACAGGTAGTGGGTGGTGATGGTCTCGGCCTCGCCGGTGCGCTGCAGCATGAAGAGCTGCGGCAGGATGGCGACCGACTCGAGCCAGATGGAGAAGGCCCACAGGATCTCAGACAGGGTGTACTTGTAGGGGATGAGCAGGGCGAGCACGGCGGCGCCGCCCAGCAGGTACTGCACGCGAAAGGTGTCGAGGTTCGGGTCGTGCGTCGGCTTGTACTTGGTCGTCATCAGGTACACGATGTAGCCCTGCGACCCGATGAAGAGGATCTTGAAGATGATGTTGTAGATGCTCTCGGTGCTGAACAAATCTGGTGGGTGGGTGCACCGTTTAGCTGTGCGCCCTCGAAATCATCGAGGATAGGCCAACCTACCTAGGTATCGTGTCACGTAGACCATCAGGTATAAGGCTTGCGACTTGAAGGATATGCCTGTGCAGCCCTGCGGACGGTGGTGTTAGCTACCCTTTCAAGATCTCCCCCTTCGCGTCTCGGAATCACAAACATTGAGCTCGGTCATCTTATGTAGAAGGATAAAGATTGATGCTAGATGGGAGAAGTCCCCTGGGCGTACTACATCAGCTTCGATCCAGCTTCCACACGGTCGAGTGTTGCTCACCCAGGACTCGGAAGATGTTCAACGACATGGCGTGTTATGGGGGAACTAAGCTCCTGAAAGCTCTCGACGACAGGCGAGCGGGTGCCGTTGCCAGCAGGTACGGATATGGCGATCGCAAATGGCAAAGCTGTCGTGCTGTCCTTGTCGCAAGGTCGTCGGTGAGGTTTCGTTCGTGGGTGATGTTCGGGACTGACACGCAGAACCGGCAAGCTGGCGGATCAACTGAAGAATGCTTGGGCGAAAGGACACAATGCACTGCGATTCACTTGTGATTGGATCCCTGGCTAGCTTGTCTAAGGCCTCTCTGTTTTTAATTGTGGCTCATTCATGCACTGTGATCCAAATTTAGCCACAACTGGGATGATGTCAGTTGGGATGTGGGGGTCCCCACTGCCATCAGGGGGCTGTCCGTGCTTTTGGAAGCCGAAATCCGGACCGTCACCTACCTATGAAACCTTCAAGTTGTGTGTGTCAAACAGAGCATGCGGGCTTTTAGATGGGTGAAAACATATATTCTAGTGTAATCAGCCTTGTTGCTGTGTCTGTGTGAAAATCCTGCTGTGGGCTAAGTGGCCTAAAAATGCCCTATTAGCCTTGTTGGTGCACTGCCACCTCTCTTAACGCCACGGTGGCTTGCGCGCCATTCAACAGTGTGCCCGAATGATGTGAATAGTAGGTATAGCGATCATGTTCCTCACAATTTTGCAAAAAACTTGGGGTTTATAGGCACCGGTACTCCGATACCTACCTACAGTAGGTAGCCTCTGCATGCTACCTGAATTCCTCTATTAAACCGCTTTATCTGGAAAACCCCCCTCATTGGAATCGGATGATCTATTCAGGAGGTAGTCAGCGGTATGACCACTATAAATACGGCGAAGGAGTTTGTCTGTTCTCAGATATATAAACAAGCATGTCGGTCTATAGAGGGCCTGCACTTTGTCGCTGCCTACCAGACCACCACTTTGTATCCAATGACATCTTGGCTGCCCGTTTCCGTTCACTTCCGAAGGGTCCCGCTACATTTTCATGTCGGTATCTATCTGGTTAATCACCCGTGACCGTTCGGTGAATCGTTTGGAAAACCAAGCTGCCTCACGTTGCACAACGACGTCAAGTGCGGGGGAAGACGCATGTTAATAGTTCAGCACCACCTACTGTCGCTGTCTTGATAGTCAGCCTCCTTAATTGAAGTCCAGTGAACAGACGAAGTTAGACCTCAAGAATCACCTGGTCTTGTAGCATCCCACACACGACAGAGGAACACCAGTTCACGCCGCTTCAATGGACGAGGCAACGGCAGGCTTTCAGAAGTTGAGTCTGGGTAGACGGTACGTTGGGTTTGCGGATGATTCGGTTAACGAACCAATCAAGCCGTACCCGACGGACACTCCTCGCTATCTGTTCCGCATCTTCTCAGCAAAGTCTGCAGGAGAGAACAATAGTCAGTGGGTAAAGTCAGAGGACGCCAGAGATGGCCACTTCACAGATATATTTACTCGAGACGATCAGGATAATGTCGCTATAGCGCTGAACGAACATCTGCGATGGATGTCACACAAGTCACGAGGAGACCCCTTTACGTCCTGGACAACTTCGCTGGTTTTTGCGCTGCAACACGCCATATACAAGCGGAACACCGAAAGTACGGGCTTGGAAGAGATCCATCTTTGCATCATCGACACTACCAAGTATCCAAATGGAACATTCAGGCAGGACCTTGACCTCATAAGTGCCTTTCAAGACAAAGTTAACGACGAACATCCAACACTGTGCCATCCTCAACGGACAAACTGGGGAACTAGAGGTCTTGGCAACCTATACGCTCTGCGGCACAAAATGCACAAGACCTGGTCAGGGTACTTCTACTTTGGCGAGTACCTGTCGCAGGGACAAGTTGACCTCAAGGGTCGTTGTTACATCGTATCATGTGACAGGGTTATCAACCATCACCTGTTCCAACTGATGCCAGGATTTAAAGCCAACTATCTAGACGAGGGCGACCCTGAATGGGCCAATGCGGTGGTGAGACTCCGCGAGCCGTTCTACGCAGACTATCAACCTGGGGCCACCGAACCCGCCGATCTTCAGGCAGCAGAGACGATATCCTGCCAATTTGAAGCTCCATGGCGCCTCCCAATGTTGCTCAACCTTCTGGCATTGCGTCCTTGTCGAGCTGATGATCCTGCCATAATCTCTCATGTATCAAGGATAATTCATAGTAAGTGATTGTCCATCTGGACTTATAGCATTCGTGGTTTCCTAATGGACAAGCAGATGACAACGCGCACCGCGCCTCGCTCAAGGCAAGAGTGGTTGCCAATGACAGTATACCCGAGGTCCAGCTGTTTAGCAAGATCGTGAATGCTATCAACAAGAGCGAGGAGGTCAGGTGGGTCGAGGACATTCAGAGACAGATCAACACGCCCGAGGTCGCCGCGCAGAGCGTCAATAGGAACAGCGACCCCCAACATGTCAGCCAAGGCCACCCGGATAATGCTACCGCCTCTTCTTCCTCCGCCACCATTGGGACCACATTCTCCGGTGCCCAATAAGTCCACGGTAAAGCAGATCGACATCACTACGATCAAGTTCGATTCCAAGCAGCTGGATGCGCTGAAGGCTATCGAGAGGAGGCTGGATGAAATAGTCGTGTCGATCAGGGGCAGTGAGAAGCAAGTGGACGAGCTGTGCGACAGGCTTCAGACCGTTGTGGGCAGGCACTCAGTAGACGATGATGAGTTGACCGAGATAACCGGCATCGTCAAGGAAAGGTTCAACGCAGAGATTGTTCGGTTTGAGGAGGCCTCTGCGCTTAAGAATGCCGTGCCTGTGGTGGTCTTGGGAGGTGCGGGCGTGTTCGAGGGGGAGGTTTGAATCTCCGTGAGTCGTGACATGTAGGCATATACAGAACGGCATGAGTAAAGAAACGGCGGGTTGGAGGAGAGGCCGATAGTAGGTCGCTTTTGAAATCCAAACCATCTGGCTATCTGCTTGGTTGAGAACATGAAGTCTACCTACCAAGTCTTTGACTTGTGAACTTGATTCATCTAATTGGGTATGTCAGCCTCTAGGTGAACTGTTTGCCCAGTAGGATGCTTCTAACGCCACTAAATGAACACTGAGATAATCATCATCTCGACGAGTCAATCATCAGGGGGCGTGTATAATTTATACAGTAGTCTCTGCATTACTCAAGAGCAACGAAATTGGTGTCACAATGGCCCCAGACGTGTGTAGCACCTTTGATGGCTAGTTATGATATTGACCAAGCTGAAGAGAACTATAGGAATGCTCCATCTGAAACCCGTCGACAGCCTCGCTACGCTGGCTCCCCCAACCACGTGGATTCATCGGTCCTTACCATTCAAGATGAGGGTCTCCTGGACGTGATTGCTTTTTGCGCGGTCTCTTCGCTCTAGCAAACGCCCCAACCAGTTCTTCTTAACTTTCTTCCGGGACCGGCCATGTCCGAAAAATTCAGAGATGCCCATATCCTTGGTGTACGACAGCCTCTCGGGACCATCGTTGGATACGTTTGGTGTCTTCCGGAACCCGCCGCTCATCGCGCTACGCAAACTCCCGTCTCGCCGCCTCTTGCGCACACCGAAGAGCAGCCCCGAGGAGATCAAGTAGGTAGCCACCGAGACTACCACAATAGTTCCGGTGAAGGAGGTTGTTTGTCCCGGAAGATTGAAATCAAACATGTCCAAGCTATAGAGCGTCTGCCAAACGCCGGGGGTATGATCAGTGGAGGTCCAGCAGGGTGGTTTGAGAGTACCTACGACGTACCGCCACGAAGCCAAGTGGGAGATAGATGATGGTCATAACCGTAAACACCAAGATGTACTCGTTGATATGTGTCCCCTTCGTGGCTTCTCTGACTGCTGTTGCGTTGAAAAGCTAGGTGATAGAATTAGTAAAAGGTGTTCGGCGTGTAAGCCCGGACTTGGAGTGTTTGACTTACACCATCACGCAGACTCTCGGCCCCTTCCGTCTTCTTGGCGATCTGCCCTAGCAAGCGCGTCTCAGCGTTTTGGTGGTGGAGAAGTACCTTGCTCCAATTATCTTCGAGGACTTTCATGGAGGCTTTTTCCGCTCATAGTCTGAAAGCTGGTGCCTCTGTGGCACATTGTATAACTGCAGTTGCACATCCTGTTCTACATGTGAGCCCACCTCCTTCGAGAGGTTGCGCAGGGTGACTCCGGACTCCTTGATCCACTCAGTGGCTATTCGAAGCAATTCAATGATGGTAAAATATGCATTCGACCGCGTAAATGAGTCGTTTGAGCTGTCCTCAAACATAAGATGCACTCTTCGTTGGGGGTCCAATAAGTCATTGATCTGAGAGGCGTGTGAGCAGCCCTCTCCTGTAGAAAATAGGAAGTAGAATTGAGGTGACGAACCTGCACATTGAGTATGTCGTCAACCGCCTTCAGTAAGCGGTTCCACCCATCGTTCCAATCCTCGGTCGTGGCTATGATGATCTTCTGCAACGCAACAATGCCAGTATACCATAAGCAGGGGCGTAATAATTGAGGCGAAATTGCACCTGGCCCGCCTTCAAGTTCCTTCTCATAAAAGGGGCGCAAGAGGTCGTGAAGAGAGAAAGCTCGAAAGTAAGGCAATCTCCTATCGAGCGTTGTCGTAAAATGAACGGCTACACGCCTCTCGCATATATCCCTGCCCCATTTCGGCGAGCCAGTTGTAGCGATTCGCCCAGAAACACGATCAAGTGGATTTCCCGGGATCGAGGATGCTTTAGTATGTAGCAAGTCCAAGGGCCGAGACGAGATAAACCGTATTCGATACTGGCAAGCAAGCGGTGACGACCCGACTGGTGGCAAAAGCGGTGGTGGCGCTGTAGAATAGGACCGAAGTTCTTCGTAGGCATCTCCTATTTGTTACAAACCAACAAAGACATACAGGGGAAGAGGCCCGATGGCAGGCCCAACGGAAAAGACAGGGACGGAAGAGAACCAGGAAGACACACGGACCACGGACCAAGAGCAAGGATCACGTGACCCAGGTATCACGTGACGGATATGTTGGATCATACATATCCAACATATCCACCTCATCAGTGAGGGAGAGATTGGATATATAAGGATGGACATTTCCTAGCTAGACAGATAGACAGTCTCTACCTTAGTGATCAATCTAAACATCTTAGCCAACCCTAAGGTGAGAGAAATCTCCTGACTTGATTGATTGATTGATTGATTGTATTTATCGTGGGTGCAGTCCCTCCATAGGGCAAACCACGCCTCCCAGAGCCATTGCATCGCAAGGTTGTAGAAGTGTCAGTCTAGATACATTCAGATCCGCGCACGAGCCTATCCTCGCTGTAGCGGTACCAACCTGGAGTGACCAGATGGTTTTAGTTAATACCCAAACACGATTCTGTCAGAAAAACCTCCTATCCAGTGACTAAGCGACCCAGTAAACCTCAGTCCTCTGGTGTACACATCGTTCCAGTAGCCGTTCGATATATGTTGCATTAGTGGGTGAAATAGGTATTTGTTATCTACTGACGAGGGAAACCATAAGGGAAAAAACCTCGCAGGAATGGGTATTATGGAGACAAGCTGTTTGGCTATTGGGCTCTGCGATAAGGGGCCTCTCCATATCGTGTGCTGGTTGTTGACTCGCACAAGCCGGGTTAGAAGGAGGCCATAGCAGGATTCGAACCCACTTGTTCTCGTCGCCCACCGCACAAACGAGAACACAACCAGGCGCATTTGACCATTGCGCCATACGGCCAGAAATCTCCTGACGACTCGACTATTCAGTGATCCCTGGATCAGACCAAGCCCCAGCATCTGAGTGTCTTCTAGTTGACAGAAGCCTCTATCGTCCTTTGTGTTGACTTACCTCAGAACATAAACCCTATAGAACCCTTTAGCCTTATAGATTAGACGGCTCGTCACACTATTGACAGCCAATACTCCTTTTTGGGATCGCGTCTGACGGTCCAAGGACGATGGTTCAGGGCCAGGTGAAGCAATGTACTAAGTCAATCGCCGCGGTCATACTCCAAAAATCGAGGTTACCAACGCCGATTGCTACCCCCGATAGGGCCCAGAAAATCTGAAACAGATCCAAAATCAAGCGACACCCGTCTCTAAAGGGCTCCGTACCCGAGACAAGACCGCGGGTCGAGATTCTGGGGCCACGCTCATCGTGGTTTTCCAAAGCTGGTGCCACATTCAAGGCTTCCCTATAGGCCAAGACTTCGCTGTAGGAGAGCTCAAAACCGGGGGGCGAGACTCTGGGGCGCTCATGGTGGTTTTCCAAAGCTGGTACCACATTCAAGTCTTCGCTGTAGGAGAGCTCCAGACGGAATTTATTCCTGAGAGACTTCGATTGGCTATGGTAATGATTCCTGTACCCTTCCCATAGCTGGACAAAGAAGCTCAAGAACTCCGGACCATGATCACCCCATTTGAAACGGTGGTGGTGACGTATATCGTAGTGACGTTTGCATTCATAGTCGGAGTGTCCCGGGTAGGTGTAGCTCATGGGAATCCTATAGTGTTCAAGTTGCGGCCGCCAACGAAGCCAATGGAGCAGTCTCCCTTGTTTCTCGTTGTTGAACTCGGTCCACTGTCACCAGTATGATCGGCACTGCCGTATTCCGACGGAAGAAGATTGGAAGCCCTTCTGATATGTTCCTGGAGGAGTTCGACGTGCTTCTCACTCCCGAAGTCCCTCACATTAGCCCAGAGGTATATAAGAAGTGAAAGGCTGTATCGGTCGTCTCTAAGCTCTGGGAAGGATACGCCAATGTCGCCAATGAATGGACCAGGGCCAGGTTCAAAGTCTTCAGGCTTCGGTGCTGCGAGGTCCTCGGCGCCTGAATCTGCGCTCTTCTCCGGGCTCTTGTCATTGTTCTTGGGCTGGGACTCGAGGCTAGTTGGCGCTCATTTAGGCCTTTAATCTCCCTCAGTAAAGTGATTATTCCCGAAGTGATAGGGATTTGCGAACTTTGCTGAGTCGAGTTGTGAGAGGGATAGATAGCGTCTGCTGTGGTGCCCTGCAGATGCCCGGGCCTAGCGTGTCGGGGACTGACGCGTCCATGCTGTTTGCCATGCTGGGCGGCCCAGCCAAGCTCTCCGCCTCCCGTCCCGGTTCAGCGAGAGCAACCACCTCATCGTCAGGTTCTCTTGTCGTAATACCCACGTTGTCGGCCATGCCTGAGCGTTGGCCGACCTGTGATTCTGTTGCGGGGGGCAAATGGCTCGCTCGCGATGCCAGCGTTGTTGATGGATTTTTGGACTTGCACACACGGCTACTGGAACGATGTGTACACCAGAGGACTGAGGTCCACTGGGTCGCTTAGTCACTGGACAGGAGGTTTTTCTGACAGAATCGTGCTTGGGTATTGACTAAAAACCATCTGGACACTCCAGGTTGGTACCGCTACAGCGAGGATGGGCTCGTGCGCGGATCTGAATGTATCTAGACTGACACCTCTACAACCTTGCGATGCAACTACCGATGCGAAAAGCAAGTATGTGCACGTTGCGCCAGCGCAGTACACCAGGGGGATTGCGAAAAATCGATCCCAAAATGCGTCAACTGCAAGGGGCCTCATGCTGCTGACTTCGACAAATGCCCTGCACGCCCCAAGGTCGTGAAAGGTATCATCCATAAGCACACATGGGAGCAAATCCAGGAAATAAGGCTGGCCGGCAGCAAGCAGCTATTACTCTATTGACGAGAATATCAAGACTAGAGAGGAAAGAAAGAGAGAGAGAGAGATAGGTACAGTGGGAGGTTGCCCCTTTAAGGGGATCCTCTGGTCAGATCCTTCCCCTATTGGGAAGTATCCGCTTGTCATGTGGGAAGGTCTGTGCAGGCCGTCACAAAAGGGGCCTTTGATGCTGCCCTAATGGGACGGCTGGTGGTTTGCATGAGAGAACAGGGCTGGCCGGGCTTTCTCATAAGATGGGTCCAGTCATTCATGTCCGAGCGGTCTGCAAAGGTTCAGTTTGAAGGTATCGTGACCGATATTGAAGATCTCACTTGTGGGCTACCACAAGGCTCACCAGCCTCTCCAATCCTTTACATGCTGTATACAGAGCCAATCTGTGCCCGACTTGGTATGAAAAAGAGACGATTTGGATATACAGACGACCTAGCGACTCTCTGCATTGGAAAGAACCTTGAGGAAACAGCTACAGAGGCTTCTGAAAATCTTCACTTGCTCAATCAATGGAGACATAACAACGCTATTGAATTTAACCCCGACAAAACTGAGATCATGCACTTCTCAAGGAAAAAGAACTCAAACAACCCTCCAGTTTGCCACGGGACAATGAACAAAATAGCCAAGGTTTCCATGCGATGGCTAGGTGTCTTTCTGGATAAGAAAATTAAACTTCAAAGATCATGTTTCTCACTGGGCCAAGAAAGCTAGTAAGGTAGCAAAACACTTTTAAGGACTATACAACACAGTTAAAGGACTTCCAGTAAAGTCAACCAAGAGGGCTGTGAAAGCTTGTGTTATTCCTATTCTCACACATGGCCTGGAGGCCTGGTACCCAGGAATCGAGAAAGCTGGGAGCTTAGGTGAGACATCAGCATGTCGCATTAAGGGGCTTCTTGGAACAATAGATGCCGTACTACGAACGGCGATCAGGGCTATCTTGCCAGTCTGGAAAACACACCCTGGACATATCTTACACTTTGAATCGCAGATTCCCCCAGCAGGAGTTCTTACAGAGTCAATAAGACGACGTCACGGCCTCCGACTAGGACGAATAGATCAGAGACACCCTCTGGTTGGCAGGCTCCAAATACAAGCTCGCAAGGATCCAACAAGGCTACAAAGGAGCTTCCAGCTAGTCCCTGACTTCCAGAGACCAATACTTACCAGGCCATCATGGAAGAAGCGCCCAATCCGCAAAGACAAAGACAAAGAAACAGAGCTCTTCAAGCAATGGTTACAAGAGAGAAACGTGAACACTGACCTTGTCATCTACTCAGATGGATCACAGTTGGATGACCAAGGCACAATCCGCACTGGATGGGGTTATACCATCAGGAAAGGCGGCACTACACAAGAAGTATACCGGAGAAGGGGCAGACTTCTACAAACAGAAGTAGTAGATGCTGAAGTCCATGGTGCTCTCCAAGGTCTTGCAGCAGCCAGGGCAATTGGACACGGAAAACAGCTATATGCCTGCCTGGACAACACGTCAGTGGTAGATGGGCTCAATGGGACTCCACCCGAGACATCATAAAACATTTTTCTACGATTTCAAGAACTTGCCACAGCACACACTCCTGGAGTGACCGTCAAATGGATTCCTGGACACAGAGATATTGATAGCAACGAAGCTGCCGACACACTAGCAAAAGAGGGTGCCATGCTGGAAACAGACACAATAAATTATCCTACAATCTCTTGGGTCAAGAGAGATCTCAAAAGACAGGGCAAGAAAGAGTTCAACCAATGGTGGAAAGACCAATCAGAATCTAGATATCAAGAAGTATACTCACATGCAATAACTGAAAGAGACCTTATATCTTTTAAGAAGAGTACTTTACACAGACTTCTAGCGGCCAGATCTGGACATGGCAACTTTGCCAGATACCATGAACGCTTTGGGCACACAGACTCAAATGATCACTGCAGCTGTGGTGAGAAGAAAACACCACAACATATTTTCTTTTGTAAGAGGCTGGGGAAAAATTGGCTACTGCCTAGGCATTCGCCTAGGGCAGCTTGTTTACAATACTTAAGGGAGAGGAGCACAGAATGGGCAAAATTCGTGGAGAAGAGCAAGTTCTTTTCAACAATCTGTCCCCGATAGATAGCCTTCCTTGAAGGACCAGATGGATGACCCCAAGGTCATACCGCCGCAACAACGGGGATGGGCCCGTGAGCGGGACTGACTGTACTTATTATCTTGAGGCCTCCACAACCCTGCGATGCAGAGGCTCTGGGAGGCGTGGTTTGCACTACTGAGGAGCTACCCCCACGTTAAAAACAAAACAAACAAACATTATCTTGATACCTCCACAACCCTGCGATGCAGAGGCTCTGGGAGGCGTGGTTTGCACTACTGAGGAGCGATCCCCCACGTTAAATACAATCAATCAATCAATCAATCAATCAACCTTGCGATGCAATGGCTCTGGGAGGCGTGGTTTGCCCTGTTGAGGGACTGCACCCACGATAAATAAATAAAATCAATTTGGACTTGCACACAATTGAAGTGCGGAGAAATCTGAAACGAGGATCGCGATCATGCACACGCATTGGCTCGTTTCCGCAACCAATCCGGCGTCAAATCACTTGCATATGGTAGCATCGGGTAGGACAGGTAATCCAGCTTATTAATTGCATTAATCGATCAAATTACCCCTGCCCCCCAACTTTGAGTAACACTGCGTGGATGTCGATGAGGTGCAATTGCCCCGTTTGAAGCAACGGTAAATGCATCAAATCAGAATAAGCACACCGGAATAAGCAGTTAGATCTTTATTAGCTACCCCTGACGCTTATTCCAGGGTGCTTATTCGGTTATTTCCAATTATCCTACTGGTTTGCTGGAATAGTTGACACGATGAACCATGTATCCTCGACGCCACCCGTCCCGATGATTCGTCCCGGTGTCTAGGGAATCTGTTCCTCAAGCTGAAGCTCACGCATTGTGGGCATCGGTGGACTAGTCTCGAGCCTGTTTAAGTCGTCGTATTCCAACACTTTTTCGAACCACTGATCGAGCGTCCAGCCTCGGTTGCTTTCGAAGACTTGCCTCGACATTCATCTTGTCCAACGGAAAGTTGCAATGGACGATGGACTCGTCGTTGATGATATCGCCGATGTCTTGGGGAAAGCCGTTGCCAAAACGCCAGCCCATAGTTATTCGATCATCCTCACTTGGCGTCGGATAGATCTTGCGGGAGAAGCATTCATCGAGTGCAGCTCGCCAAGTGGCACATCGTATGACTGTCTTCTGAAAGACATTGGAGCTATTATGGGGTATGGGGCCGCCATCGATGACCAGGCGAAACGAACCAGTAGGCATTCCCGCAGGAACGAGAGCCAAGGCTTCCGAGATTAAGTTAGGCAAATGATAAGCCGCCTTTACATGAGTCTCTTCGAGGAGAGCACCTACTGAGTTGGATGGGGAAGGAGAAGGGTCTTCCAAAGGTCCGCGCGGCGCTTGGCCGTATGGCGCAATGGTCAAATGCGCCTGGTTGTGTTCTCGTTTGTGCGGTGGGCGACGAGAACAAGTGGGTTCGAATCCTGCTATGGCCCCCTTCTGACCCGGCTTGTGCGAGTCAACAACCAGCACACGACAGTGGAGAGGCCCCTTATCGCAGAGCCTGATAACTAAATAGCTTGTCTCTATAATACCCATTCCTGCGAGATTTTTCCTCTTATGGTTTTCCTCGCCAGCAGATAACAAACACCTATTTCACCCATCAATGCGACATATATCGAACGGCTACTGGAACGATGTGTACACCAGAGGACTGAGGTTTACTGGGTCGCTTTGTCACTGGACAGGAGGTTTTTCTGACAGAATCGTGTTTGGGTATTGACTAAAACCATCTGGTCACTCTAGGTTGGTACCGCTACAGCGAGAATAGGCTCGTGCGCGGATCTGAATGTATCTAGACTGACACCTCTACAACCTTGCGATGCAATGGCCCTGGGAGGCGTGGTTTGCCCTATGGAGGGACTGCACCCACGATAAATACAATCAATCTGTTGGATCCATGCGATTCCAGACTGCAAACCATCTATACCAGGACCCACATGTATGATTAGATAAGATAAGATAGTGGATTGAGAGGGCACTTGGCCAGACCTTCGAGTCCAGCTAGATTCCTCTCAATCCAACCATCAGCAACATCATGACCTTGACCCCATACTCGAGTATTATGATTGATCGTTCAAGCCTGTTCCAACACAATCAATCAATCAATCAATCAATCAAGTCCGCGCGGCGCTTAATACGAAGCAGGGAGTTTTCACGACAGAACTTGATCAAACCAAGGGCGTGACGTTCTGGGGAAAACGAGGATGGATGATCTTCATGCACCAATATATCCCGGAGATGAAGGCGTGTGCTGGCTGGAATGGAGCGGAGGAAATGGATGACGGCGGCAATGGCTGAGAAGCGAACTTTGGATTTGTAGGATTCCCATGGCAGGGTTCGGAATACCCAATCGTGGGATGTTAACCCAACAATGTCATCAACACCGGAAGATCCATGTTTTGTGGGGATGTCCCAGCACTCAGGGATGCCAGAGAGGAGCTTCTCGAGCTGAGGCTTCGTGGGGAAAGGCTTGTCCGTTCGACGACCCTCCATCCTTGCCTGTGCGTAGTCGGCATCAGAGATGCGGGAAATAATGAGACGAAGCAGGTAGTCATAGGCCTCATCCTGCTGTCGCGCGGCCGTACCCATTCTAGCCGGCAAATCGCCCTCTGGGGGAGCGCTGGACAGAAGGTGCAGGAACTCTGGCTCTCGGCAGCCGGGATACCTATTAAGAACCATATTGCTAATTTCGCGAGTGATGAGGGATCTTAACTGGTCATAGATAAGATCAATCTTGTACCTCGCAACCTCGGCCCTAAAGGAATCGAAACGGCGTGCTCTACGAAACAAATCGTGAGAGAAAAGGGTGGTGAAAGTGACGGTGTTGAGGCGGAGAGCCAGGCCCTTCATCTCTTGACCGATCTGCCTGCATGTATACATGAGGGCGAGGTTTATGGATGATCCATCCGTGTTCGTTAGCCTGTTTGAGGGGAAGTCGTAGATGTAGCCTCCCGCGGCGCTGACATAGTGCTTGTAGACCATGTCCCGCAGTTCTCTGGGGAGAGCAGCGAAGCATGCGCTAGAAGCCATGTCGAGTGCTTGCACGGTGCTTTAGTCAGGGGCGTTGTGTCGACGAGAGCAAAGACCCAGTTGGTTGCCCATATATGTGGTGTTAGGTAAGTTTCGCAAGGAGCACTTTAGGTGGTCTCGTACTTCAGTCGCCTGAGATGATGTTGGGAAGATTGTGTGTGGTTCGTGGATAAAATTGTTGCACGATTTCCGTGCGAGGATCCGTCTTTATATAGGACTTGTGTGAGGGAGAAAGCAGGTGAATGTTTCGCTGAAGACATATTGGCGTTGAAGTTGAGGGAGAAAATGAATAAGGTTCAGCCATGAGCCAGCCACCAAAGAAAACGAAAATTAGTTAATTTGCTCAAGGTTACGGCAGAGCCTGAATTGGTTCCAGATCAATACCATCTCTCAATCTGCTAAGGTGGGAACATAAAGTTACACTGAACCCTCATAAGTCTCCGTACACCTCCCGTCCAGGAAATAACGATAAGTTTATCAAATCGGAATAAGCACCACGTAATAAGCGATGCAAAGAACATATCAAGCCAGAGCTGCTTATTCCTGTATGTTTATTCTAATATTTCCAACTATCCTACTGGTAATGGAGTCTTGCCAACATGGCACGCACACAGACTTCTGAGGGCTGAGTGTAGCAATCTTTTTGTTAATGTTCCCTTTAAGCCCTGCGATCTATTTTTGTTCTTCAAGCGTCGCATTTGGCCTCGCGGTTGTAAACCTTTATTCCTTGCTTCTTATAGCGTTTCGACTTTTCCGTCAGACTCTTTGTTGGTTTTTTCGAGTTTACTAATTTGGTCGAGCGCAGAGGCGCGTTGTTCTGTGAGGTCCTTGGTCTCTTCCTTAAGCAGGGCGATCATCTCGCGCTGGTGTGTATCGCTGCCTCCTTCTTCCGCTGTTTGCTCTAGCTTCCCGATAACGTCAGATTCCCTGTTGGCGGTCTCGAGTTATCCAATCCGCTCGAGCGCGGAGTTGCGACGCCTCCAAGCTGCAGTACATGTACCGCCGCTCGTTGGCCGCCAGCTGGGCATGCTAACCAGGCGAGTTGCCCGCCGATGAGTGCATCGAGGACATCTTCTCGGGCGGCAGCGGCTGGCGCGAGAAGTATCGCGGGACCAGCGGCGGCTCGGGACGCAAATGTCTCGGGGATCGCATGACGCTACCGCCTCTTTGGACAACAACATTAGCAGCGGAAGCGGTGACGAAGCCTTCGTGGGCGGAAAATTCAAAACACTACTGCCCAGTGACATGCGGCGCATGTGTACCCATCAGCGCTCGTGCAGCAAGCGCCAATGATAGGAGCACGAGAACACTAACTTGTAAGTAACAGTGTTGGGCGGTGGGTTGTTGTAATGTGTAGTAGGTACCTACTTTGCACAGATAACTTAACCCCTATGTCTCGCTGGCAATATACAAATCTAGTTAACCTCCAGTATATCGGGCTTTCTATCTGGCAATATCATCTTGTCTAACCGTAGGCACGCCAGCCGGGACTGGTAAGGCCGATTTTCTTTAGTCAGAATCATAGTCAGGCCTCTTAGGAAAGCACCGAATAATGCCGTCAATCTTCTTGAAGCCACAGTAACCCTTGTTCTTGCCCTTGCCCATATAGCACTCTCGCGAAAACCCGTTTTGAAACTCGCAATGGTTATCGTCTATGCATTTCTTTTTTTAGAACTCCAGTTTGTTTGTTTGTTTGTTTGTTTTGTATTTAACGTGGGGGGTAGCTCCTCAGTAGTGCAGACCACGCCTCCCAGAGCCTCTGCATCGCAGGGTTGTGGAGGTCTCAAGAAAATAAGTACAGTCAGTCCCGCTCACGGGCCCATCCCCGTTGTTGCGGCGGTATGACCTTGGGGTCATCCATCTGGTCCTTCAAGAACAGCTATCTATCTTTTAGAACTCCAGATTAGCTAGCTAGCCTTGGGGCGTGTTGCCGACATTGAAACCCATCAAACCAAACCCTGTAACTTACACCTATCTCGTCAAGTTCTAAGATGGCCTGTTCAACAACCGAGCTTATAGACCCTTCGTCGTCGGAGTCGTCACTCTGTTCGCCGAGGTCGCGGAGAAGATTGGGATCTGATGCCGATCGTTCGCGGGGGGTTTGCCTGGCGGCAGCGTAGCCGGCCAGCGCGGCGAGGGTGAGGAGTTGCGATAGCTACATGTTGGTTGGTTAGTTGTACTTTCGGGTGGAAGGGGCCCAAGAGATGTCGCATCAGGTAATTTAATTTATTATCTTATTCACATACATTGTTACCTTACTCGCCACCCATCCCAGCATCGGTGTGCCTAGCCTCGACACCGTCTTCGACGATAACAATTTAGCAGTTTCGACCGAGTTGACTTGAGAGATCAGGACTTTCGATTCAATACATAGTCCCAAGGTTTGACTTCGGTACCCCATGGGGACTTGGTAGAAATTCCTACCTTGCTAGTTTATCTGGGGGAAAATCCTAATGCTTTCTCCGGAACCGAAGATAGAATCTCTCCCATGGAGTCCCACAGAAAAAATCGGCGCGGATCTGCCGCTCTTTAGTTGTCTTTCCGGTGTTGCACAACTTAACGTGAATGCGACCATTTACAAGTGTCTATTGCTTCGCTTTCCTCTTTTAAGTTTGGAAAGTGCTTTGAAATCTCCTAGGTTGGGGATTTCTTTACCTAAGATAACAAGACGGTGGAGTGTCACTGCGCTAGGCCTATATCTTATGTAAATACATATCCCTGTATCCATAGCTGCTATGCATCTGCTGTTATGCATCTATCCGAAGCCGATAATGGAGTGGATCGTGGCATTACATTTCCTTGATGCTCGGCTTGCTTCCGCTGTATTCAACGAGAACATCACTCCACCAACCAATAGAGGAGCAAAGCCCATCAAGCCCAGGGCAAACGATGTCGCCACACCTCTACCTCTAGGGCCTGATGCTTACCGACCGCCTGCCTCGGTAGCGCTCCTGAGAACCACACCGTCGCGAAAATGCCACCACCCAATACTCCAGAGGAAGGACTGGTCGCGACGACCACCCTAGCCCTCCGACCTTTCGTCCGCGGGGAGCCAGCGTCCTCGGCAGTCGACCTCCGAGCGCTCGAGTACGAAGGCATTGTCGACGAGAACCTCATATGCCCGATATGCCGCGTTGCGTTTGTGGCGCCAATCATAACGGCATGCGACCATGTCTTCTGCCACAAGTGTATCGTCCAGGCCCACGCCTTGAATCCTGTCTGCCCCGTCGACCGCCTTCCGCTGAAGCTAGCTTCCGAGACACAAACCGCGCCCAAGATCGTCCACAATCAGCTTGATAACCTCATGGTCAGGTGCCCCAATAAGTCGCGTGGATGCAGCCTCGTAGTTGCGAGGTCCTTGGTGGACAACCATGTCATTCGATATTGCGACAAAACACTCATACCTTGTCCTCACCCATCTTGCGAGCAGTCCGTTGCTCGCAAGGATTCAGGGAAAGGTTGTCTACATTACGATGCCAAGTGCGAGTACTGCGAGCAGGTACATCAGAAGGCGGACTTGAAGGATCACCAGGACAGCCAATGTCGAAACAGAAAGAAGAACTGTGGCCTATGCAAAGTTGAAGTCGTCCGACACAAGCAAGATGAGCATATGAAGGAATGCCCCGAAGCGGAAACGCCATGTCGCTTTGCACCATTTGGCTGTACACGCCAGATGAGTCGGAAACATCTGGAAGTTCACGCACGAGCTTGCGAATACAGGGTCGTAGGCCCTATGGGTGAGCAACTGGCCGAACTGCGAGCGGAACTTGGGGTCCTCCAGGAGAAAGACCGCCTAAAGGATCGGCGGATTAAGTTCCTTGAGAACAAGGGGTTTCCAATGCCTTCGACGAGCTCTACCGACACAATGGGAGATATGAGCCTCTCCGAGACACCAGCCAACACAGAAAATGCCCCTTACGAATCCCGAGATCAATACTTTCTGTCTCTCTTCGAAACAATGGAGTCGAAAGTCGAACGACTGTCCTCTGCTCTTAATGAGGTGGAGGGTCGGCATTCGATGATGCTGTTCAACGAGACACTGCCGATTAAAGATCAGCTCACCGAAATTCGCAGCACTATGGGTGTTCTGGGGATGCACGTGCGATGGTTGATGAACTTTCGGCTACAGGAACGCGGAAGAGTTGGAACAGGCTCTCCCAACGTTCCTGGTTCTTTGACGCAAGAGAACAGTAATGGCTCAAGTCTGCCCCGCCGTTTAAGCGATACCTTACGAGAGAATCCACCGCGCTTATGATTGAGGACCACATTCTAGAAACCGCTCAGCCTCGGAGAGCAACATTTCAGCTTGCCGACCACGTTTGTTTGGTGATACATACGTATACGGTCGTATGCAAAAGCATGAATTAATCCGGGACCGCTCTGGGTATGACGACTTCGCGCAGAATCTCATTCGACCGTTCGAAGTTGTACGGCTTTCCGAGTCGAGCATCTACGCTATCCAGAGGGCGGACGCCCATACGACCCTTTCTGGTTATGGGAAGCTCACTACAGCGCCCCTCCTGAATCGACACCTCTTACGCATCTGCACAATGGAGTACTTAGGAACGAGTTCGCCAGGGTCGGATACCATATGCTCCATGTTTTCTGGTACTGCCCTTTCACTACTGTGGCTGCTTGAACGCGTATGCACACCGCTACGACCTTTTCCTGCAAAGCCGGTTAGAAGTCCCAGACTCGTAAGGCCTTATTAAGGAAGCACGTTGGGTACCAACGAGGACCCCCTCAACTCCCCTTATCCATTCACTGCTTGCCATGGCGGGTAGTGGTGTCATAACTCTACAGCCTTGCTGCAATTGGATATCGGCATGAGAGTAGGGGGCTGTGAAGGGCCTGGGTTCGGCAAGAAGAGGAGTCTGACTGCTACCCCTTGACATACAATGAGGCTATTTCCCGCTTCCGAGATATATTATCTCAAGCAATACATATCTGAGCAATCTTGAAAACTCATCCTTCATGGCGAGCGACCAACGGCCGCGTCGATATTCGAACCACAGTTCCCCGAGCAGCGATATAGATACACCCATCCCCATCCGTCCCATGAGATACATCGCCTTCCAGTGCCTCTACATAGACAAAGGCAACCTTCGCTTCTTCTTGTAGCGTAGTTATCTCTTGGTCAGTGAGTCTTTCCACTTCGCAGTGGATCCTCTTCTGATGGACGTTCGGCATCTTCGCATCTGGGCTACCAGCATACTCTACTTGGATTTCCAAGGCCCCTACCAACTGAAGAGGTGAGGACTCTCCGCGTATGAGCTCATGGAATGCGGTCATAGCCTGGTCGTGTGTCGGGTTGCTCGAGAGGGGTCTCCCGGACGAAGAGAGGTCTGAAGTATTCGACAACGCGGTATTGTTGTCGGCTTCCACTGCAGCAGCAGAAACCTCTGGGCTTCCTGCGGTTCCCTTCTCCGAAGTCTCATATAACTGCTTCTCTTCCGCACAGGGGAGCTTGGTGCCCCCTGTGTCATTCGTAGCAGGAGTTCCCTTTTCCTCATCCATACCGGGGACCGTTTCGGATGTGACCATATCCGGTAGAGTCGAGTTCGACCAGCGTCGCGTGGAGACGGTACTCTCATTCGGGTCAGGATAATTGGTCTTCTTTCGTCTTTCTGAGAAACTTCTCAGACTCTCTTCTACTTGGTTCCTGAGTCGAAGGTTGAAATTCGCCCATATTCCATCGAACTGAGGCCCCGGAAGCAGTGGCAGCCGCCATCCAGGATACAGTCTTCCATGCGATCTTGGCATGTATATCTTGCCGTACGAAAGGATGAAAGCATTGCATAACCAGCAAGCGTCCTTGCTTGAGCAGACGACACGAGGTCGCAGCTGAGTGTCGCTCTTCTTCAGCTCAAGGTAATAAATGAGCTGGACCTCGGCGTGGATCTTGCCTTCCCTCAAAGTGCGCTGTGTTTGAGCTGCGATTCGTTTGTTCGCATGTTCTTCTGTCGTTCCCATAAGGCCACAGATACGCGACAGGTCCTTCTGGTCGGGTCTCAAGCCCCAAAGTTGTGACACTATGGATTGAAGACTCGACCGGTGATCCCCGATCAATACTCTGTCGAATGACTCCTTCGGCAATTCTACCAGGTGTATGCTCATTGCTCGAGCCGCCGGAAACTTCTTTGCCGTGCGATACAATACTCTGGCAGCTTCGCGATACCGTGCTACCTTCTTGATGGTGTTCCTGAGGTTGTGCCTCGAGGATGGGACCATTACGGCGTTGGGTATCAGATCGAGAAGTGCGCCAATACTGCCCACCCGTCGAAGCGCGTGAATGCTGTCCACGAGCTCTTCCAATTCTCGGTGTGTTTGATGCTTAGACCATGAATCGAAGAGGTTCACGACCTCCTTGGCCTTGCCCACAAAGGAGACCGCATCGGAAATGCACAGATCGTCTCTCAGATCATCCTTCTTGATCTGCTTGAGATGCGCTATTGCTATCTGGAGAGCTTCTGAGATAGATTGCTTCTTTTGGTTGTGGTAGTTCTGGGAAAGGCGAAGGCGGCATAGTATACGAACTGAACGCATGGATACAATGGCCTTGAAAACCTCCCCCTCGACATCGGCTGAATTGTCTGATCGCCGGGTCAGTCTAGACCACCATGGCAGCATAGAAGGATACAGGGTTTCCATACCATCCGCATTACTGACGAGAGAGAAGATACCCTCAAAACCCTTCTTCAACTCTTGAAGTATGTGTTCCCCATCATCTGGAGAGGCCTTGTTCACGGCAATCAGCACGCTCAAGTGCCCAGCCTTCGGAGCCTCCTCGATGCCAATGGCAGGGATATGATGTGGACCGTCGCTGATAGATGACAGGAAAGCTAGCGAACTGGCGAGTAGACGCTCCCTTTCGAAAGGCAGACTGTAACCATTCGCGATGCTTCCTGTAGTAGATACCTCGAGGTTGGACGACGGCTGAACTGGCACAGCCCTTGGCGATGCTCCGGTGGCGTGTATGAAATGCAGAGCGGCGATACTTTCAGCACATGTGATGTAAGGGACAGATGAATTAACGTTATTAGGTGCCATGATGTAAGGTCACTACTGTGCTAGCGACCGCAAACCAACAGCTCATGGTCTCTGGATCTTGCTTTAGGGAGTCCAGCATCATCTTACAGCGGAGAGAAAGAGAGAGACATGCATTGTGAGTTCGAGTCCGTTTGTCTTGTGATGCGATGGTAGAGTAGTATTTGGATGGGCGGCCTCGTGCATAATGATGAGTCCCCGTCTCTGATTGATTGGCTGGATGCAGTGAAGATGCAGGCACTCCGCGGTTGGCTACTTGACCTCACGGTTGGCTGCAAAACCCGACCGTGACGCATGCTCCCATACTCCTGAATATCTACACTGCGCCCGCTAGAGAAATAACGTTTCGTCTATACCTCTCCCTGATATCCAACTTGATCATCACGTCATCTCCCGTGTAAGTTGCGTGTATGAGGCTAAGAAACGCATATCCAATCTGTCATTTGGGGCTCCAGGCTATCATTGTCTTCTCTTTATGGATAGTTTATATCCCAGAGGTGGTGGAGAGACGTAACTGAACCACTACAGGCACATCATGTCAGCTTCTGATACTGCTGCTGTTGAAAGAAAAGGAATGAGACAAGATGTAGCGTTGGCCTATTCAAACGATCGCATTGCTGATGTGACGAAAGGTTGTGCTGGGCTGGAAGGACCCGACTGTATGGGAGGTGGGGGCTGTCCCAAATTCAGGGGCTACTCACAGGATTCTGCGGCCGAGGCTTCGTGTCGGGCTTGATATCGTACCGGAGCACGATCTGCGACAAGAGCAACTTGAGCAGATGATTGGCAAAGAACCGACCAGCACTACTCAGAGTCAGCAAAGCGATGTCCCATCCCAACCGTGCACGAAAGGACCTACCAAGAAAACTTGCCATGGCTGAAAGCCAAGTAGTTCTCGTTCGTCGACGCGAACCTGAGACCCGTCGTCGTCTTCTCCCCGTCCTTCTCGTCCACGAATCGGAACGGGTCGTACTTGAACGGCGACTCTCCTGGGTATACTTCTTCGTCGTGGTGGACGCCATAGCTGCCGATGCCGACCTTGGCGCCGTAGGGGATGTGCTCGCCCGTCGGGAGGTCGACGCCCTCCTTGGCTACGACGACCTTGATGACCCCGTGCGCGAACCCCCACAGGCGCAGGCTCTCGGTGAGCACACTGTCCATCTTAGGCAGCTTCGCCACCTCCGACCGGGTCCAGCGCACCGACGACTCGGCGCCGTCGGCCGCCGCGGCTTCCTCGCGCAGCTGGTTCTGGATTTCGGCGCTGTTGGGCGCATGGGCAATGTCGATCAGGGTGTTCTCGATGGTGATGCCCTGGACCTGGATAGCCGCCCAGTTGAGAATGGCCAGCAGCTTGGTGCTGTGGCTCTGGGAGCGGCACGGGTCCTCGTTGCGGCGGTAACCCTCCCGCATGAGGCGCGACAGGAGGTCATTCTCTGCATCGGGGTCCTGCTTACCCTCGGCCATGGCCATGGGGCTGGATCGGCTGGCCCGCTCGCGAATGACGGGGTTCACGCAGCGGTCCATACGCTTGAACTGGATCCAGTCGTACTGCGCGAGCAGGGGTCCGAGGAGAGGCCGGAGGGGGTTCGGTGTGAGCTGCGCGAGAAGCGCCTCGACGAGGATGAACTTGGCGAAGCGGGTCGAGCTGGCGAGGTAGGCCGGGTCCCGGCAGAGCGGCAGTCCGACGTACACGCGGCTGACGATGCGGCTCATCATCACCAGGCACACGTCGAGGAGATCGACCTCCTTCCAGTTCTGCGTGTCGTTGCCCCAGAGGTCCTCGAGGGCGGCTTGGATCTCCTCGAGGACGTCGTTGGTCTTGTTGTTGAGCTCCTTGGTGATGTCCTTGATGAGGTTCACGACGAAGGTCCATTCGCTGTCCTCGGCGGCGACGCAGTTGAGAAAGGTGTGTTTGGCTGCGAGGAACTCGTTGTTGCTCTCGCGTTGGCTGAGCACGCTTGCTGGCTGCTTCATCAACCATGGCAGATGCTCTGATGGTATGATGACCTGGTGTCCCGTGAAGACATCAGGGAGAATATATGGGCGCCCCTTCTTGGAGAACTGTGGAACGTGTCAGTCTTCTAATACGATGATGAGTGAGGTGGAGGATATCTCTGCTCTTACGTCTCGATGTCCGGCCCAGAGGAGAGCATCGACGCCAAAGACTGACCGCAGGGAAGCCCGGCCTCGGGATAGAAAAGAACCATCCGAGGTTGCGAAAGCCAGACTGTCTGGAATACCTTGATAGGAGAAGACACGGTACCATACGTAGTATATGGTACCAAAGAAGGCGGTTAGTGCCAACAACGGCAGCAGGGGCGAAAGAAACATAGCCATGGTGAAACAACAGGTCATGAACAAGCGTAATATTTGGTTTCAAAATTCAAGCGTGTGTTATGCCCCGGAAAGAGAGAAGGTAGCTCTTATCTTATAGACTCTGCTTCGACAATGCCCACTTCCACATAGTGAGTCATCTTTGAGTGTCTCCCCTTTACGTTACCTATTGTGAGTGAGGTTCGGCCCCAAAATGTGCCCAGCCCCAGCTTGTTGGTGGCAGGCATGCGGCGAAGGCCTCACAGCCATTGTGAGCATTGTGCTGAGCGCACCGTTGCGGCACATACCCCGAGGTACGTTGCTATTGGCCTTGAAGAACCAACGCGGACATAATTCCTACTTGCAGAAATAATCCCTAGTTCAGGATTCAGCTAAGAGCGCTGATGTCCCGTGCGTGTGGCTATTCCAGGAGCTTATCTAAGAACCGCTCGGCGGTCAGAACCATTCATAAGCGTTCAGGGGTTGTAATATTAGTATCATCTGCGGGGCATATCTGAGGTATGTATCGAACTATGGCCATGTTGTCGTACGGTGACCTATATCTGACTTCGGTCAGCCTTGGGTGGTGCCCCTCTTGGGGTCACTAGGCTGCCACAAGGCTGGGCAGTTGCATGCAGTGCACTTTGTCAGCTTACTATATTGCATGCAGCTCGGTGTCAGAAGTGAAGGGCAACCACGGTCCGTTCTATAGCGCTCCACGCAGATAGGAACATCTCAAACTTCCCCATGGCCTTGTGGATCATCGGCGGTCAACCTCGGTAGCGCAGAGCTATACATCCCCATCAAGTCGTGTGTGGAAGAGCGGGAACAGGTCGTTGAGCTGAAAGATAAGCATGGGGAAGTGGCTTGGGGTGGCGCACTCTTGTCAGCAGTATATGTAGCATTGCGCCGCATGACTACCTAACCTTGGAGTTCTGGACTTGAGGGTATCGTCAGATTCCTGATTGCTCAGCTCGGCCGCCGCTGGGTTGCAAGCACCAATAAGCTGGGTGGGTTGAGTGTGTTGATGCTGGGCTGTACTATAGTCTATAGACCCACTCCCCCTAACTGGACCCTGACTGGACCCTGGCGTGCACCCTTTTCTCGCGATAGGCCGATCTCTTGGCCCGTTCCGACGGGCCTGAATGTGTGGGGCCCGATAGTGCAGTCCCCGGCCTGCTCCTCGCCATGTCGGCCGAGAGGTGACTCAGCCCCTGCGAAGGATTCGGGACGCGGCATTATGAGACTGTAGAAATATTCCCCCAATAGGTCGACTGTTATGTAAAGCTGAGCCCGCATATTCAACGGCGTAGGGCTGACGCCGGACCTCCGAGGCATGAGCCGCCCCACATCAGACCGAGGCTTGAACTCCACTTTCTGAAAAGGGGGGTCCCTTCTGAATATCCGATGGCTTCCACTTATGATAATCGCCTGCCTCGCCTGCTTCGTGCTTCCCCCGCCACGTATGGGAGCACCCGTTGGTCCCAGTCTTGGGGCTGACATGTGAGAGTAGATGGAGCACTAAATCGCGCACACCACGATTGGGGAGCGTATGAGGGGCGCTTACGCAGGGTGGTAAGCCGCTCCCGGGGCCCGAATTTCCGGACGAGGCGCGCCTTGAGCCTGCTATCCAGGAAAATATTGTCAACCATCGCCTAGTGCTTAGAAGTCCACACTTTCCGTGGCTTACGCGTGCTGCAGAGCGAGCGAAGGGCGCTGTGCCGCAAGGAAGAAGCCAGTAGCTATGGAAAGCGAGTGACTCATGGCCAAGCGCTACACAGAAGAGCTTGATGTTACATTGTCTTTCTAGGACTCTTTGAAACCGCCTGCATTCCCTCGGTATATGCTGATCCTATCGTGAATGACGCAGGCCACACATTCTCTTCTCTCGCTAACGATACAGTGAAGCGTACGAATACGGTTATGCGAGGTATTCATAGGCCCATTGGCAATGTGACATTGTTTGCCCTCACCACACATTGTCACCTTTCAGCAGAATCTCAAAGGACCCCATGGACGGCACTCTTAAAGATAAGCACTAGAAAAAGATGACTACCCAAGTTGTATCAAGTTCCCCTGTATCTGAGATACCAACGCTCACGACGAAGGGTTATACCGCGTACCTCACTACTGATCGTGAGATCACGATACCAACGCCAAAACCAGCATCGACGATCATGGCAGCAACTATACTACCGCTTGTTCCAGCGGCTAACAGACTGGTGCAGGATGTGATCAGAGACCAGGCTATGGCCCGCCCTTATGCACCAGCGATATGCTCAGCAAATGTCTATCTCACATACCAAGAACTTGACCAGCTCTCTTCACGGCTCGCCACGCATATTGGGACGTTCTGGATAAGGCCTGACTCCATCGTGCCGATCATATTTGATAAAGTGAGTACTCATATCTCCAAAAATACCGGTTTTCACGCCCCTAGGCGCGGGATGGTTTCGAAGAACTGTCTTAGATAGTACCCACGTCGGTTATAATCCAGCTAATCAGTGTTTTCGAAGTCCGCAACCACAATTATCGCAATGCTAGCGGTACTGAAGGCAGGTGGTGCCTTCACTGCGCTGGATATCTCGCACCCAGACGAGAGATTGTCGGAAATCATCAAGAGCACCAAGGCCTCTGTTCTCTTGGCATCTCCAGCTCAGGCTTCGCGGTTCTCAGGAATACCAGGCCTTTCAGTCATCGAGGTGTCCAATGATATGCTGGCAAGCTTGACTGCACCCCAAGAACCGCCGGCAGCCCGTCTAGACGCCTCGCCTGAGAATCTGATGTACGTCATCTTCACCTCCGGCAGCACCGGTCGACCAAAAGGCGTTATGATAGAACATCGCGCCTGGTTGAATAGTGCCCTCGCATACGGCTCAGATCAAGGCCTCAGTCCCCAGTCGAGGGTTCTGCAATTTGCATCTTACGCCTTCGACATGTCTCTTATGGAGATATTCACGACGCTGATCTTCGGTGGCTGTGTGTGCGTTCCAGCCGATGAGGACCGATTCGGCAAGATCGAGGACTTCGTCAACAAGACTGGCGTGAACACGCTGATGCTGACGCCTTCCTACGCGAAGCTTTTGGATCCCGCCACGATGCCCAGCGTGCACACGTTCATTACCGGCGGCGAGGCCGTGCCGAGCGACTTGCTCGAAAAATGGAACCTTCTGGTCGAGGTTTACATTGCCTACGGCCCCACTGAAGCTTCCATCCAGGCCGCAGGGGCGAAGCTTGAAATTGGAAGTTCCGTAGCCCCTTCGGGATTGGTCGGGCATTCCACGGGCTGTAACCTGTGGATCGTGAGCGAAGAGAACCACGACGAGCTTGTTTCCCAGGGCGAGACAGGAGAGTTGCTCATCGAGGGACATACGCTTGCCAGGGGCTATCTGGACGACGAGGAAAAGACAAATGCCGCTTTCGTTGATGTCCAAGTTGGGTCCAATACTCGGCGGATGTTCAAGACCGGCGACCTGGTCCGTCAGATGGCGGACGGCAACATCGTATTCGTCGGTCGCAAGGACACGCAAGTCAAGGTGCAGGGCCAACGTTTTGAACTCACCGAGATCGAAGCAAGGCTAGCTCCTATTCTTCCTCCTGGATCCAAGGTCTGTGTTGACAAAGTTGAAAGCCCTGCGTCGCCCAGCCAAGCTTTTCTGGTGGCTTTTGTCAGCACCTCGATGAAATTGTCGGACGACGAGCAGTCAGAGATCTGCTGGCGTCACGTCGAGGAGACCAGAGAACAGGTCCCCGAAATCATGGCGAGCTTGGCGAAAGTGCTCCATGCGCCCATGATACCGTCTGTATACGTGCCGGTGACGTTTATACCTTTGACGACATCCCACAAGACGGATCGCAAGTCGTTGCGAGGGCTGGTAGAACGTTTGAGCTTCAATGACCTGGAGAAGCTTCGAAAGCCGAATGAAACGGGAGGCGAGACAAGAACATTGTCATCCAGTGAACTCACTTTGCGTGAGCTATGGGCGCTCGTCCTCAACAGGAGACCAGAGACAATTGGGCCAGATGACAATTTCATCCAACTAGGAGGTGATTCAGTCACAAGCATCAAACTCATCTCTGTCGCGCGCAATCAGGGGATCACTCTCACATCGGCAACAGTTCTCTCAACCCCAGTCTTGAGTGAGCAAGCTCAGAAACTGTCTATGTCCAACGGTTCGGGACAGCAGAAGAGCATCCAGCCATTTGGGCTGCTAGAAGGCCGCGCGGATGAGCTTCGCGGAACAGCGGTCGCTATCTGCAGACTACCTCCTGAAAATATAGAAGATGTGTTACCCATGACACTCAGTCAGATGCGGTGGTATGGCAAGACCTTGGTGAAGCCTACTGCCTGGCTTGACCAATACCACTTCACACTCCCCGAAGACGTGGACCTCGCGCGATTTAATTCGGCTCTGAACAGCGCCATTCAAGCTGCGGAGCTCCTACGGGCGAGGGTCATTGCCACTAGCGACAGGAAGCTCTTCCAAACCATCGCCAAACATCACCCAGTCGAAGTGGTGGAGGTCCAGGATAGCTTGGAGGCTTACCTGAGTCGAGATCTCGAAACCCCAATGGGCCTTGGAGCGCCGCTCAGTCGATATGCTCACGTCAAAACGCCCGACTCGGCGAAGGTGTTCGTCTGGACGATTCACCATGCCATTTATGACGGCTACTCTCTTCCCATGCTTCTTCAGTTCATCGAAGACTCGTACCAGGGGCTCAAACCAGCATCATTTACCCCTTTCAGCCATTATCTACAAGGACCGAGCGAAGATGAGCTCGTTGAGGGCGAGGCCTTTTGGAAACAATACCTGTCCGAGACATCTTGGACCAAGTTCCCGGCCCTGCCGCCTCCTGGGGAAAAGTCCGCACCATCTATGGACAGACTCTTGAGGACCTTTTCGCTCATCTCTAGAGAACAACCAGACAGCACAGCAGAAGGCACAGCGTCAATAACCACCGCAAACGTGATTCGTGTCGCATATGCTGCTACGCTTTCCCACTATGCCGAAGCACAAGACACTCCTGTGCTCTTCCTCGAGTCTCTCGGCGGCCGAAATTCAACTCTAGCAGGCATCGATCGCGTCGCCGGACCGACGCTCCTCACCATCCCCACAAGACTACACCTCGCCAGCTCAAAGTCCTGCGGCGAGGTCCTATCCGAAGCGCAGACATCGCTAGTAGCGCGCATGAAATACGAGAACTTCCCGCTCCTCCGTCTGCTGCCCCTGGCGCCCGCCCTGGAGCTGCGCAACGTGCTGATGATTGAGGACGAGGCGTTCCTGATCAACGGTGCCGGCGAGGGCTTGTTTGGCCGTGGGAACGAGGAGTTGAAGCTGGATGAGACGGAGGGGCTGCCTATGATCTTCCGGTGCACCATTCATCGGGGTGCGGTTGATGTTGATATTCGGTATGATGAGCAGGTGCTTACGCGGGCGGAGGTGGAAGCTTTATTGGAGACATTTCGGAGGGTCTTTGAAGAGCTCTGGCTGGGAGACAGGAGTCGGTCTTTTGACAGTGTGCTTCAATGACGATCCCGTTTGGCTAGTACGAGAGCGAACGGTTGATATTCGACCCCAAGTAGTAGACCCGATTATGTCTGAATATTACACAATTTCTTAACTATATTATTCTGTAACCCAGTTGATATGAACCGGTCACTGAGCTGCGCTATTGAAGAGTAACCTCGAGTCCATGGAAGCCCGAAGCTTCTCTCGCTCAGACCCAGCGTCGGACGGGGCGCACTGGGTAAGCGACAACTTTGTTTAGGTCCCTACTATGTATTGCATAGAATATAAAATACGCAAGAAACGGACAATGCGCTTATACGTGACAATAATAAAACCGATGTTATCTATTCCACGACATCTTGTGCACGATCTGCCTAGGCACAGTACAGGCAAGGATTCATGCAAGAGACGCCGGGCCTTTGGAGGGACTTTTGCATTATGCGGTGAAGGTTCTGCTGACACGGAAATGCGCCCTATTAAGGCTTAGCCCTATCAGCCGTTGCAACGCCTCTATATTGGGTGAATATAGCATTCTGCGTTAGCTACTGGCTGGGTGGGTATGTCAGCTTACCAACATATGGCCGGACCTAGGGCTGGACCTGCAGCTACGCCCCATGACGGCGGTTGAGGCATTCTTGCCTCTTTGGGACGCCTGGGTGCCAGTAGCCAAGTTCACTCTGTCAATGGTCAGCGCACGATGAATGTTTCGAACCTGAGTCATTCATGCGTAACCACTTATCCGGCAATCTGAACTTCAAGCTTCTTACATTTGTCCGCGTTGGAACTTAGGGCTGAACATCGAGCTACACGTACGTGGCTTTCTGCAGTAAACATGGACTCGGCGACGATAGGCCGGGCCTCAAAGGCCCTCGTGTATGCTGTAGGCATGTTCGCGATAGGCGCCTTTGTGAGATTCGTCTATCGCGGATACAAGGTCAGGATGAGAATCCAGAGCCTACGAGCGCAAGGGATCGTACGTGACTAGAAACCACCTCACTTGACCCTGATGGAAGCTGATTAATTGATAGCCGACCCTTCCACACTCGCTCATTTTCGGACACATACTCATACTCTTGAAGTTCCACAAGGAGTATCCTGGTGACGTTCACTTTGGCATTATCTTGAGCTGGCTGGTGGACAACTGCAAGAAATGGATCCCAGACCTGGACGATACGCCACCGGTCCTGTATCTGGACATCTGGCCCATCTTCCCAGACATCATGATGATGGTTCTCGACTGCAACCTGTCGGCGCAGTTCACCCAGATCAGGAGCCTGCCAAAACACCCTATAACCCGCACATTCCTCGAGCCCCTGACCGACAACCTCGACATGACATCGGCGGACGGCGCGCAGTCCAAGGTTTGGCGGTCACGGTTCAACCCGAGCTTCAGCCCGCGGAACATCACCCGGGTCATCCCAGAGCTCATTGACGAGATTCTTGTCTTCAAAGAACTGCTGGGAGAACTGGCCGGCTCTGAGGAATCATGGGGTGAGGTTTTTCAGATGGAGGAGCTCACTACGAATCTGACATTTGATGTTATTCTTCGCGCGACCTTGTAAGTATCAAATTCTGGTGTCAAAATCCGGTCCCTTCACTTACAAGTCACACAGGGACGAACGACTGCACGAGCAGACGAACCCGGGAGGCAGTCCTCTCAAACGTGCTCTCATCATTCAGATTCAGCTCATGAGCAAAGTGATCGGCATAAATCGCATTCTCGGCATCAAGAGATGGCCATGGGAGATGTGGAGCAGACATCGCAACAACCAAGCCCTGCGATATGCTCTCCTGGGCCGCGTGGAAGCAGTCATAAAATCAGGTCTCGTCGCGGAACCAATCACCGAAAAACAGAACATACTAAACATCGCCCTCGCCCGTACGCTCAAGGAGACGGGCGGGCGGGCTCCCGACCAGCAGTCCGTCGACGCCATCCTGGCCAACCTGAAGCTCTTCCTGTTCGCGGGCCACGACACGACCTCCTCGACCATCTGCTGGATGCTCAAGCTGCTGCAGGACAACCCAGACTGCCTGTCCCAGCTGCGCGCAGAGCACGACCGCATCCTAGGCGCGGACCCAAAGCAAGCCGCCAGGCTCCTGCGCGAGTCGCCCCAGCTGCTGAACAGCCTGCCCTACACCAACGGCGTCGTCAAAGAGACGCTGCGCTTCTATCCCCTCGCGTCGACCGTGCGCCAGGGCGAGCGTGACTTCTTCCTCCACGCGCCGGGCACGGGGACCCGATACCCAACCGAGGGCATGGCCATCCACGACGTGCCCTCCGTGATCCAGCTAGACCCGCGCGTGTGGCCACGGGCGACCGAGTTCCTGCCGGAGCGCTGGCTCGCAGGGCCGGGCAATCCTATGCACCCGAACAAGGACGCCTGGCGGCCGTTTTCGATGGGGCCGCGGAACTGCATCGGCATGGAGCTGGCGATGGTGGAGATCAAGCTGGTGGCGGCGCTGGTGTGCCGCGAGTTTGATGTGGGGGAGGCTTGGGAGGAGTGGGATAGCAAAAGGAGTGTGAAGGGTCAGGGAAATACTGTTGATGGGGAGAGGCTTTATGGGTGTGGGCAGACGGTGCAGCACCCGAAGGATGGGATGCCGGTGCATGTAAGACGGCGGTGATATTTTTTGCCTTTATGGTGAAGTCTGCTCTGATGATGGCCCCTAGTATCAATTCATAATGCATCGCTAAGAGGCGCATGGTGATGAAACAATTTGGCCCGTTGCATAAACGACGAGTACCAGTGACATGATAATAATTCAGTTTGAGTATAATCTTCCGCCACAGCACCTTAATACATGGTCTGTGCCTGCCATCCGGCGTAGCATACAGCGCCTGCTACCACAATCAAGCCCATCCATACCATAGCCGTCCTCCTAAAGACGTACTTGGCTGTTGTTTCCACAGCCTCAGAGTCATTCGCCCTTGGAAAAGGTTCATTGGGGACGGGCTTCTCCAGAATTTCGCATAAGGAGGCCCAGTCGCCCAGCTGTGTCCAGTAAAGCCGCTCTTTCGGTACGACTTTCTTGACATAGTCGTAGTGATACTCGAGAATGTCTTTCAGACATTAGCACATGATCAGTCTTGACATGAGCATACAGAAGCCCAGGGTGATACGTACCAGGTCCCGGTCCTTTGTCGTAGCCGTTTTCAATAAGCATCGCTCGTCCCCTACAACAACACACAGTTAGTCAGCTCTTCACTTCGTCTCCAACATGTCCTCGAGTCAAAAATTCCCGACATACTTCTTACTCATCTCACTCATAATCGACGGAAACCAACGCCATCCTGAAACTGGAGCCAAGTACCTAAATTTAGATTAGAAATCTCCAACTTTATTTTCTGGTGAATTTACCAAAAAATAATAATAAGAAGTTTACCAGCCTAGCCAGCGCGGCATGCTGCGCTTGATCATCTGTTCCATGCTCTTCCACCACCTCTGCGGATCCCTCCGCCAGCAAACGACTTTGGCATCGGGGTAGAGCTCGCAGAGCTCCCCGATGAAGTGCGTGCCGGGCGTGTCGGCGATGGCCACGAAGCCCCTCGTGGCCTCGCGCAGCGCCTTCAGCCGCTTCGGCCGGTCGTCGCCGGCCGCGTACACGGCGAGCCACTTGCGCACGTAGGCTGTTCGTGGGAAATGGACAATTGTCAGCCAGTGCGCGGGAAGGAGGGCTAGGCTAGGGGGAAGGGTGAATCACCGTCTTCGCGGCCGAGCAGCTGCGTGCCGCCGTGGCAGACCGGGCCATCGAGGAGGGTCTCGAAGGCCAGGGCCATGGACACGGTTCCCGTGCGTGCGAAGCCCGCGCCAATGACAGCGAGGGTCCTGTTGGGGTCGGTGGGGACGGACGGAACGCCTCCCATGGCTGGTTCGCGAGGACTGATATTGGTGATGCGTTGGTATGTTCCTGGAGGATATGGTACATCCTTATCTACACTGTTCTATCAAAGCGTATTACAGCAGCAGAGGTTGCAACGTCTTATAGGAAGGCAAGTTGCTAGGTAGCCAGCCAGCTTACGCCGGCGCTTATTAATGTCAACTGCTGGCTATTTAGGGGGGTACCCATGTTGCTTATTAGTCTGGACCGCGGATAAGGTGGAGAATGGTGTAAGCGCTACTGCGTTGCGTGTCTGACATGCAGTGCTGGCGCTGTAAATAGGGGCTATGCGCTGCCTGGTCGAACATATTGTCCCGTAGTACGTGTACTTGTATTACTAGGGGTATACTTGAAAGCCATTTGAAGTATAGCCTTGAATTACACCAACAGAACTTCTTACTTAAACACGTACTACTTGCAAACTACAGACTTCTACTGTCACTTCGTTATATACCGTTCATTTGGTAAGTCAGCTAGCATCCAGGCTGGTTGTATGTTTCATAGTGATTGTTTGTGTGTTCTTTCAACTTGAGAGCTTTGCCGGAAACGTCGTTTTGAACAACAACTGTAGTCTGGTCTATGACTACCCATGCTGTAGTGAAATGATATCTTTGTTCGCTTTGTCTGATAGAAGTCTTGAAATGGACATACCGGCCCAATGCCTTGACTTTGCCTTAAGATTAAACACTCGACTAGATGATTATCCAGGTTACAGCCAGTCAGTTACACCTGGGCTTTATTAACAACCGCGCTTCATCTTGCGCACAGGCTATATATCGTACCTCCATATATCAAGAAATTCGCCATGCCTCCGAAAAGTCGAACGGTTGGGAAAAGAGAGCTGATAGACCTCGGTGTAATAATCACGGAAGTAGATGCGCTGGGGAATCGGAGGTTGGTCCTGCGACATGACAGGCGGCCTTCCATGGTCGCTCCTCCAACCCACTGGGAATTCACATGGCCACCTAACCCTCCTCCTCCTGGAGCTCCTCCTCCTCCTCCACCTCCACCTCCTGCTGCCGCCCCTTTCCCATTCGCAAATTTGCCCCCTGAACTCAGACTTCAGATCATGGGACACCTTGACTTATCGGGAAACTGCTACAGAAACGGCCTCGCCATTCTCAACCTTGCTATAGTCGCCCCATTGCTTTTCCTGCTTCGTGGTCGTAACATATTCCAAGAAGAAGCCCAAGCTATATTGGCCGATCAGGCCAGAGACGTGAACGTCGTGCCAGCAGCTCTGGACTTTGCGATTCGAGACAACACCGTGCCACTGTGGATCATCCGCAGAATCATTGCTGCTTACGCAGCCGTTGGTGAGTAATTCCTGAATTTATCCCTCAACGTCCATCACGGAAGCTTGTCGCCCTCAAAGACATGATCTTGGAGCCCCGGAACCTTGACGGACAGTCCCGTTAGAAGCAACTATGCTAACGAAAGTCGCGTTTCAGTGCCCACGTCACTCGACGGGCGTTGGTCCAATACCCCTATTCCCGTTTGGGCCCAGAACCGCGTGGTCATGCCGCCCATTTTCATCGCGGCTACGAACCGCCAGAACCCGGCCTTGGGCGGACCCGTGGTTTTGGCGTTAGTTGCCGCAGGTGCCCAGGGCGATATCGAATGGAGGGATCTGTGGGGTCTTTTCGACGCGATAGGGGAGGTAATTCGCAGCGGCACGCAACCCATGGCGCAATTCCTCGCAGAACGCGGATTCAATAAAATTGAGCCGCGCTTGGGCATACAACGCGGCTTCGAGGGTCTTATTGCGCGGGGTGGTGGGACGTTGCGCGGGCTATCGTAGCGAGAATCGGCGGTGATCCGGCCCATCGTTTCCATGCACAACTGCTTGTTAACCTGGACCTTCTCCTGCTCCGTGCCGCCAGGGAGGGAGACGGTGCTGGCGGGTTTATCACTGAACTCGTGAGGCTGGGCGCGAATGTCGACTTCAGGGGGCCCGCTCACAGAACGAACCAGAACCTCTTCAATGAGATGGTGGATAACCAGCGGTTCGACAACGCACGAGCACTGCTTGATGCACAGGTTCAGCGGGGGCTCGAGGTTGCCAAACATACCCTGACCAACTATGACATACATGGAATAAGAGCTAATAACGCATTGCTCACCCAGGTAGCGACCGCGATGGCTACACTCGGCCAGGAAGACGTAAGGAAATACCCCAGGTCAGCCGACAGGCAAGTTGCTTGCTTACCTTACTGACTTGTTTGAAACCCGCAGTGGCGGACCAACCTGCTCAGGTCAACGTTTAGACACGCCGATGAAACGGCAAGGGTTCTTATACGACAAAACGTAAGTGTCTTCCTTCAGGGCTACAGCTCCGATACCATGCGTGGGTGAAACTTTAAAGGCACAAAGATGGACGCAGCAGGAATTGTAGATTGTAGTTTCGCGGCTAACAGCCCGATAGGTCGGCGTCAACCAGGTGAATCTGAGGCACGCAATTCGGCATGCCAGCAACGAGACCGTCACCCTCTTCATAATCACATCGCAGGCCAGAGGCGAGGCAATCGATGAGCGTATATCCAGGAGCATATAGTACGTTTCTGTTCTCACCGCCCACACATACGCCCCCTTTTTTTCTTCCTTTTCTTCTTTTCTACCAAACATTACCACACGCACTGATACTCGTCTCTCTCTCCGTAACAGCACCGGAACCAGGCAAAGACCGCCACGTGCCTTTTTCGAGACGCCTATGGAGTACGCGTTACACGTTCGCAATTACGGAGCGGTCGCCTTACTGAGCGGCGCTGGGGCGGTTTACCGCATGTCGGCGAACACGCGAGCACGCGTCTTTGCGTGTAAGTAAAAGTCATACGGTCCCCGAGCACCTATTATTTCACGGAGGGATTGCCAGCCCGAATCCTATTGTGTTACAGTCGCCGAATTTATTTACTAACCCCTGCCGTGTCGACAGTGCGCACCCGCTACTTAGATCCAACTGTTCCTGTCGCAGAACGGGACCCGCGTCGCTATTTCCACAGGAGCGAGTTCCCGCCAGGAAGAAACCTCCGCCTCGCGCAACGTCGCGTCTTAGCCTCCATCGAAGCCGCCTTACGAGCCGGTGTGGTTGAGCCTGACCCGCGAACGTCGCCCGAGCCGCCGGACCCGCTTGCGGACAGCGAGGAATCAGGCTGGGAAACGTCTGATCCTGAGTAGTAGTGGTGATATTGTGGAGGTTGATTGCCGAAGATGCTGACCCGAGACGGAGTATCCATACATCCACGGCTTGTCCGATTCATTGTTTCTAGCTGCGCGCGAAGACTGGCATTTTTGGCCGCATCATATGATATAGATATATCGAGTATTGTTATTTGCACCTTATATAAGCCCGTCGGCAGCTACATCTTATCCCAGCATGGTAGGCTTTCACAATGAGAGAAAATGAAACGGATTGGGACGCCTTGTTGCCCATATCGTGTTTATTTACATAAGCAGAGTGTGGAGTTCCTTCTCAGGGGGCCTTCTTGGTGGCACGGTGCTATAAAAGAGCACAACCACCCTCGAGACTAATCCATCGACTGCCATGCCCTACAATATCTGATGCATCTTCACTTAGTTTGTTGTGACTGATTCCTATCCCCCGAGCATTTACCTAGGGTTTGTGTTATGTTTGAGTGAATGCTGACAACCTCGGTTTCAAAGTGTGCTTCATTCTCGTATCTAGAGCACACACGGACAGGGACTTGAGGTTTGATTCCACTTGCAATGACTGATCCATGCACGCAGTGCATTCACTCTCTGTGTGCTTGTCGTTCCTAGTAAATTGTTGACAGGACTTGACGTTTTATTCCTCGCGCAATGACTGCTCCATGCACTCAGTGCATTCACTATGTGTGCGCTCCTCGCTTCTAATGAATTGTTGGAAGAACTGGGAGTCTACAAATAAACCTTCTGCAAGCTCTTCCCCTTGCTCACTTCAAGTTTTCCTAGACCATAGCAAACCACATGCGATCATCAATACCTCCTAAAGCAAATCAAGCGAGCCACAGCCAAGACAACCGCGCTCACCCACAACACCGAACTGTATGCGATCATCAATACTTCCTCAAGCAAACCGAGCGAAACACAGCCAGGACAACCGACCTCACACCAAGCCGCCGCAAGCACGCTCCCTACCCACTCTGCACGCAACGACCCTCCGACTCCCCTTTCCGACCATTACACATACACCCATCGATTCACCTACTGAGCAGACGCCATGTGCACCGACTTGGCCTATAAATGCCCGGACTGCAGCATCGACACGGGTGCCCGAAAACCAAACGACACCACTTGCGAGTGGGCGAACATCGAAGGCCACATTCATGTGCTGATAACGACCCCATCGAGGCGATTAATGACATCTCCCTATCGATCGATATGGTTCTCAAGCATCTGAGCCCGAAAGGCGGTGTGGTCGATACCATAAAGTCGAGTGGGAAGTGTTCGTCGATATGCTCCGGGGAGATGGGTGACGTCTTCGTTCATCGTTCCGGATGTAACCAGCATCAAGGAAACCTAGCAGGCATCTCAATCCTCCGACGCGAAGCTCGAGACGAAAGTATCACCAGTTTCCCGTGGGAGGCGTAGACATAGGGAAAAGCGACACTCAAGTCACAGTAACGTGGTGAGGCACCGTGATTGCATAATTCGCTTCTTGACGCCTCATAATCTTACATAGCATACACAAAGCACGACCAACAGCCCAGCCACTTCGCTTCGCCTAGAGCACCTTTTCCGGCGTGAGCAGCAGTTCCAGTCTTCGCCTCTTCGCTTCTTCATCAACCGGCATGTCCACCTTGTGAGCACTTCGGTATCTCCACCGTCTCGACACCACTGGATCATCTTTCCGCGCTTGATCAAACGCATATTCGAAGAGCCAACCACCCTTGAAGGATGCGCTCTGATCCGGGAGTGCAATGAGCATGTCCATTGCGGCTTCCGAGCCGGCGCGCACAGCCTTTTCTGCTAGGTCGTACAGGACAGGCTGTCGGTCGCCGGTTAGCAGACAGAAGGCCTCAGGGATTGAGAGAACGTACATGTAGCTGGCCCCAGGTGAACTCTTGTCCTGTAACAGTCTCGGAGCGCGCGACGGGCCAGAATGTCACCACAGAGTCACGGCCTTCGACTCCTGCCTCGCAGCGGAAGTTGCAGTCGGTATAGGGTATCTCGATGCTCTGTAGGAAGAGCACGAGGTCGGGATCGTACTTGACGTACGAGCCAAGTTGGCCAGAGGTGCAAGTTATCGACCAGCCACCTCGACTCCCGAATTCCGGCTCCATTGACTCGCAAAACTCATGGAATGCCTCCCAGAGATCCTCCGAGATCCCCGAACTATCTCTTTCGTCGCAGAAACGTTGTTGCTTCTCTGCAAGCTTCTCCGCGATGGACTCTTCGCGCTCTTGTGCTGACACGAGTCGTGCCTCGATGGCTTGTCTCATTTCCTCCAATTCCAGAATATGCCATTGCTCCTCTTCCAAGGACTTGTTCAGCGCGAAGGAATTCGACGGGAAACAATCCTGGTGTAGCTCCAGAAACGATTTCTTCGGCAACGTCACTGGCTCTCCCTCTCCGTCTTTCTCCTGCGCTGCTGGGCCATCGTGAATTCCGCCCACCGCCTTTGGAGCGGCAACTTCGCCGACGGCCTCTTGGGCGACTTCGATGACTTCGTTCTCGTCGTCCGAGCTGCTGTATTCGTAAGCGCTGAAGCCTTCGGGTGATGCGGCCTCGGAGCTGTCGTCAGGTGCCCAGATTGGCGATGCTGGAACGTAAACCACGCTTGCAGCATCTGGCAACTCGAGATCCTCGTAGTTGCTGCTCGTCTCAGTGCCGCATTCATCCTCATCGTCATCGGTGAGGCCATCGCGGAAGACGTCCTCGTCGTCATCTACAATGCAATCAGACGGAATTGGGTATGCATGGCGGTTATTCCAACCGAGTTCCTCAAGTGTTCGCGGCGACCGGATGCTGTCGTTGTTGTTGTTGTTGTTGTTGTTGTAGTTGTTGTTGTTGTTGTAGTTGTTGTTGTTGTTGTTGTTGTTGTCATCGCCAGCCTCACTATCGGTGGTGAATTCAGCGTCGGAATACTCAGATTCTTCTGCGTAACCCCCCATGTCGACATCAGGCCCGATTTCGTCTTGATCGTCCATGATGCCTGCTTTGCGAATGTTAGCAACGCGATCGGAATTTCATTATGCATGGGATACGGGCGGATGTATTACCTAGGTGAGGTTGGCCTTGTCAGTCCGACAGTCAGAGAATAGCAGGTCACCGTAACTTGACCGTGATGCCGAGGTACATGTAGTGGGCAGTGAAATGGATATGAGCACCGTGCGAGGCGGCGCGTACCTACCTAGCTACCTACCCTGTCGCGCGGAGAGGTCGCGCGGAGAGGTCGCGCGGAGAGGTCACGCGGAGAGAGGTCACGCCGCCTGACTGGTCGTTGTGGCTGCGGCTGAACCATGGGCAGGCTCTGCTTCCTGTGACTGGGTGATAAGTCTCCTCAACTCGCATCACCTAGACAACATCGTTCTCTCCGTACATTGGCTGTGATGATCAATTTTGGTCGTCGACCCAAGACGAGGTGTGTCAGAATGTGAAAATTTGCCAGACAGTAGTGATCCAACCCGCGGGTCACGGTGCACGGACTTCACGGGGATGCCCTCAAGGTGCCAGTCAGGCAGGCTGCTCACAATGGAATGTCCTAACAGTACCTAACTCTTGCAAGCTTCGACTTCTAGCTGAGAACCGGTCAGTGGCTAGCTAGGGGAAGGGTAATTGGTCAGATGGTGCGGCGAGGCTTGCAAAGAACCACACCGAACGCCTCCAGGCCAGCACCCCAAATATCACGCGACTGTCAACGATGGCAGAACTCGGATGAGTGCAAGAGGTTACAAGCTGAGTGCGCACTTGACGAGTATAGTACAGATGGGGTGGGGCACACATTACACCTTCATACCTCCATACTACACTGCGTATAGACATTGGTAGAATACACCAAGCATCCATCAGGGTTGGGACTGTACAATCTTCAGGAACAACCAGGTACATCCGAAGGATTGTGGCAGAGTCAGCTTTGTTTACCCCTGAACATGACATTCTGCTAGTAGCAGCCATAGACTCATAATCATGTATATAATCGTACAGTCTTGGAACCTGAGCACATTATAAAAGGATACCTCTAGCATCTCTCACAAGACTCCCCGCTCCGTTCCCTGCTCCAACCTTTCATTTCTTGATGATCTTCAGCAACGGAGCGATCCGAGATCGCTTGCTAAGACCGACCCTGTAGAGGGCTTTTGATTGCGAAGCAGTGGGCGTGGATTTCGGGGTCTCCTTTGCTTGAGATTTCGTCGGCAAGTTTTCGTCCGTGGCTGGTGTGACCGACTTCGCGGCGAGTGCGTCGGATGGGTGCAGCTTGGACGGACTTCTCGAATTACGGTCTAGTTCTTTGAGGGGCAGAGACTCCGCGCTGATGGATGGGGTGCTCGCTTCTGTGTTTCTGGTCTCCTTCCGCGACTTCTTTCTCCTCTTCGCATTCGGCTCTTCGATGTCCTCTTCAAATTGTTCGGCAGCTAGTTCGTCAACTTCACCCTCCTTCGATTCAAAAATGGTTGAGGTTCCTGGAGCTGCTACTGTCTCAGCGACCGGGGGTTCCGGAGCCACTACCTCGGCCTTGCTGAAGTCCGACTTTCGGGGTCGACCCCTTTTCTTCTTTGGCTTTTCTACAGGGGCTTCCACTTCAAGAGCAGTACCCAACGGAGGGGGCTCCTGAGCGACGACTTGAAGCCCAGTGTCTGGAACATCTTGGGGAAGGACTTCGACGACGGGCTGTTTCTTCTTCCGTCCACGCTTCTTTGGCTGGACTGTTGGTTGATCCTCAGCTTGGTCGGCTTTTGTGGCAGGAGACTCAGGAGCTGCAGGAGGCTCAGGATCTGCAGGAGCAATTTCAGCAAGCTCATCTGCCGGCTTGTTATGGACCTCCTCATAGGGTGTCGGAAAACCAGTCTGCTCGCCGACTTCATCTTCGAGAATAATACTAATACTGGCTTTCGATCTTCTCCGGCTGGTTCTAGGTCTGTAGCTTTCTCGATAGTAGCCGATAGTATCGGAGTCCCAAGAGTCATCCTGACCTAGCTCGTCTATATCTTCCATGTCCTTTGGTCTCTTCTTATTATTCGTTTTGACCGGGATCGGATCGGGAGATCCGTTGGCAGGTTCAGCGCGGCTATCTGCTACCGGGGTGTCCACGGTTGGAGAAGCTATAACCTTTCTCCTCTTAGCGCAGCCGTGTCCGGATGCCATCACATCTGGCGACGATGTTATCTGGAAAATAACCATTAGTATACGACTCTACTTTCCGTCTTCTTGAGTTGCGCTTACATCTATCACCTCGCGCGGAGTAGGAGGTTGCGTATCAGCAACAGAAGGCCTGTCCCATGGAATAGGGGGGCCGGAAGATGCGTATGCACTGGGTGTCGAGTAAGCAATGGTCGTAACACCGCTAGTGCCGCTCGACTTTTGATTAGCCAGTGAACCCGGCGGGACGTTGACTCTCTGGTATTCCAGCTTCTGCATGGTCGTCATATTGCTCGGAGCAATATAGAATTTTGCAGTATCCTGGAGCACAGTATCGTGGAGTGATATTTCGCGCTTCTTCGCTGACGGCAGCGGTGACGGACCAACGTCATTGTCCTCCAGAGGCAGTTCATCTTGCGCAGCGACGTCCTCGGCCATGTGCTCAGGTTCGACCGCTTCAGGTGCGCCTATTCCCGCATCCGAGGAACTTGGAGCCAGCTTAGAAATGCGTCTCTGGCGCTTCCCGTAAGTTTTCTCCTTGCTTCTCGAGCTCTTCACACTCTTCGTCGCAGTGGCACCCTCGGCACTGCTCGGCACGTCCCACTCGTCACCGGTGCTCTTCCGGGGCGTAGTAAACTCCGAAGCGCCATCGCTGAACGGGGCTGGCTGGTTCTTCGGTTTGCGCAACACCACGGGCGAAGTGACATCGGTTCCCGAAGAAGGATCGAGCTTTCTACCTTTGCCCTTGGCGGGGAGCGAGACGTCGCCACTGCTCGCGCTCGCCTTCTGGCTCTGGCGGACGATGTTCTCAATAAGCTGCGATTGCTCGAGAGCCCTAGTCCGGTGATCGTTGAAAACACCATCAAAGAAGGAGGGGTTCGTGACGTCTGATATCTGATTGTGGCTCTTCGAGGAGGTGGGGCTTGAAGGCCGGTGGTGCGGGCTGAGAGGCTCAGTCTCGGGCGGCGATGCCTCCTCTCGCAGGGGGCTCAATGGCTGGTCATCGTCTCCATCTTCATCGTCCGAATCGGCAATCACCCTTCTCCGGTGAGCCATCCTGAGAGTTGGCGCGGTTGGCTGCGGGCTTACAGCGCTTCAGTGAACGCGTCGAGACGCGTTCTGGTTTGATAACAGGAACCGCCACAAAAGGTGCAATGTCAGCGGAAGCTGGCCGAGCTCTGATCAGATGGCAGAGACCAAACCAGTGATTGTGAGGCAGTTTATCATATCACAACGCAGTCCAAGGCGGATAGAGTGTTCGTCGGAATGCAAGGGCCAAGCCTGAGGTTGTCGTTGACGTCCAGTGTTGCAATGATGTACAATAGTACCCACTTTTTGCTTCGCGGCAGGGACAAGTGGGGCTCGCCCACGGGCTGAGAGTGGTCTGTGCACGGGTGATACTCACAACGACGTAGGTTCGGAATCCCCCCTGGCTGGACAGATGGGAAGAAACACCAGGACCAAACGCTGCCAGAGGTAAGTCTAAAACGCAAAACCTCCGTCTTAATCTACTAAGTCACACCAGAATCAGACGTATGCTGTCAGCAGTCCACCATAACACAAAATATCAGCACATGATGTTCACTAGGCGAATGCAGCATTGATCAACCTTTGCTGACATCTTTTTTACTGTTTTACCAACGCTATACAAGTAGGTTGCTCTATAACCCCATTTCCCGTGAGCCTATAGCCAAGGTGCTAGGCCTGTGCTGCTTATCGTCGAGGCCCAGTCCTCCTCAGAGAGTGCCGCGTTTGGGCAGGCTGCTAGCTTCTGACCCTGCGCCTCTTGGCATCGCCAGCTTGCTCATCGGCTTCGTCTTCTGCAGTGCTCTGCTCGCCACCTGCAACACTCATACTGCGGCTGCCTGCTGTAACGTGCGCGCGAGGCACCACCTCGTTCCGGAGATCGCCCAAGAGCTTGTCTACTTCGGCGAACATGTTACGAGTATCCTTGACCACCCCATTCTCGTCCACCTCATAGCCACGTGTATCCTCGCCATCCGCATTAGAGTTACTTCGGTAGCTCTTCAGGAACGACGGTCCCAGGCCACGTAGCGGGTCAGGGTTGTACATTATAGCGTTGGCGAACATGTGCACAAGCTCCCGTTCCAACTGCGCGATGTTTATTATACCCCGCGGCGGAACTAGGTCGACTGATATAGGAAGCCAGACAGCCGCCGCGTTCACATCGGCAGCCGGCATAGACGCCACCGCCGCCGAGGCAGCTTTCGACCCCGCCGTGATCGCCTTCTGGATACCTTTGAGGTCCTGCGGTCGAAGAACAATCTCATAATAGCCCGGCGCCGTTCGAGGCTTTATGGGGTGTGCAAACATGTTGGCGTGACGATGGCCGATGATCTGGTCAAGGGCTGTCATGCTGATTTTGTGGAAGGCCCGTGTCCATTCAACGTGCGTCGCAGAGGTTGGTGGCGCTTGACCCGGGGTATTGTCCTCACGTTTACGTTTATGAGACACGTTGTCGGTTACCGCCAGCACACGGCTTTGCACACTCTCGCCGGCTGTCGCGTCACCCGCTTCTTCAAATCCTTTGGGGGTAACTTCTTCATTCTTAATGATGCGCCCCGCTGGACTTGGCTCAGCTGAAGCTCCCTCGGTCTGCGGAACAGGTGCTGCTTTCTGTGCACTCCGCAGCGCGCCGCTTCCCGATTTGCTGGTATCGAGCTTAGGTATGACCTTATGGGTATCCTTCTTGCCGTTCTGACCAGGTGAAGTCTTTGGCAGTTGTGCTGGCCGAAGGGGCGGGCTGATGGGTTCATAAGCTGGACTCTGACTCTCAAAATAACCACTCAGCGCCTCCATACGGGGAGTGGCTGGCGTCGGAGTGGAGGTCCACTTGGTGCCATGGCCTCTGATGACATGAGGGATGACATGTGGGGAAACGTTCAAAGCCAACGGTGTCTGTACTTGAGAAGCTGTAGGTGGACGTGATGAATGCGGAGCCGCTATCGGAGTTGATACTGGTGGAATCGGAGGACGATGAGCTGAGTCTAGTGCACCTGCCGGTTGACCATGCGGATAGTATGGAGGGTTCCAAGATTTCAAGGGGCCGGGTGGGTGCTGCTGTTGCTGAGGTCCTGGCGTCACGGGTGCAGGCAGGGCATGCGCTTGCTGAGGATAAGGTGGCCGGGTTGAAGTGGGCACCGGAGGTCTCTGCGCTACCGTTCCGGGGGACTTGTGGGGAGTACCAGCCGTGTGCGTAGGCGCCAGCCCAGAAGGTGGCCGAACTGGCGTTTGGGCAGGTGTACCTTGAGGCTGATGGTGTGCATAAACGCTAGGCGGAAGGTTCGGGGCTGGTGAGCCGACCGCTGGCACTGAAGGTGGACGCCGCTGTTGGATGGGTTGTCCAGCCCCGTCGGGGGTAGCGTTCACAGGCAAGGACTGGAGTGAGGGTGGGATTTGGCCTGCATTCTGCGGTGGTAATAGCACCGAGGGAGATGAATGGCCAGTCGCTTGTACGGGAAACCGGGGCTGCTGGGTAAATTGTCCCGGGCTTGATCGACCACCAGCATAGCCTTGAGGATGTTGAGCTTGAGCAGGTGGAAGCTGGGGAGAGTAGGATGGAGGTCTGGTGCTTCCGACACCATAAGGGGGACGCGGCGAAGGCACAGGTGTCTGATGTGGTGTCTGCTGAGATTGTTGATGAGGCGTCTGATGTGGTTGATGAGGTGTCTGGTGTGATTGATGAGGCGTTTGGTGTGGTATTTGGTGTGGCGGTTGATGTGGTATTTGGTGCGGCGGTTGATGTGGTATTTGGTGCGGCGGTTGATGTGGTGTTTGGTGTGGCGGTTGATGTGGTATTTGGTGTGGTGGTTGATGTTGTTGTTGTTGTTGTTGTTGTTGATGTTGTAGGAGATGCTGTGGAATCTGGTGTGGGTTGTGGTGTGGCAGTTGATGAAACGGATGATGAACCGGCTGATACGGAGGCTCCCATTTCAAGGCGTGATTCTGGGACGGATTCGGTAAAGCAGGTCCTGGACTTCTGCCTTTCGGCAAGGTGTCTGGTCGTTGCAAGCCTTCTGCCACCGGTGGCTGCGGAGACGTAGATGCTGGATGTGAGTTGTAACCCTGGGCAACCTGTGGATGCTGGAGAACGGGAGTTGTGCCATTAGCGGCCCGGGCTGGCTCATGAGGCCTTGCATCTAGTGTAGGCTGTGGTGTTTCGCTGGGGAGCCGAGCCGCAGGCGGTAAAGCAGAAGGACTTGGCTGTGCCGGTCTCTTCTCAGGAAGCGGTTGGGGATTTGGTGTCGGTTCAATCCTTCTCCCGGAATCTTGAACCTTGGGGGTTGCCGGCCCTGGGGCAGGAGCAGAAGCTTGAACTGGGATTGATATCGGCGCGATTTGACCGTTGTGCCTAGCAGACGGCGGCAGTAGAGGCAGCCCGTTACCAACAGGGGCTCCGTTCTTGCCAGCGATCGCCCGGTTCTGTTGAGCAATCCTAGTATCCCAATCACCACGCTCTATCTCGCCAATGTCTCGCTGTGCGGCTTCAAATTGCCTCTCGTCCTCTTGGATAGCTCGGACAATAATATCCCGAAATTGACCGTAAAGTCTGTCGATCAGGATTGGCAGCTTCTCGGGTTGCTCGTGTGCTTCCTTGAGCGACGGCAAGGGCGGACTTGGAAGTTTGCGCTTCAGCGAGTTTGGTGACAGGCCATTTGCATTCTTTCCGGCCACTGCTTCAGCCTCCCGTCTCTGCTCATCCCGCAAGAGCTGTAGCGCAAGCTCCTGGAGAGACCCAGGGCTCAACCTCCGGGCATCGTATGTTTCTTGCTCTACTAACAGAGGTGTTTCCTTGAGCTCGTTGGAGATGCGGTCGAAAGTATCGATGAAGCCGTATTTGTTGAGCAATTGGAACAGGAACAGCGATTCGAGAGGCGTGTAGGTTGTCGTGTAATTATTCATGCCCCAGTATCCACCTCGGCCGTGGTCGAGGGGACCGTCACGTCGTTGCAGATGGTGAATCGGCGCCAGGATCTGGTGACATGATTAGCAGACTGGGGAGGAAACGGCGGACTGCAAGCGCGCAAAGACGGGAATTACGCGTACGAAAGAATGCAATGAGGGTCACAGAAGCCTATCAAGACTAGTCTGACCGTGATAATGACGGATTCGCGACGATAATGACGGCTCTTCGATGAGGCTATTCGCGATTGAAATTTTGCGCTCGTCTGTCAGAACAAGTCACGTGACTGGGGATGTTTCGGCAGGTCGGATATTGATGGGTTTGTGTGATGGGATGATGAACGCGGGGAGCTTCTTTGGAGCTTTGGAGCAGTCCAGTGGATCGAGGTTCTCAGGAAGATGGGCATCAATGCCTGCAAATCAGCTCCGGCTCTATCTGTATCTCTGGTTGGCCAGTGCTTATCTGCTTATCTGCTTATCGCTGCTATTCCCCTACCCCTACTGCGATTGCTCTTGCCCTCAGCAACTGCCCCCAAACTCCATCTTCATCAGTTTATGCCCTCAGCGATGAGACTTAAGTACATAGAGCGCCAGATATCATAGTGGCCATGTTCCTTCACATTTGGATCCCTCAACTCAAACATCTAGAAACGTCAGATGCCAGCTTTCTCAAGCTCGAATCGTACGAGTGTAGGGGACCTTGTCTCTCTTATGGTCGTTGTCCTGGAGCAACACTAATAAAGGTGAAGGACCTTATCGACTCCAACCATCAATAAAACTGCTTGTTACTGAGTAGACCAGGAAGATGTACAGCTGTGGACGTCCTCTCAATCAATTGTTTAATGCATCACAGAGCAGTAACTTTCAGAGAACCTGGGTGCACGTGGACAACCTTTGAACGTCCCATACAGCAGTAAATGCGCCGATTGTACATCCAGGTCTCCTCATGAGATCATTTTCTACAGGCGTAGTTCTTTCCAACTTCCAACTTCCAAGAGCCCAAGTTTTCTACTGTTTTAGACAGACACACAAGCCGGTGTGGGTCAGCAGTTGGCATGTGAGCATAACTTGCATGTGCCTCTTCCAAGACACCAACAGCCAGACACACGCAAGCCGCACAAGACTGCAACCAGGTCACGGACCAAATTAGAAGCCAGGTGCGTTACAATGTGACGGTGATAGCCAATGTCATCAGGACAGGAATGTCACCCGTGGACATGAAATGTAGGTAGAGTAGCGTGATAAGGCACCACTACTAAAGCATCTATCCATCCGTCGTTGGCACCAGACCTCTTTCGCCATGAGTATTTATGTCACGGAGTGATCATAGCGTTGAGCCTCGTCTATCCCCAGGATGAATGTTCAGGGTCCATCCGACTATTGGCTGGCTGTATTATCTGTCTGTTTTGGGCACGGGTGCGGGCATTTGCTTTCCGATTTCTTGGATGGTGCAAAGTTCGAGGGAATGCATTGTTTCAATGGCAAAGTGGGCTTCATGCTCAGAAACTGATTTGATTTTGGACTGATTTAGTAGGGGTGCCGTTCAATGCGCTGACATTGCAAGCCGTATCCCGACATGGTGATGGACCTTGATCAATGATGGCCCCAGGTTTATTACTGGTGATACCCCTGAGTTGAGAGCTCGGGATGAAGTTTAAATTGGTGGGGTCGAGCCAGACGCTACGGCCGCTGGTTTTATTACGCTGCCAATCGTCATGCTCCCTGTGAAAGTCTATCTCGCACCACTGATTCCGATCATCGTCATGGGCACGTTGACCCGTTGGCACGTTGGAAGTCAATTGCATAGTGCCAAACCGTATTTCACATCATCATATCAGATCATCAGATCCTGCAATTGGCCTCAAGAATCAAGGCTGAACAGGTCGAGGTCGACACCAGCTAAGTCTCTGCCCCTCAGCTAGGTATGCTGTGGTGAGGCTGGTGACATAGCTTACACAGCTCCATGCACCTACCGGCAATCTCGAGTCAGTCGAAGAGTCAAATAGAAATTCATTAATAAAAGAGATAGATAGCTTTCTGCGGTGCTACTAATATTACTATTATAACTTGGGCTCAGGGCTGGCCACACCTTGCATTGGACTCATCTCCATTCCCGTCCTTGTGCACACCACAGCTTTATGTAAATTGGTTTCAGACCAACGTTCTTTGCCTGAAATTACCTCCTTCCAACACCAGTGGCCGCATTTGGGTGAGGTACCTTCCACTGCCTCCAGGAAGTCACGCGCGCATTGTGGCATTGTGGAATTGTGCGGCTGCACCTTCCTTCACCTGCTGCTCATTATTAGGAGAGACAGACCTGCGTTCCACCGGCTCGGCTGACCCCCTTTTCCCTGGTCGCCTTTCATCCTCTCCTTCCCCACCGCCAAAACTCCTACCAACTAACACCCTTCGACCTATCGCTACCTACATAATCACTCCCCACGACCCCTACGAACACCATCTTCGGCTCATATACCCGTAACAACAACTTCATTCTCGAAATTGTTATCACAACATCTCTCCCTCCCGCAATCACGACCTACGCCTAATACAACTTTCGAGATGAACCACCAGCCGACCGACGCGGAGCTCGACCATGACTGGAAGCCCAGTGGGCGCCGCCCACAGTCGTACGTCCCTCCTGCCCTGCGCCAAATAGCACAAACATAGGCATTGGCTTGTCGCTGACAAGCATTTCTGTGCAGCACAATTGCCCGCTCCTTCAGCCAGGAGCTGATGGACATCTTCCGAATCGAGAACAGCGTAGCCGACCTGACAGAGCAAGTGGACAAGCGGTATGTCCACCACGACCACCAACACCAACACCACCACCTTCTCCCAACGGGCGCCCCCGCGAAAGATCTCTCCCCGAACAGACACTGATAAGCGCTCGCAAACAGGAAGCAACAAGTAACGAGCGGGCAGTCGGAGCTCGAGGCCCTTGAGCAACGCATCAAGGAGATGGAAGCGCGCCTGAACCAGTCAAAGCCCGGAGCGGCCGCCTCAGGCCTGAGCCCACGAACACAGCGAACAGCCGTCGGGGACACATTCGGCCAAGCACCACAACCACCACAGGCACCGGCCGCCGGGAGAGCCTCGAGACCCGGGACCGCGAAGCAGAGCCATCAGCAAGCCCCCGTGCGCGGAGGTGCCATGCCGCCGACCCCCACAGCCAGCGAAGGTGAATACGAGCTCGTCAATACCTCCTCATCCTCCGGTGACGGTGGCGCCGAGACGCGAAGTTTTACTGACTATGTAATTGTTCCTCAAGATGGTCATGACCGCGACTCTTAATACCGGGTCGTCGTCCAGCTGGCGACTCTTTCCCCCCTTTCGCGCGTGTTTCGGTCCGCGGATCAGTCCCGTTTTCCTGATCCTGGCTGGCTTCAATCCAATCCTTGAAGCCTTGGGGGGCATTTTGCAATGCACACTTCAGAATTTTCAGACGACTTGTGCTAGCGAGTCATGTACAACAAGCCAATACCGCCGGCCAAGATTGGAGGAGTTCTGGACAGCCACGTAAAGCTGGACCGCTTGGATACACATCCCAGAATGGACCGACCGACCAACACAGGATTGCCGGTGAATCAATTCGACAGCAGGTTCACCACCTACACATTTCTGGCATTTTAACGAAACCGACACTCCACAAGATATCCCTCGTTCACAAAGACGCGACAGCACCATCTTCCCCCTGTCCGTCTTGGTGGCGGCGTTACAGGCGTACATCTTTATCTTCCTCTTCTCGTCGACGCCTTTCACCTTACGATATTTCTAGTAGCAAATCACGACCGACGGGCGGCGCGGTACAGTCAGTCCTCGGCGGCAGCCCACAGTGGCAGCAAGATGGAGGAGTTGCAGAAGAGCAGAGAGGGGGTGGAGCAGGAGGGAAGCAGTAATGAAGGGAGTAGAGGCATCGAAACACAACACAACACATCACATAGCAGCAGCAGCATCGGCATTGGCATTGGTATGGCATGGCATAGTTGATTGATATGGGATTGGACGAGTAGGATAAGTGATGATGGCTTTGGAAAGGGAAGCCTCGAGATGATGAACTATCCCATGCGCATTTTTGGCTACCAGCAGATGAGTGCCTTGTACATACCATAGGGAGTACGCTAATGCGATTCTGGATACAAATGCCTCCTCACCTATCGGTCAGAACGGGGCAGTATTGTGACTCCAATCGGAGCATAGATCGCCCTCAGCCCTCATACGTCTCCGTACGCGCCATATCAATAAGACTCCAGATCACCCGTGGAAATTTCGAAATACTGGAATAAGTAGCTCTACTTTGATATGCCACTCCTAATGCTTGTTCCATAGTGTTTATTCCGATTCAAGAATCTACCGTTGTTTGGTGGTGTACGGAGACTTATGAGGGCTCAGTGTACAGTGGCTGGTGACTCTATGGCAAGAGGGCCTTCGAATACACGATAGGACCTCGAACGAATTACAGTGTCAGTAACGGTACCATGCTGCTGGATTAGTCCTTCCGAAGAGCAGGAATGACGACCATTTGGAGTCGAGAAAGATACCAAATCTGTCATGTCTATTGCTACAGTCGCCCTCCATAAGTCTCCGTTCGACACGCCTCTGTTGACCTTTCGACATGAACGCCATATTCGTATAAGTGGAACAAGAACCCTGCAATAAGCAGGTTTGATCTAACCAAACATATACGATGCTTATTCCAGAGTGTTTATTCTAATTACTATCAATATACCTTTCCCTTGCGGGACGAGGGATGTATGGAGACTTTTGGGGGGTTCAGTGTAGCATTACTTCCACGCCTCTACAGCTGTCTATCTCCCACATTACCTCAGCAAACAACATACAGCTCGGCTGAGACGATCCCAAAGCTACGTTCATCGTTCTGATTTCTCCTTCATCATACCATCAAACAAGCACGCCTCGTCTTTTCCGTCATTCTCCCAAACCTATAGGTAGGTCCCGTGTGGTCTCCGACTACCCTGGGTTTATCTAGTCAAGCTCCACCACCTTCATATTTGCACCCAACTCACTGCGCAGGTCACGCTTGCTGTTGCTCGTGTTCAGGGTCTTCGTAGCCACGCCGAGCTTCTGCCCTGCGATGTCGAAAACAAAGAACCCACTCTTCAGGAAGATGTCACCGAATATGCCCTGCAATCCTGTGAAGGTGTCGAGAGACTGTATGCCGGCGTAGCACAGCTCATCAGAGACAGTCTGGTAAGGAATGTAGGCTCCTGGGACGTGGCCGGTCACCTTCTTGCCCGTAGCATCGCCGATCTCCCAGATGAAGTCCGGCAATTGCGCGTGGCAGGGAACCACGTATCCGTATTGCTCGTATGAAAAGTTGGCGCCGGGGATGGCGTCAAAGTACGTGTCGACGGCCGCGTCTGGCGCGAAAAATAGAGTCGATCCAGTGTCCAAAATCACCGTCTTGGGCGTTTGGAACGTGTACGCCAGGGGAACACCGCCAACGGCAAACCCCGTGCTATTCACAGCCCAGAACCCGTCGCTGTTGTCCACGCCGATGTAGTCAATGTCCGACGTGTGCAAATTGTGATCGATGTAGCCGAAGTTCATCGTACCCGTGCTGTTGTGCTGGAAGTCAACAGTGAATAGCGGGTTAGCGAGCACATCGGGCAGGAACTCCAGAAGCGACTTTTGCGGCGGTTCGGTCTGCTTGATGCTGGACCAGCCCAGTCCGACGAGACCGGACATTGCCTTCGACTCAGTGAACATCTTGGAGACTTTAGTCGCCGACTCGATCGTCATGCCCGGGATGGCCAGCTCCCCAAGCGAGAACGTGTCTTGGTAACAGATGCCCTCCGAGTTCGAGAAGTCGCCATAGAGGATGGACCAGGTGCAGTTCTTGATTGGAACGACGGTGGAAGACTTGCTCGGGTCCCAGAGAGTCTGGCCGGCTACACCAGACTTGGCAGTATCGGTGGAGAAGACCCAGCTGAGATGTATGTTAGCGATTTCGTGTTCGAGGGATAGAAAGGCGAGATGCATATGCGAAGGATCACTTACGAGTCGCTGGAGCCCGTATCCATGTCCACATACAACTGCTGCGGTGGTGTGCCAACACCCACCGGCGAGAGCCACATGAGATCGCCGGAGTTTGAGACAGTGGGAACACCACCTGTACTCCTCATTAGTGTCCCGGTTCTTGTGATATGCATAGCTATGGGCGGCTTACCTCCGTCGGTCGCAGCTTTGTTGCTAGCAGCGAGCTTGGCATTGTGCTCGTCGACAACCTGTTGTAGGCGCTCGGGAATGGGGATGTTGAACTTCTTCAGGGTCCGGAGGTGCTCAGACGGTCCATGGCGAGGGTTATCGGCATTGTGGGCAAACTGCATAGAGCTCGTCTTTCCAACATCTGCCTTGCTCAGGAGCGGCGTGGAGGTGGCGGGGGCGAGAAGGGAGAGCCAGAAGGCCAGGAGGACGAGAAGATTGCTGAAACACGCCATCTTGTACGACGCAACAGTGGATGGGGGTACTGTGAGGAAGACGTCGTGAACGAATGCGAGTCAAAGTTGAGGTAGACAAGGCTTGTAAGGAGTGGAGAGTAGAGTGGTGGGTGGTCTTGAAGAGAGAGTGGACGACCTAAGGGTCTGGCAGAGGAGGGAATGACTCTCTCTAAGACGTGTCCGTTGGTCACTCACTGCTGCTTTCGCTGCAGGTCTGGTTTCCGAAATAGTGAATGAATGGACAGCGATCTGGACGAGTGTGTCTTATAAGTGAACGGAATGTCTCGACACCAGATGGACGGTCGAGTTGAAGTAGAGAATTAGCAAACGGACCTTGGCTACCTAGGTAGCAGATGCGGAGGCAGCAGATCAATCGGCGGCTGATCTTGCCAAGGCGGGGAATGGCATTCACTTGGGATGAGAAGGGGGCAGAAGTGGATGTGGTTCTGGCCTTGAGTAACAGCGGGTTACATACTTCCTTGGTAGGCAGGTACGGTTGATGGTGGTCATGGGGAGGCAGAAGGCAGGAGCCAGAGGAAGCAAGCAAGCAAGCAAACATGAACGCAGTTGCCTCCCACAAACATCGTGTCCACCTAAAACCTCAGCGTCGTCCCTTCTCAATCAACACACACCTGACACATCAAACTGGCCTAAGCACTACTACCTACGGAGGTGGTAGCTCCCTCAGACCATTCCCGTCCCGAGTCAACAATGAAAAGGGGGTCCAAGTACGGCCGGCGTCGGTCCCAATTGCGTGGAATCCTGTGCCGACGGGAGTGACACCAAGCTTGCATTCGAAGCAAGTCCAAAGGGGAATGCCTGCAAGTGTGTGTTCGACACGACTGGCGGGCACTGGTGGGCTGCTGCAGGTCTCTGGCCACAAAGAGCGGGAGCAAACCGTCATCCTGTGCAATGGTCGCCTCCCCCTACCAATCTAGATCGAACGTTTTTAACCGAGAGCAAACACCTCTGGGTTCGTGTCACTGTGCACCATCTGGAGGCAGTGCATATGTATCCATGGATGTAGGTATCTAGGTATACAGGTAGTCGTACAGCATCTGTCGAAGGCGGTGTTTGACTGGTCCCAAGGGGGAGGGATACCCAAACTCAACGCTCATCTGACGAGCTCTGGACACAATGACACCAGAACTCTCCGCAATGCACCCGTTCACTGGGTATATGTCCGCCATCGTGGCAAAGCTAATTGCGTCGGATTCTCTCATGAAACGTCTACGTGCTGTCTTATCTACATGCTGTCTTACAGTTCGTCGTGCTTCGTCTTCGCCTCATCTTTATCCCGTTGTTCCTTGCCCATATTCTTGATCATTTCCTCAAGCTCCTCCGTCGTCGGCATCTTGCCATCCTTCCCAAAGTTTTTGAGGTCTATTGTCGGCTGCGAGCCACCACTAGTCGTTTTGCTCGAACCCTTGGACTTGGTCTTGGCTGACTTTTTCGCACTGCTCGTATTCTTCTTACCCTTGCCCTCAAAGTTTTTGACGCTCTTCATGGCCAGGTCCAACCCAGCCTTCTCGAGCTTCTTCGTCTTCTCTATGAGGTCCTTGGTGAGGAGCACTGGGTCGGCAGTCTCGGGAAGCTTGTCTTGTTCGGCGACCTTCTCTTCGAGCCAAACGAAGATGGAGCTCGAGAGCTCCGTCACCTCTGTAAGATCCTCTAGAGTATACAATGGTGGGACCGGTCCACGGTCCTCCGCGGCTGTTGTGGTGGTTGACTTCGTGGCCTCCTCATCCTCGAGCCCGTCAAAGTCGTCCGAGCCTTGTGATGGTGCGTCGGTAACACTTGAGCTTGCTTCAGTGGTCGACGTTGTGCTGGCACTCGCTGAAGACACGTATGCTTCTGCCTCCGAGATCTTGTTTTTGATGGTGTCAATGAATGTTTCGGTCTGGGCAAGAGAATCTTTTAATGCCTTGACGAGCTCCGGTCTCTTTGCTGCTTCCTCGATCCTCTTCTCAACGGGCGCAACAAGGTCCTTGAGCTCTTTGAGCCGAGACTTGAGTTCATCACGTGGCGCGTTCGCACCTTCGTCGTAGAGCCAGTCGCTGGCATCGCTAGCCTTCTGTTCCAGCTTTGCCCGCTCCGCTGAAGTCGAGAGCGAGACGAAGGATTGGGTGTCTAGCAAGTCCCGGACCTTGTAAGTGAAGGCCTCCAATTGATTGAGAACTTCCTCTCTCGCCCGACGGGATTTGTCAGACGCCTCAAAAGCCTTGATGCGATCCTTCGCTTTCGTAAGGTCTGCCTTTGGTAGACCAGGAAGACCGACATTTTCGATGGAAAGGTCAACCGGGATGCTAACAATTTGCTTCTTCGGCACCGGACTGCTTTCGGCGTCTTCGGTGGTTGACGTAGTGGCCGTGGTCGAGGCAGAGCTAGACTCCATATAAGATGTCGTGGCTGTGTCGGTAAATTCGGTGGTCGAGGCCGTCTCGCTGTCAACACTCTCGGTGGGCTCCTCTCCATCTTGCAAAGGTTGCTGATCCTTGTTCTTTCCAAATCCAAGGAGATTTTTCACGCCATCCAACAAGCCTTCTTTCTCCGCGTCGGCCTCGCACTCGACGAAGGCCTTGGCAACATTGACCTCGCCATTGTCGGGGCTCAATCGTAGCTGAACCTTGAATTGAACATCCGAGTCGGAGCAGCCGCGTTTCTCCACGAGCGAGGCGACAGAAGCTGTCAGATTCTTCGTAGTCATGACCTTGGTCTCCTTGTCGACCGAGCCGTCAGTTGAGGGTATCTGCTGGTAAAAGCAGACCGAGAAGTCCTCATGATTCGTGAAAGTGACTTCCTTCGGGGCGGCACCGAGAAGAGATCGCTCGGTCCAAAGCCGCTGTTGTTGAGGCTTGTTTTGGGGGTTTGTCCACTTCATGCCTGCTGGGTAAGCAGCGCCATCCAAGACTCTGATTTCCTTGACACGGAAACTGGGACTGAGCTCTGCACCTCTGAAAGCAGCGCCGAACACTGCGGCCTCGTCTGAGTTGACGTTGCTGCGAAGCTTGTCGCTGCTCGCAATCTTCTCAAGCTGCTTCTGGACAAAAGGTGTCCGAGAAGCACCACCGTGAAGGATGATGGATTCGAGCTGCTTGATGTCAAGCTCTGCCACATCCAGGACCTTCTTAACGACTGCAGTGACCCTTTCGGCGTGGGCCTCGGCCATCTTCTCGAACTCGGCTCTGGAAATCTTGTATCGGAAATCGACACCATCGTACAAGCCTTCGAAGCTGGCACCGGTGTCAGTGTTGGCACTGAGGACGTGTCGCACTCTTTCGGCTTCTTTGAGGAGTTTCGCCACGGCGCGGCCGTGCCCCTTTACGGCTTCTGCCGTGACGGAGGCCTTTTTGGCAGCTGAAGTCTCCACAAACTTGGAGATCATGTCATCCACAATCAAGTAGTTGAAGGCATCGCCGCCAAGGGTTCGGTCCCAGCCGCTGCCCATGACCTGCACCTCCTGAATGGTCTTGTTGAACTTGCCGATGTCCTTAACAGTGCGGCCCTGGAATTTCATGATAGTCGCCTTGGTGGAACCAGCACCCATGTCAAACACCATGCTGTATTCCGGCGCGCCTCCCTCGCTGACGGTGGGAAAGGTTCGACTGGTGGCGTAGTTGAGTCCAACGGCCAAGCCGTCGCTGATCATGGACAGCACCTTGAGACCCACGAGCTCGCAAGCCAGTTCCACAGCGCGCTTTTCCTCGGTGGTGTAGAAGGGTGGTACGGTGATGACAATGGATCGCACGGAGGAGTCGGAGCCAGCTAGAGCTTCCGCGTTGCGCTGGATGCTCTGGAGCTCCATAGCCAGTAATTCCTCGACCATCCATGCTTCTTCTTGTGCAGTGGCCTTGCTCTTGAACGCAGCGGTGCCGCGGGTCTTGTGCGTCTCCAGTTGTAGGGCCGGGTGCCTCGCAGCATACTCTTGAACTATCGAGTCGTCTGTAGGGAGGCCGAGGAGGGTCTTCAGGTTGGGGTATACGTCGCCGGGAAATCGGGGTGCGATAGCCATGGCGTCCGAGCCGTAGGCCCTCTCGGGGTAGGCGCCGCTCTTGGGGCCATTTTGCGAAGGCTTGAAGGCGACAGCGGAGGTCTCTTTTCTTCGTGAGTCTTTCGTTAGGACGATCTCGAGAGGAATGCCGGGCTTGACGAGGGCGGCTTTGATGTACTCGGTACCAAGGTCGACACCGAGCACAGCAGATACGGCGAGCACGTTCGTCGAGAAGAGGAATAGTACGCAGAGGAGTATGGTTCTAGGAGAGAAGAGTTGTGCCATGATGGGCGGATCTAGGAGGGGTAATTGGGCGAACAGCGCGCCTGTGCAATGGAGGTGTCAACCAGCTTGCTGCTCGGGAAAGAGTGAAGACAGCTTAGCTACAGCAGTCAGGGGGGGTGGAAGTTGGCTGAAGTCGGCGCAGTCAGAAGAAGCTCGACGAAAGCAAGAATGCGGCACTCCCGAGAACCATTGAAGCTCCCGAGGCTAGAGTTTTGTGTGTTCCTGAAGTCCTGGCTCTGTAGGATGTAGAATCTGGCCTCTTCTATGAGCTAATGAATAAGACAGCTGGTGCTCAGTAGGCATCTGGACTTTTTCGCGATTCCTTCAACGCATTGGCAAAACGTGTTCAATATGTACCCATTTTCAGTCAGCTGCAAAAAAGGACAACTTGCAGTGTTGAGGACGACCCCTGTAGCCCCGGGCACCGCCATCGACCCCTGCTGAGGCCGCCATCTCGTCGCTAAAGCCACTGATAAGAGCCCCATTGGTCCGATAAGAGCATCAGACCCAGAATAGACCGGGTACAGTGCGCAGCTGGCACACAGTGAAGATAGTGGGGTCCATTGTCACATTGCGACACTGTATGGTTGATTGCACTTCACTCTCAGACACCCTCTCTCTCCCCCTCTCGGGAACCTCAAGTATCAAGCTCCGCCGTGCTTGTTTGTACAGAATGTCGAAGGTTGATAATAGACTCGAAGGCCGCTTAGCGCTCGTCACAGGTGCTTCCGGGGGGTACGCCGAACCCTCTACCAGGTCTAGCTCTGTACAGTGTTGACGCACAACAGAATCGGCGCAGCGATTGCTCGAGACCTGTGGGCGCAAGGCGTCTCTCTCGTTCTGACCAGCTACAGCAAACCTCAGGTCGTCACTGATCTGGCCATAGAGCTAGCGCGCTGCAGCCATGGGAACCAACGCCTCTACACTCACTGTCTGGACACGGGGTCATTGGAAGCTGTCGAGCAGCTCTTCAGGGACATCAAGGAGAAGCATGGTCAAGACGGTCCGGACATCCTGATATCCAACGCAGGCTATGGAAAGCGGTTCCCGGGCATAAGGGACGTGAGCATGGAGGAGTTCGACCGCACCATCAACATCAACCTGCGGGCCTCGTTCGTCCTCTCCAAGCTCAGCATCCCGCACATGGAAGCTCGAGGATGGGGACGTATCGTCTTCGTGTCTTCGATCGCTGCGCAGGGCGGAGGCATCAACGCGTGTCACTATGCCGCGAGCAAAGCTGGCTTAACCGGGATGATGAAGAACCTGGCCACGAGGCATGCGAAGTCCGGCATCACTGTCAATGATATTGCGCCGGCTATGATAGGGGAGACGGGTCTGATCCCGGATGCGTCGTCCGTGGAGGGCACGCCTGGCGACGTGAAGAACATTCCGGTAGGGAGGCTTGGGACACCGCAGGAGTGTGCTGGGGTCGTCACGATGCTATGCAAGACGGGCTACATGACAGGCCAAAGCATCTTGTTGAGTGGTGGTCTCAAGTAGGCGAGCTTGATCGTCGGGGCGTACGAGTTGGTGACCGGGCAGCCGACTGTAATGCGCGAATGGAACAGTCCAAAGTCATATTATACGCTGACAACTTAGATGCAATTCGGTTCTTATATACTCCGAGGTCATACTGTTAGCATGGTGGTCAATTGAAAGTCAACTTTACTTCAACCAATGGTCCGTCCACCTTTGCCTGAACCGGCTCGGAGGATCCTTCACCTCGTTCAACGCTTCACGGTTTTACATCCACTGGCTCCGTCTGGTGTACCAGAGGTCTCGGGCTATGCTTACTAGACTCGGCCCTTTAATCACCTAGATCTCAGGGGCCAGATACCCAGTATGACCTCACGTCTTGATCTCCATGCCCGGCCCCCCTGTCTGATCTCTTCTTGTGACCTGCACCCAAAGATCCTCGATAACCCAAATCCGGGTTCCGGCGGCCTTCCAAGGCCGAGTCGGATTGACAAGGGTGAAATCGAATTGTCGATATAATTCAAAAATCACCTTGCGCATCTGCATGAATGCCAACCCCTTTCCAAGGCATTCCCATCGGCTGGGGCCACCAAATCTGGATTGTGAACGTGTCAGTGAGCGTACCAGACAACAGTGAATGTCACATGAGCTTACACGAAACGGAAGGTCTCGTCCATCAACCTTGCCCGGTCCTCGTTGGTCTCGATCCACCGCTCAGGCCTGAAGTAGCTGGCATCTTCGCCGAAGATTTCCTTCACGAATGCATGTTAGAGGAACTCTCAAGCTTTGCCTCGGAACTATCAACGGCTTACCTTGGAGCGCAGAGCAGGCTTGTAGGCTGGCTCAACGCTGACCCCCGCCGGGATCTTGAACCCGCAGAGAATCTCGTCTGTGACACTGCTCTTAGGGAAGAAAGCAGCGGGCGCTACCAGCCGCAGACTTTCCTTCAATACGGCCTCGAGATACGTGAGTTTGGCTGCGTCGCTGTCCGAAATTGGGCTCCTCAGAACAGCCCCAGACTTTAATGCCTCGTCAATCTCTCGTTGAAGGCTTCGGTACGAGTGCGGCGAGGTCATAAGGTAGAGCATCATGGCGCGGATACCCGTGCCTGTCGTCTCGCCGCCGGCGGTCAGCTGCGCCACCGTCTCGTTCTCCAGCTCTTTCTGTCCGAGTCCGGCAGCTACCCAGGTGCCCAGGACGTCGTTCCTCTCCTTGAGCTCGTGCGCCTGCTCGCCGTACCGCTTGCCTACTTCGCGCCGGGCCATCTCAAACACCTTGGGGAAGAAACCACCCTCTGGGAAGATCGAACCCAAGGCGGACATGTCCATCAGCTTGGGGTAAAGGGGAAGGAATGCGAACGACAGTAGGGGCGCTACTGCGCCGCTGACCGCATCGAGATATCCGTGGAAGTCATCCTCACGTTCCAGACAGCCGAAAGTCTCCTGGAAGGCAAAGGAGGTGATGACGTCGATGGTCAGGTATTGCGCCAAGCGAGAGAAGTCGAGGGGACGGTACGTGGTCCCGGGGGTCGTAATGTACTTCGTGTCGATGATATCCACGAGCTGCATGACGTGTCTGTCAACCATCTGCTCGACGCCGTCGACCGTCTTGCCGGCATAGCCCGACGAGAGCTTTGCCCGCATCCGTGCGTGCGCTTTGTCGTCACGCATGCTCAAGATCGAGTCGCCGGCAGGACCAGGGCTGAAGCGAAATGACTGGTACCCTGGCGCCCGGCCCCATGGGGAGCGGACGTTGCCAATCTTCTTGATCTCGGCAGGGTCGCTGAGTAGCACGTAGTCGGGCGCCATTACCACCACTGGGCCGTACTTCCCGTGCAAGTCCAACATCATGTCGATGTACTGGCCTCGCAAAACCAGCCGAATGACCCAGAGATGCGTGATGCGTGCCCAGAATGGTCCCGGAATGTGGCGGAGCTTCTGATATTCGCCGAATCGATTGACAGCATAGTAAACCAGGGCGAGCACGGCGGTCAGTGCGGCAACGTGAAGAAACATCTTCTCGAACTTTGCGATCAAAAGACGCTGCAAATTACCTCGGGCGTGGCATGTAGGCTGGGCGTTGAGGCACTGTCACAGTGGCACAGTGACAGGATGGCAAGCGATTTAAAGAGCCGCGCTACCAACAAGTCGTTGCCCGGTCGTTTCTCTGCGAGATAAAGGAGAGCCGATACGCAGGGAGCCATCCGCGGACGACTCCGAGTGGCTGATTCTGACCTATGTGTAGTGGAAACTCGACGAACTACCTATTTATTCGAGTATAGCTTTATAGCGTCGCAGATTACGTATCACACCCTGCAGAAACTCTGCAGGAATCACATTGTGGTACGATCCAGTGATGGTGGGAATTGCCTTGGCCGAGCAAAACGCCCGTGGATTGTCTCCATTTCTATACCGGGGATCCGGGGGTCCTCCCTAGCGTACCGTTCTGCCGGGACCGATCAAGTCCAGGTTGCTCGACTGTGGGCCCTGGGGAACTCCAACTCATATTCAAACTTGGTCGAAGGCCTTTCGGTCAGCGCTGCTTCAGCCTGCTAGGTTCAGGAAACTGTTGGTCTCATTCCCGGCCCCCCGGGCCGTCACTGTGCAGTATGTGAGGGGATGTTATCATCCCCTGCCAATCTCGATACAAGCCTCCCAACTTGAGTTACCGCGTAGACGAGATCGAGACAAGGTTGGCGAACCGATTCCGAAAATGGAAAACACTTAGTCAATATGGATATACCTCTTGTATACGGCCCCGACTGCTTTGTTTGTTTCTTTCTCCATTCGTCACTTTGTTCAGCCACCAGTGACATCAGACTTAACAGCAGCCATGGCCATCGACCCGATCATAGAGGCCGCCTTCGGGCCACCACCGGAAAACATCGACCTCGATCAAAGTCGCGTCATGACCAACACTGTTATTGCTACAGTGCTTCTCATCGTAGCCGCAGTTGCCGTCATCCTGAGACTATGGGTCAGGAGGATCAAAGGGGCTGAGCTCGGACCAGATGACTGGGCCATCATAGCTGGATTGGTACGAATATCCTCAGCTGGGATTCTGATGGTTCCTCCAGGAAGGGTAAGCTGACTCAGTAAGTTCTTCAATGCTGGTTCTGCCGGCATGGTTATCCCTACAGATGCGTATGGGTCCGGGCAACACGTGTGGGCCATATCGTCCTTACAGTTGGTGACGGCAGCCAAGGTACGACCACTCTGTTCTGAATACCTTCATGGACTTTTACAATGGCTAATCATTGGGCTTGTTACAGATTCTATTCTTCTATACCTTCGTCCTCGGCTTTTGTGTCTCTTTCAACAAGCTATCGGTCCTTTTATTTTTCAACCGACTATTCAGCGTACACAAGGGTCACGATGATATTTTCCTCAAGCTTGGGTCTTGGCTTGCTGGACTTTTCGCAGCCTCGGTCCCATTCATACTTATCATTGTAATGTGCGTTGCCTGTCAGCCTACCTCTTACTATTGGACTCAGTTTGGTGGAGCCAAGGGAACCTGCACCGTTGACACAGGGACGTTTTTCTGGACATATGGAGCTCTGAATGCTTTCTTCGACTTCCTGATACTATTCTTGCCTATCCTGTCGATCTTGCGACTGCAGATGTCATCCAAGAAGAAGGCCGCTGTCTGCGGCATAATGCTTTTGGGCAGCTTGTGAGTCAAGCGACAGCACAACCCATAAGATTCGACTGCATAAGTTACTGATAACTCTGACTTAGCGTCTGTGTCACTGGTGTCGTTCGAACGTTGTACATGTACAGATTTGCCCACTCAGTCGATATTACTTGGCTGATGGGTGAGATCTGTGTTTGGGTAAGAGGACTTAACCCGACCTTCCAAAACCATACTCACGCAATACCCCAGTCATCCATTGAGCCGTCCGTCGGTATTGTATCCGCCTGCCTACCTAGCCTTGGGCCCCTTCTCGTCAAGCTTCGAGAAAGAGTGATGAGCCAGCCCAGCTCCCGTACCTACGTCACTCACGAGTCGCAAGGGAGGCGAGGCGGGCATTGGGGTCAACGAGGCTCTGCGGGGCTGAACTTCAAGAGCATCCTCTCTCCTCGGTCCAAAGAAGACGATGAGATTCAACTCCACCACATCTCCCAGACATCAAGCGACACTGTCCATCGGTAAGATGACAATGGTTATGCTGGTTGGCCCCGAAGAAACCGGGGAAAGGGACTCATGGAGAATGGAGCCTCATATCGGTTGCAATTCTGGGCGTAGCAAATTGTATCCGCCTAGCTCCGTGTCTAACCCAGGAATCGTTCAGATGTCGGCCTCGGGTGCTGCTAGTCGACTTGAGCTGTGTCCTCGTCTCGCAAGACGGGAACTGCCGAACATCCTTGTTGGAAGTGCTCGTAGCTGGTAGATTCTGGACCGCCGGCATAGCCATAGGTGTTCGAGCCGCAAGGCGTGTCATGCCGAAAGGCGGTTTCGTCGAATGCCTTGCCCCCCTGGATATCTGATCTGACCTTGCCGTTTATTTGTAGGAGGCATGGCCGAGTTGATTGGGCGGTTGGCTGAGGGCGTACATTCCTGAATGTTGACTCTCGCCTCTCACCCAACTTTGAGCACTGTAGTCACTGTCCCAAACGCCGCGCACTCTGTGGGGCGGTGACGGTCTGAGCTTTGCCGAGGTAAGACGTGTCCAGTGGTGGATGCCTGGTGTCACAGGCCGGCGTGGCGCTGTCCGTCGCCGAACGTCACTTCTTGGCATCCGAATTCAGCCGCCACCACGCCGTCCGGCCGTCCGACGCTTCACGAACAAGCAAACAAGCCACTTAGTTCAGCGTACCAGTACCTTTTCACAACAAAACAGCATACAGACCGCTCAATAAGCATCATATTGAGAATAAATGATACCACGTCTCTGGTACTCACTCTCACCGCTATCACCCAAGCTGTGTATCACAGCAGCACTGTCTCACAAATACACACATACACACATACAACATCAACACACATCTGAGCAGCACAAATAAGCTACATACACCATCAAGACTCACCTCACCACACAACACCAAAACCAAACCAAGATGGGCACACCCTTCATCTCGCTCCTAGAGCCGACCCGGCTCGACGGCTACGACCGCACCAAGCCACACACCCAGCAACCGTCGCACATCCCACCCCTCTTCATCGACGCAATGGAAGTGCGCGAGACCGTCTTCGTCACGGAGCAGCAGTGGCCCCTAGAGTGCGAGCACGACGCCGACGACGCGCGCTCGTGCCACTGGGTCACGTACGCCAGCGTGAACCGCACCACGCGCGCCGAAGTGCGCGACCCAACCACAAACGAGGTCACCCAACCGCGCCAGTCCGAGACGCGCAGCATGCCCATCGGCACGCTGCGCATAGTCCCCTTCCCGCACCCGCCGCACCCGCCGCCGGGCGGGCGGTACGTCGACGGCGAGCTCCAACAAGAAGCCGACGACGAGGTGCACGCCAGCCCGGCCGACGAGCGGCGCGAGAACGCAGACATGCCGTTCGGGAACGACCGCGCCACCACGTTCCACGACGGCAGGGAGCCCTATGTCGGTGTCGGCCGCGTCGCCGTCGTCCCCGAATTCCGCGGCCACCGCGTCGCCGACCAGCTCTGGGCCGCCGCCAAGCGCTGGCTCGAGGAGAACCCGGCCTACTTCAACCCCAGCGTCAGCTCCCTGGGCATGGACCGGCTTGAGGCCGCCGCCGCGACCGACATCCCCAAGTGGAATGGTCTGGTCTGCACTCACGCGCAAGAGGCCGTGGTTAAGGTCTACCAGAGATGGGGCTTCCAGGTTGACGAGGGTATGGGCAAATGGACCGAGCAGGGGATTCCGCATGTGGGCATGTTCATGCGTTTGCAGGTAAAGGAGACAGATCCGAAAATATGATCAGAGGGAGGAAGGGACATGATGAACTTTTAGGAATATGCACTCTACGTACGGTGAGAGTGACGTGCAGTGACCTACAGAGCAGACACCAGTCCGTCGGCTAGAGATACTCGCACTGGGATACCAAATGATACCACATTTTCACTTCTGTTCCTGCTCCCTGCACCAAGTGATACCATCCGAGATTAGTCATTTCATTCATTTTGGCCCCCACGGGCAGAGCTTTATTGAGGAGCCCTCTATGACTACTATGCCATGGTACCACATCCCGCCTGAGCCAGAACGCACAAATGCAGATGTAAAATGCCCAGATCGTCCACGCCGAAGAAAACCCAGAAAGAGAACCCCCTGTTTATCGGTTGCTCTTGGCGACACGCTCCAGCTCATCCTTCTTCTTGATGGCGTACGAGTTGCTGCTTCCCTTGGCAGCGTTGATCAGCTCCTCAGCCAGACACTCGGCAATCGACTTGACGTTGCGGAAAGAAGCCTCGCGGGCACCGGTGGTCAGCAGGGCAATGGCCTGGTTGACTCTTCGGAGGGGCGACACATCGACGGCTTGTCTTCGGACGGTACCGGCGGAACCAATTCGGGTGCTGTCTTCTCGGGGACCGCAGTTGACGATGGCGTCGACGGCGATCTGGATGGGGTTCTGGTCGGTCATGAGGTGGATCTGCCAATTATTATTAGAGCCAACCCAACATATTGTATTCGTGTCCTGGGCGCACGTACGATCTCGAAAGAGTGGGCAACAATGCGGACAGCCATCAGCTTCTTGCCGTTGTTGCGGCCGTGCATCATCAACGAGTTCGTCAATCGCTCGATGATGGGGCAGTTGGCCTTGCGGAATCGCTTGACGGCATATCGGCCGGCGGAGTGGGGGATGAAGACCGGGGACCGAATTTGGATGTAATCACTATCGAGACTCCTCCATTAGCTCGTAGTCGCAACAGCAGGATCTTGGTAGCCACTCACGTCAACGAGATATCACGGATCTCGACATCCTCGTAGCTCCCTACACTGGTGATCAGTCGCAATGCTCATGGCGGGCTGGCGTCAATGCGGGAAAAAATACAGCGGTTGAAAAGCTTGATGCTGCCGACCTCCGAGACGACGTCCTTGGGAAGGACCTGGTGGGTGCTGGATTCAACCTCGATCTCGCCGTTGTCAGACATGTTGGGCAGTTGCTGCTGATGAATTTGTCGAGAGAGGATCGCGATCTTCCGCTATTGAGAGGTCAGAGAAATTTGGGGTTACTTTGCGCAAGTCTTGAAATTTTGGCCGATTAAGCGAAGAAAGTGGCAGTGGTGCGCTAGGGCTCGATATGTGGCAGCTGCAGAAGCCCCGCAGCCCCACCTTGACAGCCTGCCTTCACATGCCCGTTGGGCACTCAATGCAATTGATTGCCAAGCCCCCGAGATACACTCAACCTCCAAAAGTCTCCGTACATCCCTCGTTCAGCAAGCGTGGTATATATCCATTATAATGGAATAAGCACTCCCGAATAAGCATCACAAATGGCTTTTTGAGATAAAGCTGCTTATTCTAGGCTGCTTATTCTATTAATATGGATGCAGCATTGATATCCACGATTGATCGAGGGATGCCGGACGGAGACTTATGGGGGGTGACTGTAACAACGTCCTCCGTCATCGACTCGCAGTCTACAGTCTACACCAACACAGAGTATGGAGCGGCAGTCAATTCCGGGGTGTCTCTAGACGACGGGATGTATGGAATCAACCACCATGCGACGACGAACTGGACTGCGAACAAACCACCTATTGACTGCCCAATCCTGCATGATGTCGTGCACGACTCAAGCTTATAACTGCAAGTTACTTGGAGGACCTGGTTGTCTGTACGGGACATATACAATGCCTCATGTAGTGCTCCGTGGGAGTATTAGGAAGTATGACTTGAGGCTCTACAGACCTTTCGTGATATCGGTATGCAGCATGAAGAACCTCTAGAAGTCTCCGTACACCCACCGTTCAGCGCGCGAGGAATATATTCATCATAATGCCATAAGCACCCTGGAATAAGCAGCATCAATCCAAGAAACTATATTGGTGCTTATTCCATGGTGCTTATTTAATTAATATGAACATAAAACTGGCATATTCGACATGATAGAGGGATGCCGGGCGGGGACTTATGGGGGATAACTGTAGCGAGATAAGATAACCATACAGGTCATGGGCTGTTGGTGACTCTTGTTATATTCTTTGTTCTAGAATAACTTAGTCCATCATCATTCGCCTCTGGCTCGGTTGCTGACGTGTTTTGGATGTACGCAGGCCGGCTTCGCCTTTCCTTTACCGAACCCCCCTGACTCCTCAAGCCGTCTCTTTCTTTCGGCAGCCTGCCAGGTGTACTTTTCTGGCCCAAACCTCCAACCATAGTTCTCCCTGTTGTATGGACGCTTCATGCGCCGAACAGGGTCCAGTGCGTCCTGGTAGGATCTAAGCTTCCTACAGTATTCGGAATCTGGGTGGATGCGAGCCCAAATCCTGTCCGCAAAATCGTGCTCCTCGTTCCAGATGTCGAGAAGCTCTTGCAGCTCAAATACATCCTGATAGCCTTGATCTGACCAGTGGAAAACGTAGCTGTCTTGCATCTTCTCAGGAGTTAACATCGGGTGCGGTACCGTCCAGGCGGTGCTAAAGTCGATAAAAAGACCTTTGAGTACGTTGCCGGTGTTGATGTCCCGGCAGAGAATGCCACTGCGGTGGAGAGTCTTCAGGTTACGGATGAGCCGAGCCCCCGACCTGCGATCCATCATCGCGTTGACTAGTCTCAAATTGAAGTCCCGATATTTATAAGCGTCCATATCATGGAGGATAGGCGCGTCGACGAATTCTTTGACAAGCGCCCGCAACGGCTTGCCTCGGTGCACCGGCTTATAACCCCAGTCGCGTTCCCATTGCTGGTTATCCTTTTGCCGCATCAGTTTCTGTAGCTTGTTGTTGAGCATGATGTATCCGTAACAGCGTGCGGCCAAGTTTTCCTCCTTTCCAAGCTCCCGGAGCCTGCCATAAGCTCTACAACAGTAAGTCAGACGACACCGTATCGCCTGCAGGGTAGACTCAGAAGATCACCTGCACTCGCAGAAGAAAGGATCCAGGTAGGCCAGCTCTTCCTCAGCTGTCAAGTTGAGACCCCATCGCGGGAGGGCCTTGAAGCGTTTATAAAAATTGAACTATGCCACGTTTTAGGTGGGCATGCTTCAGTCACTTGAGGGGCACTTACGATTTTGAGCGCATAAACCTTTCCGTTTATTTTACTTTCCATACATGAGCGTGAATTCCCTTCGCAATGTGATAGAGGAACTCGAGTTGCAGATGTTTCCCAGATGCGTCGAACGGTGCCGTTTTGGGCCCTGGAACCTGGGGAAGAGCGGCCATGTCATTGCCATGTCATTGCCCGGTGATGACTTTCGAGCTAGCAGATGCTGCTGGGACTGGGAGGAAATCACATACAGATTGCCTGCAGGCCGAGCGACTACCGAATGAAGTATTCTTGGTGACTTTGTTGACAAGGAGGAACAAAAGACTCCGGAGGCGGCAGGCTCCGGATTGGTTGCTTTGTCTCGGAGTCCTCAGCCCCAGCAACACTTCACAAAAAAGTGACCCATTGCGTCACACAGGAAGAAAATAAAAATAAATAAATTATCATACATACAATCTCATAATCCTAGCTCTATCTCGCACTTCAGTCTTTCGGCGTGGAACTTCAAAACCTCGCTAGCCCTGATTGGGTCGATTTCACTGCAGAGAAACTCCAATCTCTTTGACATGTACAGACGCGTGGGTGTCATCTGGGGTGTTGGAGGTGGGCATGTCTGCGTTTGTCGGCCGTTCGTTGGCTTGCACACCTTCGTTGAATTTGTCAAGCCTAGCGCGTCCATGAACATAGGATACAAAGGTGCTGGGGAATTTCTTCGAAAGCCCCCACTGCCGCTATGTGGTTCTGTCCCTTTATTACCCAGAAACAGGGCAAGTTTCTCTTTGTACAAGTGGAATGGCCCTACCTTGACAGTCATTGACAGCTGGCTCGTGCTCAAAATACGTTCGGTTAGGTGATGTAGATAAAGCTCCTGGCCCTGGCATAAAAACTTATACCAGACATCCAATGGCTCCATCTGTGTCTTTTCCACAAGCTTACGGTGCTTATCGTTCATTCCGAGCATCGCTAGCGCGTATATGCCTTTGCATGCTGGCATTTCACCAGGCGTGTATGCCCACGGAACTGTAGTATGTTGAACACCCATCCGCTCCGGATTAGTCCTGTTAGGAATGCTGTAGAACCGGAAGAACGTCACATCCCTTGAGTTCATCACGAAAGCGTACCTGTTGTTGCTGTGAGCCGAATACATAGCCACCTGACCCATAGTGACCCTTACTTTCTTGAACCGGGTCCTATCTCTCATGTCATCTGCATCATAGACTTTGAAGCGTTTGTTGTCTCCGTTAGCGGCAACCATGCCGTCTCTCGCCGGGATCTCAATATGGCATGACGTTTTGGTAGCTTCGGGAACCCCTTCTGACTTGCTACTGGCCACCCACTGAGGAGTGTCGGACTCGAGACAACGTAGTGCACAGGCCAATCCGGCTTTTTGACTCCGCTTTTTTTAGAGTCATCTTTACCTGGCTGCTTGGAAAGTCGTGTTTTATGGCGTAATCTCTTTCTCTTCGAGTCGGCCCGAGGTACAGCACCGTCTCTATTCGTACCTATGCCTTCGAAGGTCATGGCAACGTTCAGCGCGCCTTTCATTCACCCTCTCTTGCAGCACTCGACCAGTTTCGCCCCAAGTCTTCCGGAGGATTGGTGCTATAGACCTCTCAAACATGGAGTACAAGTCTTTTTCTTGTACAACTTTGAAGGTCTCGTTTGCAGCATTTCCCGCACTGCTGATGGGACCTTCCTCCCATGTGATATGCTGGTCGAGAAGATCACCAAACAGAAGGTCGATGTTTTCTTCAGTGAAGTCTTCCCAGGGCTCAGTGTCTTCGAAGGCAATTTCGATGAAATCAGGATGCCACTTTGTACCGTCAGATCTGGACTCGTTGCGCTCGATCTTCACTGAAGGTATAGCAAGTAAATATGAGATTTGGCCTTGCTTTGGTCGCTTGAACTTTTCATAAGTCTCAGTGCCCTGTATGGTCGACTCTGAGGAGGTGCCGCCATCTTCACTGGCAGTAGTCAGTTTCTAAGATATTGTCGCTGAGTGTTTCGGTTCTGGCAGGGCGCTGTTACCAATTGCTGGTGTTGGATGTCGATCAGAATAACACGAGTATCAATTTGTGTATGGTGTTCGCAATGTAATCACATCAATAGAATTGAGGAACCGACTGACCTTCATAGATGCGTCGCTAACGTTCTAGATCGCGAGAGGCCATGTGAGCCTTACCCTTATTCCATCCCACTTCACAACAAGGCTTTATGCTCAAGGGAATAAGTTCCATTGTGTGGAACGACCGGAGCGGCCGTGGTAGTGATAGGGCTTTGAAGTGTAATACCGCTCAAAGAAAGGTTCCTCCCTGAGAGTGTCTAGACCGCGTACACAACAAACCCACCCAACTTGCCTCTGCCTAGGTATCTAATAATAGTTTACAATTGTGATGAACCTTGATAGACCCTCACCTGAATGCTTAGTTAGCGCCGAGATATCGACAAAGGGCTTTTATACACCTTGTAGCAGTGAAGATGGGGATTTCAGACCAGATAGGTAGGGAAAATGGTCTAGATATGCCTAGCTTGCCCTGGAAACCAACCGGCAAAGAGATATTAGTTCCATCGTGTCTGATATTATGTTTTGATATCGTGCGAGAGGATACAAGCCCCAGCCGCACACTTTCAACGAAACGCCTCTCCATCCCCCGGCTCATCCACACCAAGCGCAATCTTGCCTACCGTCGTCCCCGACTCGACCCTGCGATGAGCCTCTCTGATGCCCTCGGCCGTGAGCCGCAACCTCTGCGTCAGATGACACTTCACGACGCCCTCGTCCACGAGCCGGCCCAGCTCCTCGTACCACTCGTGGTGCTTCTCCTGCCGGTCGTTCTCGTAGCCGTGGTACGCCCCGCTCCCGAGCCAGCACCACGCGAACGTCAGCGACTTGCTCATGAACTGCGTCCCGTACATGTCGAACTTGGCCTGCACGATGCTGCAGACTTTCCCGAACGGCGCCAGAATGTCTGCGATCGGTGCGAGGTACTGCTCGGTGCGCGAGGTTATGAAGGCGTACTTCAGGGGGACCCCGGCCGGTAGGTCCAGCTCGCGGATCTGCCGCACGATGTCCTCACGGTGGTTGACGACATGCGTGGCGCCCATCTTGCGGGAGAACTGCTCCGTCTCGGGCCGCGACGCCGTCGTGATCACGACGGGCAGCTGCAGCACGCGGCGGGCGATCTGCGAGGCGATGGACCCCATGCCGCCGCCTCCGTTGATGATCAATATGCCCGCGTTCTCGCCCTTCTTGATCTCCAGTCTGTCGGCCAGCGACTCGTAGGCCGTGCCGTACGTCAGCGGCATGGCCGCCGCCTGCACGAAGTCGAGCGAGCTGGGCTTGTGGCTTGCGTGCCGCTCGTCCACGATCTGCTCCTCGGCGTACGAGCCCTGCAGCACGGGCGAGCCTAGGTAGAAGATCTCGTCGCCCGGCTTGATGCTTTTGACGTCGGGACCGGTCTCGACGACGACGCCGGCACCATCATACCCCATGATGTGGAGGTTTGGCGACTCCTGGGTCAGTGGCTTGACCCGGTCATAGTAGTCGGGGGCGTCGTCGTATGTGCCGTTGCGGACCTTGATATCGATCGGATTGACGGAGACGGCTTTCACCTGGACCCAGATCTGGCGACCAGTTGGCTGTGCTGGCCTAGGCACTTTCCTAGGTTGCAGATTCTCGACGGGGCCGTACTGTGAGACGCCGACGGCACGCATTGTGGAAGAGGAGGGCATCGTATGTTTGGGCCAGTACAAGAGAAGATGATTTTCCCCTTGTGTATCCAGTACGGACAGTTGCCGTCTCGCTCAAACAGTTGCGATCGTAACCTTTTCATTAATGTCTCATGGGCGGCTGGTACCTACTACTCCACCTATTCGTATCGTGCGTTGTAGTGACGTCGCCATGAAGTCACATTAAGAGTCAGCTCAGTCGCATTTGGTCATCAACCTCTCCCAGACGATTTCTAAGCTTTGAAGCACACGGAATTCTTTGAGGTTTGTGCAACTCCGAGAGACTCTTGAAAGTCCAGCAGTGCTGGTCATAGTCAAGGTAATCAACAGCTCCGGCTACCTTCTGCTGCTATCAGGCCCACGATCGTCACATTAGGCCAGAAAGATTGTCCCATGGGAGCGATTATAATATGAGAAGCAACAAACTCTGGGATCGAATCAGAAGAAAATGTAGAGAGGAGACACCGAGAGCGCCGTGCCTGCCATGTGGCCGTGCAGCGGGTGTCCGAGTTTGTGGTTGGAGCTGCGTAGGAATCCCATCTACAATCTTCCCTCTCGCCGTCGCTGTGAGACCCAGGCGATATGAGTGAGGTCTGAAGATGAGAAAATAACATTCATTGAGGGGTACCTCCTCAGTCACTGAGTCATAGTCGGAGCGGAAAATAAAGGCCCAGAAGAGCTCGGCGAGAAACCAAGCAAAGGAGGTAGCTAGAGCGAAGTTCGCTTGCAGAGTGCGAAAAAAGGAGGGCGCTCAGAACATTGAAGCAACATGGGGGGCAACCCAGCCAATCAAACGCGCCACGATGTGGCTTATCGGCGCGGCTGCTAGCTGCCAGCCAAACTGCGAAGCCCGGACGGAACCTGGACCTTCCGCCCGCTCACTTTAACCAGCTGGAAGCAAGACACTCCTATCCGACAATTCCACGGCGATGACAGATAGGCCATTGGATTGCTCCCTTAGCAGCAACAGCTAGCTAGCTTACCCCTTTTCCCTTCCCATCTCCTTCTCCTGTATAATAGTAAAATCAAGTCTCCGTGCTGTGACAACACCAATTCCCCCATTCTCCCCTTTGCGCTCTCACCCTCCACCATCCACCCACGATGACGACGGAAACCCGGGGCTCCGTGCGGCAGCGCAAAGCCCAAGCCGCCGCCCCCCAAGAAAAGCAGCCGCTCGTGGAAGAGGTCGACTCGTCCGAAGCCGAGGAGATCGAGCGGAACACCAGCAGCGCCCCAAAACCGCGGCCCTCGCCCAAGCAGCGCCTCGACGACGAGGACGAGGCCTACAGCCCCTGGGTCGACATCCTGCGCGTGCTGTCGTTCCTGGCCGTCGCGTCGTGCGCGCTGAGCTACCTGATCTCGGGCGGCGAGTCGTACATGTGGGGAGTGCGGCACACGCCGCGGTACATGCAGGTCGAGTGGTGGAAGAGCCAGTTGGTACGTACTTGGCAGGGCAGCTCCTGATCCCATGAGAGATTTCAAGGCTGGGTCTATATCTAGTGTCTCCAGAAGGGACAGGGGAAGCACATCCACGATGACCACTTTACTAACAAGACCATCTCCCACAGCGCGGCCCCATCTACCTAACCCCGGCCGAGCTCGCCACCTACGACGGCACCGACGAAACCCTTCCCGTCTACCTCGCCATCAACGGCACGATCTACGACGTCTCCTCCAACCGGCGGACCTACGGGCCGGGCGGGTCCTACCGGTTCTTCGCGGGCGCCGACGCGTCGCGCAGCTACGTGACGGGCTGCTTCGCCGAGGACCGCACGGCCGACATGCGCGGCGTCGAGGACATGTACCTGCCGCTCGACGACGCGGAAGTCGACAAGCACTGGACCGCGGCCGACATGGCGGCCCTGCGCGAGAAGGAGCTGGCCGAGGCGCGCCGTAGGGTCCACGAGGGCCTGCTGCACTGGGTCAAGTTCTTTGAGAACAACGCCAAGTATCCGCGCGTCGGGTACGTGAAGCGCGAGGAGGGCTGGCTGGAGAGGGAGCCCCGAAGGGAGCTGTGCAAGACGGCGGCGAAGGGAAGGAAGCCAAGGAAGATCCCTGGGAAGGAGTAGGTGTAGCTAAAGGAGCCGCTGGGGGCTGTTGTATAACGCGGTGTTATGGTGTCAAGTTCATCGAGTGCGGCCCCAAAAACTGTTCGTCGGAAGACTACAAGTACGGATCAGAGCATCGTGATGTGGTGATGAGCATCGCATGTCCCAATTCGTAGCAACTCGGCAGGCCCTAGATGAGAAGTAATCTGTAACAAAACGCATTGATGGTCCAGATAACAAACCCACATCAAGTCTTTGCTAAGTCAAGATCCAGTCAACTTGAAAATCTCTCTGATACATGGGGTATATTATCAAAAAGCCCAGAAGGACTCTCTTTCTAAAATGCACAGAAGAGGTATGCAGCCAACAACCAGCCACCACCACTAGGGGGCAACAGTATGGCATGCATCCGTATACAACAGCAACAACACCCAACATAAAAAAGCATCTTTCTCTTCCCCGAAGAACCCGCACGGCGAGCCCGCCCCAGTCCGGCAACAGCGTTGGACATCACTATCCAACCGCAGACCTCGAAACTTCCGGCCTTGCAATGGGAAGTCCCAAACCATGAAGTGAACACATCTCGGCGCGGCCTTTTTGGTTTCTCTCTTCTATATTAATTTACATAGCCCCCTCCCGGTATCATAAGCCAGTTCATCCAACCCAACTCCCGAAATCGCAGTCACGCACACAGCAGGCCCGGTTGGATCATAGCAGCAGGAGGGCGGCGACGGCGGCGCTGAGCAGACCCATGGAGCTAGAGACGGCGAGCACGGAACCGGCACCGGTTCCGACGGTGGTTGTGGCGCTGGCCGAGGCGCTAGAACCGCTTCCGGTCGCGGTACCGCTGCTGCCGGTGCTGCCAGTACTGCCGGTGCTGCTGCCGCCAGAGGTTGTGCTGCCGGCGCCCGAGGTGACGGTGCCGGGGTCGATGTTGGCGGGGGCTACGGCGGCCAAGGCCTGGAATTGCGTCAGGGTGCGCGACGCGTTGGCACCGGGGCTTTGAGGACATGTTAGTTAGCTAAAGAGCGCATCATATGTTTGGTTGGCAGTGTATGAAACTCACTTCTCGTTAACGACCATGACCATGCCGGCCTGGCAGTGCTTGGCCTGCGAGCAGTAGAACCACAGGGGCGTGGCGACGGTGACCATCATGGTGTAGGTGGGGATGGCGCCCATGGCCTCGCTGGAGGCGACGTCCATGTAGCCCGAGAACATGCCCGTCATGTTGGTGTGCTGCGAGATGGGCGTGCACGGGTTGTCGAAGTTGGACTGCACGACGCTGTGGTTGCCGCCGCGGAACTGGAACTGGATCATCTCGCCCGGGTTCGCCTTGATGTTGTTCGGGCTGTAGATGTTCTGCTTGTCCGTCGTGCCCACCGAGACGACGTGCACGGTCTGCGCCGAGGCCAGGCCCATCAAGGCGGCGGCGGTGAGGGTCGTGAAGAGCATGTTGGCGGGTATGTGTGAGGTATCCTGACTTCGTGTGGTGTAAAGAGCGGCTGCGTCGAAAAGAGCGGACTGGTTCGTTGAAGAGAAAGTGGGCTGTGGTAATAAAGCGACTCGCGCTGGGTAGGACTAGCCTGACGAATGTGTATTAAAGTACGAGAAGGTGTACAGAAGAAGAAGCAGAGAGAGGAATGGAAAGAAGGTTGAAAGAGGGAAGAAAATCGATCAACAAAGATGGAACTGAGCAGGAGAAAAGAGAAACGGTCCCTGGCATGATCGGGAGCAGCATGAATATAACGAGGCCGGATCAGTCCAGACCGGAACGACGCAAGGATCGCCATAGGGTGATGAGCTGATGAGCGGCGCCCATGTCTTCGACGTCTGAAGTCTGGGGTGGCGGAGGGAGGGTGATGAGAGCCATGAAACGCGTTTTGACCGTGATCCTGACCTGCGGTTAGCAACGCCACCATCTCCTCCAAATATCCATCAGACGGGCGCTCGCCCAGCCGGCCTGTCTTTCCTCGGCTTCTCTGCTTCGGCTGAAGAGCTTGCCAGCCTGTCCTGCCCGCTTGAGCAATCATATGGTCTCTTTAGCAGTCACTGGTCAGTCCCCCAGATTGGGTTGCGCAGTCAGTCTAAGTCTTCTTTGGTCTCCTTGAGGCCCTCGAACATGGGGAGCGCCGGGCCTCTATATCCCATTGTGATGGTTACTGCAAATGATCCAGACGGCAGCAAGGCATCGATTGAAGGCCTCCCGAACGAGAACGTCGACACCAGCTTGGCTGTCAGGCCGTGTTGAGCTGAGGTGAGTGAAGCCGAATTAAGGTCGAGGGTTAAGCGACAGGGTCGGGGTTTGACCAGGGTCGTCAACCAGGGTCGTGTCGGGGCACGGATGTGCTTCAAGACGGGCCTGTTGCGACACGTGCAAAACCAGCCGGGTTTCACCCCCGACTCCAGGTCTCGAGTCTTCACCCTCCCCCATTCACTGAATAGGAGATTTAAGCGACGAAATAGAGGCGTCTTGTCGTTTGAGCCTCGAGTTGGTGTTCGGACGACACTGGACACTGGACAGACAAACAGACAGACAGACAGACCACACGTCAAAGCCCCTCGGCTGCTGAGAAGACGGAGGTTTCAGGGTATTTACCACACTTCTGGCACCAGAAGGCTTGTTTCACGGAACCAGACCTTTCGTCAGGCCAGCCTTCGTTTGGTGTCGCCATCAATCTTGGAACCATGTCCTGGCAAGGCTCCTGTCTTACCTATCACGTATGGTCCTACGAAATCTGCAAAATATAGGTCCGCGGGACAGTGTATTCGCCGCTCTCGAAACACGCCAGCGAGATTGAATGAGGCTCGTACAGTAGGTTGTTAGCCTCAAGCACGCCATACGCGGGATTGATAACATTGACAAATCGAATCAATAGTCACGAAAGTTTCCGTATACTTGGGGATCCGCCAAGTCGGCATCAGTTGAAGGCTGCAAGAACTCCAGCCTCTTCACATCCTTCAGATTCACCGCAACGGTGCTTGTGGGAACACTTTCGGACACGGGCCCAGAGAATATCTGTTGTGTTGTTAGCTATCGAGGCCTCGTGACATGCTGACGACCAAAGCCGCGGTAGAGAAGAGCGGCAGCTGATATATCGCGTTCGTTCAGCACCGTGAAGGCAATGGAGCTTGAAGCGGCGCAGGACAAACGATTTCTTCATCACCGCGGGTTACTTCTCCAACAAGGAGGTCGTCAAGACTATTCGCAAGAACTTCCCCGAGTACAAGGACAAGCTGCCTGCCGAGTCTCTGGAGGGAGGCGACTACCCAGATGACGGCCTCTACAAGCAGAATCAAGAAAGGGGCAATACGTATGCTTCGAGCGACCGTCCTTCAATCCCTCCGTGACCAGCCAGAGGCACCGTCCGAACGAACCTTCCTGATCTCCTTACACATAGCCACGCGGACAAGCAAACTTTGACTGGGGCACCCACTCCCCGCCTAGCCACCAGCGCAAAACCTTACCCCCAGGAGCACTCTCACCGGAGAGGTCAGCATTGTCTGTTGGTAAATACAAGATTCTGCCTCGGCACGCCAATGGTAAAATGATCCGTCATGCGCTCAAAGAAAGCCTCCTCATCAAACTTATCCTCGACGGGGAAGCCGACGTCATAATCCCCCGTCACCCTCGCCACTACCGAACGCAACTCCGTCATCGCCAGGTTCTTCCCCGCGCAGTTGTATGGCCTAGTAGAAAAGGGGATGAACGCGGCCCTGTTGCGAACCAACTCGGGCCTCGACGTCCAGCGCTCGGGGATGAAGCTGTCGGGGAAGGCGTAGTTCCGCGGGTCGCGCGCGAGCCGGTACGGCGGGATGGAGACGACGGCGTTTCCGGGGACGAAGACGGCGCCGATCTGGAGGCCTTCGGGCGGCGTGACGCGCTGGGCGCCGAAGAGGACGGGAGGGTGCAGGCGGAGGACCTCGTTGAGGACCGAGTCGAGGACGGGCTGGCGGCGGAGGCAGGAGTACTGCGAGGCCGCGAAGACGGCGTCCATCTCCTTGCGAATGTCATCCAAGGCGGACGGGTGCATGGCGAGGTAGATGAATATGAGGCTGAGGGCCGCGCCGGTCGTGTCGCTGGGACTGCTTCAGCCTGTTGTGACCATTGGGTATTGGGGGGGACGTGGCTCTACCTTCCAGCACCGATGATCAGGCGCGCCTCTGCATCCAAGAGGATCTTGCCCTGCCTGTCGTTTGGCGTGTTTTTCATGAGATGGCCCATGAGGTCAGGCTCGGGGTTCGCAATCTATGAAGACGAGTCAGCTTTGGATGGATGGAAACTCGTGTGGTGGGAAAAGAACTCTTCTTCGAAGCTCCACCTGCTCTGCAGACCAGTCGTTGAAAAACTTCATGGGGCTTGGAACGCGGGAGCAGCGTTTGAGCATGCTCAAGATCCATGGCACATGAAGCAGGAGGCTCATTCCTTCCACGCCCTTGCGGATTCCGACTATAACTTTCTTCGCCGTGTCGGTTGATTTCCCCTCTGTAAAGCCAGTGGTTTTGCCAAAGGCCAAGGCACTCATCACGTCATAGCTGTAATGTTCGCAGATCTCATTGATGGCGACAGCTTGTGCTGTGTTTTCCTCGATCCGGTTGAGAAGACTGTCGGTAAAACCTTCGATGCGCGGGCCGAAGAGAGCAAGAGCTGCATATCGTCAGTGCTTCCCAATATCACACCCAGACGAGGACGCTTACATTCCTTGAAGCCGTTATCCCAAACCCTACGTCTCTGACGATGAAAGCGTCTGTCCCGTGTCGTGTGCACAGTTTGCTCCAAGGACCCGTAAAAGGGCCCCTTGGTGGTCTTTGAGGACAGACCAAGCACAGGAGTGATGGCATCTGGATCAGATATCGATAGCTCTCGGGGACCTGCAGAGCGTCAGTTGCTCGGCTTTTTCATGGCATCGTTGACGTATAAGTATAGGTAGTCTGACACACCGACTCGGACATAGTCTCCATATCTGTCATGTAAATCATCCAAAACGTGGAACCAGCGGAAATTCGACTTGAACACCATTATCATTGACCAGAACTTTGAAAGTTTTGCGCCAAAAGGCCCTGGGAAATCATTGAGAGGATGTAAGAAGGCTCGATAGACAAGGATGCTCGTAAAAAGGCCGAGGAAAAAGCATGCGCAAAGGAGCAGCCCCTAATACTGGAGAATGGGTATGGTGGCGGCTTGAATTGCAAAGACCCATCCACACACCAAAACCGGGCGTTTGTCCAGATCGAACCTTTTGCAGACGAAGTGATGGGCAACAGCGCCAGAAAAGATGGCCGAAGCCAGCAAGTACAACATTCCCGGGTCTTGAAAGGCTTCGCAGATACAGGAGAAGAGGATTCCAAACTCGCAGTTGGATTCGCAAGCTTGGTACGAGTGATACTCGACGAAGAGCCAGCGAAGCTTCAACGGGGAAGAAGGGTAGCAGCTGACGATGTTATGGGCAACATCTTGGGACTCATGTGCCGTGCGTATCGGCAAAAGGGCTCGGCTGCTTACAGTTCCATGCAGCATGGATATCTATCAGCCACCTGCATGCTGCTCGGGCACGTCGTCCAATGTTAGCAAGGAGCCCTTTCCTAGCGGGGCAAAGATAGAACATGGGCGCGGACCTGGCTGGTTCACTCGGGCGCTTTACAACAGTAAGGTACACAGCTTGTGGTCTGTCTGTAACGATCCTTGTTGCCAATCAACCTATCAGTATCGAAGATCAAGTGGTCCCGCCGCCTTGTTCTGCCCTCCATCATCAAGGAGAAATAGTAGATGTGGTGGCAAGGGCCCAAGCAATGAATGTGTGGTTCCCGGACAGCATCAACATCCATAACCACATCATCCGCGCCCGAACAAGAGCGACAACCGGAACCTGGCAGCGGCCTCATGAAGCTTGACTTGGGCCATCCTTTCCCGAACAACTTCTGCTGCCGTTCCACGGCGAAGTTCGAGGCCTCGTTTGCGTGTGCCGAGACGAGGGAAGACTGACTTGCCGTGAGACTCGGGCCGCGATGTTTTGCGGATTCTCATGTGGTCATATGACCACGATGCATCAATTGGCTGCGGTAGTCCATGGTGCGTCGTGCAGTCAATGATACAGGATCATGTCCGCCATAAGACGAGATCAAGCTCAGAAGACCCAGCCGTGGTGGCCGGTCACATAGGTATGCGTTCGCGGCCACCGCTAACAAGCAAAGGAACCACGAAGTTTGCTAGTTTCTTTTGTTTTTGGCCTTCTTCAACCGACTGCGCTTCACGGCTCTGACCCCTTCTACTCAGCCAAGAACTTCCAAAGAGCATCATCCTCGTCTACATCCACCACCTCACGCCCAAGCACTCATGATAATGCCCGAACTTATCGTGCCAGAGCGGCGCGTGCTGTTGCTGCTACCACTCCCCGGCCCAATTCCTACTCACTTCCTGAGAACATACTAGGTAGCCCGAAGCGGCAACTCACCGACGCAGTACTCGGAGATGAGTCCATCGATTCCATCCGCACCACCCGCGAATCCATCACCATGTCGGCACGTCTCCCACCGCGTCGATATATCCCACGTGAAATCCGAGCACCTCGTCGAAATACATCAAGCAGCACGACGAGGCGGTACGCAAGTCTACTGGAGCTGCCCATTTTCCCCTTCCCTCGTACCAGCCGGCTGGCCGAACATGGAGGTGTATGCGAGCGCTTAAGGCCTTACACCTTGTTCCCCGTAGCGTTGTTATTCGACCTGTCCCAGCGGGCCGAAGTCGAGGCAGATGATGTGCGGCGGGTGGCGCCACGAACTCGTAGTCATCGTACGCGCAAAGCAGCGCGGAACAACATAGAAAGGCGTGTTGTGGTTCCCACCCGAGCTTGGTCGCACTGAGCGTGCGGTGCGTCTCTCCCAGTCTCACGAGGCCTCTCTGAGTACAGGTCAGGAAGGTAGGTAGGAGCAGCATACCAAGTCAAGAACCCAAGTGGATGGATGGATGGATGGATGGATGGATGGGGATATATATATATCTAAAACTCAGCGAAAATTAGCCATCTGACATTCCCATACGAGTATCCCCAAGGACGCTGGTCAATCTAGTCGACAGGACAATATAAATGAAAGTGAGCTCACCCTCCATCTATCCCTGCTGTTCTTTTTACAATTCTGTAGTACACTTTCTGGAGGTCTGGAATTCGAATGTCATATGTGCAATGTTTGATTTTTTTTGGGAGATGATCTGCACTGCCGAAGGCATGTCTGCGTCGTCCTCCTCCCTTCCCTGTCTGTCAAACCGGTATCGGTACAGGTTTCGTAGAATGCGCCCAGGCCTCTTGATCGATGTCTAGAATTTCCAGAACATGTTGATCAATATGTCGTTACGAGATAGATGAAATCTGTGGGGTGGGAATCTTGATGTCTGCTATGAATCGACATTCAGAAAAGAAACCTACAAAATAGATGGACCAGGGGCATGCTGGCAATAGTACTTCAACTGCCTTAACCATCTTCGCAGTAGTCATGAGCCCAGTTCTAACTATCGCCGCACGTTTGAACCAGATGGTACTGAGTTACAGCGCGGCCTACATTCGATATGAAGAATACATTTCACTGGTACGAGATACAGGTCTGGAGCAAGGGACAGATGGAAGCATGCGCTGGTTGCGGCCATCAGAATTTGGTCACGTATTATTCAAACTTCATCGAAGTCTTAACACGTTCTACTTTCCTCCATTCAGCTCGATGTTAGGGCAGAAGGCCTGTACGTCAGAGGCCCTTTCCGCGATCCATACATGGATGAATTAGGCTTGCATTCCGCATCGGAAGTTCGTATCTTCCTGTTCCTACGGTAAATCCTGACATTAGGGGTGGTCCCGGAACACCTGCATATTTCCCCAATCCTCTTTCTTGCAAGTGATATTGTATGAACCGACTCCTCTCGGACCAATGCCTGCTTCTACCGAATAGATGGTTGTAAGGCAGAGCAGCAAGACCGAATGTTGCGAGCTGAGGTATCATAAGACGTGCCCAGTGTGACAATGTCAAAGGCCGTGAAGTATTCCCGGTCGGCGGTCAGGTCATGCATGTTCCTGTATCATGCACTGCAGCAGCTGCCCCCTTGATAGTTGTGGCCGTGACAGTAGCCGTTCTGCAAGTCCAAGCTGTTACACAGCGAGGGCTGTAGCCTATACCACACAGGGTACGAACAACCCAACAGCCTGACACTTGTCTCGCGAACAGTAAAGCATGCCTAGTCTCTCGCAACAGCAGGCCGCCAGAGTAGTATAGGGAGCACAAACCCTCCAGGCCCGTATTCGAAACAAAACCTTCGCTCAAAGATCAAGCAGCAGCTGCGGCGCGACCTTTTCCAAATCCTCGACCTAGCCATCACATCAGCATCAGTACCAGTATCGGTCCATTCCCACAAACCCATTCCCAGGAAGCACAACCCCAGACCGACCGTATCCCCAAGAGCAAGCAAACAAGCAAGGCACAGAAACTCACCTCCAAAAACCCCGCCCCCTTCTCGACCGCCGTCCGCGCAACCGCTTCGCGCACAAAGATGTCCATGTACTTCGCGACGGCCGCGTTGGCGTCCCGCGAGATGCGCGTGCCGTCCTTCTCGAAGAACTCGTGCAGCAGGCGCGTCAGCAGCTCGGGCGGGATCGTCTTCTGCGCCTCGTCGTCGTCGTCGTCCTTGTCCTCTTGATCTTCTTCCCCATTATTATTGTCCTCCTCCTCGTCTTGATCAACTTCCATGGCCTGCTCCTGCCGTTGTCGCTCGCGTCGCGGCGGGTCGTCGTCGTCGTCGTCCGCAAAGGGGTCTAGGTCGCTCTGGTCCGAGTTAATTATCTGCGGGGACTGCAACGTCTGTCTTCCGCCGCGGGAGGATGACGAGGCTGCGTGTTGTCGCTTCGACGTCGATGCGGGTTTGGCTTTGGGCGGTCGTCCAGCGGCTGATGATGCGCCTCTGCCGCGGGCCGTGGAGGTGGATTGCTTGGGAGGCATTGCGGACGGTGAGAAGATTCCGTAAGCTTTGACGAAGGGCGGGATCTCGAGAATGTGGGTTACGGAGGTGGACAATGTTCGATCAGCCTTACGCGAATCGAATTGAAGGTACGCGTGGAAAGACTGGTGGGGGGAGTGAGGGGCGTACAAGCAACATTGAAGTGGTAATTCCTTCATGCAGGATAGCTTCAAATTGAAGTGGTAGAAGGTAAGTCATCACATGTCACGGCAATTCGGAGTTCAAGCGGAATATAATCGAGATAAGCCACTTGCATTGCCAAATCTATAGGTCGTATACAACATAAAACAGCCGAGGCAAAACGAGGAAAGCAGCGGAGGGGGATGATGCAGGGAATACAGTCAAAGGAATTGCCATAGGATCTAAATTACAGCGGTTGACCAGTCGACAAGGCACCGAAAAGCATTTGCCCTGTCCACCAGTCCTAACCCCAAAATGAAGATGTACCAGAACGCCACAGCAATGTGATGTCGATCTGTTACAACCTTCCACCGCTGCCTCATCACACCCGTTTTGTCACCCCCTATAGCCCGGCCGAGCTGCCAGTCTACTGTATTACACCACCACGTCTCCCATGTCTATCGAGCTCGATCGAGGTACGAGGGCGTATAGCCTACTTGAAGGCCTTGCCGAACATGATGACCTGGAGCTGATCGTAGATCGACAGGACACCAGCACCGGCGACACCACGGAGAATGTTGGCACCAGCACCCTTGAACAGGGACTTGACACCCTCCTTGGCGACGATCTGGCGGGCAGCGTCCAGAGTACCGTTGTACTTGACGGCCTCACCGGAGGTCATCATCATACGACGGCGGATGGTGTCGAGAGGGTAAGAGGCGATACCGGCACCAGTGGTGACAGTCCAGCCGAGAGCGAAGGAAGCCAGGAAGTTGTTTGCGAGAGGACCGACCAGGACGACCGGCTTGATGGAGTCGTACATACCGAAGTACAGACCACGGTAGACAATGATACCGGCGACTGAGGGCATGAAGCCACGGTACAGACCACCGATACCATCACTGGCAAGGGTCTTCTTGTAGACGTCCACGAGACCGTTGAACTGACGGTCACCACCCTTCTTGGCGTTCTTGGCATCGTTGGCCAGACGAGTACGGGCGTAGTCGAGGGAGTAGACGAAGAGGAGGGAAGTGGCACCAGCAGCCTGCGATGTTGATTAGTCAATGATGTTTGAACGGAAGCTGAGAAAGACTTACACCACCGGAGGCAAGGTTACCAGCCATCCACTTGGCGTATCCGTCCTTGTCCTTCTTGTATCCGAACATGGCCTTGAACTTGTCGCGGAAAGCGAAGTTCAGGGCTTGGGTAGGGAAGTATCGGATGACGTTGGCAGTGTTTCCACGCCACAGGGACATGAAACCCTCATCGGCGATAGTGCGCTTGAAGCACTCGCCAATACCAGCGTACTTGCGGTCGAGACGGCCAGTCTTCAACATCTCGTCCTGTTAAGGGAGTTAGTACCCGATACAAAACGAATGCGTAGTCGAGTATGAGCAGCTTCTGCGATCGCGGCAGGGCGCAGCAACAGATGTCAAATGACTGACGATCCATCGCATGTGCAAGCTTTGTTCTGTTGTGCAAGACTGGAGAGTGATGACCTACCTGGTTCTGGATGAGAAGCTTGACACGCTCGATAGGAGCAGCGGCAGTCTTCGAGACGGCGGCAGAGACACCACCCACTGGATAATGTGTCAGTAACATGTAGGTGTGTTGTTCGATACGACAGCGCATCGAATGTCGCGGCAAAGTCGCGCGTGCCGGCCTATTCGGGGGTCTAGTGGGAGAGACATACTCAGGAAGTCCGCCACGAAAGGCTGCAAAGACGATTGTGATCAGCGAAGCTCATAATTGAAACATAGGTGAGGGCGTCAAGGTAAAAATTTGCGCCTATCCAAATCAAACCAAGCTTCTGATATGACCAGATCGACTCGCGTCGACCCGAAAACATCTCTGGACCAGTGATGGATGCCAATTGATGCTGGAGAGTATACGCGATAGCTTGCTGACGATGGGATGGGTGCTGTTGCAAGGTCGGGTTGCTCGCGAGGGAATTAGGGAGATCGGGGCGGGTGCGAACTTACCGGCATGCCCATTACGTGTTGCTTCTGAACCTCAGCCATTTTGTCGGTATTGAATCAAAGACGACTTGATTCTTAAAGAGAAGGAGTGAGTGGAGATGATGAGAGTGAATGGAAACCGGAAGATGGAGGAGAGGTGGAAGATGGAGGATGGATGGAGGTTGCAGGTCGAGAGAAATATTTCTACTGCGACTGGGTCTGCAGAAAAGGGTTGGTCCAGGCTTGGCCGCTTGGGTGAGAAGGGGAAAAATTACTGCGGGTATCGCTCCAGTGGAACAGCTTTTTCTAGCGACTCTTTCCGGGTCTCCGCGCTAGAGATGATACCTGGCAGTGCCCATGATAGGCCCGTGCTTGGTGCGCCCGCCAGCGGTTGCCCCGAGACCAGTGCTGCAGGTGCCTGAGAGGTGCTTGGCCCCTGGGTGTACGCTGAAGTGCATGTCACGTGCCCAGCGCCGTGCTTGTGGACACCTACTGCAAATTGAACAGCGACCTCCAGCTGCTCCCCTGGCACTCTGCTGGGGGTCTGCCGGACAATCTCGGGATGTCCAGGTCCTGCCAAAGGATTCAACAGATACGCGCCGAGCCGTGCCTACAAGCATACCGTATGCATTCCACTCCAGCTTACTATTGTAGGTATCTACCGCATCTTTTCACCTCTTAGACAAATTTGATATCTTTGAATGCTTGGATTTACTTGGATAATACGCACATCTAGCCTTCAAGATGGACAGAGATTGCCGTCGATTACTCGCCCCCTAGCTTCATATCTTCGGTAAAGAGTCAAGGTCAGCATCCACTTGTCCCCAGGATTCAAGGATCCTGTGTGGTCTTTTGTCTGGTCTTCATTCTCCCGAGTCAAGTTCTCGGCTCAAGTGCCCCATAGCGGGTCCCTGATACCTACAGTGATACCAGCCCCTTGACCGTCGGTTGCACGGAGTTTCTCTGGAAGGGTACCGATGTTACACCAGCACTTGAGGCTGCTTCGCATCGTGATCTGTGATTGATTCGAACATATACTTCCGTCGGATGACAATATGTATTGCGGCTGCAGCTGAAACTGGCAGCCTGAGTCGCAGCCTCGCCGTCGGGTTTATACAGCCTGCGAAAGTTAATTTACCCTAAGATTTCCTCTAGGCAGAATCGTACAGTAGCTTGAATGTGTATCTACTCTACGGGATTTCGACTGGGAAGCTTGCTTGGGAATCTACAGCACCATTCAAATTCGCGGAAAACAAGTGCGCAGTCGTTTATTCGAATGCCCACCAGCTAGCTCCTGCTCGGAGTTTGGCAATGAAGCAAGTCACGGTTTGGCGTACCGTATATTCAGGTGTATTTTTGACAACGGATTGGCCACTTGCGGCAGCAGCAGCTTCGTAGCCTCTGTTCATCGGAATATGGCGAGGTTTCATTGCTCGCGGTCATGTCGTAGGCCCGAATATGTTCACATGTTCAGCGGTAGGTCATCCCACGCAACCCGGATTCAACATGTGGACGAAGGAGTACTGGGATAATTGGGTGTTCACTGGGAACCCGTTTCGCAGAACGCCTTTGTGGGCAGAGTGATCAGGGTGTATATTTCCGCCCCTGTCTGAATGCAGCTGCAAAGCTCTTAACCGTGACCTTTCCATGCTACGCCGAGGATCAAATGTCCGAAATCCATCAGGTTCCCCATTCGCGATCCATCTAGTCCGTCAAACTCGTGTCGACCGAAGGTATCTTCATCGTGGTATCGTGAGATTGATTGATGGCTTATTCCGACGCACCGACGGCTCGGGCTGTATTCCATGTCAGCATACTGAGGCTGCACTTCACCGCGACTCGTTTAACATACTGTAGATCTTCATCTTGCTGTGGGTGACGATGGGCTTGATCTGACCCTTCTCCTCAAGGTCGCGCAGGCATTGGCGCGCCAGCGAACCGTTGATCTTTAGTCTGTCGACGAGGGTGGCGACTGTGACGAGGCGGTATGACTGGACATCCTTGTAGAGCTTCTCGGAGGTGGTCTTGTCGAGCAGGACGGCGTGCTGGGCCTTGTCCTTAACTGTATCGCGCGCAAATGGTCAGCTAGGAGTCAGAAGGTACGATATCATCCGCAGTGCTCGGTCGCACTTCCGGCGGCTGCTCGATGTGGGATTATGGTCGCTACTTGCCCTTGCCCCTGCGAAGTTAAAGTCAGTCATGAGAACGCGAGAGTATCGGGGAATATGTGATAACGTACTTGGACCACTTCTTCTTCTGTTTCTTCGCACCAGTTGCTGCAGGTGCCATCTTGAAGGTATTCTTGCTGTTGGTGGTACTGCAGAGGAAATGGTGATTTGTGAAGGTGTGCTGTTCGATTGACCGGATGTGAATTTTGTTAAAGAGTTCGCTTGGGCGTTGTGGGCTACCTACTGCGATTGGAATCACGTGACTTGGGATCCCTATGACGGATGTGGGGTGGTCAATGCTTCCATCTCACTCAATCAGCCTTCAGCCAGTGCCAAAAGGGGCCTGCGGCCCAGTACAGAGCATCAATCCTTTCGTATAAGGCCTGAATGGTGACGCAGAACGACAAGCATGCCACACTTCATCTGTCACCAAGTCATTGCGGTTCCAAAAGGATTTGCATTCGGGGATCTGGGGACCATCTAGTATAACTTTCGCCCTGTACCTGGAGCATCTAGCATGGGAGTCTACGAAAGCCCCATACGGCGTATTCTTCACTACCTTGATGAGAAGCCCAACTAAGTAGCATAGAATATTCGCTGATCTAAGAGGAATTAGGCACCGCATGAACAAGAAACTTCGCAGATTGCACGCTAGGTGAAACACCCATACTTACTTGCCTGAACCGTTAACCTTTAGAGATGCCTTGTTTGGAACCCCTTGTAGCAAGTTCAGAAGACCTGCAGAGTACTCAACCCGAAGAGCCTTGCAGACTGCTTCATCCAACTGTCGAGCCTCTGATTTTCCCGTCTTCGCCATTGCTATGGCATGAACAATGACATGGATGCCGCTGTCCTGCTCACTCGCGGCTTGAACCTTGACCGGGAACCATCCAGCGTCCTTTGGAACACAATGTGCAAGCATCGCAGTTGCTTCCTTCACATTGGGGTGATCATTGATGGGATCTGTGACATCGATGGGATGTGCGACCGTGGAGTGCTTGGGGTTGATTTCGGCCAAGAGGAACACGTTGCTACACTCAGCGCTCATAATTCTCCGTGCGCGCCATGTTAATGAGATTCCACACCACCTGTGAGAATTTCGAAATATTGGAATAAGCATACAGGAATAAACAGCTCTAGTTCGATAAGCTACTTTTAATGCTTATTCCAATGTGCTTATTCCGATTTGAAGGTATACTAACAGTTGATTTCTGGACGGATGCTGTACGGAGACTTATGAAGATTCAGTGTATCGCGACCTTCTGCGGACGTCAAGCGCTCCAAGCTGAGCTCCAAGCGGCCCCCTTGCAAATGTCGAACACGTCCTTCGGAAGACCGCAGGGCAAGGCCGATGACACCAAATTCAGCTATCCGAAGACAAATCGAAGCTCACGCATTCGGAGTCTGCCGTATCTGTCTACATCCCAGGTAACGAGTCGGACGATAACGAGTCGGACGAGGAGAACTGGTCTCCCGACAGTGACCGGCCGTTGACTAGTTATTCCGATACGCATACAGTTGCAGGCCGTGCATCCACAGCGAAGTCTGTGCTTGGCCAAATCCGCAATACAGGCAACGTTGCCGCGGGGCGTTCTCGCGCGAAGGACTTGGCCACGGCTAGGCCAGTGGGCGAGAATGTAGACCCAGAAGTTGATGCGGAGGTGGCAGCGTTCATGAAGGGCGGCCGGGCGAGTGCCAGCATGTCATCTGAGGATGATCTGGATGGCGTGCATGGGCTATTATCGTTGAGCCAAGGCAGCTGGCGATGGCCAGTCTTGTGCATCGCTCTTGGGACCAGGTTGACAGAGCATCAAGCGCCCCCATTTCGGCTCTCTTCCATTTCCTGGTTCGGTCCCTTCACAAGCCCCCAATCACCCTTCCCAATAGCTTCCCCATTCCGCTTAACCAGCAAGCCAACAGCAATAGGACCCAATATCGTATTCAGTAGTGTAGCCCATATCGCCGTCAGAAAGCCAGCCCGCGAGACATACGGCGTGTTATTATATCCGATCTCCACTATCAGCAGACTAATCTCCCCCCGAGCCACCATCGCCATCCCGAGTAAGAGTCCAGGCGATATCGCGGCCTTCAATTGCGCCGCGCGCCCTGCTGTTTGCGCTGCCGCTGATGGATCCTCTTCGTCGCCCGAGACCGCGTTTTCCATACGACTGCCGCTGATTTCACCAGCCGGTTGCGCAGAAGGTTTCGTAAATGAAGCCCAGATCGGAATCCATATCCCAACAATGAATTTAGTGAGCATAAGTAGTGTGTAGACGACGTCGTGCCAGATGGCGCTACCGGTCCAGAGATCCAGGAACGGGATGGCGAAACCGATGCTGGCGAAGAAGAGCGGCTCAAGGACGAACTTCTGGAACTCAAGGCAGTAGTACTCGAAGGTATGGATGAACGTCGGGCTCTTGTCCTTGTTCCTCTCTCCTTCTTCCCTGTCCAGCACCACGAAGGGTCCTTCGGGGTGCTTGGATGGCAGGTATGACAGAAAGGATCCTGCGAGGAATGCTCCGAACAATACGGAAGTCCCGGCCTCCGCAAATATCAGTATCAGTCGAGTCAAATAGCTATGACTCCGCATGTTGGTGCGGTGAAGAGGTACGTACTGTAAGGCTGTCAGCATGTTTCTAACCTCCTAAGTCCGTGATAATGCTTACCATAACCAGCAATAGCTATAAACGCGGACAAGACCAAAATCATAAGTATAATATTAGAGATATGATCGTACTTCGCAAACCGCCGCTCAAGGAACTTCCGGAAGAACGGCGCAAGCGCAAACTTCGATAGCAAAGGCGTCAGAATAGCCATAGCCGCAGAAGCGAGGATAGGTCGCCCGATGAGCCAACCCAGGCTCTCGCCGCCACTCGAGATATCGCCCAAGTCGTGGATGACGCTGGACATGACCAGGCCCGTGACATCGTCAATAACAGCGGCACTGACCAGGACAGCGCCAACTCGTGTTTGGCTCAAATCCACGGTCTTCGAAGCTCCAGCTATGACTGCGAATGTCGTTCCCAGACTCGTGGCTGATAGTGCGGCTCCTATGATGAAAGTCTCGACCGCGCCGTAAAGCCGAGATACAGCAGCAGATAGCTCAGTCCGATAGGAAATACGACGCCGGTCGCGGCACCCGCAGTGCTGAGCCCGATGTTGGCCCGTAGGAGATCTAGACGGGCTGTCAGGCCGCCTTCGAAGATGATGAGGATCAAGCCGATGTAGCCTAGGTAGAGGAACGTCTCCTGCCAGTCATGTTGCAGGATGTTCGCAAGAGGTTGACCGTAGATGATCCCTACGGCTATGAGGCCAATGAGCCCAGCTCGGATGAACTTGGTCGAGATGTACTCGGCCAGCCAGAGGAAGGTGAAAAAAGACACTAGGATCAAGATGTCGACAACGCCTGGCTCATGGTACGGCAGGAACCGTTGGTCCGATCCCGCTTCTGCTCCTGATTCTTCGCTCATATTTGCTATACCTCGCCGTCGATGCTAACGAGTGACGTTCTATTGCTAGTGGTCTCCGCCGCGGAGCGTTCCATGGACCTGACCAACGCTAAAGCGCTCGGCCTTCCAACCTCAAACTGCGGTAGACGATAGGGTGCGAGTCCAGGATCCGTTCAATATGCTTTGTTGGTGGTCTCGAACGTTCGCGACCCCGGATCAATATATATCGTGCCGCTACGAGCTCCCCGGCCACCGGCATCATACTCGCAATGATTGCCTTGTTCAGAGAAACCACCGTTAGCCCGTACAAGCTACCCTCTCTGGAGCCTGGGTTGTTCTCGTTCAACAATGTACATGGAACACCCCGTCAATGAGCCCGCCAGACGGATTGCGTCTGACCGCAGCTACGGTGTCCCATATCGAGATCTTGGTGCACTGGTAACAACATGCGATCTCATCCAGGATCATGGTGGCGTACTAGTTTGATGAGTGCGGGAGCGCTACGTTGATCCGAGATGAGAGTGGATTGGTACAAACCCCCAGAAAGCTCAGACGCCTATATGGCGATCAACTGAGCATCCCCGTGGGGGGCATAGTCTGTCACGAAGTTCACACTGAAATGGCCTATGTGAATTTCTAGATGAATCAGCGGACTCTGTTGGTGCAGCGGTCCAATATACCCTCGACTCAGAACTCCGCATGCGTCATTATCAGTCCCTCGGTAGTTGAGCCGGACAGAATCAACCGCGGTCACGGCGTTCTAAGAACGGCCTCATTTGGGGTCCCGTATGGCATATAAGATAACATGCCACCGCACAGCCTATGCGACTTCTTTGGATAAGCTCACCACTGTCTCTCTTTGCTTGAAGCTCAACCTCGGCCCTCCCGCTCTCTTTTCGTTTCGTCCGTTCATCGGACTCTTCTCTCATTCAAAGACTCACGGTCTTTCACTCTTTTCCGCAGCCCGCTGTCCACACACACCATGAAGCTCACCACGCAGAGCGCGGTCATTGGACTGGCTCTGATGGCCACTGCCGCACCTATCGAGAACGAGGTACCTGGTTCCGGAACTGACAAGTCTCTGCCTTCCTTCTCTCTGCCAAGTGGTGGCCTCGAGCTCCCATCTGGACTTGCAGGGAGCGGTGAAGGCGCTCTCCCATCCCTCTCCTTGCCATCTGGCGGGCTGCCTACAGGCTTACCAAGCAGCGGAAATGCTGGGCTTGGAGGACTTGGTAGCTCTCTCCCTTCGATTGCACCAGGCTCAGAGGGACAAGATGGCGGCAGCGCTACCCTTCCCACTGCGCTCCCTCTTCCATCCGCTTCAGACTTCCCAATAATGGGCTCTGGAACAGGTCCCGAGCCGCTCGGTTCCGGCACTGGCCTATCGGGCGCCGGCATTGGCCAGGAAGGCACAAACCTTCCGACGTCGACCATCAAGCAGCGTCAATCACTCGGCTCACTCGGCTCGCTTGGTAGTGGGATAGAGTCTAGTGGCCTTGGTAGTCTCACCAGTGCCATCTCAAGCTCTGGGTCAGGTGGTGAGTTGCGTCTCGAAGATTATCGAGTAACAAGATCACTGATTGTTTTCACAGGCTCATCTCCACTGGGCTCCCTCTCCGGCTCTAGCACTCCTCTTTCAGGCCTTGGCGGATCTTCCGGGCTCGGAGATACCGGTAGTGGGCTAGGCTTCCTTCCCGGTGGAAGCGGATTAGGATCTCTCTCTTCTGGGAGCGGCGGACTGGGCTCCCTACCCAGCGCCGGTAGTCTCGGAAGTGTCATCAAGAAGCGGCAGTTGGGCTCATTAACTGATCCTCTTGCCTCCCTCGGATCCGGTTCTACGCCCGGACTCGGTAGCCTTGGCGGATCTTCCGGGCTCGGAGATGGTGGGCTCGGCTCCCTTTCCGGTGGAAGCGGACTAGGATCTCTCGCTTCTGGGAGCGGTGGACTGGGCTCCCTACCCGGCGCCGGTAGTCTCGGAAGTGTCATCAAGAAGCGGGAATCTGTCCAGGAGAGGCGGCAGTTGGGCTCACTGACAGGGGGCTCAGGTATTTCTGATCCCCTTACCTCCCTCGGATCCGGTGCTACGTCCGGACTCGGTAGCCTCGGGTCGCTCACGCCTAGTCTCGGGGGTTCCGCTTCCCCGCTGGGCTCCCTACCCAGCACTGGTGGTCTCGGAAGTCTTTCCAGCCTTGGTAGTCTCGGAAGTGTCATCAAGGAGCGGCAGTTGGGCTCATTGACAGGGAGCTCAGGTAGTTCTGATCCCCTTGCCTCCCTCGGATCCGGTTCTACATCCGGACTCGGTAGCCTTGGGTCGCTAACGAGTGGTCTTGGGAGTTCGAGCAGCGGTTCCAGTTCTCCGCTGGAATCCCTGCCCAGCACCGGTAGTCTCGGAAGTCTTCCCGGCCTCGGTAGTCTCGGAAGTGGCATCAAGAAGCGGCAATCTGTCCAGGAGAGACGGCAGTTGAGCTCATTGACTAATCCCCTTGCCTCCCTCGGATCCGGTTCTACATCTGGACTCGGTAGCCTTGGGTCGCTCACGCCTAGTCTCGGGAGTGCGAGCAGCGGTTCCAGTTCCCCCTTGGAATCCTTGAGCGGATCTGGTAGCAGTCTTCCCGGCCTCGGTAGTCTCATGGGTGCAGACCCTACCACAAAGACGGTGACTGCGGCTGCCTCTTCGGCGACTTCAGCCGCCTCTTCTTCTGCCACGGACTCATCCACCAGCAACGCTTACCCCTCGGCGCCAGCGAGCTCCTACTCCGGCGGCTCCGCAGCAACAGACGTCACAGACAACACCGGCTGCCGCGACGTGACATTCATCTTCGCTCGCGGAACCACCGAGACAGGCACAATGGGCACAGTCGTCGGCCCACCACTCGCCAAAGGCCTCCAGAGCGCTCTTGGCAGCGACAAAGTCTCGGTCCAGGGTGTCGACTACCCAGCTTCCGCAGAAGGCAACGTCGATATGGGAGGTGACGGCGGTCCAACAATGGCCAAACTCGCCAAGCAAGCTGTGTCGGCATGCCCGAAGACCAAGGTCGTGCTCTCCGGCTACTCGCAGGGCGCAATGGTCGTTCACAATGCTCTGTCGAGCAGTCTGTCTGGAACTCCCATCGCTGCCGTCGTCGTCTTCGGCGATCCATTGAACGGCCAGGCTTTCAGCGGCGTGGACAAGAGCAAGGTGCTTGAGATCTGCGGTTCATCTGACATGATCTGCAATTCTGGACCAACGGATGTGTCGGGTTCTCATCTGGACTACGGGAGTAGTGCGCAGAAGGCTGCCGACTTTGTTGTCACAGCTACCGGCGAGTAGAAGCAAGCAACTCGAGCGGGGGTAGCAAAGGCGGTACAAGTTGTGGGAAGAGCACTGGTTGCTCACCCGTTCGTTCCATTCTTGTACGCTGGTAAACGTATGGCTGAGATCTAGCATGGTACACAGCACATGTATGGCTAAGATACGCATTGATTCACAAGCTTTCTATATTCACCTTCCCGGGGTATCTGCGATACAGTATCCGCCAAGTGATGAATGTTGTGATAGGCATGCAGTGCGGCTCCAGGTACAGCTCCTCTAACTTTTCTGCGGAAGCCAGCACTTTACCCAGGTGGCCTTCTCGGACGATGGCCACCCCATTGACCGCCGTCTCACAGCTGAAGACAAGCTTCAACTTCTTGAGGTTTTAAGAAACTGACACATGCCGTCTAGTCGGCTACGCCACTCACGAAACCACCGACTCTGTCCGCTGCAGTAGCCTGCTATGCAATATCGACATCGGACAATGCATCCTTAACAGCGTTTTCGCCATGCCAAACCATCAAATTAATGCCGTTTCATATCATCTCGCTTTGGGTGGGTAGGCGGGTACGGCCGTCGCCAATTTACAGTGGTGTTGGGCATGGAGTAAGAGCGAGTAAGTGGGAAGGGGAAGCGAAAGGTTGACCTTCAAATGCAGAACAAGCAATTGAGAGGTTGAAATGCGGCGTATAAATTTGTATTGCGGCGTGTTTGCGGTGTTCAGTCTGGGTAAGCCAGGCATAGGATCATGAGACAGAAAAAGGAAAGATCTTGGATTACTAGAAAAGCTTCCTCCCACTACTTCGTGTACTTGTCACACTCCCGGTTGGAGACGCAGGCGCTCTCAGTGAGCTGCCCAATTCATGCTTCGGACTCGGTGTCTTCCTTGAAGGACATCTGGAATGCCGTACTGCATGATTGTTTGGCAATGGGTCCAGATCCCGCGATCTCTTTGACAAGCTTGCAGAGGATCGTCTGCGGGTACCGCACTCTGAAGTCGAACCGTAAGGTCTCGATAATGTGCCGCTTGAGACCAATAAGCATATTGGGCTCACGCCCGTTGCCGCCTGCAAACCTCCAATGTTGCCAGCATACGAATTCGAGGGCTCCCTTGCTTTCGGCTGTGGTCGTCCAAACACCCGGGTTGCGCCCAGAAGAGCGGCATTCTGCGAATCAGTTGTGCCGGACGTGCGTATGCTACCGTACGAGGAAGCTCTTGAGGGTCTCCGCGACTGCGAAAGATAAGCGTGACTGACTGAGAGGTTATACATGTACGTTTGGATGATCCGATTGAAGTATCGTCTAGGCGCTGCACAGGCGATGAAACTTCACAGTCAATCTATCGATAACCTTTGTTCAGAACCTCTAGACCTGGAAGAACCGATGAATCATGTCAAACGCGCCAGACAGGTGCTCAGTGTCCGGGAAGCTACAGTGTTTGTGACATTAGTATCTGCTTCGGACTTCATGTAATCGTGGGAAACCACCATTCCCAAAGGACAGGTACGTACCAAGTCCACAACTACTCCCATATAGGCGAACACCTATCGAGACTATCGAGCGGTACCAAGTCGTTGTATGGAATCTTCTGTGCGATGCTCTGGGCACGAAATCGAAAACGTCGTGCTGTCTATAAAAATCTGCAACGTCCTCCTATTGAAGGGGGAGATGATGGCCGAGTAAAGGTAGTTGATGACGTCTATATTTCAAATCATATATCATCATGTTCCTTGGTAAGTCCGAGCGGTACTGGGCTCACCTGTGTGGCCATTTCTAGCGGCATGGTGAAGGAGGGTCCGGCCGGTGTTGGTGTCGATCAGTCGGTTACGGACCAGGACATGTATGTCAACCTCCAGCTGCTTCGCTAGTTCTTCCAGCTTGGCCTTCAAAGCAATTGAGTTTTCGGCTTGAGAATGGGCGATAACAGCGATGATATCATCCCCCGTGAGGGTGACAGGAGCGGCAGCTATTGAATTTAGTATTTTCATGTCATCAAGTAGATGACAGTGATATACCTACTCGAGTTCAAGGACATGGTGGCTTGGGTGGGTTAGGAATTGTCTAGCAATTGGTATCGCGGACGGTTGGTGATGGCAAGGTGGTTGGTGGCTAGAGACAGTGAAGTGTTGTTGATCTCGAAAGGATGGAAAGAAATTTAATCGAAGGGGGGAGGGTGGGACATGCATGTGCCTCAGGACTCCGTGGTTCACCGAGACACACGAACGATTGATCCCCACCTATTGTTAAGACAATGAAGAAGGTCACTTAAAATGTCCGAGACCCCCCGTATCCCGATGTCCATTGTATTTCAGATGATTCTTGTGACCAATGTCAAGGGACTGATCGTTATTGGGTGAGCTGTTCCTCGTGACTAATCTATCTGATATATAGCGCTGTTTTGGCCTTACCATGTGCCAAGATTGCATGAACATTAGATGGGGAAAATTCCTAGACTGCCACTGACTTGATCTGGGGAACCCACATGGGTAAATCAGAGGAGGATGTCACTCTATATCTTGCGAGGCAGGCGGCAATGCTGGCAGAAGTAATTCTAAATGGCAACGCAGAGCTGTAGAAGATCTCCTTGAAGAGTTTCGTCACAACATGGCTAAGGCCTAGGAATATAACGAGTAATACGCTACACGAACACTAGGAGAAGCGCCGCGCCGAGATATAAGGAATGTGACTTTACATGGTTAAGCTCTGGTTGTTGCTTGACTGTTTGGTGCCTCTACCAAGCGGAATTTTGCACTTTATAAACACAAACATGGACTTCTTAAATCATCTACTAGGTCTACGATAGGTCTCTAATGTCTTGCTTGTGGTATTAAATGATACACACTCCACGGGTCTCGAGATACGGTAATCGCGATACTTACTGTACCTCCATCCAACTCACGATGCCCTGCAGATGATGATCAAAGCATACCAAGTGCTAAATAGTTCCTGAGGCGATGGTATAATAAGGCCGTACTCATGTATCGTCGCGTCGCTTTACATGTGAAACCTACCGGTCGTTATATGTAGCGCTGCATTTCGTGTCTAAGGGGCAAAAGGGGCAAAAGGGGCAAGATGCACATCAGCCACATCAATGTCAGCCACGCCAGTGTCAGCCACAAGAAGCACGGTAAAGGGGTTGCAGTTGAGACGCCGCCAAGTGGACCCCACCTGGCCGCCCACCTGCACGGTCGCGGCGCGACGCGGGCATTGGAGGATTTCCACCTCGTACCTGAAAAGAGGTTCGTATTCCGAGTGCACTTTTTCCACCTTGGGCTTACCATCGCAAGAAAGGAGACGTCAGACCAGACATGCCACGAGGGACGGAATCCACCGTGCCAGCACATTGGGCATTTTGAAAGTATCTCTGCCGACCTAGGTTCTCTTTTTAACCCTCCGTTCAAACTCTCTTTATTGTAATCCGAGACCCCCACGAGGCGCATCTCGTTCCTGCTACCGCCGCGACATTGCCGTCGGAACACTTGTACATTGATCATTCCTTGGATCTTCCCTTTTCTATCGTTCTGTAAATACAAGCCCTCCTATACTCTGACACCAATATGCCGAAACAACGCGCTGTTCTGGGCTTGCGAATTGGCCCCGGGCGAATCTCGATGCTCCTCGTCAGCCTCGGACTATTTGCCCTGTTCACCCTCATTTTTACGCTGCCCAGCGCCATACCCACCGGCCCGAGCCTCTCGAAAACCATAGCCGACTCCAAGGCCACTATACCGAAGTACAAAGATAAAATCTCCTCGAGTATCCTGAACCCCTTCCGGTCGGCGGCGCACAAGCCACCAGAGCAGAAGAACTCGGAATATGGCGGAAGTTCGTGGTATTCAGATTGGAACTGGAGGAACCCCTTCTCTTCGTCCGTCACTCTGGACGAGAACCGATCGCTTCTGCCGCCGTTGAAAGAACGAGCGCCGATATATGCCTACTACGATACGACTATCGAGCGGGATGCTGCAACCAAGGAGGCCGAGAGTGCGCTGCTTTTGACTTGGAGACGGGCATGGTGGGCGCAAGGGTTCAAACCCGTCATCTTGAGCGTAGCGGAAGCCACGAACAATCCCTTGTACCACGAGTTACAAGGAATGGAGGTGGAGCCCACTTTCAAGAAGGATATGATGAGATGGCTGGCCTGGGAGAACATGGGAGGTGGACTGCTGTCACACCACCTATTGTTACCCATGGCAGCTCGTCAAGACCCGCTATTGTCATTCCTCAGAAGAGCTGAATACCCGGCCTTGACAAGGTGGGAAGGCCTCGACGATTCTCTATTCGCTGGTACCCTGACCGAAATCACGACGGCCATCTCCCAGGCTCTTCGAAATCCCCAGAAGAAATCAGCTAAGGATTTGATTTCGGCTGTCTCGAGCGACACCTTCCAGGTCGACCCCTCCCGCGAGTCACTTGCTTTCTATGGCGCCAAGAATGTTGCAAAGTCTTACCCCAAGGTATCAGACGAGCAGACGGCCGACCACGCACGGGGCTTGAAGAGTCTCAATCTTCTCATCAACTCTCACCTGCATAACACCTGGCAGCACCTCTTCAGTGACGGAATTGCTGTCCTCAAGCCTATGCCGACCCATACGAATGTGATGATCGAACCAGCATTGGAACTCGCCACGAGACTTGCTTCATGTAGTGACTCGCCAGTTCCGGCCTCGTGCCCACCAAACCTACCAAAGTGCGTGCCATGCGTCTCGTCACACCCCTTGAAGGTCTCGACGCCAGCGCGCTACCGCAATAAGACGGCAGTCTACACCATTGGTACCGTGCCCCACCCATATACGCTACGCACTCTCGAGGAACTACGTGAAACTATCGATGTGGCCTTTATTCGGCGAGACACGAAACGCGACAACTGGCTTTATGTCGTGTTTCAGGAACTTCTCGGCACCGGCATCTCTGGCTCTGCACGTGTGCTCCGATTCAAAGAAGCCGTGGCTGGAGAATTCGCAACATCCCACTCCCTCTGGCTGACTGGAGAGAAAGAGACCCTGCCTCACGATCTTGACTGGTGGTTCGGCTTTGCCCTCCCGCCGAATGGCACCGATGACGGCAAGTCGGAGACCCCCGTCCCGGGCCCAGAGCGGAGACCGAAGCCGAAGCATGACCCAGCGGATGGGCCGATACCAGACGATTATCAACTGACCCGCGAGCCCGGGCTCTTGAAGAGAGCGCGAGAGGTGGAGAAGAGCAAAGAGGCCAAAGACGTGCGGATAAGAGAAGCCATCGAAGCGTGGAATCTCGCGGACACTGAAGCCTGGCGGTTTGCCAAGGCGTTTTTGGCACGCTCGAGGGTCCAGAGAGAGCAGTGGGAAGAGGAGGAGAGCAAGTTTGCTGACGGCGCGGGTAGAGATACAACAGATGGTGGAAGACGAAGTAGTTGGGCACGTTGGAGCGACGGCGGCGACGAAGACGATGATTAGTAATATTAACGATGCTGGAACATTGCGTTGGTTGGCTGATCTGGCAGGCTTGGGCTTGAAATGCCCAAGGTAGCATTGGAGTTTGTGCATTAGGGACAAACTAGACTAGTTCACTGCTGCCCATACAGGAACCAACAGTACATATAAAGATTCGCTTTAAGGAATGACATGCCGTCATGTCAAGAGTGCGTGGGCGAGCGAATACATTACTTAACCGGGAGGAGCCAAGCCTTTGGGCACTGACTCTGAACCGAGTGATGAACTTTCGAGGTAATCATGCTCTTGCCTTCTGCGATATCTCATCCACCTTCTACCAGGAACCACACGGCCATGGAACGACGACAACACTCAGGGAACCAACTAACCAATCTCCTGACCCAACCCTCTCCCACCCACATCATGCTACCACGGTATCGCCCCCCATCTCGCCGCTCAGCTCCCGCGACGAGGCTCCTCGTCTCGTCAAGCCTGCCGGCGAACCAGCATCGCCCTGACCCGCAAGAACTTTACCTGCACCGTCGCTCTCCGTCTGCGTGCCGCCCGCTACACTCGTCTGCTTTTGCCTCTTCTGGTCGAGTAGCTCCCGGATGTGCAAATTGAGCCACACGCCGTCCAACTGCGCCGGCGTCATGTCCCCGGCGCCGCTGATGCGGCCGCGGCAGGTGGGCTTGCCGCAGGTGCAGGCGAAGGGCTGCGCCATGGACCATTCGGTGGAGGGGTAGAAGAACTGCGGGTTGGGTGAGCTTTGGTTGGAGGTGCAATGGGGGGTTTAGAGGTGGAGCGTGTTCGAGGTAGATAGGGCATTTAAAGGAGTAAAGGGTGAAGCGGGCGAAGTGGGTGAAGTGGTGAAGCGAGTGAGTCTCGAGACAGGTAAAGGGGGCAAAGCAGGTCAGGGGCACAAACGGTCAGCTCGTCCCCAGGAGCGAGGCCCTGCGGTCCGGCGATGACGTTGAAGTTGACAGTATCAAAGATCTGTCAGTTCGCATTAGTATTTGGTGCTGGTCTGTCTAGCTTCCCGTGCTGCTGCTGCCGGGCCTCAAGGATTCAGGATGGTACGGACGAGAGACGGCTCGCACGAGTGGTTGATGAACATCAGGTCGCTGTTCAGGTCGAGGTGCTTCTCCAGTCCACACTGGACCGTCGCGTACGTGGGCGTCTCGGACAGTGTGCAGGGCGGGAAGTCCATCTTGGCGTATAAGCCGAACGGGGCCACGGAGATCTTGGACAGGCTCTTAGATGTGAACTCTTGGTCGTTGCTGATGATGAGTTCTTGGATGCCCGGGTGGGACGGCTGCTTCCAGTGGGGCTTTAGGGGAGCCATGGCGAGTTCTTGAGTGGGTTGAAGTTCGTTTGGTGATCTTGTGTGTTTGATGGTAGTTCAGAAGAAGCCAGCGTGAGAACCTGTAGTCACAGTTCCGTGGATCAATGTTGAGTGTTGAGTCCAAGGGAGGAAGCAGACGGGCAGACGACCAACCAAGATGGGCCCGTCTCCATCTTTACTAGCAATGTCTCCCCCTCGTCCGGATCCGTTAAAGCATGGAGCCGCATGACGCCGTCCCTCCGCGTCGGCCTTCCCCTACCCTTCGGTCCTGGATCCTCGGGTAGTGTTGGTAGTTTAGCGGGGACCGACGGAGTCTAGACTAAGGGGGTGTGGAGGTTGAGGTATTTAAGCCTCTCGACGCATAGCGGCCCTATCACAGGCCAGGACGTGCCCGAAGTGGGCAGGTATTCCGCACAGCTATGCAGTGGATAGTGTCGTGCATGAGGTAGCCTCGTAGGGCTATATGACACGGCGGTGGGACCGAGGCAAGGGGTCAACAATCATGGGCCACATCATGTACGTTCTATACTGCAGAAAATGGCAGTTGGGGTTTGAACAATCCGAGCCAGTCTGCCTCTTTTAACGCAATCAATAAGTATTAGTGATAATACCACCTTGTCTCGATGTAAGTTATTGCGGAGGAGCCTGGGAGAGTCAGTATCTCGGGCAGCGGAAAGCCAGAAGAGCGTGACCATCTGACGGAGTTGAGCCCTTAGTTAGCATCCATAGACGCCAGGGGCAATATGCAAATGGCCGAAAGGCCAGTTGTGGTGTCTTCCATCCAGTCCCAGGCATGAACACGATGGAGTTCTGGTAAACGGAGGTGCGAGATTGACCCGACTGTGATGTCTTGATGCATTGTGTCAAACACGTTGTGCAGGGGACATGCATCTAACCCCAGCGCTGTCCCTTGCCCTGAATTAACAAGATGAACAAATTGGCTTGCCTTGGTATTGAGCCCAGGCATTGTCTCACGACTCAAAGGTCCCCAAATCCAGCCGGGAATTAGTGTTAAGCCCCGGTACTTCTCTCGACGTGGACCTATAACACGCCGGAATCATCTTTTCCCAGCCTTGTGCCGACAGTGAGCCCTCTATCCTTCTTCAGATTTGTTTGGATTTGTTCACCACCCAGACTAAGGTGCACCACGTTCTCCCAAAGTCATGGTTATTGGCTCCTCAAGAAAGCCATGCCTGCCCACCTGGCTTCTCTTGCGCAGGTAGGCTTGCACAACCGGGTGAGACGTGGGTGTCTTTTGAAACTCAGAGTCATAGCCCCGTGTCTTCTTCACAAATCCAAGCACCCACTGAGCTTCCTGATATCGTCCTTCTGCCAGAACTTTCGCGAGCTCGGTGCGCCATTGCCATCATCCATCTTGCTTGGGTGCGCTTATCGCTTCTACTGCTTAGATACAGCCGGGAAATGTGCTCCGGGTCGGCGTCCACGCGTCGCAAAAACAGTAACAGTGGTTCAGCTGTTCGTCGTGTTAGGTGATGTAGTATGCAGGAAGCCTTCATGAGTTGTCCAAGCGGCCCCGGGTCCTCAAAGTGAAGGAATATCGCTAAGCAGCGATCGAAACTCCCAGCATCTGCCTTGGGTCCATGATTTCGGAGTATTGTGCCTACCACAGTCGACGCTTGCCCAACAGGGATTAAGAAGTTATTCGGGCCAGCTTTTCGTTGACCATATCGTTGCTCGTACCCCAGTTCCGAGTAGAAATCGTAAGCTGCATCAGCCGACTCTTCAGGATCCCACCACAGAAGGGCCTCTGTAGCCTTCGCGAAGAGCAGTCCTTTCCAGTTCAGTGCATCGAACGCCCGAATCTTCCGTTTCTTCATTTTCTTGTATAGCACAGGAGTTCGTAGCCAAACTTTCAGTATATCAATAAAGCCGGCGCCGACCAGGATGTCCGCAACCAGCTTGAGAATTTTTCTCCAACAGGCATTAAGCAGTGTCGATAGGGAGCACTGCCAACTTGGGGTAACCTACCGGTCATCCGGGTGGTTTCCCTCGATCTGACTGCGAACAGCCGGGTCCCAGGCTTATTGTAGGACTCTTTTCCCAGCATTGTCAGAAACCACACATACGCGAGCCTCTTCTACCGAAAGCGGACTGGTGTAATTGTGATAGGCCTGTAGACACACGATACCCTTCGCGATGTGATGGAGACCATCATCAGCAGGTGACACGCGGCTGAGGCTATCCAGAATATCCAGGGCGTGACGGCCACCGTGGCGAGATGCTTCACGCTGGACTGCTCTGACCTCGACCTGATGATCAGAGCTCACATTGACAGAGGCGTGATGTGAGAGACTGGAAGGTCTAGGCGGTGGCTGCTTCAAAGGAGTGCTGGAACTCCAACGTCGGAACGCGACCAGAAAGGATGATGGTTGGGGGCCGACGACGACGACCCGCAAATATCCAGTTGTCCACCGATGTGGTGGACCAAGCGCCAGACGGCTCCGGGCTAACTTTAGTATCGTAGCGCGCCGCAACATCGTCATGTTTCCCGCCGTTGAGTGTCACCCTCAGATGAGGTACATATGGAATTAATTCTCCTCAGTGGAGTACTGCGTGCAGGCGTTTGGATTCACAACAGGACGAGGTTCGAAAAAGCAACACCAAACGACTGGGACAGGAGGCGGTCGAAGACGGCAGTATCGCTCGAAAGGGTACTTGACTCTCCAATTGCTACATGGAAGGAGCCGTACACAGCATTTCTACCAATTACTCTTCTTTACCTTACCCAATTGACCGATGATAATATCGCAACACTGGCGTTGGCCAAATCTCACGTCTCACTGCCATAATCATGAGCGTCCACTTACAAGGGCGATCCGTACCTCATTGGTTCTTGCGTGAGTCGTTCGAAGCGAGGTTCGATACTGCATACAGCTGACAGCCCGGGATACCCATCCGGAGTTTCCGACTGTTGCTGGCCCGATCCCGTCACACCTCTGCTCGGCCACCCAGCCATTATTTCCGAGACCCTGGGCTCAAATGCAGGTTCAATGCTGAGAGGCGTTATTGAAGAGCCGAGGTGGCTGGAGGGCAGGTAATATGTGCGGGAGAGGCTGCCTCCCACGTGGCCATATGTACCGAGACATGTACAAGTTGTACATGCATGCAGGGTTACACGGCTTCCTTCCTATCTGGTAAACAACCCTTGACTGTTCAACGTTCCCCTCCAATCCGGTCTTCAGTCACATACAAGGCTTCTCATGACCATCACCACAAGCGCGAACCGTATGTACAGACCTCCCCTTGAATCCATGTCTCGGCCCGGGCCCGGCGACTTCCTCCCGTTAGCTGCTGACGGAATACTACATAATGCTGCAAGTTCATGGCATAGGGTGACGACCCCGTGTTGATCACGGTGCATTGCGCTCTTTCTTGCATTTCATATTCACTTATATGTAAGGAGCTGCCCTCAGCCAGCCCGAGGAACGCGGTCATGTTTGCCACAGCATTGACACAGCGACTCGGGCATCATGAAGCTCACCTCTTCCATTCTCCTCTCCCTGTTGTCCCTGTCAGCCAGGGCAGAGCTCGGCTCAGGTCGACCAAGAAGCGTCAAACGGGCTGAGATTGTGACCGAGGGTGTCCCGCCACCCCCTGGGACATATGTCCCGGTACCTACCTTCTTCGTGGGCAAAAACGCAACAAACTACAGCGCCGTCGCAGCTCCCGTTGATCTCGAAACCCAAGTGGCATACTCGCTCTACCTAGCGAATGCCGGCATGACCGGCCAGGTCATCTTTGGGAGCACGGGAGAGGCCATCCACGTCACGAGGCAGGAACGGATCAACGTCATCTCCAGCACAAGAGCGGCGCTCGACAAAGCGGGCTTCACTGACTACCCTCTGATTGCGGGCGTCGTGACTCAGATTTTTGAAGAGGTTATCGATGAGCTTCAGAAGTCGAAGGATGCGGGTGCGCAATGGGGTCTTTGCCTCGTGCCTGGTTACTTCGCCGTAGCTACCACGCAGGAAGGGATTCTTGGGTGGTACACGGCGGTGGCTGATGCCAGCCCTATGCCTATCATGATGTAAGCATCCCCGGTCACATCTTCCTGGAGTCAAGGCCCATCCTCGAGTGCTCTGGGTCATGTGTGTCAGATGCATCTCGCCATCTTCCGTCTTAGTCATCATGGAACTTGGCCCGAAGAACATGGTCGCCCTGAAATGTTCCATCTCTTGGTCCTCAATTCCGCAGTCACTAATCCACTTGCTTAGATACGACTACCCAACAGTGGCAAACAACATCAAAGTCACGCCAGCCACCTACGCCGAGTTGGCCAAGCACCCCAACATCGTGGGAGCCAAGCTGGCGTTCCAGGACCTCTCCTGGCACGCACAAATCTCCTCGAACCCGTCGATAGACTACACAAAGTTCCACCCCTACACGGGGATAGGGCAGCAGCTTCTGCCCGCCGTGACGGTGGGCGCCTTCGGCGCCATGGACGTCGTTGGCAGCTTCTTCCCCAAGTCCATAGTGCAGCTGTACAAGCTGAGCAGTCTGGCGCAGCCGACGGCTGAGCAGAAGCAGGATGCGCAGGCCCTGCAGTACAAGGTCGCGGCCATGGGCGAGTTCTTGAATACGTACAATATTATTGGAATCAAGGAGGCGGTCAGCCGGCTGAGGGGGTTTGGGAGTCCTGACGCAGTACGGCTGCCGCTGCTGGGGTCGATTACTGAGGACGAGTGGGCGAGCTGGCAGGGCGTTGTGGATGTTTTGCAGGAGGTGGAGGATAGTCTCTAGAAGGGTTGGGCCATAAATCGGTCGTAGAGTCCAGTGGAATCCATCTCGACCTGGGACGGAAGAGCATGTCTCAGCATTGTTCTAATGGTTGATTTCCTCTGCTGATCTAGAATAGAATTACCTGTTTGAAATTGACGACGACGTCAAGACCGAGAGACGCAACCAAAGCGGTGATTCCGCTCTTTGATGCTACCCACTGGTGTGACAGCAATCCCAACTCGACGGCGACAGAGGCTTTCGCTCGGAACAGGTGAATATACCAGCCACATCAGCGTGATGACACACCAGTCGCGGAGGAGGGCTTCGCCGTACTCATCGTCGCGAATGGTATCGTGCACCTCCTGCTCGGTTCCTACTATCAAGCATGCGTAGAGGGGCTCCGTGGCGTCGACGGGGAATGTCCGCCGCTGCTTCTCGAGCTCGTCTGTCCTGACCTCAATGGAAGAAGTGGGGATCCACGGTCCGCAACTTCTCTGTGGTGTGAATACCTTCATGCTCCTGCCCCGCATTCTTCAAGATGTGATCCGTTTGGAAAGCCATCAAGGTTGCCTTGGCAGAGCAGAGGTGACGTGCATTAACCTCGTCGATCCTTCAACATCCCGAGGTACCGCTGGGTGATTTGTCACTCGGCCTCTCAACCAGGGAACAGGATACTCGGGACTGCGCGTTCAATCAACAGTATCCTGACGTGTCTCGTCGCTTGGACTGATATCGAACCTTCTCCGAAATGCCTGATAGGCAGCCATCCCGCGCTGAGTTTTATGAGTTGGCGTTCGCTTGGCTCTGCCGCCAAGATCACGACCAGTCCGGGCCACTGGCTGTGGGGAGGGATATCGGCCTTGCCTTCTGGACTTTGTGTCACAGTGCTTGAACGTCATCCCGGTGCCATCGGATGGCTGCGGCGGGTCGTAGCGCAGCTGTCAGGCAACACAAGGGGAGCCTGCGCTACCACGTCGTCGCGCTGTCAATCCAGCCGGAGATTCCATGCAGAGAAGAAGGCCTCATTAGGAAATGGGTCGTCATACCAAGAGTCTCTGGTTCGCTGCCTTCATTCCGGGCAGGATATGTGTCGCCTCCTCCTGTTGCGCTCGGGAGCCTGGGCACTGCATGGAGCAAATCCCGAACGCCTGTGAGTTGGTGAGAACCTCTCTGGACGGGAACGGCTGATACTTGTCGAGGATCAGACTGTGATAATATTTGATTGCTAATCTTCCACGTGGCCGTCTCGGTAGGCACCCGAAAGGGCTCCGCTACGCAAGTACTCCAGTAGGGCGGCGTATCGCTCATGATGGCGGCGCGCTACGATGTCTCGACTAAGAGCCGCACCCAAGAAGCCCGTGGGTAGGTGCCTACGGAGATTATACAGGTGGGGTTGGTGTGACAAAAGCTGCCAAAGTGATGCTGACAGGATGCTTATTAGGCGGGTTTGACAAATCTACTTCCCTCCCTTATACCGGCCGATTTCATATAAAAGGGGAGCGTGGCATATCGCTCAGCTCCTCCAAGTCTTCACCCATAGAATCCAGTCATACACTACCTAGCCAAACATCTCTCTACCAACTCACCCACGGTCTCCTCACGATGAACACCTACCCCAGAAGCCAGCGGTTCTGGTCTGGCGACTTCAGGCAGTCACTCGTGAACACCGAAGACATGAACCAAAAACCTCGACCGCCTCCACAGCCGCAGCCACCAACGCCCAACCCGCCAGGCCCTGATGACCACCATGTTGGTGACCTGTGATGGTGTTTCGACCATCCGGCTCAGTTCCATTCGGACCTGAAGCCTGATGGGGAAAGAAAGCATTCTTCAAGTCACCGTCAATGGTATGGATACTCGAGGCTCGCCCCCTGAATTCTAGGACAAAGTACTGATATCTTGTCGATAGGGAGGAATACCAACGACCCGAAGGACCGATGTATGGCTCATAGGCCTAAGCGCTAATGGCTTTCATCCATACAGCTGGCCGCATATCTCCTTGGGGACGTTGGTAGGGCCCCGTCCCGATTGTCATCACAGCTCTTGTTATTGCTGGTCATTGAGTGTGTTACGGGCTTCTCCTACTGCACTTCTTCTGGGAAAATCCTGTACGATATCTGACAGTAGCATGTCATTGTTACAGCTTCATGCTTGGATATGGCCGAGTGTCTTGAATAAACCATGTTCTACATGAGAAGTCGTCCCAAAATTCCCTCGAGACTGCGCTTGACTGCAGAGACGGGATTACGAGTAGGCCACCTGATCTGATGTGTATACCGCGAGACGAGGTGCAGTCCTAAGAGAGCTGCGTATCTAGAGACGGTCATCGAGTTGGGGAGGCATACTTCACAATGCGTTATAGCATACCGTGATTGATTGGTTGGTTGGCTGGTTGGCTGCAATATTTAATGTCTAACCCAGTGGCCACAGGGGCGATGTGACGTGACAAGCAGTCCACCTGTACATACAAGTGGCTTCTAAAGCCAATTCAAGCCTCCATCAGGGCGAGGGTACCGTGACCATGCATTCACTCCCTCAGAACGTCGTTTCTACAGTATATCGTGGCTGGATGAGACTGGCATCTACCCTTTGTAGAGCACTGTATGTCTCTTCCACTTCAGGGGCCAAGCGTTTTCTCTAAATTAATCTCCACGTGAGCCTGTTGGACAACAGGTTTTTGAAAGGGGTAAAGGAGGTGAAAGAGGGTTAAAGGTGGTTATTCACTCAATCCTCTGGCACCCCTATATATTACGCTCCTTGATTAGTGCTCCTTCACAAACATGTTCCACCATGCGAGTGTGGTCCATCGAAGCGGTGATTGCGGCACATAGGCAGTGTTAGAGTTGAATGCCACGTCCAGAGCGGTACGAGAAGTACACACATATGGGGCTTTGAAGGCTTGTTCGGTATGTCGAAGCCATAGAAGCAACGGCGGACCAAGCATATAAAGTACCTAGTACACGCAGCATGTCCAACCCCCTTTCAGCTGTTGACGCACTTGAACTTGTTTGATTCCCCAGGCACGCCGTCCTAGGTACGCATCGCCGCTCGTCCCAGGCACATATCGCTGCTCGTCCCAAATAAGCGTCGCTGCTTGTGCCTGATACGCATCGCCGTTGTGCCTGAAAGGAACCCTGTATATGCGCACGTGAATTTGATTTTGGCTTTCCCTCCGATTTTCCACCACTTTGTTGTTTCTGTGGAAGGCCCTAACCATCATTCGCCCCCGACAACATTGAACGTGGTGATTTCCGAGCACACCTCCTTCCACACCTCCTTCCACCTACCACCGTGTTGGGTAAACCTTCCCCGAATTCATCATCTGTGCATGCGATAACGCCGTCGCACCTTCGTCTTCCCTCGCCAGCAGTACCTTCCTTCCCTTCTGTACCTGCCTCATCCGACCTGCCTGTCGACGTCAGCAGCTCATTCCAAGTAAGTCGCCGTCTCTTTGACCCCAGTCTCGACATGTGCCAACTTGTACTCTGTGTCTTCCACTGCCACCATCGCTGGCCAACCTCTTCTTCACACACATCTCCCCCGTCCACGGTCAAGAAAAAGCGCGCCTCCACAGATCTGGCTCATGATCTTGTATGCCTACCTACGCATTGCTGCTTGCTGTCTGCTGTCTGCTGTCGTTCACTACTTTTTTTTGGTATGTTGATGCACGCCCCAGTGCCCCAATTCCCAAGCACCCGAGCAACCATTGCCTCCACCCACCCCAAGACGCGGCATCACCGTGGTGACCAGCCTCGCAGCACCAAATTCACCACGGCGATGCTCGTGCCCCACGCCGTTTTCTCAAGCCTGGCATCCATCTCTCCATCTCTCCATCCGACCCTGCATCCGTTCCTCGCATCACAACCCGAATCACCCACCGTGACCATCTCTTGCGTGCTGGCTCGAAGTCTCGATGCCCAATTTCGATCTTCAATCACAAAGTCACGGCATTTGGCGGCGAATCTGCACGCACCTGCACCTATCCCTTTATGCGCATGACCCTGCACCACATCGCACAATGGCTACCCGCAAAAAGATTATCAAGAATCTGTACAGCAAGCTCAAGGAGAGCCAGGCGGATGACGCTCCCCTACCTTCGCCCACCCTCGTTGAGATCAAGTTCTACCTGAAGCGTCACAAGCGCTGCAGGCAGATCTGGCTCGAAAACGATCCGGAGCCCCTTGATCCTCTTGCTCTGCCTTCCCAGGACATCCCTCAATTCATCTTATCACAGCTTCAAGCCCAGAATATCGCTGACAAGCCTAGACACTCTGTCCAGATCTCTACAATCCTTGCCGTCCTTTCTGAGGACCTCGCACGAACGCCCACTGAAGGCCGACCGGTTCCTACGCTTTTCCTCTGGCACAGTTCTGGGGGCGACAAACGACGCACCTACTGCATCTTCGCCCACCTTACGCGCTCTATGGAGTCACGTACCTATAGTGCCGAGGAGCTGCTCGAGCTCAGAAGCTCGGAGAATCACCAAACCCTGCTGAAGATGCTCAAAGTCAACCCCGAAATCGGTAAGAAACTGTCCATTCGAATTACAATTATTTGCCACAGTTCACGAATCCTTCCCCTCGATCGAAGCGAAGTGAATATACTCTGATCATACTGACGTCTTCAATTAGGTGACGTAGTCAAAGGCAAAGGCAACATGCCACCTGCTCAGGCCCGACGACTGAAGAAGCCGAAGGAGGACCCCTCGTCATCCACAGAGAGCGAGGAGATCATCTTCCAAGGCAACCAGGCCAAGAAGCAGCCTCAACAGGGCATCGGAGAAGACATGCAGTGGAAGTATAGAGGCCGAAGCGCATCTGAAGTCACCTCAAGCGAGCCCCTTTCGGCCCCTACAGGACTCGCTGCGCAGCAAAGTGAAGGCTTCCAGAGATTCTTTAAAGCAGTGGTCTCTCCCACACATGTCCGCGTTACCGCTGGTGGCAGAATTGTCCCCAACACCCGAAACTCCGCATCTCCCATGGCGAAATGGGACAAGGATCGATCGGCCCCGGAGGGACAAGAGTCGGCTGAGGCCATCAAAGAGGCAAAGCCTGAACCTGCCCCCGGCATCAATCACCAGGCGCCACCCCCGATGATCTCGCCCATCTATCCAGGCCATCCTGCGTTCTTTCAACACATGGGAATGCCTATGCCCCTTTACCACCCCATGCAGAATGGGTTCCCCTTTGCTTACGGCTATCCGCCTCTGCAGCCCCACGTAGCGCAGTCAGGTCCTTCGCAATTCGAATCCAGCCAGAGTCAACAGAATGCTGGGATGGCTTCGACCGGTACCAAGACCGAAGGGGGAACTAGCGATAAGTTGGCCGCTGCTCCGGTCAGGATTTCGCCTCCTGAAAACTTCGATCAGAACCGACCTTTCTTCTACAATGGCCAGGTGCTCTATCCTCCCATGGGATCTGCCCCGCCTCAGATGCCCCCTATGATGCCGGTTCCCTACTTCCAGCATGGCATGGTAGGCAACCCGGCGTTTGCTGTTCCCCGTATGCCCTCCATGTCTCAATCATCTGCTGCACCGATGCCCAATCTTCACGGCCCTCAACCAGTTCATTTTGGTGCCGTGCAAGGTGCGGGTGGCCCACCTCAACTGTCGCAACCTCCTGTTGGACCCAAGGGGGGACTCGCACCTCCTATCACTTCGATCAAACCAAGCGACATTACCAAGCGTCAGCTCGATTCGCTGAGATCATCGCTTCGATACTACGAGGACCAGCTGCAGTACAACAAGCACCAGATTGATGAAAAGTGGACTCAGGAACAGGCTCATAAGATCAAGCAGAACATCGCGCAGTTCGAGCACAACTACAAGATGCAGCTGAGCTTTGAAGCCACATACTACCCGAGGTCTGAACAGGGCATCGCAGCGGAGTCAACTTTTTGCAAGACACCCTCTAGACCTTCAAGCATCAAGGGAAACCACGCGAGCGAGTCCTCTCAGCATGGCTCCATCCGGTCTAATGGACACGCTGCTTCTCTCAGACACCTCCAGTCGTTCGATCGCGTCAGCACTCGTTCCAATCCTATCAGGAACAAATCGGCTGTCGGTATCAACTCAAGCAAGGGCAATGACACATCGGCCCAACTAGATGCTGTGGAGGCACACATTATGCGAAAGATGGAGGCCGAGGCGGCTGAAGAAGCGAAGAAGGCTAGTCTTCCGAGTGGTGCTGCCATGGCACCGCCTTTCCGTCCTGGCCCGACGACCGGTTCAGTTCCTAAGCCGATGCCGAACGGTTGGAACCCATCAAACAATATGGGTATGTCTGGAGGGTTCCCCGGTGGATACAACCCAGGTCAATGGCAGTCGTCGGGTGTGCCTGCTCAGACCCAACGTGGTAGCTGGGAAACCGCGCAGTCTGCGTCCACCTACTTCACCAACGCTTCAACACCTGCAGAAGCTGGGACTACTTCTACTGACATATCCGGCCAAAGCGGCTACACCGTCCCTTACCTCGTCGGATCGTTACCCCAGGGAATGAACCCCTATAGCGCCCGGGGAACTGACTATGTGTATTCGCGAGAGCTCACGGACGAGGAGAAACGTGCGCGACATGTCTACTGGGGCCAAGTCTCAAGCAAGGGGTTAGGCTTGCCCAAGTTCGACGGGAAGGATTTCTATCCGCCCTCGCCGGTCAAGGCGTCGGAGGAGTCTGGGCAGGCACCCAAAGTCCGAACTCGACAGATCCCCACTGGACGGCCGGAGGCTGACTACAGCTTTCAGCTGAAAGCTTCGGAGAATGATCCATTCCGTTCAAGCCGTGATGCTGTGAGTATCCGCTCGCATGAGAGCGGCCCGAAGTTCAGCAAGGCCATACCGATCGTGGCGCCTGACGACTCTGGTCGACAAGGCTCGAAGACATCTACCAATGACGGTGCCGGCAAAGCTGATAAGACCAAGTCTGCCTCTGGCAAGTCTACTGGCGAGCCAGTCTCCGACAAAAAATCAGCCTCGCTTAGCCGCAGAGCTTTGGAGAGATCTAGGTAAGCCATGTGATGCCCCATGTTGAACACTGTGTATGACTAACCTGGTCCAGCAACAAATCCGGGCATGAACTTTGGCAAACCATGCTGAAGAAGGGGTCGGGATCGACCAGTGGAAATGCGCTGCCTAGTGCTGTCTCCGCGACCACGGCCACTGCGTATCTGCCCCAGTTCTTCGGACACGCTGCATCGTCGCTGAGCCCGGCGGTCTTGAACACAAACAGCTCTCCCGCTCGTTCTGGCACCGCCAGCCAAGATAAGCCGGGTGAAGTTGATATCTCCCTGCCGGCCGCACAGAAGGTCGGAGAGAACTGTCCACCCAGCTCAGCTCCCTCGTTGGAGTACGACGCCACGAAGGATTTGCATGAGCGTATGCTGCGCGATGCCGAGCGACGAGGCGTCATCGGCTCCGACTGGCAGTAGTGGCTCAGTCTGCCGAGCCTATCATCGAGGAAGAAGCAAACATATTGGTTTTCTTGATCCCGCCACCTTCCCATGATGAAGGGGTGTGACTGTTTTATTAACTCGATACCTTCATCTTTTGTACGGATTAGCTGCATTTGTATGATGAATCGGCCCAGGGTATCTCATGGATTCGTGGTCACAGATATGGTATTTCTGCCCAACAAAGGGGGCACCAAGACGGTTAGCATCTTTAGCCGAATCGAGATGTGCAGAGTTCGCGCTCGCCATGGCATCTCGAGGTTGGCAATGACGATGATGGTATTCTTCCTCTAGAGAGGATTTGAGACGACGTAACAAAAATAGGCGCGGATTGACTAGGACTAGCTAGAGAAGTAGTCCAATACATGGTTGCTACGAGATGTGTCTGAATTGAACGTGATGTTCGTAGTGTGAGATGAAGTACTTTCGAGAGTGGCAGTACACCAGCAACTGCCATGATACTCCCATTCTCGTCCACGAGGCGACCGGAATGTGGGAATACAGGTTCTTTTGGTGTATACGAACGGCTACAGATGCCACTCGCGCTTTGCAGCCCGCCAACAACGTTTCAAGCGTTCATGTGGGAGGTGTTGGAAAGGATGAGGTAGATGGCCGAGAGATTTGTCACCTTTGGACCTCCACCGACTCAATTGGTTGCAAATCTTGCTTGTGAGTGACTGCGGTAACGATCAGAGGAACACTGACGAAGGACGACAAACGTGCCCAAGTCACAGGTAGGATTCGCAGCCTCTTAAGTCGGTGGACGTCGATAACCTTCAAGGCAGAAGAGAAAAAAGGCAACAGGTATGTGCCTCACCATCAAACTTCCAACATCATGGAAGTATCTAATTGGAAGTCTGCAGGCGAGAGCAAAGGATTCAATCCCTTCACTTGGTTTACTCTCCGCCAGGCGTATAGCACGAAGACCATGAATTGGTGGTCAACGTGGTGATATCCAAGCGGTTATCTTACCTTGAGAGAATGGGATTGTCTAACAAGTTATGTTATCCAAGTGATGAGTGAGGGTGCGCAGACATTGAAATGAAACCTGGTGAAGACTCGGGTCCCGACGGTTAGCAAAGCGGTTGGACATCACGATGGCACTGCAAGTCATTGTCAAGGCAAGACTTCGGGATGAACCTCCCATGGAACATTTCGCATAATGTGAAATGGCCATTGTGTGCATGTAATTTGTCTCTTTTCGTGGTGGTGTGTCAAGCAACCAGATGCTGATCCTCGAATCCCTATGCATGAAGTTCAATCCGTTGTCTGCCGTCCCTGGTCATCATACCGGGAGGAAGAAGAGCAGAGCACCCTCTTGACGCCGGTTCCGTTTCGTTTTATTCCCCTCGTCAGTCGGAAAAAGGATGTCGTGATCGATCAAGACGACAACTACCACCTCTTCAGGTTCCCTCCCTCAAGTCCGCTTATTTGGAGGCGTTCTTGCCCTTGGTTCGCAGCTCGCGGCCGACTTTGATGCGCTCCAGGATGTCCTCGCGGTCCTTGTCCAGCTTCAGCTTGTTGATGACGACGTTGCTGGGGTGGATGCCGAGGGGCACGCTCTGGCCCGACGTCTTCTCGCGGGTGACGCGCTCGATGTGGATCTGGTACTTGAGACGGTAGACCGAGGTCACCTTGCCCTCGCGGCCCTTGTTGGATCCGCGGACGATGGTGACTTCGTCGTCTTTTCGGACCGGGATGCTGCGGACCTGGAAGGGGGGAAAATGGATTAAATTCTGTCCCGTGGGAATATGTTGACAGCAGGGGAAGTGGGATGAGGTAGGCTTACATTGTACTTCTCACGCAGCTCCTTGCTGAGGGGCGCGCTCATGATGTTGCGGCGAATGCTCGAGGGCGCACTGAAGTGAGCCTTTCTCGACTTGCGCCGCGAGCTGGCGATACCTTCAGAGCCATGGTCAGATAGGATCCTCAATTGCGGAAAAGTCGTATTGCAATTGAAATGCATCGAGAGGGCGAGCTTACCTGCGTTGACCTTCGTCATCTTGTTAGTAGGGCGTGGGTGGTGACGGGGATCGATTTTCCTTGGTATTGAGAGGAAGTTTCGCGGGTGTGCACGAGGAAAGAGGCAGGATGTTGAAAATGAATGGAGTTGTGGTGGGAAAAGTTCGAGTGGTGCCCTAACATACCAGCCTCAAGCGACCGAACTGACTGTGGCTAGTCAAAGTGTGGCTGGAGCTCAGGTGGAGCCGGCGCCAGAGGCTGGATTATTATGGGACCTCCGTGATGAGCTCCGGCAGCTCTGGTGGGATGATTTCTGAGAACTCTGGTGATCGACGGCAGCGCACCCACGAGCACCTACAGACCCAACCGACAAGATGCTATCGAGAGTAGTACGCCGCAGGGCGCTGCTATCATTGCGCAATACCACTGCGTCCAGAACTCAACTCCAAAGACGGACGTTAGTAGCAGCACCAAAACCGGGCGACGGACCACTCATGGAGAGACGAGCAGACCGGGAGCTTCCAAGTACATACCGCATTCCTGCACCCTCCTCACCGAATCGTCAATTAACCTGCCTCCACAACAGACGTTAAGGAGTTCAGCTGGTCGCGGACCCTACCGATCTTCCTAACGCTCATCGCGCTCTCGAGCGTAGCCATCTTCAACTACCAAAAGTCGTCGTCGCCGGTGGTAGCCTCCACCCTCTACGCGCTGCGGACGAACCGGCGCGCGCGCGAGTACCTGGGCGACGAGATCTACTTCAAGCACCAGATCCCCTGGATCTCGGGCGAGCTGAACCAGATGCGGGGGCGCATCGACGTGCGGTTCGCCGTCAAGGGCACGCGCGCCGCGGGCGTCATGCGCTTCGCCAGCTTCCGGCCCTCGGCCCGCGCCATGTTCGAGACCACCGAGTGGAGCCTCGAGACCGCCGACGGCGAGACCATCGACCTGCTGGACGGGGACGACCCCTTCAGGGGCATGGTTGGCATCGCCATGGACGAGGAGGAGCGCGAAGAGGCGGTCAAGAATAGGGGGTTTAGACAGCAGCTTAAGGGCACGGACTAGGTCTCGAGCTGGTGTACGGGTTCGTGGCTACTTAATGGATGGTGGCTGGGACATTGGCTGGCCTATCTATAGAGCCAGTAGTCCAACGGTGTCAGTTTGGACGGGCTTGCCCAAGAGGCATCTTTTTCTGCTACAGCCCAATTATCTCTACGGAAGTTCGCAAGGCCAGCGAGCATCAGCTCTTCACCCTAGACGTGTATCATAAAGGGGGCCTTTGAAGTTGCAGGTAGAGGAAATGCCTTTATATGACGCCCACACCTTCAGCGGTTTGGTGTGGGATATGTGTACAACATGTATATAATACAAGAGGATATTGATGCTACATCAAAGCCACCGCCTGTCCTATCGTGCCTTGCTTCCTCATCTCCTTCAGCTCCATATGCGCCACCCGCGCCTCCTCCAACCGTGCCTCGTGGTCCGGATTCCGCTCCAGCAGCAGCCTCTTCGCCTTCTCCATGAACGTCTCGGCCGGGGGATCCTTCTTGATGGCGTCGGCGATCTGGACGATGCAGCCCTTGGGCCCAGCGACGTGGCCGTTGACCACGACGATGCCCGTCTCGTTGTCCACCTTCAGCACCCGCAGGTTCTGGATCGTGACCCTCTCGTTGCCCATGCGTCCCGGCATCTTCTTGCCGGGGTGCACACGCGAACCGCCGCCCTGACTGGGGCCCGCCGTTCCGATGGTCCGGTGGTTCTTGGAGTTACCGTGGCTGGCGCCCTGGCCGGCGAAGCCGTGGCGCTTCATGCCACCGGCGAAGCCCATGCCGCGGCTGTTGCTGCGGGCGTCGACGAACTGGCCGACCTTGAACCAGTCGGGCTGCAGCTGGACGCCGACGGGCAGCAGGCCCTCCTCGCCGCGCACCTTGAACTCGGCCAGGTGCCGCTTGGGCGCCACACCCTTGGCCTCGTAGTAGCCCAGCAGCGGCGCCGTCACGTTGCCCGCCGTCTTGTGCCCGCACCCGACCTGCACCGCCCAGTAGCCGTTGCCGCCGCGCGTCTTGGACGCCACCACCTGGCACTGGTCCATCTGCAGGATCGTGCACGGGATCCGCATCCCCTTCGCGTTGAACATGGCCGACACGCCCTTCTTGGTCGCTAGGATCCCCGTCCGGAACGGCGTCGACTGCTCCTTGCGCTTCAGCGCCGCCGCGGGCCCGGCTGTTGGGATGGGCAGGCCGGCCGATGGTTGGTTGAATCGGTTCGGCTTGTCGCGCGGGTTGGCGGTCGACCAGCCGTACTTGACGCCGCGCTTGGCTGTGCGTGGGAGGAGCGTGTGTCGTTCGGTGATGAGGAGGGATCGGGATGGGATGATGGTTGACGTGCTCGTCGTCGACAGGGCCGCTGCCCAGCGGGCTGGCAGTCGGGGTGCCATTTTCGCTGGGAGCTCAATCCGCTCGAGGTTGTATTGGAAAAGCCGGATTGAGTGTGTGACTGGCTTGTCGGGGTGAGTATGGTTGTCAATAGGATCGCTGCAAATGACATCTCAGGGTCTTGATGTTGAGCTCGACTGCTGCTCTGAGGGCAGCTTGGAAAAAATCGGGTGGGTACCAGTACAAGTCGCTGAGCGCAGGGACCACTCGGCGAGTCCCGGTCTTTGTCCAGCACCCTTCTCTCAATTCACCTCTATTGAGCCGTGAGACTTGACTAACACGTACACCCCAGCTGGGTTCTGTATATTTCTTTTAATTCCGTTTCTGCTCTATTCATTCTGAGAAGGAGGCCCACCATGGTCTATTACTTTACGTCGAACACTGTGACGCCTTCGGCGTTCGTCTACGTGGGCAAGGACAAATTTGAGAGTGGGTAGTCCGGCCCTGGTCCAAGTTGGCCATACTGATTGATGAAATCGGGCAGATGAAGAGTTGATCAAGTATGGCTGGGAGGAGGACGTATGGTAGGTGCCACCATCTCCTTGTGAGCTTCTGTATACTCATGCTTCCGCAGGGTATGAGATTCTCTCCCTACCTCACATATTTCTCAAAATCTCATCTTCATCCCCAGTTCCACGTGGACAAGCTCTCCAGCGCACACATCTACCTGCGGCTGAACGAGAACGACACCTGGGACGACATACCGGCGGACCTGGTGACGGACCTGGCGCAGCTGACCAAGGCCAACTCGATCGAGGGCAACAAGAAGGACAACATCACCGTCATCTACACGCCGTGGTCCAACCTTAAGAAGGACGGCAGCATGGCCGCCGGCCAGGTCAGCTTCAAGGACCAGCGCAAGGTCAAGAAGGTTCTGGTCGCCCAGCGCGAGAACCCCATCGTCAACCGCCTCAACAAGACGCGCGTCGAGAGGCAGCCCGACCTCATGCAGGAGAAGGAGGACCACCTACGCATACTAAGGAAGCGGGATCAAGCTGCGCGGCAAGAGCGGGTAAGTCATTCCCACATTCATTATCATCGGTTACCTCCACTTTGAGCATGTGGTTCACTGACAGCCTCGCAGAAGAAGGAAGAAGCCCGCGTCATGAAGGAGAGACAGGAGAAGAAGTGGCAGAAGGACCACGCGTACGATGATCTCTACGACGAGGAGGCCATGGAGGCGGCCAGCAATCAGAACCGGCCCGAGAACTGGGAAGAAGACTTCATGTAGATTCAACATGACTGAAAACGCAAAACCCTATGAATGATGACATGTCCACCCCTCCCGTTCCATGGGTGCGGACCTTCGTACCTAGCCCTTTTCCGTGACCGAACCGTAGATGCATCGCTCCGAACCCCCAAAGAATTGAACTTTTCACCATCATCGAATCACGGACCCGGTCCGCGGCCACCAATACCGCCGCTCATCTGATTCACACCCGTCCCCTTCAGCGCATGGTCATTCGGATTCGGCGCGGCCTCATACAGGATATGCGCCGGCGCGCGTCCCAGCTGCATCCACTCGCCCCTGAAGCCCAGATAGCTGAGCCGCGTGACGTCCTCGTCGCCATCCCCAAAGTTGTCGACGAAGAACAGCGTCAGGCGCTGCACCTTGCCGAACAGGGCGCGCTTGACGGGCAGCTCCTGCACCTCGGACGTCTGCGAGAGCTCGAACTCCTGCGCGGGGGCCAGCTCCTCGGCTGCGTCGAAGTCCAGGTCCTCGCGGTTGATGAAGACGCGCAGGGTGCGCGGGGCGCTGGCCGCGGGCGAGGTGCGCAGGAGGATGGAGTGCAGCTTTACTTGGCCTGTGAATCTGGGATTGGTGTTAGTAGAGATCTATGTAGATATTGAGATGATACCTGATTGAATATGCTTTTGATGGGTTCCAGAGATGTAAGTGCTGAGAAAGGGGCGGCTACGGGAACACCCGATGGACTCACGGTACGGTCATGAGGATCTGCTCATCAGCGTCACTCGCCAGCTCCGGCTCCTCCTGCAGCCGCTCCGTCCAAGTCTTCTTCACGATGGCCTTTCCGGAGCCCGTTGCGGCCTCATTCATGGTGGTGACGTCGTCGAATCTGATGTGTTGATAGAGGCTGCGCTGCAGCGCCGGCGTGATGTCGTCTGAGTGGTCGTGCTCATGATCGTGGTGGTGGTCATGGCCGCCGTGGCCGGCGTGCTCATCGTGGCAATGCGACATGTTTCAAGGCTTCTGCTGGCGTTTCAAGGAAATGATTACTATCGTGGACGAAGAAAAGTTGCTTTATTGAGATTTTTTTGGTGTTTCGTCTCTGCGTCTTGTCTGTCGGTCGCGGTTTGCCTGGGTGGTTTCTTGGTCGAAGTGACCGGGCGGGTAGTTGCGGTGCAGTCATCCACTATATCACAGTAAGGGGGTTCTACTTACCGGACAAACCCAACAGAGGTGTGTCCATTCCCAAACCCGCCTCCTTTTTGATATAGAGTTCGTCATGTGGTGGTCGGATACGAAGATGTATACGGACAGTTGCTTTTCATATTCTTGTCGACAGCACACCAGTTGAGCCTTGAGCAGCGCCTGGACGACCGAGAATGTAACAGTTTACGCTGCACTGAACCCTCATAAGTCTCCGCACACCACCTGTCGTAGTGAATATCGGTATACTATTTAGATTGAAATAAGCACACTGGAATCAACATTGAAACTAATGTGTTGAACTAGGGCTGCTTATTCTTTTATGCGATCTCAAGCACTGGTTGAGGGGCTCTGGCCATTTCTCTGGAAGTAACACTCAAGGACTAGGTGTTACGAACCAACAATACCACGGGCCCATTGGCAGGCCTGAAGGGAAAAGGATGACCTATGAGGGAACCCAATTAGAACGGGGACACAATACAGAACAGCGCAGGGCATCCAGGCACGTGATCCAGGAAGTCAGGATCACGTGACTAGAGTTGCTCACGTCTGCTCACGCGAGCAATGGTGAGCAAGGGAAGGTTGCTCACTTCTGATCACGCGAGCAACAGTGAGCACACCTCATCAGTGAGAGAGAGATTGGATATATAAGGATGGACATTTCTTAATTAGACAGATAGACAGTCTCTACCTCAGTAATCAATCTAAGCATCTTAGCCAACCCTAAGGTGGGAGAAATCTCCTGACGACTCGACTTTATAGTGATCCCCTGGATCAGACCAAGCCCCAGTATCTGAGTGTCTTCTAGTTGACAGAAGCCTCTATTGTCCTTTGTATTGACTTACCTCAGAACATAAACCCTATAGAACCCTTTAGCCTTATAGGTTAGATGGTTCGTCACACTAGGAAGAAGACCTAGATACGTTCCGTAGAGCGCACTCCACAGTACTGGGATATTTGATGTGAGATACAGGATACAGGGATACGAATACACGTAAAAGCGACAGTAGATCTTCAGGAGATGAGTATTCTTTTCTCACAATTCACAACGAAAATGGGACACTTCGCAAGGACTTGTATTTGATGCTAGACAAATTATATGGGGTTTTCACTATGTCACAGGCCATGTGACACAGGTTCAGGGCTTCCTGCCCTGGACCGCAACTCATCCGGCGTTGACAACCCACGTTCTCCCAGAGGGACCTCGTCAACACACTCTTCAGGGTGACATACATGCATCGAAATCCAGTATGCCAAGTCCTTGATCTAGGTCTCTTCGCTCTCACTCATACGACCCACGCCCTGCAGTTCAAGCAGTTTGTCTCTGAACTCCAACCCGTAGACCTCAATCGTCCTGCGGGGACTAAAGTTCAAGACGCTCTCTTCTCCCAGGCCAATGTATGTGACAATGAGCCCGAATGCCAATAGGGCCGTATCGTATTGCTCGTCAGTGGATTCCAGACGGAAGCGGCGGAATTGCTGCTGCAGATGCGGTAGGGCGTCAAGGTAGTACTCACGTTCTTCGGCGGTGCAGGCCTCTTCGATCCGCCCGCAGAACTCTAGCATACCGCAGGCACCCATGCGGGCTCCTTCACAATCCATGACGGCATCGCATGGGGAGAGCTTTGGAAGCGGGTGGGAACCGGTGAATCGAAACCCGCAACCCGGGCAGTCTATGTTAGCGAGGAAAGACCGGCACATTTCGAATGGCTCCTGAGTCCTGAAGTACTTGAGCCGATGCTGTATATATTCTTTTTTTCTTCTAGCAGTATGTATGCAGTGCTTCTGGAGAGAAAGTGCGTTCATATTCGAAGAGGCAGATGGACGATATGTATTTATGTTGGCGTCCAGAGGGTGCACCTGCAAATGGCCAAGGAGGTTGAAGACCGTGGTGGAACACAAAGCCATTGTATGTATCTGTTGTCGACGAACTGAAAGAATTATACTACTTTATGATATCAATGTCATTGTGTATTTACAGCAAAGAACACTTGCCTGAATGAGGGCCGTACAATGAATGTGAGCCTAGGGGAAAGTGTCATGTTGGAAGAAAGGGGCGTCCTTTCTCCTCCGCAGAACGAGAGATCAAGCCGCGAGGAAAACTGCATTATCTACTGTAGGCGTACTCCCTTAATCGAGCGAATGGCGACGCCAGCCAATCTACGGACAGATTTTTATGTGATAATTGAGTATAAGTAGGTCTCCATCGACGACTATCAGCCCCCCGGCTCACCAAGCGAAAGGCGAATTCGTTATATCTGGGATAATCAGTCTGGAATAAGTATCAAACATGGCTAACTGGATTAGACCTGCTTATTCCAGGGTGCTTATTCCATTAATGCGAATCTAGCATGGATACTTCAGAGTCGACAGGAGCATGACGGACGGACACTTATGAACATTGAGGGGTGAGTGTAACTAGCATGCGATCTGGCTTCCCCAAGACTTGCCAAGTAACATCACGTGATGCGGAGCTGGCTTATGGTCTGACCGTCTGAGCGTTACAAGGTTTTGCCAAAATTCGGGAATACATATAACCTTCGGTAGGGCCACGACTTGGGATCTCTCCGCTTGACTGAGTTTTGACTCTTCGACCAGTATGGGTCCAGCAGTGACAGAGCGCAAGCTATTCAATGACAGCATCTCTGTCATCGACGAAGCAGCAGCAGGTGAAGGCAACATATCGTTCGCCCTGTTCAGTCGACTGGCGCCGGAGATTCGCCTACAAATCTGGAAGTTCGCTCTTCCGAGCACTCGCCTGCTCTACATTCGCATTAGCCAGCTCAAGAACACCTGCGCAGCGGGCCACAGCCGTCGAGAATCTGGTACTGTTGAGCGAGACGCCTACACGACACGCAACAACCTAGGAAACATCATAAGCGGCGATGCGTACAGCTTACACGTCCCGAGATTCGATAACTGGCCTAGTACCCTTCTTAGGGTAAGTCGAGAGGCGCGTCAGGCTTATACGGAGTACTACCGAATCGCCATCCCACTGCAGCCCGGCTTTCAGTAGCGACTGTATCTAAACCCTCAGCATGACATTCTCAACGTCCGGGTGACATATAGGAACCCGCAGAGGTCACTGGTGGCCTTTCTCCACGACGCAATGGCCTGTGATCCTGTCGGTCGTGGCATCGAGCACCTTGCGCTGGGGCTCGAATTCAACGACGTGCCACTCCTGGCAAACGTCAAGCCTTCAGATCTGCACCCGGTGACTGAGCAATCCATGCGACGTTTCCTCTCGACAGGTCTCCGCATCTTCTATTCGGTTGTCTCACCCGGCACCGAGGCTCGCAATATGCTCGGCAGTTTTACATCGACTCTGAGCGCGTATCACCTCAACCGCTCCGTTACTGTCGCGCCTCAAGGGGAGCAATTTCAGGTTACCGACTATACCTCCCTTATGTACGACCCGCGACCGATTAGAGAGACAAACTTATCGCATGTTTTGGTGCGCACCGATCCGCGACGGACCACGTTCCACTGGCATAGGATTCTGGCCAACTTTGGTGTCCAGGAGACTGGGACCCCCCTTAGCCCCGAACAGACGCACAGTTGATGAAAAGAAGAGCCAAGACGCGCCTCGTTCCGCTCCAGACATCCGTTACCTTATCGCCATCTGGCCTAAACGCCTCAAGGGTCCACCGATCAAAACACGGGACGACTTCCTCCAATACTTGGACATTGCCGACGAGGGATTTGCCCGTTGGATGCGGCAGCTGAAGCACAGCCCTTTAAACTTGAAATCAAGCGTATATAATAAGCAGTAAAATATCTTAACGGTTTTTTAAAAAATAAACTTATAAACTTAAAATATAATAATAACAATTTTATTTGTTGCATATTTGTGAGATTCTAGAAGGGTCACAAGCCTTGGGGGTGTGAGCGGTCGCTGCAAATGTTGTTGACATTCTCAAGTATGCTTGGCAGGGCTAATCTACAGCTAAATACTATACTGCACCATGCCAGGGTGGATCCACTGTTCCCTTGACAGCCCCCTAGTGGGTACTGCACCTAAGGGCACCATATCTGGGATCCAACATCTGACAATATTATAAATAATAACGGTTAATACGATAATATACGAATTTAAGCTTTAAACTAAATATAAATTAATTTAGTATTATATTTTTCACTTCAATGAAAAACAAAAGGATTAATAAAATATATTAGAAAAATTGCTTTAACCTTTTTATTAAAAACTTTCATATCGAATTTAAAGGTGAGACTAGCTAAGAATCCGAAACTTTTAAAAATTAAAAGCCTAAAAACAATCAACGACTCTATGCCATCAATTTAAATAAAAATAAAAGCTTAAAAAAGCTTAAAAAGGGTAAAAAGCTTATAACCGACGAATATAGAAAACACACCTTAAATATTAAAGGGGAAAAAATAAGGCTATATTAAATAAACATATATTTATAATAATAAGAATTAGCTTAGAATATTTTATCAAAAATTATAATAAAACTTTTTTCAAATCGATTTTTTAATTAGCTTTAAAGACTTATAAAACGTATTAAGCCTTAATAAATCGGGTTTAACTCACGTTAGCTTTAATATAATAAATAACATTATTGCTTTTCATAAAGAATAAATCGCTATTTATAAAATATCTTTCAATAAAGGCGTTGAAGGAAACTTATATAGAAAATAATTGTAATTAAATGATTATTATTAACGTAATAATTAATTTTCAACCCGATTAGTAATTTAATACGATTAATTAATTAATAGATTACTTTAACTATACTTTTTACGCCGAGGAAGACTTTAAAAACGATTTATTATACGATATAAACTTAAACGTATTTATTATAAACGTTAAAGGTAACTTTGTTTAAACCTTTATTATTAATATTAATAAGAAGATGTTTTTCATTTATATGAACGTAAATATAATTAAGGCTATAAAATATAACGTAATTTATGATAATTTAATAAACATTAACCTTAAAAAAGTACTTATATAATTTTAATTTTCGTTTTACGTAAAGAAAATCCTTATACGAATATTTTTGAACCAACGTTTTTATGAAATAAAACGTAATATTGAAAATAATTGCCTTATTAGCTTTTAAAAAGTCGATTTTATAACTTTGAATATTTTAAAATGCGTTTTTAAAAAAAGTGTAAAAAACTTGAATTAATTGGTTATTTATAATAATAAATATAAGTTAAAAGTTTAAAAATAGCGATATTAACAAGTTATAAATACTTTTAAACGTTTAAACCCCTTAAAAGGTTATGATAGTAATATTGAACGAAGTTATAAAACTAATAATCTTTTAATTCCGCTATTTATACTACCTTAATAAATAACGGTTAATATAAACTATTATAATAATTATAAGGATTTTTAAAAATTCTTAAAATTCTTATAAATATCCTTTATAAAACTTATAACGAAATAAAAACTTTAACAATCAACATTAAAAACATTTAAAAGCGTATGTCATGGTCTGGTACAGGTAGCCCATGTGGTGAGTTCTGGAGCCCGGACATGAGTACATGTACCACCATTGAATGTTGTTGAATGGGAGCCGGAGATAGACACCGGAAGATCTCCAGTGGGGCAGAGACGCACAGGGCATCTGACCCACCAAGAAGACAGATGATCAATCTCTGCACGCGGAGCAGAACAATCAATAGAATCAATCAACAGCCGTGTATTCAACACTAATCGCTTACTTCGCTTAACTTGGCTTAGCTTGACTAACGCTTGGTCCAGGGGGGCCATGAGTGCCATGGGTGTGCGGTTCACGAAACGAGGCCGTGACCGCGAGGAAACATCTGCGAGAATCAGCGACGTATGATTTGAGCGGCAGAATCAGCCGCGCGCTGATGAAAGTTGAGACTGCATGGCAATTGGACAGACTTTAGACATCTAGCTGCGCGCGCCGCCGAATGGGCAATTCGTTGTCCCTTTCTCGAAAGTCAGGTTGGTGCGTCTCTCTGCCGGTCTGCTCAGCCCCGAGCATTGACAAGGACTCGATTGGGGTCTGATCTGGTCGTTTGATAGGGGCCGCCCAGCAGGCTGTGGCTGTGGCTGGGGCTTCATGCCTTCCTCTCATTCTTTAACGGTTCAACCTCTCCCCCTCTTCTTCATACACCCATCGGCCAGGTCAGGCTTCCGTTTGAATCTGCTCCTACAATTGATTACCATTTGCAAGCTTCAGGCTGGTGATACGGCCATGCCATACGCTTCCATGTCGAATCTCGCTTCCAACTCAGACGGTTCTGTCCAAAAGACCCCCGACTATGTATCGATCGAAGGCCTCGATGCGACACACTCTAGTACATATCACCGAGCTATAACTAATATCCTGTGGGCAAAATCCGGTATGGACGAAGCAGCGTTGTTGTCTTGATCATGGTCTATCTACTGTTCGTTTGGTGGCAAACCCCCCTTATATGGGGGGTCAGGGCCCGGGGCCCCGACATCCGTGCTGCCGTACACATACTGGCTACATACAAACGCCCTCGCAAAGCGTTTCATGGTTGTAGACAGGGTGACGACCGCCGCGGAACGCGCGCGTCTTCCGAGCAACGTGCTCCAACGGCAGTTCATCAACAAGCTGGGCCATAGCCTGAGTGGTGTGCTCCATGGAGAGGATATTTGAGCAGAATCCACCTCCTTGAGAGGACACTAGAATACAAGGATTCCTTTGACCCAAATGTTCTCACTTTCAAAAAACAGGTGAGTCAGACAACAATCACGCTGCAAAAGTCGGTGTCGCTTCTAACCTAGCTATGTTGTTTCAAGTTGGTTCGTGCATTTCAGGGTGCCATGCCAGGCAGTCGAGAGTTCAACCTACGCCTCGTCGAGATGGTGGTAGTCTCGGTCCATCAGATTGGCGTTTTGCTTTTCCAAGAGGGCGACAAGATGCATCAAGGCGACATCGACAGCGTCATGTCTTGGGTCAGGGAGCCAGAAAAAGACGATGGGTACCTAGGGATACACTTTGTGCCAAAACATTTCCCGGCACACCCCACACTGTTCGTCCACTATGAATATCTGGATTTTGATCAGTACCCTGCTGGCTTGGCCGACGTCGCTGGATACTGGGCTGAGGATCTTGTAATTGAGGGTGTGGTGCTTTTTGATCGCGCAGGCAATACAACCCTTGAAGTAAGCTTACACCTTTCATCACCAAATAACGTGGCCATACAGTGATGCTAAAGCTCACCCCACAGAACCAACATGTATACGTCCACAGCGGTCGGGACTGGAAGGAGCTGGAGCAAACCGTGCGCGTATGGCGACTCTCCGAAACGCAGCTCGACGACTTCATCAAATACCTGAGCACAGATAGCCCGCAAGAAACCTAGTGTCCGTTGCCGTTCCTCTCGACGAGAGCCAACTGGCGTACAGACGACTGGGATGCCATGGCCGTCCACCATATCTGGCGGGACCCGTGGGAGCGCAAACTAGAATCCGAGAAGAATTGCTCGGGCATCAGACGCAATTCAATCGACTATCCAGAGGCTGGTGCACTGTTGGAGATTGTGGACACCAGACCTGCCTATGACGTGTCCACAACGTTGGACAGTTCGGGTAATCTAACCACGGACTGGATCCAGACCACTGTCCTTACACCTGAGGAAGAAGAGCGAGAACGGGCCCAGAAGGACACTACCGCCACGGAAAGGTACCACGAATTGCAGCAGCCGGAAGCCGAAACAAAGAAAATACCTGATCTGCTCGCCGAGCTGAGGGCTCTAGGAGTCACGGTCGTGGACAGTGAACCTCGCTCATACTGACCACTGAGCTTGATCTTACCCCTGTGTCTAGTGCACCGTGTGCTAGCGACCATGGCGAAGTACTCATGATTGTTAGTCAGGCGTCTAAAGACACTGTCAAGCTAGGCGTTCATTGTGCTCAGCAGGGTTTGCTTCTGATAATTCAAGAAAAATTCTTCGCATGGCTCCGATTCGCCGTCTTACTTGCATTCACCGTGTGATATACATGTCATGATATATCGTGAATATTTATTTCAGCTGAAAAAAATCTACGGAGGCTGGGCCAGATCTTGTTATAAATCTCCAAGCCCGAGTACACGATTCTTGCCGCTTTTGGGCAGTATCGGCAATATGGTTCGTGCCTACTCATCTCAGCGATTTACAAGTTGTCATCGAAGGTTGTATCATATCAGGCTCTGCCGTAACTCAGACCATGAAGAATTGGACATCTCGTACACCGTGCTCGGCGGTTCATAATCGCGTGATGTTACCCCTGAAGACCTTCAGTGGCACCCGTATATCTTGCAGAGACTCGGGGCAAAGCCGAAGTTTTAAGACTGGGTGATATCTTTCAGGCTTCCGTGGTTGTGCTGTTGGGTTCTTCACGGAGGAGTGCCGAGGGATAGTGAGGCTGGGTTTGATGCGGTTGGGTGGACGGGCATCGATATTGGAGGTGGTGAGCCCTAGGAAAGAACCTCGTGTTCATCTCACTTTCATCTACAGCACAGCCAGTCGGGGATGTTGGTCCCTCGCAGGGGATGCGTTTTGTTTATCATTGTGTACTTTGCCACCGTAGCCAGTAGCCTGCTCTCAGCGGTTGTGTGCTGACACGCGCTCTCTCGGGGGCAACCAAAAATCTAGAGAATATCTGTTGCGTAGGGCTTCACACAGGGTATTGTCAAAGTCTACCCCCATAGGATTGAGCACATGAGCCCTCCGGGTCCACTGCTGTACCGTATTCGGGTCTCCGTCTCTGTTTCTGTCGTGGAGGTCTTACTCCTCTAGCTGCCCATCATCAGAAAACTCCACCTTGTTGAGTCTGCCTCTGCGATTTTCCGTGCCACTCGGAGAGTCACTGCCTGGCCGTGATGGCTCTTCGCCATCATTCTGTGCATCTTCGTGGACTTCACTCCCGGACCAGAAGATTTTCAAGTCGTTGTGAGACGGGGTACCCACGCGGATCTCAATGCTGGGTTTGAACTTTGTAAACATCTGTATCGTAGGGAACTTCAACGGGCCCTGGTAGTATAGCGTCATCTTCTGGAGATTTTGACCGAACGAGGGATCTCTCTTCTGTTGTATCCATGACCCGCCCTGGATACGACCCAGGCATGTTGTGCTCCCGGAGATGTTGATATACCGCAGGTTAGGGCAATCGTTGACAAATTCGCTCAAGGTTGCGTCCGAGAGTGCCGAAGCACCTTCGAAGCTGACCTGCAGGTTCGGACAGGCGCTCGCAAAACGGGTCGCAGGACAGTCGGTGATGCTTGCGGTACCGAGCTCGCACGATCCAACATGGAAGTCCTCTAGGTCATTACCAAACTGCCGGCCGAGGTTGACGATCGTATCTAGATGATGACTGTAGAAGCACACATAAGCTGGAGCTACCAAACGAACTGTTTAGGCAGATTATCGACTGACTCCTGTACGTTGAAGGTCGCTTCAAAGCGAATGGATCTGATGCGTGTTGCAGCTTGAAAGGCAAAGTTGTGCTCTTCCCAACTGAAGATGGGCCTTGAGCTTGTCAGAGGAGTGTTCTCCAGTGGGCTGGTTTTGGCGAAAGTGATGGCTTCGCCGCCGTTGTACGGGTCGAGATGGTAGCGGCAATTGCTGAAGCCCTCCTCGGCCTCCCTCTGCCGTTTGACGGCCCTATTTGCGGGCTTCTTGGGCATATTTGGAGGTTTCTTGTCGTTCTGTCTTCAGAGTGGGGAGTCGCCTCGTCGCCATCGGAAAGGGGCTCCTCCCCAGGTGGCTGGTATTTAAGCCGGCCAAAATTGGGATCTGGTGCATCCCGGCCGAGTCGGGCCATGCCTCCAGCCACCTTGACTGGATCGAAACCACTCAAGGCACGCTTTCGCTTTCGCTTTCGGTAGCCGTCGCTGGAGTCCATCTTGTGGCGCTTGTGTGTTGTGTGTTGTGTGGTCAAATGAAGGGATGCGATGGTGATGGTGGCGTCGGACGTGCAGGTGAACAAAGCCAGTATACCCAGTCGAGAATGGTGACATCCATGAGTAACAAAAAAGAAGTTCGGCTGGATCAATTTCTAGCAGGCAGGCTTGCGCGGATGGGGGCGCTAGCGTACAGAGTGAACAATCGTCTCAAGCCGCCAGGTCATACCGAACACCGTAGGATGGACTAACTGGCAGAGCAAGAGTGCCAGGTGGCCGACAGCGGGTAACTTAGATATCTTGCACCTTCCTGCTGCCGAACTCCTCAGTCTTGCCGTGCAGCATACCTAGGTACTGTAGGTAGGTAGGTACCTCATACCTCCTTATCTTTCTCGGTACCTGTAACAACATCGTGACCTCCCTTTTTGGAAGCCTTACCATCCCCCCCATAGAAGTCGTACACCCCCACTAGTCGTACAGCCAAACCCCACCATCACCACCAAAACACCCCCTTATTGACTTATACACGAATGAAGCCATTTAGGTCAGAGAAATACAGCAAAATTATCATTCAAAAGCGCTGAAGCTGTTCATGCGTAATATCTAGCCGGCGCCCGAATGGCTCGCCCGGATCGCGATAGGCGAGGCTCCTGTATAGCCTCCAAAACGTCTTCATCAAGGGGGTCATCCTCATCTTCCTCTTTGTCCTCCGACTCAACAACTATCTCTTCTTGTACTTCTGCGTGTGCAGCAGGGCTAATGGTACCTCCATGAGATAGTATTTCTGTCACTATTTTGAACTTCCCATTAGGATTAGGGATCTTCTGTCGCTTCTTTGGCCGTAGCCGCTCCAACTCAGCCTCCAGAGCCTTGATCTTCTGATTTTTTATAACAACTTCGGTCTCCTTGGCTTCGAACGCGTTGGCTATCTTTCTGTACTTCAGCCTGGTCCCTGGGGACTTATTTTTGCCGAAATTCATGATCTGGCGGCTCGTAGTAGGGGTCCGTTGGTCCTCTGGTTCAGAGCTTTCAGGGGTATCAGGCTCAGGGGTCTTTCTCTTCTCTTCTTGTATCTCTGAGTGCTGTAAGCACTTCCTGCGGCTGATAAGATAATATCCAGTGACCTTGAAGCCCGAGAGGATGTTTTGCTTAATGAAAGCAGAAGTTCTGGCCTTGCTATAGCATCGGATGAAGTTGATCTTGTCAACAGGCGAGGCATCCGTCAAGGAATTCAACTCGGAGAGGAATTTCTGGTAGTAGGCCTTTAGGGCGTTATAAGGCCCGTTATCTAGAGGTTGCATGCCATGACTAGTATGCGCAGGAAAGAAACAGAGCAATATGTTGTTAAAATAACATATGGTCATGAATTTGTCCTATTAACACGCGTCAAATCATAATAAATCAGGAAAAATCAAAGGAAGTCTAAATAAAATAAGGAAAAATCATATACGTACGGAGGTGTGGCTCTTATGGCCATCTAGTATTAAAAGGATCGCGTCGGACTAGTCTCCTCCTCGTATCTCGTCCGCCTGTAGGAGGAAAACATCTTCTAGCCACTTGCAGGCGATGTCATTCGAAGTCCAGCCATTTTCTGAGCATATATAATGTTAATCTGCGGTCTTTTGGAACTCCTTAATGAACCACTGGCTTGGAGGTCCTTCCCCTTAAAGATAATGCCTGGTTTCAGGATTTTTCCAGTTACTGAGATGGTCTCGATAAAGGAGGTCCAGCTACAGCCCTGAGGGCTCTTCAGGAAGGCCTTCTTTGTAGCAGAACTACCCAGAACGAGAGATTCGATGCCTGTGAATATAATTAGATTTTTCCCGGAATTAAAAGGGTAGGTAGAGCTACCAAAACCCGACATGATGCCACCCTTATCGACATTATAGGTGTTCTTTGGCTTCACCCAGCCGTAGTCTTCGAGAATTTCAAAGAACCAGTTAACTGACTTAGGCATAAAGCCCTTAAAGCGTGCCGCTTCCATCCTTTTGCCAATCTTGGTCTTGATCTGGGGTTTGCGGCGCTTGAAGGCTGCCATGAAGGTGTCTCCTAGGGGGGCCTCATCCCCCTTTTCTTTCAACACCTTCTTAATGATCTCACGGACCAGGGAGTGTGAAGGGGCTAGGCCCAGCTTTTCTTGCAGTAAAACCCATTTGGTTATAGTCATTTCCTGCGCAGGAGAGAGTCTCTGTTGCTGTATATGGGCTTCGGATCTCGTAGGCCTGCCGTTGAGTCGATTAGACAGCGTCATAGCCAGAATGCCGTGTTTTTGAGCGCTTTTTCGCAGCGAGAGGCCCTCATCTGTGATATCTAAGATGGCTTTCGCCATCTGATCCTCCGTATACGAATAGGGAGGCATTTTAGGCGGCTATACGATGCTGTGTTGCATACAGAACAAGGCTTCATGAGAGCCGCGCAAGACCGCGAATATGCCATTCGGGGTAGGAAATGCGGGGTAATTAACAGCCAATCACGTAGGCGCCGCGGGGTAAATTTTGTATTGGGAAAAACCTCAAGATCAGGGCTATCTGGAACACTAATTATATTGTGAATAGCTTCAATATCGGGCTGAAAGCGTATAAGTGAACATGTGGGAGTTTGGGTGGTGATGGTGGGGTTTGGCTGTACGACTAGTGGGGGTGTACGACTTCTATGGGGGGGATGGTAGATCACCCCATGTTTTGAGGGTTCAAACGGTAGCGTTAGTGCATCCACCCGAAATGGTGTTCACAAGTATCCTTGAGGTGCAACATCAACCGCTCCTGATTCTGGCAATGAGCAAGTCTGTGCAGCACTCACTGGTTGTAGGTATAGAATGGAAGGACAGGATACTCCGAGCCGCACGCATGTCAAAGAAGATGCTTAGATAATGAACTGAATCGTTTCAAGTTGTGATCAATGCAGCACACCCACTGAGAAAGCTTTTGCTGCTCTGCTTACACCAACAAGCAATCCATGGATGTGTCACAAACAACGAGTGTCTTTCTTACAGCTATACCAATGCGGTTCTGCTCCCTCATCAGTGTATAGGGGATGTTATCGATATTCCAACATCAACTACCCAAAGCTCCTCATTTGGAGCTCTCAGTATGTTTCGTGGAAGGATAATCGAGGCTTGTATTATGTAGCTTTCCATCAGTCCCAGCGTGATTTACCAGAGGAGTACCTTGCTTAGGGGCGACAGACTTGGGCCAGACCAAGCGGTCAATGGTGTTTTAGGAAAACATTGTACACCAAAATCATGTACCAGAAGACCACATTCGGCTGTCGTGGGTGTGTTTGGAAATCAAGATGGCCATCACCCGCCCGGTGGGCTCTATGTACACTGAAGCCTCGATATCCAGGTCTACGTACACTCAGTAGAATGAACGCTTTGGAATACGGATTAAAAGTGGCTTAATAAAGTAGAACTTAAATGCTTATTCCAGGGCTCTTATTCCACCCTCCATTTCCCATCGAAAAGAACACTTTCCAGGTGCACGGACGGAGAGTTGTGGGGGTTTAGTGTATTATGTGCAGCCAGCCGAGCTTTTAAGACTCTGTGATAAAGACTGTCATTTCGTGGTATGAGATCGCATCGGGGTAATTTGGTTTCTTTGTCCTAACAGCATATTTGAGCCTAATTCCGATCTGTAGATGATACGTCAAAATTCGGGAGTGTTCTTTGTTCCCTGCCCAGCCCACTCAGGTTTCAGATGCGAGAAACGATTTCTGAAGCTTTTTTGCTCGCAACGCCCATGACCAACATCTTGCTCCCTTTACATAGCTATTTAAACACTTGAGCACGTAGTCACTCACATATCATTCGCCCTGGGCGGCATGGACTGACTACATGTGCTGCATATACCGGAGGTCAAAGACATCGAGGCCTTTGCCTGATCCTTCCGTTTGCGGCAGACTCGCCAACCGTTCTTTCGTCGATACATTGGAAATCAAGTCCAACTTCCATTCATGGACTCGGACCGCCTTGTCTGCCATTTCGAATATATTTCCTCAAAGCCTCATGGAGACAGTCCAGAAGACCAAGAAGCGCAAAAAGAGCGCTTCTGTGGACGGCACGCAGACCGAGTCCTCACACCTGTCTCATCGTCACTGCTGTACGGAACCTGAGCTGGAGTTCGTGCTCACTTGGCTTGACGAAATTTCCACACGCCGTGCTATAGCGAAACGTTTTCGAAAAGGAAGGTCGATACGATTGAAAGAGCGTTCGAAGAAGAAATCCATCGAGTCGGCACCAGACGTATCTTTTAAGGGAGGTTTGAAGGAGTTGACTGCACCAAGCTCTAAGCTGCCATCCGACATGGGGCGGACGAGGGCATCCACTGAGGCCGGTACCGAAGCTACAGAGGGTAGCAAGTCTGTATCCCTCATCAAGCTGGGACTTTACCAGAAGGAACATCTGAATCGGAACAATATCATATACGCCGGGCACAAAAAAGGATTTTCTGGAGAGGCCAATTCGATAATAAACAAGATAAAAGTCTTTGCAGAGACGAAGAACGACGATGACATCTCTGCATCTTTCCGGAAGTTAGTTGTTGCCCAGCACATTGGGTTAACCAATGAGGGTAATACCGTCCGGAAACTCAAGGAAATCCTGTTCATTCGTCCGCCGAAGGAGCATATTGCGGAACTCGAAAACACTTTCTACAGCAGAGACCTGGTCCCCAGCAAAGACGATCTTCACAGAGTGTCGATCCCAAAGCCCGACATGACTTTTGGTTATGACAATCAGAACCAGAAATCTTTTCCGATCAGCAGAATGAAGCGACGGGGTGGCCAGAGATAAACGTTGTTGATAACAAGGGTATGGCGCTCTTCCCTTTTCTAGTCATCGAGTTCAAAGGCGACGACCCTATCTGGCACGCCACAAATCAGTGCCTAGGGGCCGCTGCCACTTGTGTGAACAGCAACGAACGATTGAACGCCCTTCTCGAGGAGTGCATGGGTCCGAAGCTTCCTGCTGTCGTCTTAAGTATCGCGGCAAACGCTTATGAGGCCGTGCTTTATATTTCTTGGAAAGAGGAACAAACCTTTCTCATGAAGGACGTCGATTACTTCCACCTCCGTCGCGAGGAGGAGGTCATACGGTTGAGGAGCTACATACGGAGCATATATGAATGGGGGGAGGGCGAGCGGTTCCAACAGGCTCAGGAGGCTCTTGACTATTTAGTGGATAATTATGTGCGGATGTAAACTTGAGTAGCTACACTGAACCCTCATAAGTCTCCGTACACCACCCGTGCAGCAAACAACGATAATTTTATTAAATCGGAATAAGCACCATGTAATAAATAACGGAAAGAACATATCAAGCCAGAGCTGCTTATTTCTGTATGCTTATTCTAAGATTTCCAACTATCCCACTGGTAATGGAGTCTTGCCAACGTGGCGCGTACGGAGACTTCTGAGGGCTGAGTGTATCGTAAAGCCAACTCAGTAGAAGGGTAAGGCAGCCAATGCGAAGAGACCATATTTGGAGTTACAAGCTTCTTTGAAGCACAGCGCAGAGGGTGGGGGCCAACGCATACGGGAACCTGACCACTTGAATAGTACTTGAAAACGAGTGGAAATGTTACCTAAAAAAAGGCATCGTTTATTGAGCGCTGGTCGCAGCGAGCCCGGTGACGCCGCTCCCGGAGGAAGCGGCTCTGCTGGCCCTAGAGGAGGTCGGTCAAGAAAGCGGCGTCGCCGGACCCTAGAGGAGGTTAAAGAAGCGGCGTAGCCTGGCCCTGGAAAGGGTTAAGGGCTCTGTTAGCCCTAGAAGGAGTTAGGAAGCGGCGTTAAGAAAGTGAAGACTGAGATGTGTACCAGCTTCATATTATTGGTCTCCGGTGTGACGCCATGTTCGTCTTGCCTGCCTTGTTCGCCCAGGGCTGTTTGATCCCGCTCGACTGATCAAAGGATCCATATCATCCTATACCTCCTTTTAGTTACAGACGTCTACGGTTACTTTTATCGCAAAGCTAGACCGGCTACGGGCAGACGTCAAGCAGCTAGGGAGCCCTGCAGCAAAGAGCGAGGGAGCCAAATTCCACCCGACATCTTGTACCCATCCGTCATAGGTGGCAAGTACATCGTCCTGTACCAATTAATTTGGGCTTGGATGGCTCACCGATGGCATATAAGGAGTCCCTCCGAGCCTCGACGGTGTCAATGGTGTCAGTTACAGAGACTGTATCAGCAACCCCTTTGTGTCTTCTCGGCCTATCTTTAAATCTCAACCCCATAGCGTCAACGCTTAATCATGCTACCTCATCGAGTTCTGTCACTGCTCTCTGCGGCCTACACGTATCAAGCACTGTCACTTGGGTTGTGAGTCAATTCGGATTCCTTGCTCATGACCAATATCATGTGGCCTCATAACTGCTCCATATACCTGCTGATGGATTTGCATGATGATGCGTAGGTCTCGCGTTGACAACGCAGTATCGAAACTCGAGTCTCGCGCTGTGCTACAGCCACGAGAAAAGAAGACTGTAGAATCTGGCATCATTTATGGTAACGACAGAGATGAATTACGAACCAAGGGCGTCGAAAGGTGTATCGCTATGGCAGCAAACGGGACTGGTGAAATCGACAAGGTAGAAGCAACACTCGCCTGGACCTTACCCTCTTGATATCAGCCTACCAGTCTCGACTAACGTCTGAAAGGTTCTGGCACACATCAACTGCCGTGATTACAAGACCGAGGGCGAACGCTTCTACCAATACGTGTCGATGTCCACGATGAAGATAGAGTCCGTCACCGTCACCGTCACCGTCGTAGACCCTAAGTCTTTCCCGGCGGCCAACCAGGACAAGCTACGCGCCATCAACCTTAAGGCTCTTGGGGCGGGGCTTAATTTGGTTAAGGGCGAGGCACGGCGTCTCGCCGTGATCCTCAAGGAAAACGTGAAAGCCGTATGTGATCTTGAGGAATCATTCATTCCTACTCTTAATGGCCTATTCCGGCCCGATTCACGAACCCTTTCCTCCCGGGGCACGCGTCACTACTAACTCCTGGTTCTAAAGCCAGATACTCTGAGCGTGGAGAAGGACGGCCGCGTCTATGCCGGGGAGCTTCTCATCAACCACCCTGCGCCCCCTACACTAGACCTGCCCTGTTGGTGGCCCGCACTTTACATTCCGGCAGGTGCCAACGACGATGACCAACAGAAGGCCATTCGCGTTGCCAACCAGATCTGCAGGGAAGGGCAAGGCTGTCAACACGGTACGCCGGCTTGTTCGAAAAGCGACAATAGACCTCTTGGGTGAGTAATCCGGACGAGCACTAGGCATTTGTGATCCCAACAATGGCTAATGTATCCCTCCTCACAGCTTTTGTTTTTGCTACTGACTAAGCATTCACTCATGGACCTGCTCGAAGGACGCAACTCTCACAATTGGGACTAAAGCGAATATCCTGGCCTTCATTCATGGTCCATGGGTGTGGTTCAAGGAAGTGTCGTTTGCTTTCGTTGGATATGTGTGGCATGCGGTTGTTTATAGGGGTCTCTGGATTTCGAATCCGGCTGGTACACGACTGCAATTATTTCCTGCCCGAGACAATCCACGTCTTGCGAAGAACCTCTGGGATAGAGGTTTAAGGTAAACACCGTCAATTACCAGTCTGATTATATGCGCGCATGCCGTTCGGCGTGTGACGCATCGGCCTGAGCCTGTGGACGCCATCCGTGATTAAGGTTTTAGTGGATTGCGATGATTTATGGCGTTCTATTTTGATAGAATTGGCTGCTTTTTGTTGTCTTTTGGGGTATTTGGGTTTGGCTCCTCCCTTCTGGTCGAAGTGATCAAAAGATATAAAATAAATCGATTATATATTTTGCTTGTTGCCAAAGCCAAACGTTCCGCTTACCATCAATGCCTACCCGTCGTGGAGGATCTGAGTTTGACGTTCCATGAACAACCCACAGCTTCCATTTCCATTACGATGACTGCCCATCCCCCTGGAGAGCAGAGCATTGGTACATTACTATTGACATGTGTAGGTAGCAATGTCTTGTGAAATCAGGGGCAACAAACCAACATAGTCCTCTGAATACCAAACGAGGAAGGGATGCAATCATAGAGTGCCTCCACAGCTGAACATACTTTCATCACCTGTGACAATCAGGCCTGCAGCTGCGCTGGTCAGGGCTGATGGGTTGAAATATCTAGATTCAACGATATCTAAGGAAGAAGAGGCAAGATCGGAAGAGAACGGGGAAGCTAGGGGTATATATGTACATAAATATGTGGAGGTATTATGTAATTCCGTAACATCACCACCTACGCAATGCAGTGACTGGTACATGCATAGCCACTATTCCGCTTCAGACAGAAGCTGCTCAATGGGGTCCTTGAGTATTACCTGGAAGCGGAAAGAAGAGGATATGGCCGAAAGGCACCAAGCCCCTTTGTCCATACAACACATCACACAGCGACCAGAAATCCATATCTCGCAGTCGTCCACCCAAACAACATCCATCCCATCAGCACCCAAAGCCAAAGCCAGCCAACTAAAACCACCCACCATGCGCCCCTCCTCCTCCTCCCCCCCACAATCGCCAAACGAGTCACAGAAAGAGCCAGCCCCTGCACCTGAACCTGCGCCTCATCAGTCGCCACAGACTGCGCCTCCGCGCCCGTCAACATCACCCTAGCCGACGACGACGATCGACCTGCTTTTCGCGGCGAGCTCGTGGACACAGGACGGCAGCTCCGTGTGCGTCATGTACGCGGAGCCAGGGTGCCATGTTACGGATAGCCCCTAAGTTATGGCTGCTGTTTTGATGGCGAGCGCGTGGGGTAGGTTTCGGGGATTTGTGTTTGAGGAGCTTGGGGTGTTGTAGTATTTTATCGGAGTTGGGATGAGCGGTAGGGACGACGGTCTATGCCATTGGGGGAAAGCTGTTGGGTTGAGAGACAATAAAGCTGTCGGGGTCACGGGAGGATAACAAGGACGTGAGTCTCGCACTGAAAATTTGGGCCGTTCATCATTCGAATATCTCGTCCTCCGAGCGAGTGCCCGTCAGTACCTAAATGATTCTTCCATCCATTATATGTCACCAATGGGAACAGCCTCCATACCCAACCTATATCCCAATCCCACACGTCAATCCAATACAGTCGCCTCTCTAACTTCTCAGTTAAATGCGTATCAAAAACCGCCCTTCCGCTTCTTCGCCTTCTTCTGCGGCCTGTCCGGCCTTCGGCCAAAAGCTCCCGTGAGCGGTTGAGACATCGTGTGAATGGGGTCCGAGTGTAGTGGCTGGCTCGAGTATCCAGTAGGTTGAGTTCTCTGGCTGCTGAAGAAGCGCGTATCTGGAGCCGGTTGTGTGGAAGGTAGTTCTGGCTGGCGTGCCATCTGAAAGAGAGTCTCGGCACGTCGACGTTTCCGACTCTCACGGGCCATTTGTTTGGCCCTCCTCAGCATTCCTGGGGTTTTCTCGGTGCTCCTGTCCAGGTCGAAGACGTAATCCTGGGAATCTGCGCCAAGTTGCCACTTGTCTAAAAGCTCGAACTGCTTTTGAGGTACAAATTTGCCGGTGCCAGTGTACGCTTTTATTAGCGCCATCGCCGGATCCTCCTGCTGGGGTTCTTGCGACAGTGATTTTCGAGAGCTTGCGACAGACCTTTGTGACTGGGTGTCGTAGGGGCTACTTGTGGGCTGGCTGTCTATGACCATGTCTTCAGCAGCATCTAATTTATCCTGGCTGGAGTCCGGCTTGAGGTGACGCACACCGTTGAGGGATAGGTAGATATCCGAGGCAATCTGTCGAAACATGGCGGCTCGTGTCTCGGCATGGGTATGGTTCGCCTCGCTGATTGAACCATGACTCGCGGCAATATCAAGCAATCTGGCATACGCCTCCTTGAGCGAAGTGTTTGCAGAAGACATCAATTTGCCATACGACCCACTAAGGTCCATAACTTGTATGGCCGGATCAACATCATTGAGTCGTTTGACCTCGAATTCCCACTCGCTGGCCGCATCAGATACATCGTTGGGGACATTGAAAACTTGCATAAGTTGTAGCAAGGTACCTGCGCACATAGATCCCGACTCGAGAGCCTCTTCGACAGCCAAATGAACTCCGTCGAAAGGATTGGAGCCAAAGGCATCGTCTTCCGGCGATGTAGCCCCTTGAAGGCTGTCTTGGAAAGCACTACAGAGGTGCTCATAGAATAATTTGAAGAACCTCGGCGCCGAGAAACGCGTACGGTCTGTATTGGACTCTTGGGTTGTCAATGGGCGTGCTTTCATCTCGTTTTCTACCACTAGATCGTCTGGGACCAGGAAACGCGAGGAAAAGTTTTTTGCAACTTTTGCTTTATTGTTGGGAGGTTTTGAGGGACGGCTCAGTCGATAGGTCGGTGGAGAAATCTGGCTGACAGGTGACGTAGAGGATGTGCAGAGGGCCGAAACGAGACTCATATCTGACTTGAGTGCGGTCATCTGATAGAATCGCACATGCTGATCAGCCAGACTGCGTGCATGTTCAGTGAGTTTGTCACCAAATGGCAGCGCGACCGTCGCTGGGTGAACCCTTAGTGTTTGGACCATGCTTTCCGAAGAGGTGCCGTAGCAACAGCTCGCTTTGATTGTTTCGCGATGACACGTAACCATGTCAGGGTCCTTCTTCGATGCGTTGACACAGAAGAGATCTAACCAAGCGTTTTCTGTCGAGTAGATGAACACCAGAGAAGTCACATGTCCGGCCGATTTGGCTCCTTGCGTGACGGTGAGCTTCAGAGTCCGATCGAGTGCGTCCCTCAAATGAGGAGAAGAGAGCAGAATGGACCATCGCGTTTCCGGTTTGCCCCATTCCGACCCAGGCACCGAGTATACTCTGACAACGAATAACCTCGATGTAGTCAGAACAAAGAAGTACTGCGGATCTTGAAGATTTGCATGCACATCCAGTACGCAACCCAGCCTGTCCTGGCGTAGGAACGACAGATCGGGCAGGTATGAGCCAGTAGCGAGATCCAGCAACCGGACGGAACTTGAGTTGCAAATGAGCAACAATGATGAGCGTTCCAGTGGTGGAAAAGCACCGCGAGACTGGGCTCCGACTGTGTCTTTATCATCGCCAAACATTGCCAACTCCCCCGCGCGGGCCTGAGAATATCCAACCCAGAGGAGCTTGTGCCATTCGGTGCCAAGCTTGCTCCTGTAGGGGAGGTGTTTCAAAACACCGTGTTCGATGTGACCACATTTGATCATTACAGGAACCGGCTTCTTGGATGACTTGGTGAGTGTGATATCCCATACACTCCAGAAACCGCGCTCATCAACAATGCCGAGTTGGGGCGGATTGGCCCTAGTGCCGGGATTGAATGATACGTCGGTATGGACATTCCCACCGGTCTGGTGCTTCGATATTCGGAACAGTAGGTTTGCCGCGATATGTGATGGATCCCTCGTCGCGTCGCGGGGGGCAGCTGTCGGAATCCTCTGATATTCTGGCTGGAACACCTCTGTACCAGATTCCCTTTGGACGACAAGCCACCGCGTCGGGTCGTATCTCTTGTGGTCGACGATACACTTCAGTAAACGAATGGAGCCGGCATCTTCTTCCCACAGACATGGCTCCTCATCACCCATTTCCGGAACGCGCAGGGCAACACCCCCTTTCTCGTCCCATTTCCATTTCGACAAGTCCAGTCTCGCCAGGCGAAATATATCATTTGCATCGCCGCACGCCGTTGCGACTAAGGGCGCACCGATGGTTTCTTGAAGTTCGCTCTTATCGACAAGTTCACCAACTGCTAGGAGAGACGAACGCGATGGTACCGCAGCAGATGCTTGGGGCCGCAAATTTCCTTCCAGGAGATGTTCATGGAGAACCTCGTTTCCTAGATGAGCTTCGGGGTGATTCTTCAAGAGATATCTCTGCTGTCTGCGGCTTTGCTGCCACGCACTTCCAGACGGCGGATGTGGCACGCGCGCAGGAGCTGCTGAGAACCATGTCTTGCGAGGACCGAGCTCTTTGAATATTGAAGCTTCTCATATGGTTAGCGGACACCACACACTTTTCTGCGCGGAGGCCTACTATTTTGGGCAAAGTCTCTCGAGGACTGCCAACCGCAATCCTCCGCCTTGCCAGTGCCGTAAGGTAGGTGTGATAGGCGTCCTGCGAGTCCAATGGATGAGTCGAGGGTGTGGCGTTCAGTCATTCGGGGAGCTAGGCTCAGCAGATATCCTCTCCGCTGTCGATCGTCGCCGCCCGTACATAGCGATACTGAAGGTCTCGGAGCCGAAAGCGTGAGCTATGCGTAGGAGAGAAGATCGACGAGCAGATTTCGAGTAAGTGAGGAAGAAAGATTCGCGAAAAAAGCCAGTCAGAAAAGATGGAGATGGGATGGGATGTGAAATTATCGGGGTGTCGAAAAGTTAACAATTCTTATCTTATCGCGATGACCCGCTTTGGCGGTAGTGCGAAGCTTCAAATGTTTGCGCACCCGAGTAGTTTCAGAACCGTGGACTGGATGCACCATGAGAGGCTGTTCGATGAGAAGTTTGGTCGAGGCTGGGTGTTGTCTTTTGCGCCAGCCTTTTTGCTTGTTCTGGTCGAGCCTTGAGAGTGCCCGAGGTGCAGGAGCAGATGAGCTTTACAGGCATCTGATGCATAGAGCGATATATAGGCTTATGAAGCTTAAGTATTTAGAAGCTTAGTGTGACATGGCGCTCGGCAACGAATGTAAACAATTATCATCGTCGGCCGATTTTCACATTTGCGCCCGACCTTAGACCATCAACTTAAGAGATTCCCAACGCAGCGTCGCACGATTACCTACCAGTCACGATACACCCGGACACGATTACGTACCAAACCATCGAATATGGCATCGGCCTTCGAACCCTCGCTGTCCTCGAGTATGAGCGGCCGCCAGACAATGTCGGCAATGGCGCCCTCGATGGCCGATACCCTACCCAGCATCAACTTCGGCTTCGACGAGCTACGCGATCGCATGACCAAGTTTAGCGCGAGGTTCGACGCGTTCATCGAACAAGGGCGCAAGCGCGTGCTGGAGGAGCGCAACCAATTTCGCATGAGCGTTGCTGAACTACAAGGTACGAACAGGCAGGGGCACAAACAACACGGCAGCATTATCCTACCATTCCGCTGTTGAGGCGATCGAGCATTCACTAACGGACGTGTCGCAACAACAGAGGACCAACGCATGAAGAAGAAGGACATGGAGATCGTGCAGCACAAGATCAACACACACCAGCAGACGCGGTCGAAAGAGGACGCCGAGAAACGGGAGATGGAAGCCGCAATCGCGGCCCTCAGCGCGCAGCGCGCCAAGAACACGACAGCACGGGACACGCTGAAACAACAAATCGCCGAAACACAAACGCAGATCGAGGCGCGGCTGGCGGCGCAGCGGGCGCACGCGGCGCGCGTGGACGCGCAGAGCCGGTTCAACGTGCCGGAGCTCGACTTCTGGATGTCGAACCTGTGCCTCAAGATCGAGGGCGCGGGCCAGTCGGACCGGCTCAAGTTCGTGTACTCGCACCTCGACGAGCGCGACTGGGAGCGCGAGGCCTGGTTCGAGCTCGATATCACCTCGCGCGACTACAGCGTGCGCCACTGCCGGCCCAAGCTCGAGCGCGAGAAGGTGGACCGCGTGCTAGAGCGCGTCAACGAGTCGAGGGAGCTGCCGGCGCTGCTGAAGGGGATGAGGGAGCTGTTTGTTGAGGCTATGAAGTCGTGATATGTCACGGTTAAGGGACGCTGCATTGCATGGGAGTACGGTTTGGGGAGGCGCGTTGTTGGATTGACTGGGATGTAATGCCCTGGGCTTTGTAGGCACGACAACAACAACCTTGATTGTGGGTTTAGGACATATCAGGCATATTTAGATACCACAGAGTTGATGTTTACTCAGACAAGAAAATCGTCAAGCAAAAGAGCCCAGTATATTGCAGTATTTATTTGACCCTTGTGGTCGAGAGCGGCGCATACCAGAATAGGCAGCTGCCGCCACCTGCGCCCAACCAGACATCCCACCCCGCGATCGACCGCGTCTAAGCTAAACACCCAAATCGACCGCGTCTCATACTGGTATACCGGCATCACACCCACGCACCCCTCCAAACCCTCACAAGCCAGTAAACCATAAAAATAGACCCAGCCATGCCGGCCGGCGACACCGGGAAGCAGCAGGCTGCCCAACAAGCTGTCGACATCCTACACGAGATCTCCACGATCCTGGTATGTTGCCTCCCGTCTCGGCCTCGCATACCATCCCATCCCATACCCCTCGCTAAATCGCTGAATCGCGGAGCAACAGAACTGCCACCTCGACCGCCGGACCCTGTCCGTGTGCATATCCATGGTTGAGAACGGCGTGAACCCGGAGGCGCTGGCGGTGAGTCGATGACCTACCCATCTATCCGTCTCCCTCTATCTTCTTCAACGGGCGATGCGATCGCCAGACTGGAAGCTGATCTGTCTAAAACGCTTGCAGAACGTGGTGCAGTTCCTGCGCAAGGAGAAGCAGAAGGATGACTTCGCCAAGGAGTTGAAGCAGTGAGCAGAGCACATTTGGATTGAGGAGGCAGGCGGTAACTATTTGCGGCTTGTGCATGCATGGGAAGGAGTTTGGTGTTCATCAGGTACATGCCTTCAAGGTCGGATTGTTACACGGGCAAAGGCGTTCGTCCCACTCAGAGGAATGCAGAGTTGTGGTTGTTTTCTATTCAACAGACTTGTGGCATTGCTGTTCGACCCCGTAAGGCTTCTTGGGTTACAATGTTTCGAGACGCCGGCTTTAGGCGATTGAACCGTAATCCATAAACCCCATTCCTCATCCAGGAGTCGAATATTTGCCCAAACTCGACTGGTATTTGCCCTCACATATCGATGCCGTACACGAACGCCGTCCTAAAGTCCATCCTAAAGAGCCATCCCGTATCTAATGGCCGACCCTATCTATGGCCTAGGAGCCCGAAGTCGTCGTCGTCGTCCGATTCATCCGCCTCTTCTTCCTCTACCTCCTCATCAGAAGATTCGTTGTCGTCGGATTCGTCTTCTTCGTCCTCACCAGAACCTATGCTACGGGGCACGCGACTCCAGAGACTTAAGATATCTTGATTTTCTTCATCCTCCCAGTTTTCCATACCAGAAGCTCCGACAACGGAGCCATTTAAAGAAGGCCCAGGGATGGGCAGTGGCGAGACCGAGCGAGCAAGTCTATACCTTTCGGGGATTCGCGAATCCAGGTTGGGTTCGATAGCCGACGAGTTCATCACGTTAGATGAGTGACGTCGCCGCCGTACATCGCGCACGGCAGCAACATCCGGGTTCCCTAGAGTAGTAAGTCCAGACACCTGCGCGTTGCGTTCCCCAATATCTCCCTCCATGGTCTCGGTAGCAAGGCCTATAATCTGTAGCTGGACTGTGTTGTAGGATAGACAGATACTACACTTGAGCCCTAGCCAGTGGTATAAGGTTTGGCTCTTCGCAGAGCAGTCGTTGCACAGGACGATAGCTCGAGTATCTCGAAACTCCGATGGCATTGGCTGTGCCTGAATAGCGATGTCGAGGTTGCGGAATTGTATTTCCATGTTTGTAAGGCTCTTGTTGCAGATGGGGCACTTGTACGAAGACCGCATGTGCTCCTGGAAACACTGCCGGTGTATGCTATGCCCGCATTTCATGAAGCAGACCGCGTGAGGTGAGTTGAACATGTATTCCCCACAGATTGGACAGTCACAATCTGTAGACCGCTCGATGCATCTGTGATCCGATTCGACAGATATGGCAATGCACGCACAGCATTTCTGGATCTGATCAGCTGGGAGAACTCCGACTTGATGAGATACACGATCGTACCTTGCAGTGGAAGAAGTCTTTTCCAAGTCCTCTTCCTATTCTGCATATGCCGCAGTCATTGCAGTGATAGCAAGGCTTGTCGGGATCGTCGTTCCAAAGTTTACAGATGCTACAGTAATACCTAGAAGCCGACGCTCCGCAGGCTAGACATGCTTCACCGGCTCGTTGAGCGGTCCCGCAGAACATGCAAAGCATGTTGTTCGTCTCATGGCGAACTAGCGTGTGATCCTCGACCTTGTCATGACAAAAACGACAGGTGTACCATCGATGACACGTAGAGCATTGCATCTTGACATTTCGTCGGTAGTGCTCACAACCAAGAGGACGGTAGTCTGGGTACTCGGGGTCCTCCAAATCCCCAGTAGACGCCGTGGAGGATACCTTCGGAGCAAAGGTAGGTTCAAGGTCCGCATCTGTCAGGTTGAAAGCCTCGGCTAGCTCAGCCTCTGCTAGAGAGTTCTGCCAGAATTTAAACGAATCCAGCGGCCTTTGCACTTGCGGCGATCGTTGCTCGGAAGTTCCGGAACTTGAAGGAGTAAAGGGCCGTTCTCGTTGGACGGTGACCTGTGACCTTTTGTATCCCTCTATCAACAACTGATGCATCAACCGAGCCTTTTCGGACGCATCAATGTCCTGTGCCTGGACGACAAGTATTCTTTTCCTCAGCGTTCCCATTCCATCGTCCTCCGGTAGCACGAGGCGGCCGTACGTATCGCTCCTCAAAGACGGGTCAACATCGGTTGGCCGATCCGTTGCATCCATATTGGAATCGTTCGGGGGCATCGGTTCGTTCTGCGTACCGACTCGACGAGAATCGACACTGCGTAGTGGTAACTCGAAAGGGTTGTGCGCGGCGGGGATCAGGGCACTGTCAGACTGACTGTGGCCCTCACGCAAGTCAGCGACATCCGTCGCCGGGTGCGGTTGAACGGAGCTCCGAGACGAAGGTGACGAAGATGCGCTTCCTTCTGCGTCATCTCCCAGATAGAAATTCTCCTCGGTTTCGGAAATGATGTCCTCGGGGTGGTTATACCGACGTGCTTGCGCGGTTCGTAGGGGAGAGCCGGGCGCGGTAGTGTTGACAGAGCTCGTCAAGCTCGAGAAGGAGAAACGGCGTGCTTGCCGAATGACAGGGTTAACCAAGAGGTCGGCGACGAAAGATGTCATTGGCGTTGCGAGCGGTCGAGCGCGGATGCTAGGTGTGTAGACTGTCCATGGCTCTTCGGACAGGGCCAGGACAGGTGATTAGAAGATATAATAAACCCGTTACTTCGAGTCCAGTCCAATTCGGGAAGAATATCGTTGTCGTTGGTCAGGAGAGGTCTGAGGCGTTCTGGCAGGCCGGCGGGGCAAGTTTTAGGTGGAAGACGGACGAGCAACGGACTTGAGACGGACTTGGAATTACACGTGCTTGTGATCGGCAGTGTCACCAGTTTTGAGTCTGTGACATCAACGTACGATCTGGCGGAAGGAACGGTCCAATGAACAAGCCGTTCTCGCAGCTACCAAATTGACTATTGCCGTTTATTATTAACTACCTACCTATGTACCTAGGCCTATCGACGGGCCGGCGGCGGGTGGTCTGATCTCCGTATCTTAGTCCAAAACCCGGCGCCACAATTCATCGAAGTCATCAAAGTCATCAAGGCCATATTACGCACGCAATTCGTATCTCATCATGACTTATTAATCAATACTCGCATTTCTCACCAACAAGAGCTGTCCAGGGCTGCGAAGCAAGCTTCGTCAAGGCTATATCGATTGACCTTACCGCTGCTTTGGGTCGATATCAGACATCGATATCACTCCTCGAACACCGAGGTCGATCAGGGCCGTCGGTCAACTCGAGGGTCTATTGAAGGCTGGACCAATAGTATATGCCGCAGGTCTGAGACTGGCAATACGACTAAGGCCTATTACTCGACAATCTACATCTACCAGAGCAATGGCTGATCTCAAGGTCATCCACGCATATCGTCATCTCTATCGAGGCCTGCTCCACGCCGTCCAGTTCTCCAAGCCTTCTCGGTACATAGCGCAAGCCCAGTTGAGAACGGCCTTCCGCGAGGAAGGGGCTACGTTTGACACCCGAAGCATCGCCCGGACTGTGCGCTTCCTAGAAGCAGCCACCAGAACCAGCGGCTTGGAACATAGCGTCCTGAAGAACCTTCTGATGACGGCTTACTTCCGACATTATCATGGCAACCGCACCTGGAAACACGTTCAATTGAACGTGAAACAGATGAAGAACAAGTAGGCAACCCCCTCGATTGCTTCTCGGGGAAGGTGGGCTGACAAAGTTACTAGGAAGGATCAGGAGCACGTCCGACGCACGGCATACAAACACTACGATATGACAGTCGCCATGCTGAATAAGTCGATGGGCTTGTGCTTGCGATAGGATAATGTTCACGCGAGCATCAGTCAACTAGAAGCATAATCAGCACAGCTTCAACGATCCGTGCCAACTCGATGGAGACTACGGCAATTGGAACACTCCAGATCAAATCATGTCGGCATTCCTACCTACCTTGGCCAATGTACACGAAATTGCCGGCGCCGATCGGCAAGCTGTCTTGCGGGTGGGAAGGTGACATTGAATCCATGGCGAGGGGACGACCCTCAGCATGAGCGTTATGAGAGCACGGTCCTTTCGAGTCAAGGACAAATATATGGCCAATATCTGGCTCAATCCCCCTGACGAAGAACACTCGTACCATGTGGAAACGTGGCTCTACAGACGCAGTTTATGTCAGATGCCAATAGGTTCCATGCAGAAGCTTAGCCGTTCTGACTGCGCGGGATGTCACTGTAGGCATCAACGTGGGTGGTACTGGGAGTACACAACGTCAGGAAATATCGCGAAGGGTACCTCTGATCCGCGAGAAGCGCATCTTCCGTATGGTCAAATGGTTGGGATTGGGAGGATTGTGAGGGCGGCAATATCCAAATGCCATCTTCGGGCGGCAATTAGCATAGACTGATCGAATGTCAGGTCTTGGAATAGAGTACCTGGCCTGGGTGGCATTCATGATTTGCCCGGAGACAAAGGAAGTTCCTCGATGCACCAGCAGATGCGAGTCGTCGATCCTTCATATAACAGCTAGCAGGGGATGACGTCCTTCAGCATGAGGAGAGACAGCGGGTGTATTGACCGCTTCACCAGTCCTGGGAGGAAGCCGAACGAAGCTCTACAAACGTACTTGAACATGGTCGACCCCCCCTATATACCTTACATGGTAATCATTACTAGGATAGCATCCTCCTGTTAGGTATATACTGCAATGGCTGTGATCCAGGTCCTACCTCTCACAGAAAGCAACGCTGGCAACAGTAATAGTCGACCAACACCTGCCACGTTCGGGTCGGTCAAGTCTGATCGATTTATATTGTAACAGCAGCTCCCAACAGGGTCTGTCAGAGTCGTGCCGAATGGTGTGGGCTTTGGAGATAAAACATTCCAATCAATCACGGAGGATCGTCACCCCAGCCAGAATAGCTGCATACACAGCTGCCGTGAGCCATCCCCGGTGAGGCCGCCATGGGGAACTGAGAGCAGGTCCCCAGGACGTGACATGTAACGACCCGGCCACACTGTGGAGAGGCTGGAGATAGTCCGTGTAACGATGTCCCCATTGGGCCTTGGCAGCAACAGCGGCACTGAGCTTCCCCTGCCCCCCCACCTCTAGCGCTCCTTCATGCCCCAAAGCCACCAACCATAGCGGCCGTGCCCGACGCCCCAGCCGTCACCCCAGCTGTCGCCCGACCTTTGAACTGCCCATAAACCCACGGGCGCCCAGTCCCATATCCACACCCTCAGACACCCTGACATCTTGACACCCTGATCCATGACTGCCTGCCACCTCGACGGTCTTTGTCACTTCCATGTGCACTCAACACCAACCCCGCAGAATACAAACGCCCGACAAATCATAGCGGCGTTCTTGGGAATCGAGTGCTCCGTCAATTGGCTTGTCCGTCATCCAGATGATACGGCCACCATCCAGCAGTGAAAGACGGCCATCATCAACATCACCACCATCATTCTCCAGCTTGGGATTCAACTCCAACGCCTCGACTCCTCCGACCCCGCTTCACCATCACCGCCACTACTACCACTACCACCACCCCGATTACCACCCCGAACCATCGAGTCCGCACACTTCGGGATCTTGATGGCACTTCCCCTGCCAGCAGCCCACGCCCTTGTATCGCGACCACGCCGATGACTCTGGTCCTCCTCCCGAGGCCATTGTCTGAAGCTTCCCCGCAATACAACCGTCTGCTGAAGAGCTATGCCAGCTGAGTCCGATATCCAACATGTCACCGGCGTCTCGATTCGGACTCGGACCATGCCTCAGTTCAGCGGGAGCGAGAAGCCGCGCAGGTGGATAAAACGATACCGCACCGAGGTCGCTGCCTCCGCCGCCAGCGTTCTCTCTACCGTCACCGCGTTCCCCCTTGACAGTGTCAAGACTCGCATGCAAACCTATCCCTATAATGGAGCCTTGCACTGCGTTCGAATGACACATCGGTTGGAGGGCATCCATGGTTTCTTTCGTGGTATGTAAACCCCATCCAGCGCCCCGGCCACACTCTCGCACGACGACGCCGCTGACCACACGCGCGCTATACAGGTGTGACCGCTCCCTTGGCTAGTGTGACCCTCGTACGAACTATTTCCTTCTCGATCTACCAGCGCTCGAAACACGACTACTCCAACTGGATGAAAAAGCATATGGGGTTTTGTCCACTCGAGCATGTCAATGCGGCTGGCACCTATCCCAACCTGGGCACCATTGCCTGCTTTGGGGCCGCCGGAGCCACTGCCGGCTCCTGCATCACATTCATAGCCTGTGAGTCGGCCAGATGGAAGAATACCACTGCATAGGTTACTGATCAAGGTCACACTAGGCCCTTTCGAATTGACCAAGCTAAGCGCACAGGTCTCGGTTCTCATGGCGAACCAGAAGAACGCCGATCCCAAGAAACAGGCTATCGCGATGAGCTATCACAACAAAGGAACATTCAAGACCCTAGCCAACATCGTCAAACATCGAGGTTATAGTGGCATGTATACTGGACTGAATCTGCACCTGTGTAAGACAGCCCGGTCGGATCTTACTTGTAGCTGGCCTGACTGATCATTGCAGTGAGAGATACACTGGGAACTGGAATCTATTTCGCCACCTACGAGAGCAGCAAGCATTTTCTGACGACGTTCCTCGGAAAGGATGCCCATAAGAACCCAATTGCCGTTCTGGCTGCGGGAGGTCTTTGTGGCATCGTTTCCTGGGCTTTAATCTGTGCGTTCCTTGGTTTCACGGCCGTTCACTCCAGCTGACCACATTCATAGACCCTATCGATTCGGTCAAGAGCATCTACCAGCGAAATGCCTTGATGTACTCGAAGGGGCAGAAGGTTCCCATCCCCAAGATCCAGTTCTTCAGACGCGACATGTACCGCGGGCTCGGTGTGTCTATGGGACGTTCAGCCGCGGTCAATGCGGTGTTCTTTTCGGCATTTGAGTTCCTCAAGAAGAAGATCAACGCTCTCCAGGATTAAATTCATTAGGACGTCAGTTGAGAAGTGGTGCTAGCTCATTCCATGGACGATTGTATACGTCGAGCACGAGAGCATATGATACGGCGTTCTCAGGATTCGGCGGCATGGCCATAATTGCTCCACATTGGACCCCTGAAATGGGGACAATGGAGGAATTCAATATGCCCCCAAAACATGAAGGCATGCCTAAAGTAGGTAACTGTCTGTTGTTCAAAGGGGACTTTAGGCCAAGAAGGAAGGGATACCACGGACGCGGCAACGAGAACTTGTTCATGTAACTCGATTGCTTTGCAGGGTATTATGCATGCCGCAGATGCGAGCACATTCAGATCATCATCTCCTGATCTTATGCGCCGAATAAGTCAGGATGTCTAGCATCCCAGGTAGTACAGACCTGTTAGGAAACAGTGAAAACAATCAATGCGATGCGGCTACAGCATGTGCCTATGCCCCAACATTCCCGGGTCTATCCCTGACACAAAAGGCTGATTATCCATCTGAACGCCAAACCGCCAAAAGATGCCCTATCCCTATCCCTACTCCGACATGCCGCACTTGTGTATCATAATGCATCCTCATCGACTTGTTCATACCCGCAATACCCACACGCCAGTCGTCTAGCCGGTCGGTCCACCCACGCACGCCCCGCCTCATCAGTCGCTCCGCAGCATGCTCTCGACGAGGTCGCCGAGGGGGCCCCAGAAGTCTTTGCCGCTGGCGAGGCCGTGCTCGTCGATGAAGAGGACGTACTGCTTGAACGAGGTGTTGAGGTGGGGCTCGAGGCCGAGCTCGCGGATGACGGGGTAGTGGTGGCAGTAGATGTGGGCGTAGACGCGGTACATGCGCTTGAAGATCTGGCGCACGAGGGCGGGGAAGGACTTGGGGAAGGGCACGCCGATGCGCGACGGCATGACAGCCTCGTTGTCGATGTTGCCCTGCACCCAGCCCATCAGCTGCTCGATGTAGGCGGGGGCGGCCATCTTGGTGGGCCGCTTGTAGGTCTCGGAGTCTTGCCAGAGGTACTCGAATCTGGGACGGAGATATGGGTGGTTAGTGGTGGGATGTAGAGGCAGGTATAGATAGTCCTTTCTGAAGGTGCGTATGGCGGGTACTCGATAAATGCGCGGACGGGGATAGGGGAAACTCACTCGTCGGTGGCCTTCATCTCGGGGCACGACTGCGGCGAGCAGAACTCGGTGATGGCGCCGTAGAGCAGGTTGATCTGGTTGTAGAAATCGACCATGTTGACGGCCAGCCACTCGTTCTCGTCCTCGCCCTCGGGCAGCTTGACCACCTTGCGCAGGCTGCCGCCGCCCAGCGTCGCCTCGGCGTACTGCCGCAGCTGGTAGCTCGTGTTTCCACCCTTGCCCGTCCGCGAGCGGAACTGGTTGCGCGCGCGCTGGTTGCTATTGGACCGCGGGGGTTAAGTGTCAGCTCTGGATGGATCGTGGACTTCCTGGTAGGACGGCGGGTGGTGAGATGTTAGATGGGTCACGTACATGGTCGTTGCGAACGAGGTCATCGTGGCCTCGAGTCTATGCCGCAACAGCGGGCTCTTGGTTGGGTTTGTTGACTGCGCCATGGTGGTCTGGTTAGCGGGGCACTCGATCATGGTGGGATGATGCTTGGCCATTGCGGCTCACTTACGCAAGTCTGTCAGATCTTTGGAAGTCTGCTGAGAATAGGCAGTGTTGGCTTCGTCTGACGGTGGGTTGATGGGTGTTTGCGAGTGGTCTGCCAGTATCGATGTAGGTCGGACACTGATGGCACCAAGTCGGGATGGATGTTTTGACGGGTTGCTATGTGGTGCACGGGCCAATGAGCTTCTCCCAGGCATGCGCCAGCAGAAACGACCCCTGTACATCCGCCCCGCCGTTTGGGCTTCCCCACTATTGCATCACTGCTTCGCTCCCCTATTTCTCATTGTCAACTCACCTTCTTCTTGTTCACCCCTAGCGATAAATTTTCTCGATTATTTGATTGTCTTTTTACCTAACTGTCAGTCAGCCAACCAGCTTGAGCATCATGCCACGGATCTGAGCCATCGAATCTGGGACTGGACAAGTACGGCATTACTACTTCCACTCCCAGTATGGAAGCTGAGGTTGCTGTGCGAACTCCTTACCTACGTGGCAGGTGACTTTCGGTATCACTATTAAAAAGGGACCATGGCTGAAAGGACGTTTGCCTTCCTATGCTATCTCATCAGTCAGGTCGCTACGAGTATAGGTAGTCTGTGGTCATGATACAGATGGAGATTGATGAGTTACATCTCGCTAATGTCTCCCTAGTATCGCTTATGGATCAACGCTTCGTTTTCGAGGCAGAATGGGGACGAGAGGAAGCAGAACCTCTGAAGGTGCAAGCTCCGGCGTACTCAGACCTTTTCAAAGTTCGCATAAGGCTCGGTGGCATCATACATCCAGCACAGCCGATGTACCTCCTCCGTCGGACCACGCTGGAAATGCAACAGGCCCACGTTGTAGTCATCCCAATCCACCATGCCCTTTGTCAGCATCTGATCGCGCGTAAGCGGCAAGAAGCTGTAAACATCCTTATTGTATAGCTCCCGGTCACATGTCCATTTGCGGCACGAGTTGAACATCACCGCCAAGCGACCTGTTTCTTCCTGGAGAAAGATGGTGATCCGGGTGCCGAACCCCTCATACTTCCCGATGTACTCGTGGAGGTCGGCCTCCCGGTCCGGGACGCTGCGGTGCTCGAGCCACTCGATAAGCATTTCGCAGAACACTCGGTACCATGCGCCTGCCTCTCTCTTGACGAGCGGTAGGAGGTCCACGTGCGGCTTCATATCAAACAGCGCTTGCGTCAGTATCTTGGCTGACCAGTCGGCCGCGTCGCTCAGGTTCAAGCCGTTAGCCAGCGCCATGACGGCACTCTTGGTTTCTGGGAACATGAAGACGGCGGATGCATATCCACTCCACACGCCATTGTGCCCTATGAAGAACCGCCTTGGCGAATCACGCCCGATGGTGTGAGCGTCGAAGAAACTCGGGTCTCGTTCCTCTGTCCGACAGTTGATCCCGTTGCCCCCTATTGTAGCGACTGGGAGGTAACCGCAATAGTATCCTAGGGCGTACGAGACTTTGCCGTCGATATCGCGTTGAGACTTCCAGAGGGTGGGTATTTCCCGTACGACCGAATCCTCCGTCGGAGCATGATATGCCCGTAGGAGAGTCGATGTCCATTCGAGCATGTCATTCACGGAGCTCCTGATCCCAGCTGCTCCCAGGATAGGCGCGTGGTTTTCGTCGGTGTAGTCCTCCGTGGCGACTCTGGTGTACGAGCCGTCTTGCAGTTGGGCGTAGCCATGCGCGACGTTAAGGTTGCTCTCCAGCTTGCTTCGATTCACGACTGTGTGTCGCATATCGAGGGGATCCAGGATGTTCTCTTGCACGAAATCCGAATAGCGTTGTCCTGAGGCGTTTTGGACCGCCAGGGCTATGAGGCCGTATAGGAGGTTGTTGTACACGGGTTGCGGACCTGGGGTGTCTGTTGGGCCCTCTTTCGTGGGTCCCTCTTCCTGGTCTTCTTGTGCGCCTTTGGATCTCTTTCGTGGGCGCTGTTCCTCGTGGAGTGCTTCGTCGCTCCTCTTTTCAACTTGCTTCGCATGGCCCTCTGCATAGCCCCGCTCATGGCCCTCGTCAACCCGGTCAGATCCTCCTTCGACTGTGCCTTCGAATGTCTCTTGACGTGCTCCTATAGGTGCTTCTCTTGGTACGTCTCCTTTTTCTTCCTGGTGTTCAATTTCATGATAAGCACCTGCTACTCCTTCGCGATCATCGTTGGCTATGTCTAGTTCACTTTTCGAGGCTCATCTGCGCCGGATTCGGAGTGTGGCACCACGTCGCTATCAGCGTCAACAGCTTGGTCCCGATCATCATCCAGCCTTGGCGTGCCTCTCAGTACGCGTACAAAGGTCACTTCGTCCCCAAGAAAATATCCATTCGGGCCAAGCAGGAGGGTTTGCGGACGGCCCAAGCCAATCGAATGCAGCAATGCCTGACGAATCGTGATCTCTTCGCAATCCCTGGGATCGTTGGCTCGCTTGAACTCCGGGATGTACTTGCTGATTGGATCGTCCCACCCCATGTGAACCTGGTCAACGAGTATGCCAACAGCAGCTGAGAGGAACATCTTGGAAACCGAGGCTAGCATGTATGTGGTGTCCGAATCCGCCGCCAGGCCATCCTCCACGCAGCGATCTCCCAAGCTCTTGGTGAAGACGACTTCGCCCTCGTGGAGAACGCCCACCGATAAAGAACCTGAGGATGGGAAATCTGGAACTCATACCTTTCCATTGTGGTGAACTCTGTAATAGTTGCTGAACCTGCACTTGTGGCATGAAGCAGTAGGTGAGAGCGAAAGGTAGGATACGAGAAACGGAGGCTCTGAAGTATTAATGCGTCCATGTTGGTTCCCTGCGTGTTTGTGCGTGGTCATTCACTAACCTGCATTGCAGTTGGGCGGTTTGCGTTACAATTCTTCGTCATTTTGCGAGCATTCCCCATTGGGCGTGTCACCACTGGTGAATCGAGTCTTTTGACTGGCGTCTTATTGTTGCCATTGGCTACTTCCTAACATCCCTCGGTCTGTCTTGTCACTTGCGAATCCAAACGGGGAGACTGGATACTCTACGTAGATGGAGTCCCAGGATAGATAATCCCGAATTCAGGTATCTGTAGTTCGATTTCTATTAAGCGCTTCGAGGCTGTAAGTACACGAGGCCGTCTCTTCGACAGAGAACGGCCGGATATGCTGCAATAAACTTGAAAAAGGGCATCAAAAGCCGCACCAGGGTCCAGCTGCACCCCCCAAGTCAGTACTAGACTCATCATTGCCTCGCATATTTCCCATGGATTTCGAAGCACTTGAAGCCAAGAGGATGTGATTTCCACCGTAACTGTAACTACTTCATCAAGAGCTGTAGGGTAGAAGTTGGCTTGGTATCCAATCGAACATGAAGGCCCAGGTTACCTGAGAGCAAAGATCGCAGCTTTGCGGCGCTCTCTGTCGTGACGACCGGACTAGAGTGACCATGTGTGCTGAAGTACGTAACAGGTGGACCTGGCAGTGGAAGCACATGATCGGCAGCGAGCTCTATAGTCCTCTAAGTGGTGAGCAGGACGAGGACGACCCCGCAGATGTCGTCGGTCCCCAGGTTTTGGGGGGTCCGGATAATTGACATCTCCACATGGGGTTGCGGGCAGGCTTGTGCAGATGCTTCTGGTGAATGGATACCGAGTGAATGATGTAGTATTGGAGAGTCTGCGGGTGAGAAGCTTCGCCTTCATGTCTGGACATCGCACAATGTCAGGAATACCAGGAGTTCTCCTGGATTCTTATTGAACTTCAACAATGCGGATATCATCAGTTCTCGTCCTTCCCCTGCTCAGCGTCGTCTACGCAGCAAGCCATAAAATCGACAGACGACAAGTAGTCCAATCGTTCAACCCCCGGCGCAATGCCAGTTCCAGCACGTCACCATTGCAGGTCGGCAATGGCAACTTCGCATTCGGGGTCGACGTGACGGGCCTGCAGACATTCAGCCCCTTCGCAACCATGTCGACCTGGGGATGGCACAACTTCAGCCTACCGACCACTGAGGGTCAGACCTCCGTTGATGGTAAGTGCCCCCGCCTCCTGGCATTGGAACTCTCTGACGTGGTCAAAGACTTCACCGGGGTGGACTGGTGGACGCATGGTCGACTGGTCAACTACGATCAGCCGAACCCGGCGCAGAATGAAATCTCCAACTGGTTGATCCAGAACCCGCAACGGCTGAACCTGGCGAGGATAGGCTTCTCGTTCAATGGTGGTAATGTGACTGAAGCGGATCTGGGTGACAAGGCCCAAACGCTTGACTTATGGACGGGCAAAATCTCATCCTCGTTCACTTACAAAGGGGCCCAAGTGGAGATTGAAACATGGGCAGATCCAAACTCAGATACGATTGGGATCGCCGTTGAGTCGGAGCTACTATCAACGGGAACTTTTGGGATCTTCTTCGACTTTCCGATGCCAACGCTGAATAAGTTCGGCGCACCTTTTGTCGGTGTCTTCAACGCTACCGATAACCATACCACAACCCTTCAGTCATTGCCGAAAGGGGCTACTATCCAGCACGATATCGACGCGACGTCCTACTTGGTCACGTTCAGCTGGGATGGCGCGGCCGAGATCTTAGGCCCTAGCCAAGGGACTCATCGTTACCTTCTGCAACCATTAGAGGGCACCAAGGCCATCGCACTGTCAGCCGCCTTCTCTCCAGATATGAAAGCGCATGTTCCGCCGGTGGATGTCATCAAAACGGCATCTGAGACGGAGTGGGAAGCCTACTGGAACTCCGGGGCGTTCATCGACTTGTCGAAAACGCAGTCGTCAAATGCTACGGAACTGCAACGACGGATAATCCTGTCGCAGTATCTTACCGTTGTCAACTCGGCTTCTTCATATCCCCCACAAGGTGAGTCATCCGACATTTCTGCCTGAAGAATAGCTGAGCAATGCTGATGCAAAACAGAGTCTGGTAAGCCGTCATACTGTGTTGAGGAGACATGGTCGATTTCGCCGCCATCTGTGAAAACAACTTGCTAATACGCAACGAAGGTCTGGTGAACAATGGGTGGTATGGGAAGTTCCATGTCGGTGCCACTTACCATCCTGTCTGACATGACTTCCATAGTACTGACCTCACTGCTAGCTCGAGATGGTATTATGGCATCTGCTCCATTTCGCCCGATGGAACAAATTCCCCCTACTATGGCGCAGTCTCCCGAACATGTACACCCAATTCCTGAACTCATCGCTCGACCGCGCACAAGCCCAGGGGTACGACGGTGCTAGATGGGGCAAGATGACCGATCCCTCAGGGAGGTCAGCACCCGGCGAGATCAACTCGCTACTGATATGGCAACAGCCGCATCCGATGTATTTCGCAGAGGTCGAGTACAGGTCGTTTCCCAACCACACAACACTCACGAACTGGGACGAGATCCTGACGCCGACAGCCGACTTCATGGCCTCGTACGCCTTCTTCAACGAGTCGACCCAAGTCTACGACCTCGGCCCGCCCATGTATCCGGTCTCGGAGAACACGAACCCAAACGCTACCATCAACCCGGCGTTCGAGCTTGCGTACTGGCGGTTCGGCGTCGACGTTGCCATCAAGTGGAAACAGAGACAGAACCTCACAGCACCCGCAAAATGGATTTCAGTACGGGACAATCTAGCCCCCCTACCGACCGCCGACGACGCATTCGCCGTCTACGAGGGCATCCCGAACATGTGGCAGAACACAACCGTGCAAGACCACCCAGCCCTCTCCGCCATCTTTGGGCTCCTGCCACCGCCGAGCAGCGGACCGGGGCTCAACATGACCATCGTCCAGAACACAGCCGACAAGATCCGCAACGGCTGGGACCTGGCCGACTGCTGGGGATGGGACTTTCCCATGCTGGCCATGAACGCGCTGCGGCTGGGCGACGTGGACGGGGCCGTCGCGTACCTGCTGCACCCGCTGTTCGAGTTCGACGATGCCGGGTATTCCGTCGGCGGGGTGCGCGTGCCGACGCCGTATTTTCCGGGGGCGGGCGCGCTGTTGTTGGCGACGGCTATGATGGCGGGTGGGTGGGATGGTGAGCCCGGACCGCGGTTCCCGGGTGGGTGGGATGTTGCGGTTGAAGGGTTTGTGCCGGGCTTGTGATGGGGGATGAGATGTGTGTCATTAGGGTCGGCATGGTCTGGGTGAGGGATGAACCTTATATTAGCTACTTGAATTGGGTGGTTCGCTCAGAGTAGAGTTGTGGTCAGCGATGCTTTCTCGTGACGGTACCAAGGCCAGTCAAGGTCAGTGACCAGTACTCACGACAGACGGTCTAGGCGTCGTAGTTTCACATGTCTGGTATACCCAGAGTAGTATACGTCGACAGAGTGGGAGTTCGGGCCTGACCCCAAGCCCCAAACCAGTTTTCGCTGGCACCATCGGTGGTCGGTCCCGTATTGAAGGTTGTCGCATGGATCTGAAGTCTCAAAATACCTAATCGCCGTTCTTGACCTCGAGGATTACCGATAGCGCACAATATCTGCAGCAGCGGATTGGATAACTTATCGATATCCCCACGGGCCATGCCACTGCCATGGCGCATATCGGCCAGCCTTAATTTCAAATCGCTCCACCTACCTACATCTCCCCAAGAAGGAGACGACTCGATGTTATGGTTATCATGAGAGAAGTTCCAACATGATATGACGGTGTTGGATCTTGTAGGCGAGAGCTTGGAGGAACAACAGTGGAGAGTGTTTTGGAACTGTCGAAGATGGTAGATCATGATCTGCAGCTGGATGCTGGAAGCTGACGCTTGTCGGAGCTGCTTGTTGCTTTAAATAGCAACGCAAGATGGGGATTGCCATGATCCATCATGTCACGCCTCATCCTTGCTGCCGGGACCAGGATCTCGCTCTCGGTTTAGATCACAGCGCCGCGCCCACGGACGCTGGAAGGATCAGGAACCTCACCTGTCCATGGTTTCACTCACGGCCTCCGGGCTGCAACCGGCTACTATCACCTGCGCCTATCAAGTTCGATCCACTCGTCGTTTCTCGTCATGTCATACATCATGGCGCGCTCAGCTGCCTCGTCGTTCCTCTCGCCCTTCCATCTGGCCTTTGTCGAGTGATCCCTCATTTCCTTTCCCTTTCTGAGACTCTATTCTCATGTCCACTCGTTAATAAGATGCGTTTCTCGTGGCCATTGACGGCCTGTGTGCTTTTGAATCCGGGCCTGGCATCAGCAACACCAGAGTTCAGCGCTCTCGGCGCTCTTCTGGACCTGATTTCGTCCGTCCTGGAGAAGTCTTCGCCAGCAACTTCGCTGACGCCGACAAATCCGTCCACCTACTGGTACGAATCTATAAGCCACAACGGCATCTCCCCTGTCGCGCCCAACGGGACGACCTGGCCGGTATTCCGGGATGTGAAGGCTACGTACGGGGCCTGGGGCGACGGCGAGCATGACGATACCGAGGCACTGCAGAATGCCATCAACGCGGGCAATAGCTACGCGAATAGGAGCTCGAACAGCCTGGGGACGACTGGCCAACCCGCCGTGGTCTACCTCCCCAAGGGGGAGTATCTGGTAGAGAGCCCAATACAGTTCTTCGTCGGCATGATCCTCATGGGCGACCCCACCGATCCGCCCACCATCAAGGCCAGCGCCAACTTCAGCGGCGACTACATGATCTACGCCAAGGACCCGTCACAGGACTCCACGACCAACTTCTTCGTCGGTATGAAGAACGTCGTTATCGACTCGCAGGCCTTCGACAAGGATAAGAACCTGACGCTGGTCGACTGGAGCGTCAGCCAGGCGTGCCAGCTCGCCAACGTCCGGTTCGACATGCCGTACGATTCCACCGGCCACGTCGGCATCGACATGCCACAGGGTGGCTCGGCGTTGATCATGGAGGACCTGTACTTCCACGGCGGCAGGACGGGTCTCATCCTTAACAACCAGCAGTACCACCTCAAGGGCCTGACGTTCGACGGCTGCACCACGGGCATCCTGGTGCAGCATTTGTTCATGGGGCATTGCCAGGCCTGCTCCTTCTCGTTATGCGGCATCGGCGTCGACACGTCGAGCCCGACGAGCGGGGTCGAGAGCCTGGGCACGTTCATCCTGACCGACGCAATCGCGGATAACACGGGCGCGCTCGTCAACACGGCCGCGACCAACGGCAGCTTCGGGTCCCTCGTGCTCGAGAACGTGCGGGTGGACGAGGCCACGGTCTCCTCCACCGTCACGGCGGACGGCGAGGTCGTGCTCAAGGGCAGCGTCGCCCAGGACCACGCCTGGGTTAGGGGAAACTCCTACAGTCCGAGCGGTCCAGGGTCTGGCGTGCTGCGGGTCCCCGGGACGATGTACCAGACGAAGCGGTCCGCGTCGCTCGTCGACGACGCCGGCAGCTTCCACCGCTTCGCGCCGCCGACGTACGCCGGGTACGACGTCTCGCAGTTCGTCAACGTCAAGGACGTGGCCGATCACCCCGTGGCGGGCGACGGCAAGGCGGACGACACGGCGGGCCTGCAGGCCATCATCGACCGGTATGCCGGGGACAAGATCGTGTTCTTTCCCTACGGCATCTACCTCGTCACCGACACGCTCAAATTCCCGCCCGGCAGCAGGGTGTTCGGCGAGGCGTGGGCTGCTATCTCGGCGACGGGCGATCGCTTCATCAACGCCGGCGAGCCGATCCCGATGATTAAGGTTGGTGAGCCGGGCGATGTTGGCGTCGCGCAGTTTTCCGATTTGCTGTTCACGGTCGAGGATGTACTCCCGGGCTGCACGCTGCTCGAGGTGAACATGGCCGGCACCCACCCCGGCGACGTCGGGTTCTGGAACACGCATTTCCGCGTCGGCGGCGCTGCGGACTCCCAGACCCAGAAGAAATGCGGCGCGGGCGTGACGACGGACCCGGGCGACTGCAAGGCCGCGTTCATGATGGCGCACTTCACCGACAGCTCGTCATCTTACGTCGATAACATGTGGGGTGAGCACCCCCTTCCCTTCCCTTCCGTAAACGTGGCCAACATGGAGTGTCTTACTGACAAGCAGCCAGCCTGGACAGCCGACCACGACCTCGACGGGTCGGGCAACAACGCGACGAACCCACAGTACGTCTCAGTCGGGCGGGGCGTACTGATCGAATCGACCAAGCCGTCCTGGTTCGTCGGCCTCGGCAGCGAACACAACACGCTGTACGAGGTCAACATACACGACGCCAGCAACGTGTTCATTGGCTTCCAGCAGAGCGAAACGCCGTACTGTATGTTATCCCGAACACACACGTTGAAAGAAGCCTCAAACTAATAGTAGAGCAGGGCAAGGCACCAACTCAACCCAACTCGCCCCCGCGCCCTGGGCGCCCCTAGCCCTCCCAAGCGACCCGGACTTCTCCTGGTGCGCCGGCGACGAAGCACAATGCCGCATGTCGCTCTACCAGACCATCACCAAATCGACAAACCTGAGCCTGTACGCGGGCGGGTTCTGGACCTTCTTCAACGCGAACGAGGCGTGCGAGGACGCCTGCCAGGACGACGCGGTGCGTATCGACGGCGACGCGAGCACGGGGGTGTACTACTTTGGGATCGGCGTGAATAACGTCAGGAATATGGTGGTTAGGGCCGGCGAGGCGCTGGTGGAGGCCGTGGATAATGAGGGTGGGTGGAAGGCGAATGTGGCGGCTTATTTGGCGAATATTGGATCTTGAGATAGGGGGAGGGTGTTGGATATAGCTTGGATATATAATAGGGGGTTGTGGTGAGTCGTTGGATATAATATTCTTGTATATACAATATCTTAGCCTGCTGGGCTGTAATAAGCACTATATTCTTTCATCACTAAGCCTCTCTCTTGCCATGGTAGAATGGACGGCACGAGAGAAAAATACTGTCTAGATGTTTATCAATGCCAGGTCTCAACGGGCAATCGGGCATCACAAGCTTGCTGCCAATTTCTTGCAACCTGTTCGAGCTTGAGAGGCGGGATTAGCTTACGTCCCAGTGGAAGAATCTTCCTGGTTCTCAGTAGTCGAGGGGAGGCAGTCCTCTTCAGAGTTTCGACTATCCACCTGAGGCTTCCTCGATCCTGAGTGAAGGAGTTTGAGACTGTTGATACATGCATGGTTAAACAGCCCAGCTTGAGAAGGCCGGCGGGCCCCCCTCGACCTGTTACTATGCTCTGAGCTTGCGCTTGCTCGTCAATAATTGTTGCTTCAGCGACTTGATGCCTTCGTGTTTCGCTTTCTGAGGGGCTCGGTTTAGCAACTGGCTCCTCCTATACAGTTTGTGATGGGTTGGAGGTAGCCGGTTGCGACCGGTAGGGACGATGAGATGGACTCGTCTTAACCTGAGATAACGTTATAGGAATAGAGGTTTGGGTTCCTAGAGGTCTCGTCGTGATATCCGACTCCGATATCATCTCTGGTGGGCATCTTCGCGCTCTTGCTGAGGACCGTTCTTATGGAGAGAGTCGCTCCTCCCCGTCCGGTCCTGGATGACTGTGATGTCACTTGCATCACGGCAACGCGAGCTGCTGCACAAAGGTATGGACAGCTTGACTCTGTACACCTGAGAGCATCTTAGGCTTAGATCTCAGTACTGGTGCCGGAGGGATGACGAAACCTGAAGTAGTGGGGGGGAGCGCAGTCAAGGTTCCTATGCTGTTCACTGAAGAGAAACTCATCTCTCTTGCGTGAGAAGCTTCACCTAAACGCGAACGCTCGTTGAGTGTGAGTGACAGACCTGGCACAGCACACAGCATACAGCAATCAGCCGGCTCAGGGGTGTTCATCGAGTATTTACCGTTGCAATGGCAAGCAGACCGTGGTGTTCCCGCCACTGCGGTAACTGACATATACTGACTATCCAAGCCGTCACAGTCCGTCGTGCGGACCTGGGAGCTGCAGACGCTCACGCGCATCGAGTTGCCCAGGTGCGGTATTGATCTGCCGCAGTGATACTGGACCACCAATAAAGGCGTTGTCTGCAACTTCGCGAGGCCATACCTCTGGCCAATGCAGATGGAAAGGGAGAAGGAAGAATCGATTCATTGCCTCTCTGTCAAATGTCTTTCTGGAGTATATTGGCAAGAGAATGAATATGGTCGGCTTCATCCGCAGGAGCTGGAGCAGATGGCAACAACGCCCTCGCCTCCTGGGACAGGGGCGGCGGAACGACCTTCATCGACCATGAGCCCATATTGGCCAAAACGCAGTGCATGTATACAGTGAACACATGTTCGGTCATATCACTTCAATGGTTTCTGGTTTTGTCGAGGCTGGTTTCTCTAAAGCCTTGACATGCTCCTTGCAAGAAGCAAGCCTTTCCCCACCAACATGTCCTGTCGACCTACCAACCTCTGCTTTTGTGTATGTTGATGTTGATGGAGGCATTTCACAATATTCTGCCATATTATCCATCAAGCACTGTTACTAAATCGTGACGTGGCTTTGTCCCGGTGTAAGAGCCCATGCTGAGAAGCTTTCGAGTCGAAGCTATGGTTTGTTCCTCAGAGCAGGATGTCGCCCAGGTTCTCGCCTTCGAATCCGAGAGTCGCGAGTTTGCGCAGCTTGTTCTTCTCCTTCACCTTGTCGGCTGCCTTTTGTTCCTTCGCGAGCTTCTCCACCACGCTGTACTCGGCCTTCTCAAAGTTCTTCGGCAGATCATCGTCCTTGTCCAGGTCGATCTCTCCGAGCAGCAGGACGTTCTCGCCTCTCACTAAGAAGATGCCGTGGAGCTTGTCGGCATATATTCCCTTGGGCTCGGGGTCTTTCGGGTCGGATGTAGTGGCGTATATGCGTTCGACTGTGGACTGAAGGACCAGGTTCGCTGTAGTTTGCTGTGTTAGCCAAGATAGTGGTTGGGGAGAGCGAAGAGGATACGGCGCGACATACCAAACTGGTCCCAGCTTCGTAAAATCCCAGTCAGCTTTCTACCGTCTCGTAGACACAGCAGGAGCTTCTCTAGAGGAGGCGGTTAACCAACGTCGGCGAAGTAGCTAGCTATACCGTGGTTGTTGGATGCCTTACTATCAGTGAGGTCGAGCAGTTGCGCAGCCGTGGTGAACATCTGGGGAGGAAGCTGCTGGGACTGAGGCGCTGCGGGAGCTCGCCCCGAAGCAGTACCCATTGGCCCTCCGGACTGAGGACCGCCAGGCTGGGGCGGATCGTGGATGGTCAGGTTCTCCATCATATCATCTGGTCGGTAATATCGAAGTGGTTATGTTGTAGATGCGCCGATCCATAGAGTGAACTGTCGAGCGCTGCGAGGAGAAGAGGTCCGCGCCGCTGGCAGCAGAGTCCAAACTTCTGGATGGTGTTTGCTAGTCGGCACCTGAAGACCTCAAGATTGTTTGTTCGTACAGGTATTCACACCCGAAAGCTGAGTTGATGTCACCTAACTGATAATTCCAAGGTCGCGCTGTACTACCTGACCCAAAGGTACCGCCGCTCAGCTTCAGCCCCAATCAGAGCCCGCGTCCGGGAGTTGAGGCGCTGTGGCGGTAATAGCGCACAAGCCACATTTTGGCAGTTCGAAACGGCGGTACCTGCAGGTGGGCAGGCAGCCTCGGCCAACAATCCAGATTGGCCGACTTCCTTCCAAGGTTCGCTTCTGCTCCCTTCAGGCTTCAAGCTTCAAGGCTGGCATCTCGAGCCAGGTGGCCATTCTCAAGGCCTAATATTGGTTTGAGCCTCACAGCTTTGAATCAACGACCATACGTTTTTCTTCGGTTCTTCGAAGGTTACTCGCAATGCGCTCATTCGCGTTGTAAGTGCATGGGCAACTACCTCAACCCATCCGTCCATATCTCGGGGCTACGATTCCAGGCAGTAGAAGTACCACTTCTCGGGGCTTTGCGCCCATCAAGCCTGACTGCTCATGTCCATCTTCTTCCTCTAGACCACTCGTCACCAAAATTGGCAGTCTAATTACTCGAAGAACAACCCTCGTTGGCTTGCTCGGACCATTTCCTATTCGATACCATTCGTCTCAAGTCACATACCTCATACGTGGCATGTGTCTTCGATGTAGCCCGCAGCCCGTCTGCCCCGTACCACTTTGACTTCGTGGCTTCGGCTGGGCAGTCTTGATTTGGTCAGGGGGGCCAAGATGTTCTTCGAATTCGGCCGAACCTCGATCAGTTTGGAAGAGTTGATGTGCCTCGCTGCATCGGTCCCTGGCCATCCGATCAGGGGCACGTCAACATCTGTTTCAGCTGGTAGTGTCAGCCCTACTTGTGTCACACCCACATGACAGCAAATGGCAAGCGAATGCAATCCCGTCACTGGTCGCTCGGCACTCTGCATTCATCTGAAAAAGTGCTCTCAAGATCTTGCAGAAATGGGAGAAAAGCCTAGCAAGGTCGTGCCCTACCCCTGTGGTGCATCGCTTGGAAGACGACTGCCGAGTGACACGCCTCGCTTTCCTGTCAATCGAAACTTGCGCGTGTTGGACCTTACTTGTCTCCAGTATCACATTCCTATCTCTCTATGAACACTCTCATAGAATGATGCCTATTGCCGGGTTCAGGCATCACAAGTTTCCTTCCTGACGTGTTTCTTTCCTACCGTGCTGATCGGGAGATCTATAAAAAGGGCCATAGTTGGCTGGCAACCCGCGTTATCCTCTGCCAACGTCTCCAAATTCCCGCAGCATGGACGATGAAGCATCTCATGGTTCAGTCTACGACTACGACGTCTTCTCGGATCACACTTCTCGGGGAGTGCCGGCTTCCCGATTTGGTAGGGGGTGTCAATGCACCTCGCCTGTCACAGCATGTTCCTTTCGTGGTCCACCTGGTTTTTGCTGCCATGGCTTTGGTGCATTTCCCACGGGTGTTTCTGATTGCAGATCACACATTCGCCCACAAGACGCAGAAAGCCACCCGGTCAAGTAAGAAGACAAGACGGCTGGGTTCTGCAGAACTCCCTAGTCAGTCTGCGGCCGCGCAGGCCTCGCACCCTCGTCCCCGGGTCTACTGCTTGGACGGGGGTTGAAAGACCATGACTGTGACTCTGTGAGGCGACACGCGTGTTTGAACGACTACGCATGAATACGCTCGCCCCGGATTAACGTGAGCAGTGAGCGAGCACGATAGACAAGACGGGGGCACATGGTGGACATTGCCCCTGTCTCTTCTCATATCAGCATGACCTCGCTGTCTGTTTCAACCTCGCCTTTCCGTCTTTCTTTCCTCTCATATTGCTTCTGTCTTGACGACACGGTCCCGGCGACACGGAGCAATTAATATCACGAGTAATGGATACATGAAAGATGCTGCGGAGCTGGCTCTTGCGTTTCTCTCTGTTGATCGCGCTGGCCACGATAGAGGTTGGGGCTAATTGTAATACTGGTGAACTGGGCACGGATTCGGTGTTCGTCAGGGCCGCACAGCTGCCGCATGGTGACCAACCCAAGCTACACAAGAGGATTGAACATGTCGTGGCCGAGAAGGAGACCGAGCTGGAGAAGCTTTTGCTGGAAAGAACACCCGAGTCCCCCAGCAGTCCAAGAGAAAGAGCATCGCCAGCTCTGGGGATACCAGAGCCAACAGCACCCCCGCAAAGGCGACAGGATGATGGCCAAATCCAGGGGCTTTCCTCACAACTCCAATCACTCTCATCATCCGCCACCCAAGCTATATCTTCAGTCTCGTCGAGCGCCTCTTCGGCCATCAGCCAGATCTCTCAGTCCGCACAATCCATCCGCCAATCTGCCGACCAAGCAGTACAATCTGCAAATCAAAATGCCGACGATGCCAATCGCCAGCTGTCACAAACGCAGTCGTCAGCTTCGAGCGCTATCTCGGCTGCCACCTCCCGTGCTAGCAGCCAGATCAGTCAGTCGTTGTCGAGCATGAGCAGCCGCATTGCGTTGAACATGGCAAGTGCGCAAAGCAGCGCAAGCAGTGCTGTCAGTGCGGCGCAAGTAGAAGCCAGCCAGTTCGCTGCTAGCCAGGTTCAGGAAGCCAGAGCGGACGCAAGCGGAGTGAGGGTACGCAGCAGCAGACCCGTCCGAGACCCAATACTGTGTGGCGGCTAACCGTGACATAGGGCGATGCCGACTCCCTTGTATCACAGGTGCAGGCGAACTCTATTTCGGGCACGAATGTCGCCATCATAGTTTCCGCGGCGGTTGTCGGAACCGCCATCCTCTCTACAGTACTTTCTTGTCTTATCGTCAGGTGTAGACACAAGAAGAGACGTGCTCGCGAGGCGGAGGCGGCTGCTGTGGGTTTGAACGAGAAGCCCCCAGAGAAGCCTATTGCCGTTCGTGGAACACCAAACAGTCCGCGGTTTACGCCCTTTGGAGGGGGCACAGGCTATCCGATGGACAAGTTCAAGCTTCCTGTCCTGACCCCCATAAAGAGGAAGAAGGTCAACGAAGACAGCCGAGCCAACGTTGGATTCGCTGTTAGTGATTATAGTAACGAAGGTGGTGACACCAAGGCCCAGAGTTTTGGCGGAAAGGGGGATGGCAATGCTGATGTCTATGGGGTTTCGCCATCGAGTTTTCGTCTCCAGAAGCCCACCGGTACCGTCAAGAGTGCTACCAGCGTGCGACTCATCAGAGTCGGCAGCGACAAAGACAAATCCAAGGCCGAGACAAATCATCCTCCGCGGACTCCCCCCAGCCCAATGTCGCCGCCGCCACCTGCACCACCACAGGTTGCAGCAGCAGTAGCGGCCGCGTACCCAGAGCCACTTAGTCCGCCTCCGACTCAACCCCTCCCACCAACTCCTTCTGCAATCACGCAACCTCCCAAAGCACAACAGTCACCGCCTAAGCCGCGGTATCCGCGAGAGAGCACACACTCAACAACGCGGGATTCCGAGGCTGACATGCCCGGCTGGCGACCGCCCACCATGACCAGCCAGCGACGACTCAAGTTTCGCGACAGCAGCGATATCGAGTCGGCGGAGCCCACCCCAACAACCAACGGCTGGCGGTCGTCCTCCATCCGCAATACAATGACCTCGATGCGCAACACCAACACGGCCAGTCTACGCACATCGCCGCCAGACAGCAGTAGCCGATCGCCGCCAAGGGTAAGACCCCAGACGACCGCCGCGGCCAGCTTCACCACGTTCCCCAAGGTGCGCGCCGGCCCTGCCAGGGGCTCCGCCGCGGCCAGCGTCGCCGACAGCATCATCAGCCGTGGACGGCCTGGCCTTGGACCTGGCTTGCAGGCCAGGCTGCGGGGGGAGGCCGACCGCAGGCGGACAGAGCTGGCTGGGTTTGCTGGCGGTGGGCGGCCACAGGGCGGTAACCGCGAGAACGATAGGTTGCGCTCGAGTCGCGAGTTCTTTAGCGGGGATGCTCTTCGGACTGCGGCCTGGCCTTTTGAGGGGAGGTAGTCGGCCGAACGATGAGTCTTGGTGCCTGTACTGAGCAAGCAAGCGAGGAAAGGCACGAAGGAAGGCACAAAAGAAGAAACGAAGGATTAGGAATCCAGGAGTACAGCTATTATTATATATGCTACGGTATACCACTGTCGGGAACGAGGGAGAGAGCAATCTCGAGGCGTAATCATGAAAGGGGTAAGAGCTTGGGGTATACTATTTTAGTCACAATTAAATATTTACTTTCTGAACAGCTTGTTACTTGTCCCTGACTATGACCCTCGCCTGAGTCGTTATCCCATGCTTTGATCTTCTCACCAGTCGTCTATTACCCCATGCCTCCCCTCCTAGCGACTGTCTTCTTCGAACCTCAGAGCTCAGCTTGCCACCTGCGCCAAGGGTAGGTAGTAAGTAGTAAACACCAGCCATTAGAACTACTGAAGGTCCGAGACCTCATACAAGAGAGTATAGAACTGTCAACTGTCACTCATCACGCCCCTATCTCCTTTGCCACCAAGTACGTCTTCATACCCATGAGACGACGGCGAGGTGGGGAAACTGGATCTTAGTTTATGGGGTCTTCGTAATCTGACAATATTCAATAAGAGCAGACCAATCTTCTTGGAAGATTGCACAATACCGTGATCTCTGACGCGAGCAGTTCCTTCATTCGGGTCGAGAGGTGAGCAGAACTTGCTTCACAGTCAACTTGCCAGGCTGTAGGGGTTGGTTATGGGAGTTGTTGGCTGCACAGATGAAGATGTCCATTTGAAGAGCAACAACAGTTATCCGCATGAATTAGCCGGCTCTGCTTGCTCCATGTTGGATCCAAGACTGATACATATGATTGACACTAGGGCATCCTCATACATTCATCACTTAAGGGCGCCGGCATTTCTACTGATTGTGCTAGTAGTGGGTACGTCTCAAGGACGTAGGTAGCTAACCTGCTCTGTTCTTCCCAGGATTTCCCGAGGTCCAAAGGTTCGATATGAAGCCACCTGTCCTTGGATAGACAGAAAGTCTTGTGTTTTCCCATGATCTCATTTTAAGACTGTATACGTATAATCGTGCACTTTTCATTAGTAGCAAGGAGCACTTGAGCTCCTTCCCCTTGTCAACCTCTATCGTGGCTTGCCAACAACGCCCGGGGTATGCAACAATGTCGTATCCCCTTACCCGAGAAATAGCCGCAGAATGGGCCGAAGATGGTATGGCAAAGTTCGTTCTTTTCGCATGGCCCAGAAGCGCTCGTCCTCGTTTGTTGCACCCAGCCATGAAGTTTGAAACCTTGAATGCCGGTGTGCGAGGGGGGGAAGCGTGGAAAGACCCCGAGAACTCCAGTCAACCGATCTATGCAGCCGGCCCAGGTAAAATATCATCAAAAATTCGCGAGAAAGCCCGGAAGCACGTCTATCATGTGGGGTTGGTGTTGGCTATAAGTGCACAGTGCCTGGGCATTCGCAAGCCTTGGCTCGGACACGGGACCATCATATTTTGTGTATGGTAGACAAGTCGAGTGCCTCGGTGAGCTCTGGCCGAGCGGCGAGGGCCTCCTTGGCCTGGGAATAGGTGAACCACTGTCTTTCCCGCTTGTGCTTCTCGGGCCACTCGGTTTCCTCCCTGAGGACGGTAGCCTCATAGAAGCGGTACAATGACTTCGGGGCGTCCTTTGATACCTTCTTGGGCGGTCTCGAGTCGACAATGTCGCCCAGGTCATAGTCGATCTGTATGGAGACACCGGCCTCTTCCCAAGCCTCACGCTCGGCGGCTTCGGTGCATTCCTCGTCCGACTCCCAGCCTCCTTTGGGGAGAACCCAACCTTTTCTACGGGTCGACTGAATGAGTAGCACGTACATCCTGTCCTCTGTGAGGGGCACAACTCCAGCGACGAGTCGCTCACCCTTCGAGTTGTAGCCTACCAGTACAAAGGTCAGTTCGTCTACGAGGTAGGCGAGACTGGAAGACATCACACCGCAGGCAGGGGATTTTTCCAAAAGAACTGGAATGAGTTTGCTGAAGATTTTACTTACGCTGTTTGGTCCTACCCGTACGGGACTCCATCGAGCGAGTACCTGAGCCTGACGCCATGATCGATGTGGCGGTGTCGCGTCGCAGGATACCGAAGAGTTGTGGTGGGGGTTTCACACAAAGGGATACAAAAGCTGGTAAACCAGTAGAGAGAGCTCTGGAGGGTGGGGGTTCCGGCCAGATGAAGCTGGGAAGGAGAGGCGAGTTACCGACAATTGGTGAACTGCATGGTCGTCTATAGTTATGGATATATGCGGTTCGCCTTTTTCGAGGGAGGTGGAACGTGGACGACCGCTTGGACGATTTGGACGTTCGTGATCGAGATACACGTGCGAAATTGTCTTGAAACCGTGGAAACGAGCCCTAGCGATCAACGATGGGAGAAGTGGTGCGCGATGTTCGTGGTCTCTAACGTCCACACGGACATGGGCGTTCCCAAGTCGCACCGAAAATGATCGTGGTTTCGCGCCGAGTCAAAAGATGTATTCCTTCCTATGAAACAAGGACTCGGAAATGTACGGTTTCGCGTACAGACAGTCGACGAGGTCGGTAGCTGGACAGGCAGGTACCGGTAACAAGAATAAAAATAAGAAGGGCCCCGTCCAGGTGCGCATGCGGTGGTGGGAGCTTGGGGAGCTGGGAGCGCTGGAGGTCGGTCGGGGTTAAGCTGCCCAGTGTCTAACTTCGCTGCCAGCTTGAGCCGGGGCTTTTATCTTGGCTGCTGCGGGGGGTGAAAGAGGCGCTGTGGAACGAGGTAGAATGAAAATGCTTCCGGAGCCGCGGGCGGGTACACGTCAAAGGCGGCGGAAGGTAGTTCCAGCTTTGTACAAGTTGACAATGCTATTGTGGGCGGTGAATCAACGTTTGTTGAAAATGCTGTAAATGCTGTGAATGGCGTTGGGGGAGGAGCTCCGAGCTCTTCTGGCTGGACCGAGACAGCAGCCGTTGCATTGGAAGTCTCGTGCCATCAAAACAACCTCTGGAAGAAATATGATTGCATTGAGGGGCAGGGCCGAGAGGAGATTAGAGTTAGATTTATAAGTCAGACCTTTTAGTCTCGCACGAAAAGAGCCCCAAGACGGACCAGGCGACGCAGCCCGAGACGGGACGCAGAAAGGCACGCCAAGGGGTAACTTACAGCCGACGCAGGGCAGGGCAGATCTAGGCCGACAGGCCCACAGTCAAGACCTTAGGTTAGCCAACGCGTCAAGAGGCGTGCAGGTATTGATCGCCCAAGAGGTTCATGTTCGTCAGGTATGGATGGGGGCGACTGGTCAGGTTGGAGGATGTACCTTGGCTGTACACGACACACAATGTCGGTATAACTTGCCTTCAATGTTCCTCGTGTCAGCCTGGTATGACCAACATCCTGTAGGTGCATCATCGGATGTGTATATCTACGCGTGACTCCTGCAAGTCAGCAGAGCGCGGAAACGCCCTGTAGGTAAGAAGGAGTCAATGGATGCCCATGTACTGTGACTTCATGTTTGATTGAGATATGACCTGTGACTCAGAATATGTGCGCCCTGGGTGATGAGGAGATTTGAGATGATCAACGAGGACTCGGTAGTCGTACAGGGGAAGAAGGGAGATCTTCTAAGAAGAATCGGCCGTCAGTGGACGTTGAGAGGAATCAAGAACCCCTCATTGCCCCTCCATGCCCCACCATGATCCTCCAAGGGACCCCTCCAGGTACGTCCATGGATGTATTATTAAGGAATTCTCCATGCCAGCACACGATCTCGAGGCATGTGCACAAGTTACAACACACACATCATCAACAAGCCTCACCTCCTTCACCTCCTTCACCTCCCGTCCTGTCAATATTGAAGTCTTGCCACCAACCATTGGTACCTGCACACGTGCTCTGCCTTAAAGCCGGGTACCTACATGTAGGTACCTCATCTTCGAGCAGAGGGGGATGCCGACACAGTTCCTCACGGCTACCTACATTGTAAGTTACCGAGAGTAAGATATAGGTATTCGACGACGAGTATGACTACATCCATCCGTACATGTAGGTTTGTACTCAGTCTATATCCAAGATCATGCAGTATCGGAAGCCAAGATTCACCTGGACGCAGATGCAAATGCTGCATCTAGAGACTTTACCGTAGGTACGGCTGCAGCTTCTTGTGACATACAAACCACGTGCAGCTGACCACTCCTTGCTACTGCACAACTCATAACTCTGTCTCACATGTAACCTTCTACTCATACACGAGGCGTAGCTGGAAACATTACAAGGCTCACATCTCGTGTGTTCACTTTACTGATGTATGCAAGAGAGTCGGTCTGTGGGGGTCATCTACCACATGACAGGCCTCTCTGCTCCTGCCCTCACCTCGCATACATATGTATACAGTCATGGCAAATATAGACGACATTCATTGCTACTCTGCCGCTTAACCCTATGCGTCTGCCAACCGTTGCAGGCACACAAATAGCTGAGGCACCTGCATGATGAGATGCATTGAAGCTCATCCCACCAACCTGAACGTCGGTTTAGGCCGCCCCAGCTCGCCCAACTATCGCCTTGGACCGACATCCCGCCTCTCCCACTTCGGCCTTCTCCTCGTCTTCCATCGATGGGCATACTGCTGACTCGGAACATCAAGAATCAATCCAATAACCTAGGAACAGACTCGACAGTCTACCACACTTGTTCCCCTTCTCTTGTGTCGCTTCCATCTGAACAATTCTCGGTTCTCCGGCCGCCACCCGCCCCTTGCCGGTGATACTGGCCAAGCTTGTCGTTCGGTCCCAGCGCAGAGCGGTCAAGGAGTCTCGGCTCATTTCTTCGCTTCATCCCGCATCCTGACTCGGCACCGATTCCTCATCCGACTCGTCAAGGCTCCACCGCATATCCGAAGTACATGCGTCTTCCTCGCCTGGCCTCGCCCGCCCGACCTTCCCGACCTGCACTACTTGCCTGTCGGCTGGCCCTCCAGTCTCCCCAGTGCAGCAGTTCAGCACCTTCGTAGGAGCAACGGCCATGCAGGCCACCCCGGGAGATGCGTTCGAATATGTATCGCCCATTGGTGAGTCGCATCGTCACTTTTATGTCCTGCTCCCCCTGCTACCCCAGTCTTCCCCGTGCCCCCTCGGCCAACCGTTTGCACTCGTGCAGCAATGGGACATTGCCGTTGGCTGGCCTGTGTGCATATGCTGCTCCATTGTCCAGACCACTCTGCTGGCGGCGTCGTTGTCGTCGTTGTCGTCGTCTGCTGAAGCGCCGCACACTTCACTGCACAGCTCAACCTCGTCGTGACTGCTCACTTCGACACGGGCCTGGCAGACCACCGCCGCTCCGCTCTGTTCCGATTCGTCCAGCTATTTCGAGTATCTCGGACCGTCACACAACATTCAAGTCCCTGCTCTGCTCTGCTCCCCAGTCCACCGATGTCTCAATATATGTTACATCGACTCGTCTGGTCCTGCATCATTACCCTTCGCTTTGCGTCATTCCTTTCCCCTGTTTCTCCAGGATTCCTCTTCTGCCACCGGGCTTCAACTGTAGCGTGGGCGTGGTCAAGTGATCCTCACCGCCCTCATACTAGTGCTGTGATCACCGTAACCTCTCTCATTTGCCTCGACTTACAACAAGCCTGGTCACATGATTATGGACTCTCAGAATGCAAACTCTAACCTCACCTATATAGGCTACAGACAGTCTTCTCGCTGCGGCTACTGCGGCCGTAGTGGTAAAGGTCAGTCTCCAAAACGTGCGTCCACTTGGAGGGAGCCCCCGATGCCTGATACCCTGCAAATTCTCCGAGCCGTCGATGCTCCCATGGCTCAGGTACATTTTCACTGCCAGGCCGTTGCTTCATGTAGACTCCTCTCTCTTGCAGTTGTCCCGCAAGGGTTCTCTGTCCAGTTCTGCCACCACATGGTGCGCTTTGCCGTCTTGATTTGAGCAGATCTGACGTGCTTTCTGACCCCAGGCCACTCATACTATGCACGTGTGACATCTCTGAGCCCGGCATGCTACCAAGCTCTGGTCGATCGATGTTGGAGACGCTCTGGGACGCTGCTGTATAGACCAAACCAGCGGGCTGCCTGCTGTCCCCACTATAGCCTTCGTCTTGATTCCAGCCAGCTTCGAACTACCAAGGACCAACGGCAGACAATCAACCGCTTCAACAGGCATGTCATTGGCGGTACCTACGCAAAGGAGGCTGCTCGCCGGTACCCAAAGTCACGCGAGCAAGCCCGGAAGAGGGATACCGACTTTGACCTAGTAGAAAGAATACACGAGAGCGAGAGCCAATCGCTGAAACAGCCGCCGGAACCTTCTCATAACTTCACGGTTACCTTGGAGCCTGATAGCTTCACCGAGGAGAAGTACGGAGTTTTCGAGAGCGTGCGTAACTCCTAGACATGTTTTTCCCCCTCTAGGCCTATCTCGGCAATTGGTCTTTGGATTATCTATGGGAGTTCTACTCCTGTGACACGACTCAGGACCCCGAGAGTTGGCCAACATATCATGGAAGGGCACTGGCTAACTCATCATCATGTAGTACCAGCGGATTGTTCACAAGGAATCGCCCTCTGACATATCTCGGGACGGATTCCGGAGGTTCCTCTGTTCCTCGCCACTGCGGCGAGAGCAACTTACATCGCCGGATGGACGGGAGAGACAGCTGGGCTCCTTCCATCAGTGCTACCGGCTCGACGGCCAACTTGTGGCGATAGGAGTCCTCGACCTTCTCCCCGACAGCGTGAGCGCAGTCTACTTTCTCTACCATGAGTCCATCCACAAGTGGTCTCCTGGTAAACTCGGAGCTTTGCGAGAAATAGCACTCGCAGCAGAAGCAGGATATCGCTGGTGGTACTCCGGTTTCTATATCCACACGTGCCCTAAAATGAGGTACAAGATCGATTTCTCACCACAGCAGATACTCAACCCAAATAACATGGAGTGGCTAGACCTCACCAAGGATATCATCGCCAAATTCGACGGTCATGGCTACCTTGATCTGGCAGAGACGGTTAGCAACACAGGAACCCTTCCCAAAGCCGAAGGGGCTATCCCCTTGGAAATGGAACCCCAAGAAGGTGACGCACCGGCTGTCCAAGATTCTGATAGTGACGAGGACATATCACTTTTTGGGAGCGATATGCCTGGAATCCCGTCGCAAGAGGATTTGAGGTCTTTTGACTTCGACAGCCTCTGGGTTCGCCTCAATAGGGGCTACTGCCTTGCCGGCGACCTCTTCGAGTGGAAAGACGAAGACATCAGCATCAAAGGCGGCACGAAGGAAATGGTGGCGGAGCTGGTGGCCACCGTTGGACCGACTCTGATGCCAACAATGTGTTTGGATTTCAGGAGAGGGCTGTAGATCATCAGACGCCACTGGTAGAATGCGCAAGGATCAAGTCACAAGTGATCAGCTTTGCTACTCTAGACGCACTGACTGCAGTACGGCGGTTTTCTCCCAGAGATTATGATCTGGAAGAAGGGCGTCCTACAGATGCATAGTCTGTTTCGCAGGGCTACACATGAAGAGAGTGCAAAGGCCGAAGTACCACGATGGGCTCATAGATCGATGGAGCCCATCGTGAAGCAATGGGCCGTACATCTGGCGCATAATTAAGTGCTAGAGGTACTGGGCCTTACGAAGACTACGCGACCAACCAGGTAGCAAATGTACACTGCGGTCACCGCGTCTTATCACGAAGGCGGCTATGTGACTGACTAAACACATTCCGGGTAAACAGAATTGGACAGATGCAGAAACCATGCTATAAATGGTGAAGCCTCGTACGAGCTCGACGTTGCTTGACCGGAGCTGTCTAGTATGCGCGCAGAGTGACTCACTGACGCCTCTGCCAGACGCCTTGGTCGGCGCACTCCTGCCTTCGTAGTTTCACATGCTGAGATAGGAGGGTGGGGTTACCGTGCCAAAGTGCCGCTTTGAAGACGCTGATGCATTGACAGATTCCTCGCAGCAGGCCACGACCGCTTCGCGCTATGGGTACGTAGCGGAGTAGAAGTAACGGAGTGGAAGGCTGAAGGCTGGTGGCGAGTCTGTCAGTCTCTCTGTCCTCCGGCTCACGAGGTGTAGAAAGCCGCGAGCTACCTCTGTTCCCGGTTGGATGATATCCTGTCTCTGGTGTCTGTTTTCTCGACTTTTAGGGGTTGCGAGGACTGAATGACTGGCATGTTGGCGGTGTATAGGTGATTGATGTGCTCTCACTCTCTGGTCGGAGCGCGGCAGACGGTGGTGGTGGTTGGGCGACATGTGGGTTTGGCTGCTGCGGTGGAAGGGGTTGGTATCGTGGTGCTGGGCCTTGTTCCGTGGTGGTTTCGCGCTTGGTGAACCTCTTATATGTGATCTTGCGTGTTGAACGGCGGCCGTCTGGGGGCCCTCGAGATTGGCGGGACGTCCTCAAGGGGCCATGTTCCGGGATCGCAGGCCGAGTTGGGCCTGGTATGTATCATGACCTAGGGTCATTCAGTCCTGCTTTCGAGATGCAAATGGGTGGACTAAAGGGGTTGTTGGGTTAGCATAGAGCTCTTGAGACGGTGCTATATTGTGTACGCCGCCCGAGTCCGTCTTTATTGCGATTTTGGGGGAAGGAAACAGGAAAAGGGCCCAAAAGGGATGGTTCATGGGGTCGTAGAGATCGACTGGAGGGCTCCATATGGGTTTTGTAACAGGAGACAGAGAAGGAGTAACGGTCGTTTGCAAGACCGTCTATAGGTGTCTGGCGTTGCGATTTGAGGAGTGACGAAGGCATGTTCGCCAACTCCAGCTGTAACTACGAGCCTCGCTGTAGGGTTGATCTGTGGTATGGCAAGTTGGGTGTGCCGAACGCTTGTGCGGTCGCTAACGAGGCTTTGTTTTAGGGATGCTAGGATCGTTTGCTTCATGTGGAAGCAGTCGCGTTGGGCTTCTTCGAGATCATGCTCCGAGAACTACACCAGGCCCCTGAGACCCAGGGAAATAGACTTTGTTTCCCCAGACACTTCTGAGGTGTGCCAACACCCACAGTGGTATAGCCGACATGCCCTGGTAGAACTGCGAATGCTGCTGCACTAGCAAGACGGTACAGGTACCGCATAGGGGCCACCCACGACTATCTGAAGGCCACATTCTCCCAAGTATTGCGCCGCACATACGTAGACACGCTGCTAATTTCCGTTTCCGTTTCGAGGTCTCACGTAGTTCATGGTCGTTTGCGTCGCAAGACAGATCATGGGTAACACACCCATCCAGAACATATTTCCGGTTGCAATCACAGCGGTCTTGAGACACTTGGTTCAGGGAGACCCGTGGGATATATTGCGTTGCTGCGGAGCGAGACGACGTATCTACCTCACCACAGCCAGCTCTGCCCTCCACACACTCGTTCCTCCCCTCGTTGTTGTCGTTGTTCTTTTCCTTCGCGGATCATGCGCCCAAACTGGAAATGCCATCCTTGTTCAACGCCGTAGTGAGATAGTGAACCGATCCATCGCCTATGCGAAGAAGCAACCACCGCGCACCATGTTCCTCCCCATCTCCCCAGCGTTGCGGGAGAGGTTCAGCAGCACCAGCACATCGTCCCAAAACCCGGCGTTCGCTCTTTATCGGAGGCGGCGGGCTTCTCTCTCGGACTCCAGGAGGCACAGGATGTCGTCCTCGCGGACTAGAGTAGTGAGTGATACGTCAGCAAAAACCTTTCGTTGCCCGGCGTTGGGAGTTTGTTTGTTCGAGGAGGGTTAATTACCAGGGCCCTTGACGTTACGGATGATCGATCGGGTTTGGTCCTCGAGGAACTCGACGCGGACCTGGGTGACAGCACCACGGGAGCCTGCGCAGTTGCGACATGGTCAGTTTAATCACCGTTCTTCTGATGTCGGGCCTTTCCCCACATACCTGTTCGTCCCAGGACTCGGGTCACCTTGACGAGCTTGACGGGTGCCTTAGAAGAATCCATGTTGTATTATTCGGTTGACGAGATGGTAAACCGTGGAGGGCGTGTGTTTGGAGAGACTGGTAAGGGCGTGGTGCGTGATGGTGTGGGAGTCGTCGAAGGGCAGGGGAGTCTTTTTGTCAAAAGTTTACTGAGGTTGGAGCCGACTTTCGTGGGTGCCCACTTTTCTCTTTCGCATAGCCGAATGGACACTGATAAGATAAGGGGTTCTGGCTTGTCAGCCAAGCACGTGATCTCCATGTTCTTGACAACATCGTCTCGATTACACGGGCTCTCAACCCAAATCTGTCGCATCCAACACCAGGCGCTCACACGATGGACCCCAATGTAGCCACGCTGAGATGCGTTCAATGGTATTCCAAACGCTGCAGGGCCCCATGGGGCAATCTCACTACCGGGAGTTGGTTTCGTTCTTCAACGTCCGACATCAGCGTTCAGCCCCAGTTGGATTATTTGCACTTCCCACGTCTTGTCGGCGGTGCCGCGTCCCTTGGAGGAAGACATACAGCGGCCAAAGTCGCCAACGAGAGCTCTTCTTGCCTCTCATCACCACTTCTAGGCTCTCCGGCTGGCGTCAGCGACATGAGCGATCTCTCCACCGTGACCTTCCCTACCTGACAACACCGTGCATTGCCAAGCCGCCTTCTACGTCCGAGTAGATGCTGGGTACAGGTTTCGAACGTTACCGTCAGTCAGCCCCAACCTTCATGGCTCGATATAACCATTGGGCGAAGATTCCAATACCGCTTGATGCCCCTCGGGGATTCTCAGGATGCAGACACCATCGGGACCAAAACACCCCTCTTTATCTCAAGGTTCCTCTCCAGTGTCGAGGCACCTATCTAATTCCTCAGGGTCTATTAAGCCTTTTAAATCTTATTTTCCCCTGTATTCGAGGACCTGGTTTTACGATAAGGTCGAGAAGTCTTGCTATTTTGGCTGCCGCCGGGTATGCCTAATCGCATATGGCTATATGGTTGAAGGGGATGTATGAACTAGTTAGCATCCTTTTCAAATATAATCCAAATCACATGTTGATAACAAGATAAAACAGCATTAATGTAGCAGCCGACGATCCTAATATGAATATTGTGATCAACACCTTATACTGGATGCTAAGAAGCAAGTGGGGAAAATAGCATAATTACGGTTGAGCAGTGATGAGACCTGCAACGTTGGTATCGGTTAACACTGGCTGACCTTGACGACATGCATCATATATTCTATGTCCTATAACGAATGGATTTCTTTCTATATCGTACATCGGGGTCCCCTTCTGTGTCCGTGACAGAGATGCCACGTCCAGATACACGCAAACACTGGCTGTGCTCCATTTCTTCACATCGTGAATTCAGCCCGCTCAAGCAACAATGTCTTTAACATTCACACACTCCATCACTATGGATATAGCATGTGGCACCCTTAATTCAGACATGAGTCAGTACGATCACTTCTGGCAGCACAAATGATGTCACTCGACGCGGGTGTCAAAGACTTACCACCGCGGGGTTGGATCCCGCAGGGCATCTGCAGTCATCACTCGTGCCATCGCATGCCTTGCACCACATGCGTCCAATTTGCAAGGTCCCAGCGACCGTCCACCTTCGTTCGACTGTCTATGATGACAGAATTGTTAGCTCAGGTCCGTGACCATGGGGATCCGACGGCCCTTGATAGTGATTGTAGTGGGTCAGTCGTTTACTTACGCCTCTTTTCTGGCTGACTTTGCTGCTACTGGCTCGACGCAGCTTGCTGGACTCGTCGGCGTCCGAGTCACCCATCGCACATGCATCTACGGTATCTTCCGCGCCGGAGTCATGGAAGAGGCCCGGGCTATGTCCTGAACCCCGTCGCGTGGCTGGGGGCCGGCTTGCGACGGCGGCTTGGGTGCCGGTGAGCGCGGTGGCGGCGACAATGAAGAGGGAGAAACGCATGTTGAGTGTTGGTCTGTAGTAATGAGTAAGAGGAGTACGATTGGGAGTTGAAGGTTGATTTGGAGTTTGAATAGGAGTATGATTGGGAGTAGGAGAGTGCGCTGAGGTTGTGCTTGGCATGCTGGTTGACTTGGGACGCTGGTTGCGCTGGTTTATATAGACCTTTTGCAGTGCATTACGAGGTCTCCATGACGTAGACTGGCCAAAGAACTTGAGGCCATCACGACAATGATAGTTGGAGTCCCGACGTCACATATCATATCACTCTTTGGACACCAAAACGTAATTTGCTCCTTTTAATCCAGGTCGGTCTTGCCAGTAAGGGAGGTTTAAACTTAGAAAGCCCGTGGAAAAGGGCAAGGCTTCGGGAAGGCCCGTGAAGCTTGTGCAGCGGCAGTCGTCTTACCGAACGCCGACGTTGACATGAGGCTACAAGAAGGTCGAAATGGGAGAGGCGGGATCTCGGGATCTCAACTAGGTAATGTGTTCCATATGTGAACTCGAAGAGGATGAGAGGGTCCACTCCCGGATCCTTCTTGAGGAGTCGATGACCCTCTTATACGTCTGATACTATTTAGTGGGCCTTCCCTGTCCCATGTCCAGCCGTCTAATTTACCACATCTACCGTAGCAGTCGTATCCTCACGAGCTACTCACTACCTACCTTATGAGCTATCACCGCCAACGGCACTGCATCACATATCCTTCATCGTAGCGGACCGAGTACGTTCCGGACCTCGGGCACTTTTGCTGCCAGCTCGCCCGTCATCTCGGCCCACACTTGAGCCTGCATCCTCTTACCAGCCTGACCATAGATGACTGCATCCGCTCTCCTGAAAGCCAAGGTCAGCTGGTGTTTCGCCAAATAGAAGGGAGGACCAGGGGCTTTTACTCTCTGTACTCAGTCTCCGATCCGTAGAAGCGGATGAACTTGCCCTGCCACACACCAGCGTTAACGTCACCCTCTCTGGGAAACAAGTGCGGCTTGCTTCATTGACATACATGTTCGCCCTCTTTCGTCAGCGCAGTATGTACGATGGCCCGCGCGCCGTTTTCTGGCGACTTGCCAAACAAGCCCGTAAACACGCCCGCGAGAACCACAAAGGCGTAACTCGCCTTCTTGTAGCCACGCGAGAGGTCGGTTTTGACGATGCCGGGGCACACGGTGTTGAGTATGACCTCTGGCCTACGCAATATGAATTATCAGCAGCAGCCCGATACGGTAATCCATCCACCTCACATTGCTTTGGAAAAGACCCTTAACTTACCGACCGTCCTCGCCAACCGCCAGCTCCGCCAGCTCGTTGAACGCGGACTGCAGTAGCAGCTTCGTCGTGGCATACATGACCTGCGCACCAGGCCAATTCGCAGGCTTGTTGTAGTGTGCCAGGACGCCCTCCGCCGACCAGGCCGCCCACGTCTGGATGTCCGGGTCCAGGTGTTGCCCGGAGCCGATAGCCGCCATGTGCGCGGGCGACGCGCGGTTGGCGCGCTCGGCCTTCATCCAGGGCAGGAGCAGGAGCGCCAGGAGCGCGGTGCCGAGGGTGTTGACCTGGAGGTTCTGCTCCCAGCCCTCGTCCGCGGGCGTGAACTCGACGCCGATGAGGCCCGCGTTGAGCAGCACGAAATCGATGCCGCCGCGGCCGGCGCGCAACTTCTTGACTTCGTCTGCGAACGCGACGATCGAGGCGTTCCGGTTCATGTCGAGGTCTAGAGTGCGGACGACACCCTTGCTGCGGCCATTTGTCTCCCGCTCGATGGTCGCGAGGGCAGATTTGCCGCGCGAGGCGTTGCGGCTTGTGATGATGACTTCGGTGGCCCCGAGGTTGACGAAGTGCACGGCGGCTGCGAGACCTAGTCCGCCTGTACCGCCTGTGATGACGATGGCTTGGTCCTTGAAGGAGTCCGCGGCTGGGAGGTCGATCGGAAACCATTTCATGCGGGTCTGGGCCAAGAGTTTCGCCATTTGTCGTTAATACTAGGGCAGTATTCTGGGTAGCCTGGATAAGATATCTCAATGTTGAAGTCAACGGATGAAGGAAATGTAGATCTATCGGAACGCGTTTCGTCAGGCTATAGGGGCTCTTTGATCGGAAAATCAGACGACTTGTTTCTTTCAAAGAGAGACCAAAGAACATCCTTAAGTATCGAGCGACCACCCATAAAGAGGGCCTAGAACCCTGGTTTGATTCCATCGTGAGGTCCGCATGATGTCCAAGCACCAACCAGCCGGAGACTTCCTGCACAGATGATTTATAAGACGGGTTGTCAAGAGCGCGCCGTTAGCTTCACAACCGGTTATTGATGCAATTATGAGATAGGCTGCGCTTCATCTTGGGTATGTGTCCTCGTTCGCCCACTTTCAGATATTGCCGGGAGGGATCCTCGGTCCCGGACTCGGGGCCGTGTTGCGCCGCAATGTCTCCGGAACCGACCAATACGGCAGCAGTGGACTTTTACGGCCCACTACACGTGGGTCGCCGCAGATAGGGCCTTTTCATGGTTTCTGAGCTAAGGCATGTCAGAAGGCATCGTCGACGGACTGCTCAGTCCTGGGCCTTTCTGTCTGTGCCGATATTTGGGAGTTGACCGCCTGAGCCTTCTAGAGCCTTGCGAAAAGGGATGCGAAACATTACTCAAGGGTGCTGATATTCCAATACAAGGTCTGTACTGATTACTCAGAAAGTCAACATATTACCATCGAGGCAGGGCGGGCGGGGGCGATAAGAGACGGTTAGTTTGATTCAAGTCATGAACCTGTGTGGCCCCAGGGGACTCACGGCCAAGTCCTCCGCCGAGCTAATTGGCAGCCCCTATGGTGGCCAGAATAGGGGTGGCATGCGTACAGCGCGATGCAGGCCAGGCGTCAGGATGAACAGGGCCCCCTGCGGATTCATATAAAGCATCATCCTTAAGCCCCCAATGAGGATATTGTCACCAGAGGTGAGTTCAACCGATCCTTTCAGCATAACCAATCAATAGGAACATCACCCATCGGGTTCATGTAGTCGTCGTCGCCGCCGCAATAGTCGTCGGTATCCCAGCCACTCTGGTGACAATCCGGACAGCTGTCAAGGCAACACTCGCATACGTCATATTTTTCGTCTATACACTCAGGGCTTCGGTATCGAAAGGTGTAGAGACAATTCGGGCAGATGACTCCACCGCAGCCTTTACACGATAGGGCTCGAGCCTTGCCTTCGTGCGCTTCGCAGTAGCTGAAGGCTGGTGCATCGATGCAGATGCACCGAAAGCTGTAGAGCTCAACGAAGGGATCCGATATGGCTAAGATTACCCACGTCAGTCCGAAATATGGGGACCTAGGGAGTTGCGTCACTCACCATGGGTTTACGGAGGAGGTCCAATAACAGTCTCATAGTGCACTTCATGCCTCGATTCTGGGCTTCTTGTAGTACCGTGGTTTCCTCGTCACGAACCTCCAGCTGGTCTTGCTGTCCGGCGTCTAGTGGTTCCGGTTCCTGCAGGTCTGGCAGGCACCACTTGCACGAGCTCGGAGCGCCGCATGTGTGACAACCTTCATGGCGGATGGCTGGACATAGAGGCACATGGCACGAAGGGCATTTCTCTTCCGCTCGCTCGGCGCACCCACCACGCGCGCACCACCACTCGCTTGGGTGCTCTTTACAGTGCCTCTCGTAAGTCGCAGCGCATTCGTCACAACTCAACTGCCCCGTGCGAGAATCCTTCTGCGGACAGGCAGTGCCAGCACATCTGAACAGCAGCTCCAGGTCTTTGGCATCCGCGTTGCACGAGTTGCAACAAATCACACGAACACCGTGGGCCGCGGTGCCGCCTGTTTCCTTCCCATCACAGAGGAGGAGATTTGGTGTGCAGACCACGTCGGTACACATAGGACACCTCTCAAGTAAGGGTTTCATGGGGCTGGCAGCGACCTGAGCTTGGCGGCACGGGTCGCAACAGATCTCATATTTGTCGTAGGTGCATCGCAACATGAGATCCGGCCCTGACCAGCGCAGCCAGGCTTTGGTCAAGATAGGCGCTTGCACTTTAAGCGAGCCCCTAGCGCCACAGCACAGTCTGGGCAACACCCAGTTGCGGATGTTCCCCGAGCTTGGTGTTCTGTTCTAGCCCTCTTATTTGGCCGGGGCTGGGAAGCTTTGTGGGCATTCAACGAAGTATATAGGCCTTGATGCCTGCCTCGCGGGCTCGACGGCGCTCGTTCTCCGCTTGACGTTCTCTTGCAAGGCGATCCTGCTGTGCCTGACGCTCTTTTTCCACCCAGTCTCGAATGCGGCCGATGAGAGGAAGACACTCTGTGGGGAGCGGCTCATATCGGACCGGATGTCCCTGGACCTTGACATGCTGACGCATGAGATCGACCGTGTACGCAGCCGATTGCGAAGTACTGCCCTTTGCGCCCTCGACGCAGTTAAGTATCAAAGCTCCCAGGGATCCGTCAGGTTTGGGCGTATAGGAGACATGCGCAACATGCCGCCAATTACCCAAGTCGGTTATTATGACATTGCCAACATGAAACCAGACTGCTTTGGCGACATCTGCTGCCGCTTGCTGCAGCTGCTTCGGAAGCTGATGATCCAGCTTTATCCAGCTCGTCATGTTGGCTAAGCTCGAGAGGCGACGAGCCGGGAGAAATCCAGAATTTGGGTTCATCTCCCGAACGGAAGCGGTTGAGGTTACTGATAGACACTGCCCCTCGAGGAGGTTATTGAGGAAACCCTATATCGGCGATAAAAGGTCATCCAACATTCAGGAACTACTGAAAGCTGTATTGTTGTCGGGAATGTTGGAAAAATCTTCAGCTTTGAAGGTTCGACAGTTCGTAGGTACGAGAACAATCCTTCTGGACAGACTGGACTCATCTGATAAACAGATGGGACACCTAAGTAACATCCATGGATCCATCGCAAGGAAACGAGATCGACGTCATATGGGTCGTCTTCATGAAACAGAATTTTAAATGGGAGTGTGATGCAAAGAAGGTTTCCTTGGGTGGTCAGTGGTCTGAGAGCCCTGGGTTTAAATCCATTATTTCATGGAAACTTTACCAGTTTGATCTCATTGATCAAGCGTCAACAGGCAGACGAGAAATTGATGAATTGCACGTGGGACTGAAGTCTGCGAGCCGGGGAGTTTGAGTTTCGCAGTTCCATTCACAAGCACAGTCATGCGTTTGTCAGATACATGTGTGCCTTGTGGTAGCGGTATCCAGAATAAGGACCAGGGTCACGAATGGTGGCTATTGGTCTGTATTCTGGAAGTTGCTTGATTGAAAGAAGGGATGGGTGGTGTCCCCATCCCAGAAGAAGCTATCATCCCAGTTGGGTACGAATTTGGTACAAACGGGTACCAGTTGGGCTCCAAGGTACCTTGTACCCTGGTCCGTGACCCATCCGTCATTGTGGCTGGAAAATGGGTTGAGGAGCCACACATGTAGCTTGGGAAATATGACCTAAAACGAGACTTCTACATACCGCATATAGAGCCTTGCAGGCGCGCTAAATATACCCCACCACCTTGGCCACCCAGCCAATCAATTCCCTGTCGTATCTCAGCTCAAAAACTCTCCCTCCCACCTCGTCAGCCTTGCATGTGCTGTCCGCTGATCGCCAGCGCAAGCAAGAAAACTTCCCGAGTCGTGTTGTTCGAACTGCACACGCACGCACTTTTCTCTGTATCTATTCTGAGATACGAACAGCCCTCGCAGCCACTCCCCTCGACCAAACGATCACGAAACACACGTCCCACCCCCACTCGACCACGAGCCAGCCGGCGATCGAGACACGGCCGCAATGGCGTCAACACAGCAGCAGCACCTCCTGCTCTCGCCAGCCGAGCTAGCCTACCTGCACATCACCCTAAGTCAACAACCGCCGATCCGCGCGGACGGACGCACGGCGACGCAGTTCCGCCCGCTGACGGCCGAGACGGGGATCCTGCCGGGCACCAACGGCAGCGCGCGCGTGTGCTTCGCCGACGGCACCGAGGCCGTCGTGGGGATCAAGGCCGAGGTAGAGCGCACGCGGAAGCAGGGGATCGATTACGCTAAGCAGCGGCGGCCGCGGAACAAGCAGAAGCAGCAGCAGAAGAAGATCGCTGAGGAAGAAGTGGAAGTGGGTGATGGGGAGAGTGAGGACGGGGACGAGGAGGGAGCCGTCCATGAGCCGACGGGCGACAGCGATTGGGTCAAGATGACGGTCGAGATTCCCGGCCTCCGCGACGACGACAGTGGGACTGTTTTCCTGGCGACGATGCTGAGCGAGGCGTTGCTGGCCGACGGCGAGTTCGCCAAGAAGCTGTGGATCAACCGGCGATTCCACTGGAAGCTGTACCTGGACGTGAGTTTAAGCTGCCCGAATCACCCCTAGACTTGGACTGCAACACAACCGAAGTCTGGAATTCAAGGGGCTCAGCTAACTGGTGTGGAATATCTGCTAGATCATACTCATATCCTCGCCGCTCTCCTATCCGCTGCCGCTCCTCAGCCTGACGACGCACCTGGCGCTGCTCGCGACCCGCCTGCCGCGGCTGAAATCCGAGGCCGACGAGGATCCCATGTTCGACGACGACTGGGCGGCCTCGCAGTTCATCTACCCGCGCCAGGGCGATGACAACACGTCTCCGTCTACATCTGGCACGAGACCGCCGATCACGCTGCTGGTCATGGCCGTGGGTGACAACATCATCTTCGACCCCTCGAAGGAGGAGCTCGCCGTGGCCGATTCTGCGCTCGCGGTGTCGGTGGGTGAGACCACTGGGGATGCGGACGGGGCTGTGGACGTCGATGAGGAGGGCAAGGCATCTAGGAATCTACGATTACTGTCGGTACGGACGATCGACCCGCCGTCGCGCTTGACGGCGCCCGGCATACCGAACGCTGTCAATGCTGCGGCTTGGGGACAGGGTGCCGTGGTAGCTAAGGACCCCGGTGCCAGAGCCGCGGAGACGGACGAGGTGGAGGGAGTGTGGAAGGCACCGCGAGGTGGAGCCAAGATTGCGGTTCTGGGCGCAATGGTGGCGAAGGTACTAGAGAAGGGAGGCGTGGCAGACGAAGTCCTCGAGGGCTTGTATGGTGTTGAGTTGGGATAGAGTTGGGTCATGATACCATCGAGTCAATTACAATTATGCGCAGATCCTTTTGGCTCGCGTGGGTCTACATATGTACAGCAGCGAGTCTACATCCTGCCAAGTGCTGCCTGTGCCCCTTATTTGATCAGAAGATGCCGAGGAACTTCTTCCGCTTCCCATCAGCACCGAACTCGGCAGCCGGGCTTGCCCCGAGCTCCGAAGACTCGACCATCGGAGCGGCATCTACAGGAACGGCCACCGCCTCGGCCGGCTTCTCCTCAGCTTTGCTCCCCCAGAATGATAACCCTGAAGCGGGCTCCATGCCGTGCGCCTTGCGGTACTCGTTCCGCTTGGCCACGTCCTCGACCCTCTTGCGGCGCTTCTCGGCCGTGATGGCCGACTCGTGCTCCTCGGTCATGCGCATGACGTCGATGCAGACGCCGATGTACTGGAACGGGTGACTGGGGAACTCGGAGATAGGGGGGATCATGTCGGCGAAGGGCGACTTTTTGCGGAAGTTGGCCGCGAAGGTGTATAGGGCCAGGGAACTCAGCGTACCCTGGGATTTGTATTAGCTGGTTGCAGACTACCTAAGAAACCCGGTATTTCCACCGGATACTCACCAGTGTGATGAATAGGTGGACGCCGCGGCTGTTGATGAACCAATGCGTCCAGGTGTTCTCCGCCGGCGGCAGACCCGGGTACGACTTTGCGCTCTGGGCCTTGACCTCGTCGGTCGTCATGGGCCCGCCATAGTGCTTCGGTGTCGACCGCGGCAGTCTGGCGCCGTGGGACGGAGGGTTGAATCGCTCGGGTTTCTCAAGCACGATGGGCTTCGAGGGATCCACGGCGGCGGCCTTGGGGGGCGCGGCTGCGGCGGGTGTCGTGATAGCAGGAGCTTCGTTCTTCGGTGCGGCGGCAGCTTGGACTTCAGGTTCGGTTACGATGGCTTCGGCTTCTGGTTCTTGACCAGCTATTGGCTTGGGCGTGGCGGCTTGGGAGCTGGCGGCCTTGGAGGCTGTGGCCCTTGTCGCAGCAGTGGCCTTCGCGGTGGATTTGGCAGACAGAGTCTTGGTGGGAGGTTTTGTCGGTGCAGATGCCTTTGCGGCCTTCGCAGCAGCAGATTTGGACGAGGTGCTCGAGGCGCTTGCTTTCGAAGAGGTGGCTTTGGTAGAGGCGGCCTTGGGAGCTGTGAGTTTCGTTGCTGCAGTCTTCTTTACCGTAGCTGCTTTGGTCGCAACCGGCTTCGAGGCCGCTGTCTTGGAGGCATAGCGCACTAGCACCTGTCCGAGTTCTGCGTTGAGGGGTCTTGCGAAGGTGGTGCTGCGAGCGGTGGTGCGCCATAAAGGTCCATACTGAGGGAGCAGGAAACGCGGGATAAAGGTTGTCTTTGAAGCCATCGTGAAAAATGTTTGTTGACTTCTGCGAATTGGCAAGAGAGGAAAAGAAAGATAGATAATGCGCCGAACGCAATTGATGTGTCGCTTATATCAACAAATGTATGCCCGTGAACTTGACATGGCTCAATCTCTTGGTCAGAGGTGAAATCGTGTTATGCATGAATGTGCATAGCAAAGCTCATCTTATCACGGGCAGACCGGTTATGCTGTGACTACGGTATCAACTGGTAGACCTTGCAGCTGGTGTCGGTCAGGCTACAGGTGGTGACTCTCGACCGCTGTTTTGGACGCGTGCAGTTGGCGTCAGGTGGGAGTCACGAAATTTCTTTGGGTTTGGCGGACAATGACGGATCCATGATAGCACCGTTACAAACACCAGCCGCCCCATTTGGTCCGCTTCAGCCAGGGGAAAGGGGGACGCTAGCACCGCGCAAACCGGATTCCGCCGAAAGCGTTCAGGTAGTATTACCTACAGCTGGCCTGCCATTGGCTGAAGATTGGGTGCCAGCGCCACATTGTGGCTCACCTGGCCAGCTCACCAGCCCCATTCTGCTGTGCAACGTACCAGACAGCTGTCGCATGCATGCGCGAGTGTTGAGCTCATCGCTTTAAAATTCAAGGTCGCCTCGATTTTTTCCCTTCTCCTTCCCGACATATCTACGAGCATCACCACACCATCGCTTCTTCCTACGACCTCTACTACGACACAACAATAATACACTCAGGTTCCTCCCTCTTAATTAATCAACCGTCAAGATGCCTTACTCTGCTGGTAGGACCCTCCTGTTCTATTTCCCTCGATCCTTGGTGCCTCTACGTGGTCAACACGACGCGCCACCCTTCTCGAGCCATTGGACACCCAGCTTTTTGCCTGCGACTGCACCGAACCTGTTGATGCTTCAGTATCTATCGATCTTTCAGGTCTGGGCTGCTTGAGACTTTGTCGTCAACTAGGACTCGGTGCTTGTCTCAAGGCAAAGTTCGTGCGCTATTTACAGGATCAAGCCAGCTTGCCTCCCAAGCTGTCGCAAACCTAGAAGACAAAGAAGCATAGATACGGGGCTCGAGAATGAAGATGGCGAGGGTCGACACAGCCTCGAGCTATGGGCTACCGCTTTCTATCGAACATGGCGATCTATCTACTGGCCTCGGCAGCATCCACAAAGAACTTCGACTAACAGCTGGCTATTGCAGGTGACGCCAAGAAGGGTGCCGGTCTCTTCAAGACCCGATGCGCCCAGTGCCACACCCTGAAGGATGGCGAGGGCAACAAGGTCGGCCCTGCGCTGCACGGTCTCTTCGGCCGAAAGTCTGGTCAGGTTGAGGGTTTCGCCTACACCGACGCCAACAAGTCAAAGGGTGTCACATGGGAGGAGTCCAGTCTGGTATGCTCATCATCGAATCGGAACTACATGCGCACACAGACCTGCTAACACCTTCATCAGTTCGACTACCTAGAGAACCCCAAGAAGTACATCCCCGGTACCAAGATGGCTTTCGGTGGCCTGAAGAAGGAGAAGGACCGCAACGACCTCATCACGTAAGTCGCCAGACGATGTGTCTATCCACGAGCCGGCAAGCTAACTTTGACTCCTAGTTTCCTCAAGGACGCTACCAAATAGACGATGAACACCGCGATCGATGTGGACGTGTAACGATACAGCATAACATAGACGGATCGGCCGGCTGTGTACTTTTAGACTAGACCGTTTTGGCGCCACGTTCGGTGCGAGCATATATCCATCTCCTCTTTTTCAGCATGCGCCGGGTCGGTTTCTGCTGGAGTTCAAGTAGCAAACTACAGGTCGGATTGGATGGAAATGCTACCATTAATTTGACCTTCGTGCATGAACTCATGGACATCTTTCCGCTCTTGCGCTGTCGCGATGTGCATTGCGAAATGTGGAATATAACGAGATTACATAAGATCTACCGCCCATCTATCTCCACTGGTGCCTGTCGATCCATCCATATCCTTGTCTCACCACTTCCACCATTTGTCTGGCATTCACCAGCGGGCCGTCTCATGCGCCCCGAGTACCATCACGATTTTGTAGTTTGAGGAGGCAGTATGACCCATGGACAAACAGCGTGAGTCTACGAGTGTATGGTCGTCAGAGCTATATTAAGCTCACCTTGAGGGAACGTACCTCAAATTGCCCCTAGTAAGCTCTACTCACCGCAACCAACCTCGCTCCTGTGATTCAAGAAGTTGCTTGATCTCCGTCAACTGGCGTCACGCCGTCAGCTTGAATTGAACTCGTGAAAGGTAGGTACCATCTCGTCGGTCTATGCCAGGCGGAGGGAAGAGCTTACTGTAGTCGACATTGCCGCAGCGGCCAGTATCACACAGCAGTTGATGCGTGTGTGTCGAAGGTGATTGTTGTATTGTGGCATCGGAAGAACGAGCTCCATCCTGATTCCGGTGTACGCGCTCAGACACCATCATGCTCAGATATTCAGATATGGAGGTTACTCGTGCTTCTTGTTTCCTGGGGAGTGCCAGATTGGGTGAATGCTTCGGTCTCGTATTGCTGATTCTTTGTCGGGGGACCATTGCGTGTTATATTACCTCTGTTCGCTGTATTCGGGAATTGGCATATCTCTGCATTTGGCGAGTTACGATACTCGTTCTCTCAGGAAGACTGTTGTTGCTGTCGCGTAGCAGGTCTGTAATATGATGACCTGTGAGAGGTAAGATGTAAGATATGGTAATCCGCGACGAAGTTGCGTTGCCCCTTTCCCGGCCTGTGCCGTTGTCACAATGCTACCCTACAGGCTACAAATCCCCAGATGTGTCGAGGTTCAACATGCGTTCGTAATTCCGTCCGCTCTCTAGAAGGGCTTCTGACCAACTTCCATTACCTGGACTTGATTTCCACGTTAACTGGTTCGGGTAAATTGCCACCGCACCGAGAACGTATGACGGCGACGCCGCCGAGCCCCTGGTGAATATGGATGCCTGTCATTGTGAAGCGGTGACATGAGGAACTATCGAGCGCCTGTCGTAGCTGTGAACGTATATAATCTCTTAGCATTAGTAATGAGATGACGGGTCTCATACGGTCGCTCTGTCACCCGTTCCCAAGATTACGAGAAACAGAGCTTACGTGCAGGAAATGTGAGATCTTTTCTTCCTCTAGCAGTATACAGTGACCGCTATGATGAAGCTCGGCCATGTCATATGACAGCGTGCACATATTCCATAACTTATCGCTACACATACAGCCATCTCTCGGAGGCTTACGCACTGCAGCATTTGGAGGACCTAGGGGATGCTGGGTAGAAGGCACATGAGACCTGCTCTTCAATGGATTGATTGTCTACAGGAATGCTGCTTGCCACCATGACCAAACCTATGCTATCATATATGGGAGGCAGACAGGCCTAGACCTGGTTTTCATTCAGAGACCTGCTCCTGACTGATGTCTTGCCGCTCTTTTCGAAGTCAACCGAGTGAGTACCTGGCGCTCTCTCGATTTTCTCAACTGCACCCGCTCAGAGCCCTGTGAACTGCCGCGCAAACAGACGCTTGCTAAAACCGGTGTTCTCGCAAACAGTGGCGGAAGCCTGATTCGGACAGGCACCGGAGACGCAGCCCCAGCTGGCGGCGCTGGGTGTTGGGCTGGCGGAGCCGCAGGAGGCTTTGGTGAATTGCACTTGTTCCCAGTTGCTGCATGCATCACCATCAGCTTGCGTCCGGTCTGTATAACTACTTACTTGTCTCGGTAAGGTACCCAGCAGAGAGGGGTTAGGGTTAGGGTCGGTAGGAGTATAAAGTAAGTAAAGGGTGAAAACTTACGTCCCGTCCGTGACCCCCTTGAAGAAAGTGCTGTACTGCGCATCACTCATGGCATCGACAGCGATATCAAAATGCCACGTCTGGCCCATGTCGTTCTTTTCCGAGGTGCTGCAGGTGTTGCAGTGACTGCCGCCGGAAAGCGAGACCGAGGCCGGGCACTCGTCGACGATCATGAAGGTGAGCGTGTTGGCCGTCAGGGCCGTGCCGCTGGACGAGACGGGCGTGATGCTGTAGCAGATGCCGCATGCGCCGCCTGGGCCGCCGGCCGAGGAGACGGAGGGGTTGGCGCCGAAGGCTAGTTGGTTGATGGCGGCCTACGTATACAGGGCATGTTCAGATCAGTTCTCTCTTTCCATCTTCATCTTTGGTGCCTGCCGATTTGGCTTGCTTGTTGAAGATGCTCACTCACATACAGGTAGCCGGGCCCACCGCCTTTACCAAGAGCACCAGAGAGCGAGGTGGCTCCGTTTGGGAGCTTCTGGACACCACAGGCTGTGCCGCCCGACAACTCGGGACCGACCAGGAACTGCGTGGTGGAAGCGGTGCCCGAAGACGGGAGGACGTAGCCGGCGCTGTCCGCAGAGGCGGTGGAAGTAAAAAGGGCGGCGGCCAGCGCGGCGACGGCGACGGCAACGGTGGAGCTGGAGAACATTTTTGACGAGGGCTCTTGATAATAGAAGGAACGTCTTCACTGCGCTTGTCCAGAGTCAAGAGGAAGTTGGCTGTGCCGTCTGCCTACCTATATATACCTGCCTCAACGAAGGGCCTCTTCTCTTGAACCGCAGGCATTGTTACGAGAAGACGCCGCAGTTATATTGTGATTTATATTATCGGTAACAGGAAGTGGTGGAAGAATAGTATACATGATACGTGCCCCTCAACATGATCCTCATCGGTAGCGCTCCCAGTGGCTCCGTAGTATACCTTATATACCTTATGTTTGAAACAGACGAGGGTCGATGAGACACAACGGTGTTACCTGCGTATGGGGTAAGTTGCCTTTCGTGGAGCGTCATGGCCCGCACCCTGATGTGGAGGCTCAGATGATGCCGCGTAGCAAATTCATTGGTTAATTAATCCGGGGGACCAAATCGCATGTTGATCATCCGATCAAAAACCTGGGGAAGCTAATCATACGAGAGCAACCCCGGAGATATGTGGCTTTGCTAATATTCGGTAAAACATAAAGTCTTCGGCACTTGAACACACGATGGTAACGTGACGGCGCGTGAACGCACATGAGCACTCCTATGTCACCTGACACCGGGATTATGCGGGGCCCCCTTTTCCACCTTCCCACCTGGTAGCACTAGCAAGCAATCTGCGTATGGGGGATATAGTTATGCTTCGTGGACCGTCATGACTCATGACCCACACTGGTACTATTTCGTTGCATACCACTATCCGAACTGGGATCGGGAGTGCTGAACGGTCTTGTGCCATCATAAGTGCTCCGCAGGTGGCATAACCTGCGTTCCGGTTCAACAGAGCACCGGCCTGGCGTGCCTGGATAAGGCTTCGCTGGGCAAGGGATGTTGTTCACATGGACACGACTCTGCCATGCCTGTCTTTTTCTCCTTTTTTTCTTTTTTTCTTTTTCTTTCAGCCAGTCATCATCCGGTTGTTATTAAGTAAGGCACGCGATGGCTACGCATAACGACTCGAGGACGCTTCTTGGTGGCGGAGTGATGATGCTGGGCGTTGCAACAGCGTTTCTAGTAAATATCAAGATCGCTCAACAGACCGCTGTTCATGTCTTACTAATTACTGATGACAGACGTTATTGCTATTGCTGAGTCACATCATCTACAACATCTTTTTCCACCCTCTCCGCCACTTCCCAGGCCCCAAGTCTTGGGCGGCGACACGGCTACAATGGCACCGACACTCCATGCAGGGTGACCTTATCTACGCCATCAAGGCTCTGCACGACCAGTACGGGCCAGTAGTCCGAGTAGCCCCTGATGAGCTGGACTACACCACCTCCACCGCCTGGAAGACCATCCTCGGCAAAAACAGCCCAGAGATGAGCAAGGCTTTTGATGGTCGCGGCGCTCCACCGCCCGCAAACGGTGTCCCGGGACTCATTCACAGCCCAAAAGAGAACCACGCGAGACTCCGCCGTGCCATCTTTCCGGCCTTCTCTGACAGGGCTCTGCGGGACCAGGAAGGTTTCGTTCAGCAGTACGTCGACTTGCTCATATCCAAGCTGTCGGGATTCGCCGACGCTGGGAAGCCATGCGACTTGACTGTCTGGTACAACTACACCTCCTTCGACATCATAGGTGACCTCGCCTATGGCGAGTCCTTCCACTGCCTCGATAATGCTGAGTACCATTCACTCATCCACCTGGTCTTTGGCGCTGTCGAAGTCACCCTTCATGAACTTCTTCGTTCGTATTCCCTGCCACTGCTTTGCCCTCCTCTGGTATCCCATACATGGGACAGGCGCTAATGTTCTGCCAACTGGTGTTATTAGATCTACTACCGCTTGCAGGGACTGATGAAGTATCTGGCGCCAAAGCACCTCCTGAAAGCTCGACAGGACACTGCGCAGTACTCTGATGACACCATGGAGAAGCGACTGAGTGCTGACCGCGACGACCGGAAAGACTTCGTCTCTTACACCGTGGCGAAGAGCGACGTCTCCGACGGCCTTGGGAGGGAGGAGATCCGATCCATGTCCAACGAGTTGATAGTGGCGGGGTCGGACACCACATCGAGGCTGTTGGCTGGCAGTACGCATCTGGTTTTGACTCATCCGCGGGTCCACTCGAGACTGGCATCTGAGATTCGCGGCGCATTTGCAACTGCGAAGGACATCAATGCGGTCAGCGTGGGTAAGTTGGGGCTACCTGACGGCTGTGCTCCAAGAGTCGCTTCGCATGTACCCGCCATCGCCATCGACGCTTCCGGTAAGATCAACTCGCATATTCGATGGTGCCCGCGCTGACATGTCTCCCAGCGAAAGGTGCCCGGCGACGGGGCCGAGATTGATGGGCAGTGGGTGCCAGGAGGCACATCCGGTAAGCAACACATACTAGTTTTGTTTTCTTGTTCCGACATTATCCAGCTCACCGTGTTTCAGTTGGGATCAACCAATGGTCCGCCTCGCAATCCTCGGCAAACTTCCACCGCGCGAACGAGTTCATTCCAGAACGATGGCTGGACCTGGCCGAGCTACCGGAGCACATGGCCAGAGAGGCACCCCCCTCTTCGCTCGAGACGACAAAGCTGCCATGCAGCCCTTCTCATATGGTGCCCGACCATGTCTCGGCGTCAACCTTGCGAAGATGGAGTACAGACTGATCATGACAAACATGTTTTGGTGCTTCGATATCCAGATGGTAGACCCTACCTACGACTGGCGGAACCAGAAGGTGTTCTTAAGTTGGGAGAAAACCCCGCTCGAGTGTCATCTACGGAGAGTAGAACACTAGCGTCAATGGGCCATGAAGGAGGCCCAGCCCTTCCTTGCCTAATCACGGAAAGAAAGAAAAAAATATATATATACAATGGTGCAAAAAGCTTAGTCCACAATCTGACCCTATTGAGCAGGGTGCCTTGTCCCGAGCGAAGCCCTATCCACTTGCATGCCGGCACGCCCCGGAATCGAACTGCAGACCTACGAAAAATCCGAAGGTTTTGTCTCATACCGCTATACCAGTGGGCCTTAAGGGTTGACGCTTGTACAGGGCGTCGGTGGAAGATTGGGCGCATTTTATGGTACATGTGGCCTGGGGGTGTCGTTGCTAGGGAACTCAGGGTGCGTGGTCACCCAGGCACCTTGAGACAGGCAGGCCCCTTCTGCAGTTGTATTCCCGGCCATCTCAGACAACGCCTCGTTGCTTTGTACTACCCACCGTTTGTTATCTGAGACGCGAACATACCCTGCTGCATGTCTAAGCACGCAACAACCCACACCAACTTCGACAGTAACCGTACGACGAGAGTCGTTAACCATGGTAGTGATGGCTTTATCGCTGATGCGCGTTCGGACCTGGAAGCCGACATCCTAGGAGTTGAGTAATAATAAATAACTGTGTACTCACGGATTTGAGTTCTCAAAACCCCTAACCTAAAGATGGCCTCTCGAATGGGAGCATCCAGTACCAGCCTGTGTCCGAGGAGCGATTGCCTGGTTCCTAAGATGCCTACCATACTTGAGTAGGAGCTTTTTCTCCTTGCGTAATTGAAACTGACAAGAACGTCAAGTACGATTTGCTCACCTTGATTTGTTCATCGGTTTGCCTTTGTGGTCACTGAGAGCGTAACAATCATGGCTTGCTGCTCATTGCATCTCTTGGAGGGTTTTGTCATATTACCCTTTCCCAGCCGTACCGGACTTGTAGTCCCCAGCATCACTGTTTGACCCGTGGTGAAGGAAGTGATGTTACTCGATCTCGCACGAGTACGAATGTAGACCGAAAGCTAGGTTAGGAGTATCGGGATGAAGGAAACCCGTACTCAGCAGCTTACTCCCATGGACGAGGACGTACTCGCAGTCACTCGTCGAGGCTACTTGACTATCACCAGAGCTCAGGCACCTACCTTCACATCATAGATGGGCTGGCGATAGCAACTATAAAAATGAGCGAGGATTACGTCAAATGTCTTCCTTGTCCCAGACCAGAATCACCGTCAACACAAGTGCTTATCCCACCCACCAGAAGGATAACACAGACGCCTGTCAAGAAATGGTCGGAGAAAGGGAAGGGGCCGAACATGCGTCAAGTTGCTCATTACCCCTGAACCAAAGTACAACGAGAAGTGGTTCTTATGCTCTTCTGACATGAGGTTGTTCATTCATAGCTTGTGGTGTGGCAAGGTGTGCGCACCAGTTTACCTCGTATCATGTCCCGCTGGCATAATAGCCACACGCCCGTGTTGAACTCGCGCGTGTCGCCCCTAAATCAGACTGTGATGATGAACGCTTCGATACCTATAAGTAGTGCACAAGGCAGCGGAGATGCGATGACGAGGCGCCGCGCGAATGATACCGAGTTCCTGCTCGAGTACATCATTGCCATCCTGAAGCCGGTGGATATATAGGGAAGCCAGGGCCAAGCGACAGACATGCTCGTCAGGTTCATAGGTCGAAAGAATAGCACATTGCTGCTTCACACAACAACGTGAGCAACAGCTAAACAGCACGATCGGGCGCGGGAGGAAGGTGTATAAGTTTTAACATACCACGCAAAGAAATACAACTTGAAAGGAAAGAAAAATAGAACAAAAATGTAACCCGAAGGTGGAATCGAACAGCCACCCACCTCCCTTTTTGTCCCTGGGTCATAAGCCCTCTTAGGAGCGAAGACCACTATGCGAATACCACTATGCCAAGACGGGTGACATAACCACTAGACCACACGGGTTTTCATATGAGGAACACATACAAAACGAAGTGATATAGGAGGTACTTCGCATGTTACAACGTGGGTGTTCATTCAGCGTGAATTGCTACGGTTCTAGGTTTCCAGCGGGTGGAATACTGATGTGTGCCACTTGCTTCACACTTGGTTAGGTAAGACAGTCAACTGATTTGTTTCTGGTCCCATCAAATCACGTACTTGCATTTGGGATGTGACTCAGGTAGAACTGGGTGTACACTGCTACAGGACGAAAAGGATCTCGCATTTCCGGGCTCTGATACCGGATTACATCTGGACCTACAGCCCCTGCCACAAGCTCTTCGTCTTGCCATTCCCAGATGTGTCTTGGAGTGACTTCCAGGCGAAGTGGGACGTTTTGTAGATAGTTCGTGAGTGTGCCTGGCACGTGAATATACAATATACGTCTCGGCATACACGTGGCACAAGCACAACAAACACAGCTTATGACAGTCCAAGTTCAGATATAATGAGCAGCGAACCAGTGTCTATGCCGTTGTTCTACTCCCAGCCCATCTCCTTCAGAGCCCTAAACCGCTCAGAATGGCCTTCCGAAACGCTCGGCTTGGTCTTCTTCAGCGCCTCCTCCCAGTCCTCCGGCAGCAGCGTCAGCGGCGACCCCGGGAATCTCTTGGCCCGGCTCACGGTGGCCTGCCCTGCAGCAACGTGCAGGTTATCCAAATCGGCTCCGCTGAAGCCCTTGCACCTGGGATCGCGCGCCACGGCCTCCAGGACGTCCATATTGTCGTACGACGGCAGCAGACGCCTCATACGGGTTTTGAGAATCTCAACGCGGGCGTCTGCATCGGGCAGATCGACGAAAATATTGGTGCCCAGGCGTCCAGGGCGCAGAATGGCGGGATCGATGATATCCGGGCGGTTCGTGGCTCCCACGACGTAGACGCCGACACGGCTGTTGATGCCGTCCATCTCCGTAAGCAGCTGGTTCACGACCCTGGCGCTCGAATCGGGGCCATTGCCGTCACGTCGGGGCACGAGGGCGTCCAGCTCGTCGAAGAACAGGATACAGGGCGCCGAGGCACGGGCACGGCTGAACACCTGGCGTACGGAGCGCTCTGATTCGCCCACGTATTTGTTGAGCAGCTCGGGGCCCTTCACGGAGATAAAGTTGGCTTTGGACTCGTTGGCCACGGCCTTGGCCAGCAGCGTCTTACCACAGCCGGGGGGACCCCATAGGAGGACGCCGGAGGGTCCCTCGAGTCCGACGGCTGCGAATTCCTCTGGATGCTGTATGGGCTCGACGATAGACATCATCAGCTGCTCCCGCACGTCCTGGAGGGCGCCAATATGAGCCCAGGTCGTGTCAGGTATCGTTGTGAACCCTTCGCGCTTCGAGGAGGGCTGGACGTTCTCCACAGCGTCGAGCATATGCCGCATGGTGAGCAGGTATTTGTCCTCAGGTAAGGAATCGCGCGGCGCGGCCATCAGTGCGTAATGCAGCCGTACCATTGGTGATTCGTATTCGCTGTCGATTTCCATAGTTGACGAAGACGCCTCCTGGGCCTTTTCTGATATCAACTGTTCGACGATAGCGCTCTGGGCAACAGAAACCAGGTCTTCCAGGTCGGCACCAACGAATCCAGGTGTCCTCCGGGCCAGCAGCTTGTAGTCGATGTCATCCGAGACCTTGACTTTCCGTAGCATCCTTCGTAGGATAGCCTCTCGAGCTCCCTCGTTAGGGATGCCCAGACTGATCTCGTAGTTGAAGCGGCCGGCTCGACGTAGGGCAGGGTCGATGCTATCTGGTCGATTCGTAGCAGCCAGGGTCACGACCAGGTTGCCTCCCATGCCCTCGGGGTTCAGGTCGTCCATACACGTGAGCATCTGGGCGACTATGCGCTTCTCCATCTCCCTCTGGGCGTTCTCTCGCTTGCCCATGATAGCATCGATCTCGTCGATGAAGATCAGGCATGGAGCCAGCTTCTTGGCTTCGTCGTATAGCTCCCGGATCTTCTTCTCGGACTCTCCAGACATTCCGGCAACGAGGGAGGGGGCTGACACGGGTATGAAGGCTACCCCAAGTGCTGCGGCGTATGCCTTTGCTAGCATGGTCTTGCCGCAGCCTGGGGGGCCGTGCAGTAGCACACCACGAGCTGGCTTCAGCAGCCCCTTCTGACAGGCCTCAGGGGCGCACATGGGTAGCGTGATCGACTTCACGAGGACCTTGATGGCCTCCTCCATACCCCCTAGGTCTTCTAGAGAGGTATCCGTAGGCGGGCTGCGGTCTTCCTTGGGCTGACCCTTGCGTTTCTTGGGCTTGGGCTCCCCGTTAGGTTGCCTATCGTTGGTCATCGCATGATCGACGGAAAAAGTGAGAGATTCGCCGCCTGGAGTCATTTCAGGAGTCGCCTCGGGCTGCTTTCGTGGTACGTTCCAGGACTTGCTGATGTGCTTGTTCATAACAAAATAGTCGCGCTCCTGTTGGCGGTCTTAGAGGAGGAGCTGTGAGGAACAGTGGTTATATGTTAGATGGCCATACCTTTGGTTTTGGAGATTGGTCAACCTGTCGCGCTTCGAGGGCTGCGTCTTCGTCGTCTTCAAGCTTTTCCTCCTTTCGCAGGCGCAAAACTCGCTCAATGGCGTCCTCGAGTGGGCGCTTCTTCTGGCGCGCGAGGCTTGAGTTTGATCGCTTGATCCAATCGTAAACGCCAGAAACTGTGAATCTGGCTGGTTTGGTACTGTCGCGCTCGTGGTCGTCCTCAAACTTGCGCACTATCTGATAGACATCGCGGTCCAGGCCTTGCAGCGTTCTGGGAGGCATTGTGATCGTATTTGTATTTGCCTTGAATGATATGTCTGGGTACAGCTTGGTAACATGCTCACAATACGTGAGTCATTTGGTTCGTGGAGAAATCAGCTCACGAAGGCTTGAAGGCGCTGAACCAAGGCCGTGTAGGTTGAAAAGTTTGGATTTTGAGATAGAAAATAAAAGTGGGGGTTCATGATCAGATGCCAATGTCAATCGGCCAGAGCAAAAAAAGGTAACAAAGGACATGTTCTGCTTGATTATCACACTGCCACAGCCAGGAATTAACAGTAATAATGCATGCTTATCTTTTTTTAAATTCTCATCTTCTAGAGGGAGTGGAGAAACGTGCTGGAGGGAGACATCAGACCTCATGTCTTTGACGCTATGGTCAGATGCAGAAGCCTAACCTTGGTGCACTCATGCTAAGTATGAGTAAGACTTGGTTCTTCATGCCATGACCAGGTACAACCGGAACATTGAAGCATCTTGCTCTGCCAGGCAACCTCGACACGTCCAAATCAAGAGGTCTGGTTAGAGTACATGAGGGTGTCAAGTTAAGTCTCTGAGGCAATGGGATAATCCTCCCTGAAGCAGCTTACACCAGTAGTAAATGATGCGTTATTGCCTATGTCGCTGTTTCAGATAGGTGCGATCTTCCCCGAACCCCTTTCTCGTGACTGGGTGGGTGTAAGTGCTCTGTATGAAAGGATGCAGTGTCGAGTCTCGACATGCAGATGGTTTACAAAGTAGATGCCACGACATGACCTCAAAGAGCTGTGAATAATCTCGTGACATCATGTATGCCTTGTCGGAACATGATGTGCCACATGAAGTACCATGAGGTACTGGCTTTCTGTTCAGATCACCGCTTGACTCCTTGAGGAGCGTAAAGACCTCGAGAGCATCTGAGTGAGTCCTGGATCAAATTCTTCACATGTGACAAGTTTCCACCATTGAAGCCCAGAAAGCGCCAAGACAATCACCGCACTGCGTCATCCACCCAAGTTAACCTCCTGCTCTAATCGATAAAGCCCAGCTGCCAGTGCCGCCCCCAAATGCGACGACATTCCACCAAGACACCACGCACGGAACAAGCACGAGACCAGATTGAACAACAGACGACGACAACAGTGACAACGATACGCGAACCACATAGTGACAACAGTCTCCCTCCCACCTCCTGCGAACTCTCCTCTCACCCTCGGACCATGTGCCCGGCGGAGTCCACGACGGATTCCAGGGCAAGGTGAAGAACACACCCACCCACACGCACCATGGGCAACAGCAACAGCAGAGTAACCGCCCAAGACAAGTGAGTACAGTCCAAGTCCAGTCCCCGTCACATACACAACACAACCAACTAACCACCCCTCCCCTCCCCAACAGAGCAATCCTAGACCTAAAACTCCAGCGCGACAAACTGCACCAATACCAACGACGCATCCGGCACCTAACCGACGCCGAAACTAATATCGCGCGGCGCCTGCTCGCCGAAGACGACAAGCCGCGCGCCCTGCTCGCCCTCCGGCGCAAGAAGTACCAAGAGTCCCTGCTCGCAAAGACAGACGCCCAACTAGAACAGCTCGAGGCGCTGACGCGCAACGTCGAGTTCGCGCTCATCCAGAAGGACATCGTGTTCGGCCTGCAGCAGGGCACGCGCGTGCTCAAGGAGATCCACGCCGAGATGGGCGGGATTGAGCATGTCGAGAAGCTTATGGGGGAGTCGGCGGATGCGGTTGCTTATCAGAAGGTGCGCGTGCCTCCAAATCCCTTCCCCTGTACTCCCTCAACCCTTACCCCCTTTCTGCCTACCGTTTACTATGCTATATACGACCGGGCTGCGGCTAATATGATGTGTTTGGCTTGTACAGGAGGTGAGCGAGATGCTGGGCGGTCGCATCACGAACCAGGACGAGGACGAGGTCGAGGACGAGATGGCCGCCCTCGAGCTCGAGATCAACGGGCCGGCACACTTGCCCGAGGTCCCCAATACGACACTACCCGAACCCGACGTCGAGGAGCAGGAACCAGAGGCGGCGCCAGAAAGGCAACCAGAGAGGCAGCTGATGCCCGCCTCATGATAGAGGCCACGCACAACATACAACAAGCAGTACGCGACAAGGACAAGGACGGCGCCCGGTCGATTTTGTATAGATTTGCAAGCGAGTATGGGATAATACGTTGGCATAGACAGGAGTTGGTCACCAATGAAAATGTCGAGTATCATCAGACAATGACCCTCTATTGTCTTGAAAGGTCTTGTTCAAGACACAGTCGATACCTCGACATGCTTTTTGGTAGTAGTATATACAACAGTAGATCAACACTGTCCCACCAGAGGGGGACGCCCTCCATCTTCCGTTTCAGCCATACACAGGCGAGGGGCCCAATGCAATTCCACCTAATGCTTCATCCAAACTCCTCTGTAACATATACATTGGCAATGTCTTTGCCTGACGGCTCATGCAGTTCCTCTCCAACGCCAATGAATGCAACAATGCTCCCAAAGAAACCTCAACAATGTCAGATGACGGGGTATCTCAGATGCTGTTCCGGTCCATGGCATTTACCCAGTTCCGGTCCATGACATTTACCCAGTTCCTTCCCTGTCCTGAACGTTGCACATGATTGTTCGAGTCCTTTGACCAGCCCTTCTATATGCGACCTTCGAAACGCCTTCAAAGCACAAACTGTTGGAATATGCCGTATGCCCAGTCGAACGTGTACCATATCGAAGATAATCAGTCCACATAAATCACCTCCCGGCGCTCGGGAAGGTGTTGTCCGGGGTGTGGGACGCGAGGCGCCTCGTAGGCAGAGGCAGGAGGAAAGACCGGGAATGGTCGCTGGTGGTCTCGTCGATAGTCCATCTCAGGCCCTGCAACTTGGACTGGTCCGTAGAAGTGACCATCTCTCTGTTCTAGATGCGGCTTCGGCTGCGGGTGTGCCACTGGGGCCAAGTGCGGATGCATGGGGGCACCTCGGCTGGTCTCGTAGCGCCTAGAATCCGTGTCAGCTAATCTCAAATTCTCACAGGTCGTCGTCAGAGATTTCCGGTACGCGTCGATTCTTGTGCTTCCTGAGGCCCGCCCGACTTACATTTCGTAGCGTTCTGGTTCGCGACGGACAGTATGAACTTCCCTGGGAGTATTGCCAGTCCACTCCATTGGAGCACGCTCTGGCTCCTGACCTCGAATGATCTCCCGGTAGTGGCCAGGCGGATAGCCAGGTGGTACGTCAAGGCGACGATGTGGCGTCTCGGGAGCTAAATGCAGTACAAGAGGCTCGTGATGCAAGGCTTGGCCGAAGGAACCCTGATGAACACCGTTTTGGCGAGCGTCAGAGACAACTCGAGACATGGGACTGGGCTCATCCACATAGATCACTCGCGATGCATCTCGACTACGAGGGTCTCCTTGAGCAGGTGCATTATGCAAAAGCTCTCCCCGAGGGGGTAGGAACCCGCGTGCGCTGTAGGGCTCTTGAGGAGGCCCTCGCATCTCGACTACATGGCGAGGTCGGTGGTCGTCATCTCCGTCAAGGAAGATCGGATTGGCCCTGGTCCTAGGAGGACCAACCTCACGGCTATACAGTTGAACTTCCTCCCTGGGCAACGCCCAAGAGTTGTTGTCAGGCATAACGCGCTCGGCGGCTCTCGAAGGTGCGAGCGGACGATCTGAAAGGTATTCAAACGCGGCACGACGGTGATCCTCAATTTGACCTTCGCGATTCACACGGACATATGAGGAACTAGGGTGCGCAACGGGCCCATCATGATAAGGTATGACACGACGACGCTTTGCGTCGTTCTCGTCAACATCCATCATAGCACCGGGAGACCGGAGGAGAGGGGCAGAAACACCAGGTTCAACCATAGTGCGAGAAATCACACGAGGAACTTCTGCAAACTGTCGGGACTCACGATACAAAACCTGAGGAGCACGTTGTGAGCCCTGGGTGTGGGCAGGCGACGTCGGCTCTATAGACGGCACCAGAAGATCCTGCAGGCCAGTTCTCACTGGCGACAGCGGGATGTGCGAGCGGCTGTGGTTCGACAAGTGTTGCCCAACTTTGGGTCTTTCACTCTCCATTCTGCGGATGATCCGAGGAGAAGCATCACGCATGTGGCTGTCGGGAGGGTCGTAAGGCATTGCTCCTGTCATCCTTCCGTGGTATCCGTTAGAGAAATGACATGGCTCGCCTCGTGCTTCCATGCGACCTTGGATGTGCCCGGCATTCGGTGTATGTTGGACTGTTATGGTTGGCTCACGATCTGAGCTTACTAGGTAAACAGGGCCGTTACTCCTGCTGAGGTTCATAGGCGCCGGACCATGATCGAACTGATCGTTCTGTTGAGGTTGACTTCCGAAGGCCTCAGCAGCAGCAGCATATCTCCTAAATCGCTGTTGCGTCTTTCGAGCAATTCTCTTGTCGGCTTTCGTGACAACCCGCTGTCTAGGCGGTGTCAGAGGGCCGACGAATATGGATCCGTTACTCTGGCCGTTGGCGGCCGGCTGTTGGTTAGGCATGAAATTGTTCTGCGGCGCGACTTGGTTGTCTACCACCGCTCTGGCGTTGGGAACGCGACCATCTTCGGGGCCACTGCTTTCATCCTCGGACTCGCCTTCGGAATCAGAAATCTCGACAACTTCTCGAAGGATCTCCTCGAGCTGATCACGGCCAGTCTCTTCGTCCCCTCGCCACTTGACGATAATGTCTAGACACGGTTTCTCTACAGCTTTGCGAGCGTTTGCCCAGTCTGCCTCTTTCAACAGCTGATCGTAGCGGGTGTGGGTATGTCTGATGTGGGCAAGAGCAGCGAGCTGAACCCTTCGTGCCAATGGGATGTCTGTGGCCATACCGACTTTGACTTCGCCGTGGAATTTGGTATCCTGCGCCGCAACACGGGATCAATACTGCGTAAGGGTGTTGTAAGTGGAGCTCGGGATGTGGGTAACATACCTTGTTAAAGGCGTGTTCTATGATCTCGTGCCTGTCGGTGTTGGGTATTCTTGGGAAGAGATCTCTCAGTACAGCGTCGGCTTCACGGTTGATATCTTCCTGTCTGAGCGGTATAGGCTCGGGATCGCCGGGTCGACGAGTTCTAGCAGCGTGATCATGGTGGCCTTCCTCTTTCAAGACTTCGCGGGCGGCGTCAACGATGGACTGCCGAAAGTGGTAGCCGGCTCGGTTCATGTGGTGGTCGAGCATCCCGGGGTCTTTCGAGGCCTGGTCGATCCAATGTCAGTTATTTCCGCTGCTGATAGAAGCGAACGAACCTACGGAGACGATGAAGAACATGGCATCAAGCTCGCGCGATCGCTCTTTGCATGCTTGCGACAACTCGGGGTGTCCAGTGGGGATGAACTCGAAGCCTGGGGGCGGACGCCTATCGGTGGTGATCTGTGCCTGGTGAGTACTGTACGGTAGGTTGGATTCTCGGCTTCTCCGCAGCATAAACTACCTCGAACTCCAGCTTCTTCTTCTTGTCGGCATTCTCGACTGATTCGAAGTACGTCTTGTGCTTCAGCTTGGGTGCCGCCTTTAGCGGGTTGAGGTTTCTCCAAACACGGTCCTGGTACAGTCGGGCTCTCTCGACCTTCTGGCGGCGCAAATGGGCCTGCACGCCGTGGGTAGTGGCAGGCGCCTTCTTCTTCTCTTTGGCCATCACGACAGTGTTCCTAGTCTTACCATAGTAGTAGAAACAGACGGGCTGCTGGTGATATAGGTATAGAGGAAAAGGAAAGAAAAAGCGGTGGCTACGCTGGGATGGCTACCGCATCATCCGGCACTGAATGCGCGCTTTGACCAAGAGTCCTGAATATGCGCAGAGCAGAGCAGAGCAAGACAGATGATGATGCCTTGTCGCGCAGCAGCTGGAGGGGACGAGTGGAAAGAAATGTCACAGTAGCACGCCTAGAGAATGACGACCTGATGGATGATGGACATCTGTCAGACGTAGCAGTCGAGGGAGATACTCTTGCTGGGCAATGCGGAAACCCAGCTCGCCCAGGGAATGCTCTTTCCTGAATCTCTTGTGGGTGTTGAGGAGTGAGAAGTGGGAGAAATGGAGGGCTGAGCAAGTGCAGCCTGATGGAACCTGCAGGTGATGAACCTGACTGCCTGAGTCGGGTTCGAGATTCCCGGGTCAAATGTTTGGTTGGGTGTGCCTTGGACTTGAAATCAAGCCACACCCAGTCCATTGTTAGCTCCATGTCGCTCTAGTCTTTGTTGTGGCTGAGGCTCCGGCAGCCTCATTTCCAATTGGCCCGGCCCGTCGGTCGCTTCGTTGATTTCTCGCAGGCCAGACAGACAACCTTCAATTTGTGAGGACGCCGCAGCTCGAGAGAACGACACCCGATCATCCCCCTTCGATTCCACACGCAACCCCTACCTACGCCGTCATGCTGTCTCGACAGGCAATCCGCTCAATTCGGGCTGCAGCTCCCCAGCGGACGTTTGCCCGGACCTATGCCGCTGCCGCTGCCACCCAGGACGTGAAGCCCCCCGTCGCTGTCTACGGCCTTGACGGCACCTACGCCACTGCTCTGGTACGACGACCCACTCCCACGGCCTGATGGATGATATATATAGTCGGACAAGTGTCTCGTCGGTCAATTGGGGCGCTCGGAGCTCTAGAATGAGCCTCGAGAGTGGCATGCGCCATAACGAAGAAGAGCCAGACGACTGACGCCTGAGCCATTTAGTACACGGCAGCCGTGAAGACCTCATCCCTCGACCCGACCGCGAAGGCCCTGAGCTCCCTCGGCGAGCTCTGCCACAGAGACGCCAAGCTGAACTCCATCCTGAACACACCGACGCTGACCGACGGCGACAAGAGCGCCATCATCGCCGAGCTGCAGAAGTCGATGGGCGCCTCCGGCTCCAACGAGACCATCAAGAACTTCCTCGACACGCTGGCCGAGAACAACCGCCTGGGGCTCCTGAACAACGTCTGCGAAAAGTTTGGCGAGCTCATGAGCGCCTCCCGCGGCGAGCTCGAGATGGTCGTTACTAGCGCCCAGGTATGTTCCGGACTTTGCACACCCACTGTTTACCAGGGATAGAGGACTGACTGAGGATACTACAGCAATTGGACAACAAGACGCTCTCGCGTCTCGAATCCGCCGTCTCCAAGTCTCCGATGGTCGGCCAGGGCAAGAAGCTGAAGGTGACGAACACGGTCAACCCAGACATCGTCGGTGGCCTGGTTGTCGAGATTGGCGACCGAACTATCGACCTCTCCGTGTCCTCCAAGATCGCCAAGATGAACAAGCTCCTCAACGACACCCTGTAAAACTATCTCTCTTTTGTCTTAAAGAAAGGTCCCGAGGGTGAAGGCCATCAGCATGGGGTGCCACTTCGCGGAGTGGGAAGATCCGGTTTTCTCTTCGCTCGAGATGCCGTTGTGTATAGGAGCGTAGCATAGAAAGAAGCATTCGTCCTCCAAGCCGGGTTTTACTAAGACGTGGCCGATATAATCCTTATTTTGAGCTGCCTGTCTAATATCCAAGACTGATGAAACATACGCTGGGCTTTTATTTGTAGTAAAAGGGGGGTAATTGAGCCCGCTCGAAAGATGCCGTCTCTCAAATAGGAACTCGGAAGTCGAAGAACTCGTATATCAATGATCCGGCAAGGCAAGCAACGAGGTTAGCAAATCAGCGCACCCAAATGCAAACTTCAACTCCAGCTCAACCAGATAGTAAACTCGACCACACACCACGATGCCTGTCTATACTTCTTACATAACCTATAAACCTGCTACACACCAACCTCAAGTCAAGTCCCTTGACTCAGTGCCAGAGTGCCAGAGTCACCACGTCGTCTCCGAACCGAACACGGCTGTACAGTATACGCCCCTTCATCATGAGACGCCAGGCAAGCAGCTGATAGTTCGAAGTTGGCATTAGACAACACAGCGCTTGACCTGACAATACCAGGAACCCAACTGACCGACTGTATCACGTAACAAAGGCACTGGACGATCCACCACGTTCCCATCGAACCCGGGCTCCTCCCTCCATTCACATGTATAAGGCGAGCAGCTGCAAGGGGGCAATGTAAAGACATACTCCAGCTTCATCTTCAGCTAAACGAAGCCAACCAGCTTTTCAGAAGGCATTGCGTCCGAGTCGCCTCGTAGAGAGGTCAATATGATGAACGACAACGACAACTACCCAAGTGGCATCCATCCAAAAAGAACGATACCCCTGTTCACACAACCCATTAACTCCAGGCAAAGTCTCTCTCCCTTCCCCTGGTTCCAATGCCAGAATTCCACCACATCGTTCCCAAATACCGGTTTTTACCCCCCTTCATCAGACGCCAGGCGAGCAGCCGAAAGGGGGGGATATATATAGAAACAGCACAGCACTCCACGACCACGTCAGGGCCCGACTACATGTACGATGTACCGGTAACAGAAAGCACTGAACGGCTTCGCATCCCGTGCCCATACATTGCAACCTTGGGCTCGAACGCTGCAATCCGTAGGAGGCGCGAAACACACAAGGTCGGACGTCTACACCAGGAGTACCAAGCATTGGGTCAAGTGCCCAGCAACCTTCGTAACCACACAGATCATACAAGCTCATTCGCATCAGCAGTACTCCCCAACCACGAGTATCAATAATGAAACAGTATCACGTCACCGGTCTAGACATTATGATCTAGCAAGTGTCCATGGTAACTGACGTGTATTGGTAACTGACGTGTATTGGTAACTGACGTGTATTGGTAACTGACGTGTATTGAAGGAAGACCTATGGACACCACCACGCACTCATTCTCTTTCTGCAGGGTACGCATACACTATTAAGAATCCCCTTTTCCTCTCTACCCACCTTTGCGACCCCGTCTTTCTGCTTCTATCATCAAGGTCCTCTAGCCACTCTAAACCAAGTGTATGGCCGTTGGGCCTCTTCCTGTATGAGCTCTGTATCTCTATATTTGCCGCGTTGCCGTGTCTAAGCATGAGCCTCGTACTCCTCGCCATCAGCATAGCCATTATGCTCATCGTGATCCTTCACTCTCTGCAGTTGGTCTGAGATGTACGAATGCAGGTGGGCGTCTGCCTCCTTGCGCTGTGCTTCGCGTTCGGGGTCATCGTCGTCATCCCCGTAGACCGAGTTGTCGAAATCACTTCGTGCACCCATCGACCGTGCCGTGGATGACCGACGCATACGGGGCTTCTCGGCCTTCGGACTGCCAACGTTGACGTGCCGGTGAAGGATATCGTCAAAGTAGTGTGCCATGCCGACAGACGGGGTTCGTGGCGTTTGGGGAAGGCGGCAGCTAATACTATGCGGTTGTCAGCGTCTTGTCACGCAGCAACATTGTGCTTCACTTACCCAGTGTCGTGGATCATCCGAGCGATCAAACCGGTCCAGCCACACTGATGAGTTGCACCCAACCCACGCCCCGTGTCACCGTCAAAGAACTCGTGGAACCACATGTTATCCTTCCAATGCTGATCGAAGTCGAGCAGGTCGCTCCCGGCATTGACACTGCGGCGGCCATCATCGCCACGAGCAAACAAATGTTGTAAACGATGCTGAATCTCTTCAGAGACGTGTCCAAGGTGCATGTAGTCGCCGGATCCCGTAGGACATTCGACTTGGAACCCAGGTCCGTAGAAGAGATAGAAACGCTGAAGAGCCTCTACCAGTAGGAAGTTGACGCAAAGCCATATGGGTCCTCTCCAATTACTGTTGCCACCAAACAAACCGCTGTCTGAGTCACCGGGGACATAGCCTACCTTGAACTGTTGCCCGTTGACATCCATGGAGTAGGGGTGGTCCTTGTGATATCTCGAGAGGGACCGTATACCGTGTTCGCTGAAGAACTCACTCTCGTCAAGCATGCGCTTGAGAATCTTTTCCAGTCGATCTTGGCTGACCATGGAAAGCAAGATCCGGTCACCCTTGCCCCTCTTCCGAATACTGGCCATGTTTCTCTCCGCCATGTCACAGCGGTTCTCCATGAACCAATTGACGCGCTTCTTGAAAGAGGGGAGTTTGTTGATCAGCTCCGGCTCCAACGTCAAAGTCGCATAGAGCGGGATCAGCCCCACGAGGGACCGGACGGGAAGCTGTTGGATCCAGGGGCCGCCATAGGAAATCGCGTCGTAGTAGAATCCATCCTCGTCATTCCACAATGACTTCTCGTCTTGTCCAGCTTTGAAAGTCATCGCATCGCTGATGAAAATGAAGTGCTCGAAGAACTTGGAAGCAATGTCTTCGTATATCCTTCTGTGCTTTGCCAGCTCGAGTGCGATGTTCAGCATGCAAAGACAGTAGAAGGCCATCCAGCCCGTGCTGTCGGCTTGTTCCAGGACACCACCGGTAGGCAAAGGTTCGGAACGGTTGAACAGACCAATGTTGTCCAACCCCAGGAAACCACCCTCGAAGACATTTTTGCCGTCCACATCCTTCCGGTTGACCCACCAGGTGAAGTTTAACAGCAGCTTCTGGAAGACCCTCTCGAGGAAGTCAATGTCTTGTCTTCCGTACATCTTGCGCTCAATCTTGAAGACACGGAATGTCGCCCAGGCATGTACGGGTGGGTTGACATCACCAAAGTTCCATTCATACCTGATGACCCGGTTAGTCAGCTTGTGCGAAGTAAAGGCCGTGCAGTTGAACGTACGCAGGTAGTTGGCCATTCGGATGGCAGTACCACTCCCTTGTGAACAGGTCGATCTGCTTCTTCGCAAATTCTGGGTCGATCATAGCAAGCGGGATACAGTGAAATGCCGAATCCCAAGCAGCAAAGAAAGGGTACTCCCAAGAGTCTGGCATAGACAAGATGTCGTCGATGTGCAGGTGCTTCCACTGAGCATTCCTGATTGCTTTCCTCTCCGGGGGCGGTGGTGGTTGAGCGGGGTCACCATTGGCCCACTGGTCCCAGATGAACTGATAATATTGCTTGCACCACATCATTCCCGAAAAGGCCTGGCGTTGAATATTCCGAAGATCGTCGGACATGGGCAGCGGACTGATGCGGTAGTAGAAGTCGTCGGCTTCTTCTCTTCTCTTCTCGATTACCTCGTCGAACTCCTCTTCGTCGAGGTAGGTATCGCTCTTCTTCGAGAATCGGAAACGAACAACTAAGGTCACACGTCAGCACCTCCCACATGACGGCTCACACGACATCACATACCGGCGCATTCTCCAGGAGCAACACCACCAGACTCGTTGAAGGGGAACCAAGCGGCGCATTTCGTCCCAGTCTTGGCTGGGTTAACAGCCTTCTTCTCGCCATCGACGATGTACTGGTGGAAAGCGTCCTTGACGTACGGGACCTTGTTTTCCCCACCATACAGGAGCTTGTAGTTGGTGTCGTTGTCGGTGAAGATGAGCTCGGGCTGGACATCTTCACCGCTTGTGCCAACGCCAGGCGAAGGCGACATCAAGACGTAGCGGTCCCCAAGTTTGTGGTGGCTCGACTTGGCCATGTTCTCCTCGTGTGCCGAGATGGAAGGCTTCTTGTCTTCAGGCTCTCGGCCCCAAGCCCAGGTATTCCGGAACCAAACATGGGGGACGATATGGAGGGGCGCTGGTTCGGGGCCTCTGTTCCAGGCAGTGACGCGGAAGAGGATCTCCTCCGGGTCGTTGGCTTCCTTGGCGGTCTCAATCACGATATCCCAGTACCGGTCTTCCTCGAAGATTCCAGTATCGATGATCTGGTACTCCTTCTCTTCTTTGGACCTTTTAGCATTCTCCTTCAGGAGATCTTCGTAGGGAAATGCTTTTTGCGGATACTTGTAAAGGTATTTCATGTAGGAATGCTGGGACGATCGTGAGCTTGACTTCGTTGGCAGAAGGAACGTTGCGAGCGCTTACAGTCTGTTGTCGCATTGTCAGCAAGGTTGTCAGCAAAAAAGTACATTGGAGCTTACAGGAGTGTTGTCCGAGTGGAAGTGAGCTTCCTTGATGCTTTCGCCATGGTTTCCCTGGGGATTCGCCAGGCCGAAGAGTCGCTCCTTGAGGAAAGGACTGGGCTATATGTCAGCAGACAGTACCCGCAAGGCACACGGCCGTATACACACTCTTGCTCGTTCCAGAAGGCGAAGGCGATGTTCTGTAGGCCATGGGTATCCGATACTCCAGCGATACCGTCTTCGCCCCAGCGGAAAGCACGGGATCGAGCGTCGTCGTGGGTGAAGTCTTCAAGAGGGCGCTTATCAGTCAATGGTCACGTATAGAAGCTGACAGTCATCCGGCTGGGGCAGAAAAATACTCACGACTCCAGGCGTCGCCATCAGCGCTGTAGTCCTCGCGCACTGGAGATAACGAGTCAGTAGGTCAAACGGCGGCAGCACGGCTCTGCTGGTTCCTCTTGCCTGTAGCCCATTGACGCTCCGCGACATAGGGACCCCATTGCTTCCAGTACTTGGTGCGGTCACGATCCTCCTTGAGGCGCTTCTCTTCCTCAGTCAGATACTCGTGGTTATCAACTACAACCATCTTCGAGAGTCGACTAGGGTAGCTTCAGTAGAAGCTCAGCGAGTGAAGATAGAGAGAGGCGAGGTCGCACAGAGGAGAGGACAAAGATAGTCGGGTTGCAGAGGAGAAAGCTAGGTTGCGTAGGTCATTGGTAGGAAGAAAAGTGTGTAAGGTAGTACTGCAATCAATTCAGGTACGCGAGGTTTTACGGCTGCGACTATCACGATTCAGGTAAGCCGATAAGACGGCATGGGACTCTGTTGGGAGCTCTAACGTCAACGGTGGTAACAACGGTAGCCTGCCACTGCCTGCGGTAGGGTGCATGTAGCCTCTGGGCAATCACCTGCATTCCTTCCATGGGGGCGGAGAATCCATTCACTGAAGCTCCCCGTCGACAATCACGGGAATGCAGCCGCTGCGGTAGCGGTGAGGGGTACAACTCACAAGAATTGGGGGGAATGGGGAGATGTGAGGCCCAATGACATCACCCTGCCCTCCCCCCATGGTGTTAGGTTCCAACTGGAGATTCAAGATGGGGCTCCATGGGTGACACTACGAAGCGCGGACACGAGGTCCGAGCTGCTGGTCTAGAATCGCATCTTCTAATCTGAAGTTTACCATGGATCAACTTGCTCCTTCACCAAGTCTTCTACAGCGCCCGACAGTCCAGATATCAAGACGTGGCACGGAGAGGAATATGAATGCATGCAACATGAATCGCCGGTTAATTAATCCGTGTTGAAAAGTCATATTGGTCGGCGTGCTAACGACGCTGCCAGATGTGCCGCCTGGTAATAGTGCTGGTATATCCGCCTTCAACTGCGGCTAGTTCAATATCGTGATCCCGATTCCCGTCCAGACCATGTGGATGCCCCGTCTCCGGCTGCATGTCTGAACCACGCCCCGCCTGCCCGCCCATTCCATTCCCACCCAGCCCCATCATATCCATCCCAACCACATGTGCCTGCCCAGCTGCCCTGCCCAGCCTATCTACCTGTCATCAAAGATAGCCACCATGTAATAATAGATTGTCAATCGTCAAATTGAAGAGTCCCATATGTTCGCTTGGTAATGCCCAACGCCTGCAACTTCCTGCTGATGTGAATGAAAAGCCAAATGCACCCCGACACCACCTCTTTATGGTTTCACGACTTGGCAAACCAGGGGAACTTCTTTTTCCCTGTGTCGACCGAGCTACCCGTCGAGCTCTCCACTTGAATGCTACGCTGGTAGATGTCCTAGTGCACCAAGTTAGCCTAACCGTTTCCGCGTCACAGCAGCACATGTGAATGGATGGGGCAAGTCATACCTCCTCATCTGTCGGCATCAGGCAGTCCAGGATAAGCTCCCTGGCCGTGTCGTGCTTGGAGAGGTTGGGGTATGGAGTACCCTGGCTCTTCATGATGGGCAGGATGACCTCGCCGAGGATCTCAAACTTCTTCCAGTTTATCCGGTTGCCCTGCGGTCCCACAAACGTCATGCTGCCCTCCTCGGCAGAGACCAGGTCCCTGCGGTGCAACGGCATGAAGGGGATGCGCGGCAGTGGGGAGTTCTCCCATGCCAGCCGGTACGCAAAATGACTCTTCTGCGTGCCCATCAGGAGCACCAGTCTGGCGAACCGCTTCTGTACGTCGGCCGGCACCAGAGCCCGCGTTTGGGAGAGCCGGTGAATCGCCGTCCCGTTGATCCCCGCGAGCACCGCCGCGAGACCGTTGTAGTTGTTGAGCTGCCTCAGCTTCAACGCGATGTTCATAAACTTCTCAAGCATCTGCGCGCGGTGCTTGGCCTTCTCTCTCATCAGGATCATATTCGACACCCAGGTGGCAATGTGGTTGAAGTGGGTGATCATGCGGTTGACGTTCTTGGTCGTTTTGCTCTTCTCCCTTTGCTCGGCAGACAGACTGACATGCCGCACCAAGTCACGTATGCGGATCGACGAGAGCATGACCCAGTCGATCCGCGTCATCTCATCCGCGATGTCGTCGTTGGACGTATCCATAAAGATGTGATATCGGAACTTTGTGAGGGGTAATGTGTATGTGGGCACCATCGTGGCCGCCTCGCGTTCATAGTCAGCGTACGAATGAAATTGGAACGAATGTGTCTTCCCGCCCGCTGGGGCATCCGTGTTCAAAGACGAGCTGGCCGATGGTCGACGTTCGACCGAACCATCGACACTCAATGAGCTCATACTTTCCGAGAAGTCGGTTCCCGTCTTGGTGCTATCTTTCCTCGCGCTGGAGGCCGTCTCCTGGCTTGCTTGAGTCTCCTCGTTGACATCTGCCTTTGCCCACCCCGTATCGTCGTCCTCGACTACACTCGAGTCAAACGTCCTGCGCATCTGCTGAGCAGCGGCAGCGAAGATTGGCTCGGTTGACAGGTGCTTGATAAAGTCATCTAGGTTCTTGCGCGTCGTCGCTCGTGCAAAGTCGCCCGGATACGCTGCAACCCACCTGGCAATCACCTCGATTATCCGAAGTTGCGTAGCTGTTTTTGTGAGATAGTGGATGGACTTATCGTCTTTGACACGTTCCAGCCGTGACAAGATGGCCGAGAAGAGCTCTCCTGGGGAAGCAAATTTGCGGTATAAGCACAGAAAAACATCGGCGAAGTTGTTGTCTGCCCTGGACATCTTCGGCGCAATAAGACGGTCGATCAGTTCGTCAAAGCTAATCCCGAGCTTCTTTGCCGGTCGTTCGAACACGGTTTCGTCACCCCGTTGCAGTAGCGGGATTTCGTCAGAATATCTCAGGGTCTCCCCATCCGAATCCTCCATGTCAAGAAATGAATTCGTATGTTGAGCGCGGTCGAGCCGGATACCCGGTGTGCGAAGCTGGCTGGAAACGGTCGGGGCGCTCTCATCCTCATCGGGGATGTTCCCTCCCATCAGGTCAACTCTCGATGACCTCGATCCTTGTCTGTAATCTGCGCCTTGCTGATTGGAGAAACCCCGCAGTAGTGACATGTCAGAGCTGGCACGACTGTGCTTACTCTGTTGACTCAACGGCCGGGGGTTTGTAGATTCTGATGGTGCATCAAGATGCGCTACCGAGGCTGCGCGGCGCCGGGAGCCCATCACTTCTGTGGATTCTGCATCTGAGGAGACATCCCATCATCAGCTTCAATGAACAAGGAAGCCTGCTTCATAAAGTGCAGGGTGTCGAAAGCTTGCCAGCTCCTTTTCGCCAGGAAGCTTGCCATCGTTGCTACGTGGCCTACACGTACACTCACCTTGACTTCTGAGAACCAACGCCTTCAACAGCGTAGACAACGACATCCTAGCACTCTCCGGTTTGTTAGCGGAGGTCTTGAAAGTCGCGAGACAAGACTGGCATGCTGCGGCGACCGCTTCGGTGTCGATATGCCTCGAGTTATCTGGATTGTCGCACTTGGTGGCCACGAGAACAGCCGGGAGCGACGAGTTTACTAGAGCACCTGCCTGAATGAGTATCCGGTTCATTGGAGACCAGTTCCGCGGCCGTCAAAGCAAGAGAGCGACTCACTGAGAGTCTGGGGCAGCTCAATGATGCTGTCCCTGTTCATGACATCGTACAGCAGCAGAACACCGTTGATGCGAGGCATCATAGCACCACCCATCTGCTTGGGCCATTTTATCTGGCGATCCGGGTCCACATCGAAGTATTCGAGATCCAACTCAAACAGCGTGACGGCGAAAGGGATGTTGTCGATTTTTATGCGTGCCGTGGTTGGGTTGGGTCCTGGCACGCGCGACAGGGACATGGCCCTCTGGATGAAATGGGACTTGCCCACCCCATTGGCACCAATGACTGCTATGTTGATACTCTCCATGATGCTAGGGGTTTGCGGCTGTTCAGAGCTCCACTGTCAGTCGCACAAACTTGCGAATGTTGGGTCGAGGAGAGAGTTGCTCGCTATACCATACCAGAGCATCCGTTTCGTTTATAGTCTGCGACTCTTTGCGTGGGGCTGACCGAAGCTTCGTCGGGGAACTATCATGGCGCTCGTCAAGGGGTGCCGTGACCGGCGGCTGGGTGGTAGCCGCGCCTCTGGGGTCTGCCGGATCGTATTGTTGGAAGAAGGGATCGTCAACAATGGAGTCAACGGAGCCTCCGGACACAGTGAAGTGTAGCCCGTCACCCGACTGATATTCGTCGCGGAGCGTGGAGGAGGTGGAGGTGGGGGCGCTCGAGCGGCACGAGGGTATCGAGAGTACGGACGAGTAGGCGGAGGACTGGCGACCCCTTTTCTGGCCGGAGCCGGACGACGTCGTAGTGCCTGAATCGCCTGATAATTTGTGAGAATGGCGCGCGTCAACCTCGGTGGAAGCCATGATCAGGCATATATAGCGGTTGTGGGAGCAGAGCAACACACCCTTTCGAGGTCAAGAAAGTCGACCGGATGGCGGTGGTTTCAAATGTGATATCGCAACGCCAGCCAAGCAAGTGGGAGCTTAGCACAAGCCACCAGCGAGGAGGCGCAATAGACTGCAGTGGCAGCGTGCCAAAGAGACGCGCTAATTGGCTGGGAAGCGTCTGGTGTAGCGCGCCGTCCACCTTACGCCATCGTTAGCCTGAGGCCCATTGGAAGTCTCCAGGGCTGGCAGACGGCAGTTGAAGAGACGGGTATCTAGGTTATAGCTTGCCTTCTGTGCCTATAGGTAGGTATCCCAGATCTGTCAACCCTTCATGCAACATGTAGCTTTGGCTCGGGCGTACGAAGATCTGGTTGTAGACGATGCACATCCCACCCTGGGAAGCTCCCGTCCTCGATCCTGGGTAGGGACGGAAGAGAAAGACCGAGCTCGTCGAAGCAGACGCGCGGCAGGCAGAGGAGAGGCGACGGGACCTCCAGTTGACCAGCTGGGTGGCACGCACTTGATGTCGAATTCCCAATGGACTGGTACTCTTGAAGATATGGAAGCCCAAGTTTGACTTCAGACTTGTCAGTTGTCCCAGTTTCGTGGGTGGCATCCATTGAGCCGGGGTGCCGAGACTCCATAAAGGATTAAAGCCCCTCAACGCGGGCGGGCGACAGGGGAGGCCACTCAAGTCTCATCGACCTCTTTCGAGCCTCACCGGGTCAGACTGGTCAGGGGTCTTCCCCCCCTTTCGGTCATACCTTTTAACCAAATGCAGGCCGGCGCACTTCATGCAACCGTCTCTCTGGGCTATTTCAACGTCTCTCGTGCAGCCGGGGTTCGGAGAGTTGATATCGCTCTAGGTGTAAGTATATTGTAGTCCCATTCGGATTCCCATTCGACTTCCTACAAATAGGCAAAACCTGGCAGCCCATCCCCCAAGTCGAAGATTGAAGGACTTGTACCACCAGTTGGCACACCACTGCGGCGCCCCAAGGCCAATCACGTCGACCCTCGAATGCTCGTTGGTAACGGCTCTCCTTTCGCAGACCCCCAACCGCCCACGTGCGTGGGGTGGCCAATCGGTGTAGCCTTCAACAGTCTGCAACTCCAGCCAACCTGATGTCTTCTTCCCCAGGTTGCATATCAGGGATCCCAGTTACTAGCTGGCACAGGTGAACGGTGTAGATCACCCCTCTGCACCAGTGTGATGTGATAAGGGAGCAATCAGCAAACATATTGGAACCATCAGCTATATTGCTTTTGCTTATTATTAGCATCTCGGGGAAGCTTCGCTGCTGGTTCTTCAGCTGACGCGAACCAGTACCCAATCAAGCCGGCACGCCACGGACGGCGTACTCGAGGCTGGGAGTCTTTACCCCGGACTTGTTCCCGGTGGCTGATCACGCCCGGCCCTCGTGGGCAAGTCTAGCCGGTCGGCCGCTACCGGTAGTCTGAATGCTGGCTTCAACTTCATATCAAGTCCCCAATCCCAGTCGGGCAGGCCGTGATGCTGGTGACACAGCAATCTATGGCTTTCGGACTACCAAAGCGAGGCTTCTGGAGCCATCAGCTGCGGCTGTCATGCGCCTAGTCCTTATTATTGGAAAGGCATACTATGAAGCGCGAGGCTTTGGTGGCCAGCTGCACCAAGTATCATTGCATCACAATCGCATCTGACAACGCCAATAGTGGAATATGGATATTGGCTGAGATCGTACCTTTTGGTCACTTGAACGATCTTATGGACATGGCGATAGACATATGCAGTCGACCATGAGCAACGCGCGTCACTCATGGTCTGCCTAGCAGCTATTGACGATACCGGGTGCTTGGACCATGAGCGGCCGAATTCACTGATCATGCGATGATACCATCATTGTTGGCTGGTGCTTGTATTGGACCGGACTCCTCCCAGCACCGGCAACATAGGCACCCGGTGGAATATCACTGGAAGGAGGGAATACCTGAGCCACTCTGAAGGGCCTCGTGGCAGCCACGCATGATGCCGTAGCCCCTAACTCGAGTGGCGGCTGAAATCACTCGAGACTTCTGCGGCACACTGGGCGCACAAGGATGGCATCAGTAACATCAAAAGGGCTACGGGATGAGTGAAAGATACGCGCCCCTTTCTATGGCTCGTAAGCTTCCTGCACAGATTATCTCATCCATGTAGGGCGATGCGTTGTTATGCTTTCAATCTACATCAGTGTGTGATGCAGACGGGGATATTTATGAGTCTTACTCAGTAGCGTATCCCCAACAATGACCGTATAAGCTGCTAGAACCTCGGCCGTATCTACTGCCACCCCATTGCTTTGTTGGTGATACTGCCTTTGCCTGGTGTTGATATATGGTGACTAGTCTAGGATGGTGTCACAATGACCGTTCTGATCGAAGCAGTCATGCAGAGCTAAGGGGTCTTGATTTTCGAGAGCCTACCCTGAGTCGATCTCGTAAGTTCATCACCTATTTAACCTCCTGATGGCCCTTTGAGCTGAGCATCACCACATCCCAGTTCGCTAGAGTGACATAGGCCCAGAGGATGAGAACATTGCGGGATCCGGTGACACCTCAGGACATCTCGACTTCCTCGAGACTCAAGATGAGCAGCAAAGGAGGCAGCTCCGGCAATGTCTTGGCACATGAAACTCCGCCGCCTCATCATCAAAGGTGCCCCTATTCCCTCGAGACTTGAAGATGACTTGGCGATACTGGACAGGTCAGTCCTTCGATATTGCAGGATTGATTGTAGAGTCACATGGGAAGCTCTCCATTGGTCCTGGTCGACCATCCGGGCTTACGGAATTGATATTGAAACCCGCAGTCGTGCTGGCAGAGAGACATTCCAACGTCGTCGGCCTGCTTAATATGGCGAACATAATCTTTCTCTTTCTTATGTATGCTCTCCCATACCCTCGCCCGGTGCCTCGATATTGATGAACTTGCCAGGTGAAATGGATACCAAGGGGCCTGACGTCGAGATCAGGGTTCACTACTGCAACTGACAAAGCAGCCACTGACAACGAAGCAGCACTGAAACATATGTCAGTAGTGCAGCTTCGACGTAGTACTAGAAGACTTGGAAGGACAACGACGGGCCCCTCCGAAGGTGTCCCGACTGGGTTATTATAACTTCAAATTCACCACCTTCCTGAGGCAGGAGCCCCTGAAATTTGCTACCACAGGCGAGTGAGGATTCCCTACATACCTAATGTAATGCCCATGCCACTCCAACAAGTCAAGCCAGCAATGGACCAAGGCGCCAACGGTGGGCTCAGTCGCTCATGCCTATGTCATGCCCGGTGCTCAAAAATAAGTCTTTGAGTTCAGCATGTTTGGACCGGGCTTCATTTGCAAACCACTCGCTACAGTCGTAACGTCGGCACTGTGTTCCTGACCACTTAAGCTGTCACCATAATCTTCCCATCTTATCTTCGCATTTTAGAATCTGTGTCGTGTCAATGAACGGTGCAGAGTTCCCGCCATCTTTCGATATACTATGGTTATAACTGTATGCCGGACGGGCAACAGAACGGGCGGTCAGAGAGAGCCAGTATTGCTCAGAAAAGGGTCGACTATCGAATCCTGTTCATGCTGCAGTAGAAAGACACGTGTTGTAGGTGGAGGCTATTGCTATGTATAATGTAGTGCTTCACATATGGCAGTCTGCAGATGGCAGTCTCGGGTCTTAGGGGTAGGCCGTGCTTCGACACGCCGGATTGCCTCAGCTTCGCAATTGCAAGTTCGATTACACTTTCCCGTCTCAGGGGAACACAGAGTGCGGGACGGCACCGAGGCCGTTATGTTGCTGTGCGACGGATGTGAACCCGAGGCCCAGGTGGTACCATCGGGAGTGACTAAGGGGTGTGCATATTGGGCTGTTTGCTTCAAACAGATTCACTGGGCAACGGTTCAGTAGCCTGTAGCACAGAGGATCTTCAATACAGTAGGTACATGCCTATTGCGTGCCTTATTTACCCCGCGGCTGAGAGACTGGTAATCGGTTGCTTTGTGGGTGGACTTGATGCCTGAGAATTTGAAGTTTTGATACTTCTTTTCTCGCCGCACTCGCACTTGGGCTTTCCGTTGCTCGCCCTTTCCCACATTCCCACGCCGACACGGGTCAGCAACGGTTGCTGCTCTGCACCTTCCTCTCTTCGTTCTTTCCTTCCATTCCCATCGCCGACATCGTCGCTTCCTTTGCAAGATGGCGGAAAGCACCCCCCAGCCTGAAGCCGTTGCGGCCAAGCTGGAAACCCAATGCAGCATCTCTGCCGCCTCTGCCAACTCCGCCAACTCCGCCAACTCCTCTGGCGACGAAAGCCGTGACGAAAGCCAGAAAAGCGACAAGGACAAGGACAAGATGGCGCGCCACAACACTAGCAGACCGTTCCCGCCTCGACGCCCTGAGCTCGATCTGAGTGCCATGCTGAACCTTGAACAGTCGAAGCAGCTACAAGTTCTCGTCCAATCCGTTCTAGACAGCATGCAGGAGCACATCCGCGAACCCCTCGACAATCTATCGGTCATCGACATGTCGCCCGACGAGGGAATCAAGCCCCCGCGGGCCATTGTCACCTCTATACCCAACCCTCGCAGTGAGAAGTACCGCGCCCAGTATGGCGACATCGGCCTGCCCGCTGTGAAGCCCGACTTCGAAGACCGCGACCTCCTCCGAAAGATCATGAAGTCTGTTCCGCCCCCTATTGACAGCACCACGACACCGCAGCCCACACTCTTCCTCCCCAAGTCAGCCGAGGAAGCTTCCGCTATGTCCGGGAAGACGCAGAACGAGATCGTCATGTCCAGCCTGTCGGAGCTGAAGCGAGATGTGCTGGCACAGTTTGGCAAGTGGCGTATCGTCGTGACCCGCCGAGTAAACGACATAGTCATCAAGAATGGAGGAACCGGAGGCAACGTTGTTCGCCAGGGACCACAACATGCATCAGGTAATGCCAGACGGGTCGGTAATGCCGCAGGAGGAAGACCAGCCAGGCCTCCTGGTAAGCACTTCCTCCACGGCAACCGCAAGTATAAGTCTGATTTCTGGTTTTTTTTTGGCCCACATTCCTTCACCAGTCTCGTCCTCTCTTATCACTTCACTACTTCCAATGCTTTTGATTGCTTTTTCTGCTTTCTTTGGCCCCTTTGTCACTTCACATCGCGTATCCCGTCGGTGCTGTCACTTGGAGACAGTGGCCGACATCCATGATTTGATATGTCCAAAGGGTGGGAAAACTGACAAGTTATCACAGAACTGGGTGTTTCTAGTAACCTTTCCAATACCGCTCTGGTTAATCTTCACCCTCCCTTGTACACTGCGTTGACCAGTTTGCCCAAGGAGAAGCGCGCGTTGATCTTGCATTCCATGATGCTGCTGCTTCTGGGACTGGACCAATACTCTTCCCACACCCGCACTGTTCTGCTGAAGATTGCTTCTTCTTTGCATATCCCCGCACACGTTCTATTGCAAGACGAGTACAGAGTCTCTCAGGCTCTTGCTCAGATTGTCAAGGGAATATCCGCCGAAGAAGTTGCCCGCAAACGAGCGGAAGAGGGCAAGCCTCCCAAACGCTGGAGAGGTGCAGGGCTCTCTATCATGCCTCCTGGTAGCATCACGGGCAATCTTGCGGAACCCCTCATTGTTGCGGGCATTGGAACTGTCTTCGGAGGCGTTGGCCTTTCAACAACGGTCACAGCGCATCTGCTAGGTGGCATTGGAGCGGCGGAAAGCACCGTCCCTGTCGGTACCTTGTTCGGGCTATACGGAGCCCGACAAGGCGGCAAGGCGATGGATGCGTATACCAAGGATGTCCAAGACTTCGCCCTCATCCCAATGCACGGTTCCATGCAGTCTGAGTTGATCGACCCCAAGGACGTGCCTGCTGAGAACCGCCGAATGCGAGTCACCATCGGCATCAGTGGCTGGACCACAGTACAGGACGACTTTCGACAACCCTGGAAAGTCCTGGGCCAACTGAACGAGGTTTACGCTCTTAGGTGGGAGCTGGAGGCTCTCATGAAGGTGGGCATTTCGTTGCAGACCGTCGTCAACAATGCAGCTTGGAGCGCTGCAAAGAAGGAAGTCGTCAATCGCACGGGTATGAAGGAATCCCCCATCCCGCTTGATCCATCACTAACGCGCTCACAGTCTTTGAAAGTCTGCAGAAGGCTCACTGGCCCACCGGACTCCTCAAGGCTAGCAAGGTCGTCGATAACCCCTGGACAGTTGCGCTTGTGCGTGCGGAGAAGGCAGGTCAGGTCTTGGCGGAGATTCTCACCAACAAGATGCAAGGGGAGCGGGCCGTCAATCTCATAGGGTATGGCATTGGTGCTCGCATCATCTACACCTGCCTGATGGCGTTGGCGGAGAAGCGAGCCTTCGGAATCATTGAGAATGCCGTCCTGATTGGCGCACCTTGCCCCTCCACAGTCCATGTCTGGGCCTCAATGAGAAGCGTCGTCGCTGGTCGCCTCGTCAACGTCTTCTCGAAGAATGACTACCTCCTTGGCTTCCTTTACCGAAGCTGTGCCTGGCAGTACGGTGTTGCCGGTTTACAGACCATCGCTGGTGTACCTAAGGTCGAGAACTCCGACTTCAGCAACATTGTCGCCAACCACCTTCAATACCAGTATCTCGTTGGCAGCATCTTGAGGCGTATTGGCTGGGAGGACATTGACTACGACCAAGTTGACAACGACGCGAACAAACTGGCTGTCATGGTTCACCAGGAGAGAAAGCTCGACCAAGAGCGCGACGAGAAGGTCAAGGCTCGAGCCCTTCGGGAGCAGCAGGAGAAGGCAGCTCAGGAGAAGGTGGCTCGAGAGAAAGCGGCCCAGGAGGAGGCGGTCCAGGAGAAGGTGGCTCGAGAGAAGGCGGCTCGAGAGAAGGCGGCTCGAGAGAAGGCGGCTCGAGAGAAGGCAGCCCGGGATAAGGCGGCTCGAGAGAAGGCGGCCAAGGACAAGGCAGCCAAGGAGAAGGCAGACAAGGAACTCAAGGAGAAGCCCGTGAACGTCAACAAGCCGGAGTCCTCGAAGGCAAATGATCCTTCAAAGCCGAGCGGAAACCGACCCGAGACGGGTAAGAAGCACGGCCGCAAGAAGGAGAATCGCCGATCTGGAGCTCAACCCTAAAGCTTCGAAGCTACAATGGCGCGATCACACACGTGGCTGTGACCAAAGGTGGCGGTGAGGGATATCATTTCGATATTGTATAGTATATGGCGAACCGCGTGGCTAGGTGGCATCGCTTCTGCGGTGGACGATGGCCTGGCAGATGTATAAGTAGAGTTTCTCAGCCTGGAGGAAAGGGCTGGGGTGTATACCAGACTGGGCACCAAGGTGCCCGGGACACGGCGGCCATAGATAGAGCAGCTCACGCTCACGCGATGCATTCTGCGGCGAATCCATTTCATCTATTCGGACTCTTTCTGTCTTCTCTTTTCGCATCACGTGCTTCGTGCTCCTTACTTGACTCGCGTGTCATTTCGACTGGGCAAGAGGCACAATGTAGACAAGACACACCACACCACGACCTGCAGGGAAGTAAGCAGCTATTTGTCGGTTATACCAGCGCGTAGCACATTGGTAACTGCTTCCTCCCAGTGATGGTTTATGACTCGGCCGGCACCGTTCGCTCGGTCTGCCCACCGCTCCTCACTACGAAGTACCGACCCGCAGTCTCGCTCGCACCGCCCAGGACATCCCAATTCTCATCCTCATTTATTATACTCCTATCTCCCCCTTTTTCACCCGCCATCCCCTGACCATCTACTACATGGCCCTTCCCCCCTCCTCTTCCGCCACCACTACTACCATTAACTTCTTGCTGCTGCCTCCGCCGTCTCCGCGGCCTTCGCGCATGCCCCACGACGTCCTCGCGCGCGAGCGCCTCTTGTAATTGCGCCAGCCCCACGGCCGTGGCGCGCACCCCCGCCGCCGTCTCGTCCCGGATCGCGCGCAGCGGGCGTATGTTTTGTGTGTTGACGCGCTGCATCGCCCGCACGAAGTGCAGCTGCGCGTCTAGGTTGGACTGCATCTGCGCCTCGGCGGGGGAGCCGCTGGGGGGCGAGGGGAGGGCGGAGAGGCGGAGGAGGTGGTGGAGGGTTTTTGGGGTTGTTGGGTTGGGGGGTGGTGTTGTGGATGTTGGTGTTGTTGTGGATGTGGGAGAGTTGGGAGTGGTGGTTGTGGTTGTGGATGTGGGAGAGGTTGAAGAGGTAGTGTTCGAGTTTGACCACGGCGGGAGCAGTGAACGGACAGACCAGCTAGGTTTCGCGAAGAGGGCTGCGAGAGTGGTGGTGCTGGTGGTGGTGACGTTGGCATTGGGTTCGTCGTCGGCGACGCTGTTGGTAGTAGACGACGCGGGAGAGGTGCGGCTTGGGCCGCTGTCAAAGAATGTACGGGTCGATCGCGAGGGTTTGGCGAGGCGGCCCGCTTGGAATGCTCGTGGCGTCTGGTGCTGCGAGACTGCTAGGCAGTGCCTGCATATCGTCGTGGTGGTGTTCATGGCTGCGCTTCTTGCTGTGAGGTGCGGCGTGCGGCTTGCGGTTGGAGCTTAGGTAGGAGGTATGATGAGCCGTGAGCTCTAGCCGGCTTCGGAGGTGCGCTGGTCTCCTGCTGGGGCCACGCTCACAGCTTGAGGTTAGTTGCTTCCGTGTATGGATGTGACAGACACAAGTGATGATTGTCAATGACTCTCCACAGAGTCGGAAGTCGAGATGTGGCCGTACCTGACGGGCGTGACGGGGTCTGATGAAAACTGAAGCTCAACTTTAATTATTGTCAGTACAGTCCTTCCTACCCTGATATCGGTACTAGAGTACGGGGAGCCACTCCTTCAGAGTCCTCCAGGTCCTCTAGTTAAAAGTCCCCACCCTCGCACGTCACCTCGCCCGGCGTCAATGCTGCAGGTAGGTGCCATCAACATTGCCATTCAGGCGGGACACGGAACTTGCAAGCCTCCCGTCGATTGCTTGGCGCTGAGACCGCCACATGTCCAGCCAGCCAGGACAACTGGACCGTCCATCATTGACGTTGAACCTATGATTTGCAAGTCGCGTCAGCGGCATATTGGTTCGGGTTCCAATCCGTCGCCACTAAAATACCGGCTCAGGACACCTGTGACCTGAGGTGCTTGTACAGCTTTTGGGTTCAGCCAGCCTCAAACCGAAACAGCTACCTGGCCAGTCAGCCAGTTTACCTCCACTCGACCTGCCTTACTGCCGCAGCTCCAATCCTCCGACCTCTCATCCTTTCAGTCTCTCACTGATCAGTCATCTGAACCCATCGGCTCGCACACTCACACGAACCATCACGACCACAGTCCGCCACCATGTCTGACTCTGCTGACGTGCTGTTGCAGAAGGTAAGGGGCCCTATGCCCCGCCACTCCTCGCCCGTCCGCCTGCGTTCGCGCTGATAACCAGAGCAGGCCAACAGGCTCCTCGCCAGTGCAGGCAAGGGTGGCCTTTTCAACTTCTTCAGCGGGGGAAGTGAGGATAAATACGAAGAGGCCGCAGACACGCTCGTGAAAGCCGCAGGTGCCTTGATGGGGGATGGGAAGTGTAAGTTGGCCCCGCCCCCCACCTGGTGCGACCATATACTGATGGACGTCTATCGCAGACAAAGAGGCAGCGTATGAACTCATGTCGAAAACCTGACCGACACGTCCATGGTCAGCTGAACATTTCCGCAGTAAAACCTACGAGAGAGCCGCTCAAATCTACAACGACAAAACCGACAAGGACACGCGAGCTCTCGCCCCGAGGACCTATATCGAAGCCTGTGGGTAATCTCCGCTTGCTGTGAGGGCCATACCTGACCTTATATCTTGCAGTTAAGATGTACATATACAAACCCAGGGATCTTGAGAGCGCCGCACGATGTGTCGACTTCGCCACCCATTACTGGTCCCGTAATAACAACGTCTACATGGCGGCGAACAAGATGGAGCCGATGGGAGATGCCTACGTCGCCGAGGTCCAGGAAATCAAAGACAAGGAACGAATCATGAAGTTGAGGCAACATGCTGTGGAATGTTACGAATCCGCAGCTAAATGGTTCGTTCAGCCTATGACTCTTACACGTCATGTTATAATAAAGAGCACTCGTACTAATTTACCAGGTTCACTCTCACGACGAATGCAAAGTAAGCTACGTTCCTATACCGACCACTTGGACAGGGTTCGAATCTGATGCTCTCTTCTAGTTTGGCGAACAGAAACAAGGTCAAGGCTGCCGAACACGCCGCCATGAATGCAGACTACCAGAGGGCTGCGTGAGTATCATCTTGATTTACACGTTCTCCTATCTGACAGACGCCGCAGTAAACATTACGAGGAACTCGCTATAGCCTCGAAAGCCTCGACGACGTTCATGCGGGGATACTTTCTCTCGAACGGACTCTGCCATCTTGCCGCAGGGGATACTGTGGCCATGGAACGAGCCCTCTTGGAATACCCTGACCACGACCCAGGATTCAAGGAGTCTCATGAGGGCAAGCTTCTGGTCGGTCTGGCAGCTGCGCAGGAGGCCGCGGAACTGAATGACTTTGAGGCCGCCGAGGCCGCATATGTTCAAAGCGGTCACTCCAAGACTCAGTATAATCAGATGATCTTTGAGTTGATTTCGCGGGCCAAGAAAACCATACCGGGACAGGCGGAATCTGTGGAGAATTTCATGGGAAAGCCTGTGGAGGAACCGGTGGAGGTGGCGCCTGCGAACGCGGAGGCTGACATGTATTGATTGCCTCAGAGGAGGAAGAGGTTTGGCACGAAGAGCACGCTGCCCCTAGATCATAAGCCAGACACATGAATTGCATGCATCACTTGTTACTATACTTGCAAGTGTGAATTCTATTAATCTGTATAATCACCTGGCATAAGTGGATTTTGACTGGGAATCAGTCAGACGGGACGAACCCCAATATCGCTGCTTATACCACTGTTCCTCGGAGGTAGTTGAAATAAAGATCCGCATAATCATTTAGACTACCTAAGAAAGCGCTACTTATGCCATTGTGAATCATTTCAACCGAGAGCCACGTCTTAGCTGGGGCTTGGAATTATGGGATTCAATATCACCTAGGTTAGAGTGACGCGCCATTGACTGGATTCATGTTGACCCTCAGATCGCTGCAAAAATTCGATTGCCTTACTGTGTAGGTAGGTTCCTGGCGTGCCTAGGTCTCTACTTTAAGCTTTGACCATTGAAATGGTATCAGTGGTGGGGTCGTGCCACGATAAGCGCTGATAACGGCTGCAGAAACACAAAAATTCCAAAAGTTCTGGGAACCGGCCGCGTCCTCCCAAAGCTGACGATTCAGCAGTGAAAGTGAACCGACTTGTTGCACTTTTCAAGATGGCAACTTTGGAAGAAAAGCTGGAAAAGATCCGGTCGCCCAATCTGCAGAGCCAGCAACAGGTAAGTAAAAACTCCGCATTCAACAGACCGCCGGACTTGCGACTGACCCCAGCTCCAGACCGTAGTGATCTTGAAAGCAGTCGACGAAACGCTCAAAGAACAGAATACGCCGCAGACGCCGACCGGCTACTTCGCCGCTCTGTTGGCCTTGCTCAATGGGTCCATTGCGAGCGGCCAGGTCAATAAGGAGCTAACGACCTCGGTGGTCTACCTCCTCGACATCGTTACGCCCTACGCGCCGCAACCCCTCTTGCGATCCAAGTTCACCCAGATCCTGACGCTTCTCGCTCCCATACTACTTCTTGCCGATGCCGAAGCACCGCTTTTGCGACCATCGATCGGATGTCTCGAGTCTCTGCTTCTCGCGCAAGATTCAGCAGCATGGAAGCTGCCCACCAACGAAATCGGTCCGCGGAGGGCTGTGGCCGGACTCTTGAATCTCGCAATAGACCACAGACCGAAAGTGCGGAAGCGGGCCCAGGATGCGCTTCGAAACGTCATAAAGAATCCCCCGCCGAGCCCCTCCCTCGATCACCCTGCCGCCGACTTGTGCGCCGAGACGGCCATGAGGAGCGTTACCGAGATGGCCAACAAGGCTGCACTGTTACAGAAACAGAAGAAGTCGTCAGCTGGAGAACATGATCCTGCACTCATACATGCCTTGCAGCTGGTAAAGACTATAGCGTCTGCCAGTGGGGGTTGGCCCAGCAGAAACATTGAGTCGTTGTGTGAGCTTCTGCTGAGCATTGCTAAGAGCGGGAACGAGCACATGACGGTGACAGTGTTCGACATTTTCGAGATGATATTCGAGGGAATGGCAGACGAGGTAGCCTCGGCAAAACTGCCCCGTCTACTCGAAATCATCTCCGAGATGAGACCTGCGCCCAATGACACACAGCTTCTTCCGCCATGGATTGCGATCCTGTCACGAGGCTATGATGTGTCTGCCCAGATGGAACCCGAAGATACTTTTCAGAAGCTCCCGGAATTATTCACCATGATATCCGAGTTTATGGAGTCAGCATCACACAACATCAGGGTGTCTGCTTCCGAGTGCTTGATTTCATTCATATCAAACTGTATTCCGGACCAAGTCATAATCGAGCCTTCCATATATGACGAGAAAGTGCTCGAGAAGATCGCCAGGGTGGCTGAAAGTCTACTTGGAGTCAAGTACCAGGCGGCATGGATGGAGACTTTCAATGTTCTTGGTGGCATGTTTGATACACTGAGGTGGCGTGCTAACCCAATGATGCTGGGCATCGCCCGAACCGTAGGCGAACTTCGGGGGAACGAATCTTTCATGGGTAAGAAAGAGGCGGACGAGGTCATTGGAAAGGCAGTCAGAGCGATAGGCACAGAACCCATTCTTTCGGTTCTCCCTCTTAACCTCATCAAGCCAGTCAAGGGCCAGTCTGGCAGAGCATGGATGTTGCCAATCCTACGAGACTACACAAGCAACACCAATCTGCAACATTTCAGGACCGAGTTCGTACCCTTGAGCGAGACTATGTTCCAACGAGTTCTCGAGAATGGTGAAGCTGCGAAAACTATGGAAATCAAGATATACGAGACTCTGGTGCACCAGACCTGGTCTATCCTCCCTGGTTTCTGTGATCTCCCTCTGGACCTTACAGTGGCATTCGACCAAAGCTTTGCAGAAATGCTAGCTAATCTCTTGTACAAACAAGTCGACTTGAGACTCGATATATGCCGGGCGCTGAAGACACTCGTCGAGTCTAATCAGGCGGTAGTTTCTTTGGAAGGTGAAGACAACTTAATTCTTCAGAACCGCGTTACGAAAGACCACGCGCAGAGCAACCTTGCTTACCTGGGAGAACTCGCCGGGAATCTGCTTGCAGTGCTGTTCAATGTGTACAGTCAGACACTTCCCCAATCCAGAGGGCCGATACTCCAAACCATCAATGCCTATCTCAGCATTACCCCCGAGAACGAGTTGGCCGACACATTCAACCGCGTCAGCGAAATGCTAGCTGCTTCTCTCAACGAAGTCGGTAAGGAAGTGGGCAAGGTTAAGCCTCAGCAGCCGAAAGAACAAGCGGCTTCTACGAGCCAAACGCTGATGGACCTGGTTATCACCATGGCGATCTATCTACCCCGAAAGAGCTTTGTCGCTCTGTTCAACATTGCTACAATCGTTATGGTCAAGGACAAGGAACCTCAGCTGCAGAAGAAGGCCTACAAGCTGATCCCTAGGTTGGCGGAGTCTGAGCTTGGCAAGCTGGCACTTCAAGAGCGTCAGGCAGAGCTTCAATCCCTCCTACTGTCTAGTGCGGAGAAGGTATCAGCCCCTGCGCGAAGGGGGAGGCTGGCAGCTATCGCTGCCTTGATTCCAGCTATATCGGACGATTCGCTCCATTTTATCCCTTCTGTATTATCCGAAGTGGTGATCTGCTGCAAGGAAAACAACGAAAAAGCCCGGAATTTGGCCTTTGATCTTCTTGTTTTGATGGGCCAGAGACTTGCGGCTTCTGAGGGCAAACAAATCGACAATAGCAAGGCCCCGCATATGCCGGATGATGCCCCATGCGTTTCCGCGAGCATAGAGGAGTACATCACCATGATCAGCGCAGGACTTGCAGGTAGTACACCACACATGATTTCTGCCTCCATAACCGCTCTTACTCGTGTTCTCTACGAATTCCGGCAGTCGTTGAATCCGGACGTCATGAGCGACCTGGTCCAGACCATGGATCTCTTCCTGACCTCCAGCAACAGGGAGATCGTCAAGAGTGTCCTTGGGTTTGTCAAAGTCTGCGTCATAAGTCTGCCGACTGAGATGATGCTTCCGCGGTTAGCCACCATGATTCCCAATCTGATGGTCTGGGCACATGAGCACAAGGGCCACTTCAAGGCGAAAGTCAAGCACATTGTAGAACGAATGGTTCGCCGCTTCGGATTTGAGTCAGTCCACCGCCACTGCCCTGAAGCTGATAGGAAGTTGATCACCAACATCCGCAAGACCAAGGCGCGCAGCAAGCGGATGAAGGATGCCGCAAAGACGGCAGGAGACGAGGACGAGGCGGACGAAGTCAGCAACAAGCGGCGGAGTCGGTTTGAAAGTGAATACGACGAAGCGCTGTACAGCAGCGAAGACTCTGACATGTCTGATGATTCAGATGCTGAATATCTGGGCAAGTCCCGAAAGGCACAGAAGGGCGGCAAAACGTATATCATGGAAGACGATGAGGAACCTCTGGATCTCCTGGACCGCAACGCACTTGCCAGAATCTCCTCGACCAAACCAGGCAAGCTGCGCAAGGCTGACAAGACCAAGGCGAAGACGGATGTGGACGGCAAGTTGATACTGGGCCAAGACAGTGATGCCGAAGATGCTATGGTCATCGATACGCCAGGGGACGGGGGAGACCAGAGCAATGGCGTGGGAGCCTACGTCGCAGCCTTGAAGAGCAAAGATGCGGGGCGCAGGGGCCGAGGCGGACGTCTCAAGTTCACAAACACGCGGGGCAAGGATGACGATGACGATGACGAGATGGACTTGGATGAGAAGGACGTGTCTGCGATCATAACACAGGTCAGCAAAGGCAGGGGTGGTGCGAGTCCCCGTGAACGTCCCTCCTCCCGAGGTGGCATGCGCGGCCGCGGTGGTATGCGTGGGGGGAAAGCTGGGAAGGGTGGTATCGCTTCTGGGCGTCGTGGGCTGGGCGAGGAGAAGAGGCGTGGCCCGGCGTTCAGCGGTAAAGTGGCAAAGGCCAAGTCTCCTGGCAGGAGATGAGGCAACCTCTCTACTGGCATCGATCATTCTTCAGCTAGAAATTAGTGTTGTATTTATCTCGGTTCCAGCAAAAAAATCATAGGTGTAACTGGGATTGGCTGTGATATCCTTCCTTTGGTCAATTAGTAGGATTGATTCATGATATTCCCTTGAGATCCTGATGTGGCCCACGTGTGAGCTTTTCCTTTGAAGCGAACCAGATCACACGCCGAGCTGACCATCGTTACCAAATCTCGGCATGATGATATAGTAACATACATTCAGGCAGGATCGGGAAAAGAACAATCCATACCCCATGTAGCCACCCGACCCTTAATCTTCACTCGTCTATTTCTCGACGATAACAACAATAACACCTACTGGTCTTTATATTAATCAGTTCAGTATTGCAAGCGCTTTCTGCTGGTATTTTTGAAATATTTTATTTTCCATCGCGGTCAAGGTGCTGAGAGCCAGGCGAAACTCTTACTTCCATACCTCACGGTGGGATATAGAAAGTTTATTCCCGATCCTGCCGGACACTATACTCATTCAAGATACGTAGTTGAAAAAGCAAATGGGTAGCGCAATCGGCAGCGGTACGTAGAGACGAAGCTTAGACCTAGGGGACATCAGGATCTCAAGGGATAAAACTCGTCATCTTCTCTGGTATGCTAATATATATGTATCCAGGATACCAAGCTTGCACCGCGCTGACAGAGGACAGCCTCGCTTGTGGCTGGCAGAGAGCCAGGCTGAAGTTGAAGGCTGTATTAGCAAGTCCAATCCTAGTCAGTGTTTCAGGCTCAAGGGTGTGGCCTTTGAACTGTTTACTCTTCTTACTTGTTACTAGACCTCTGGTCCCACCATATCTGAATCACCTGTGGTCACAAAACAAAACAACTCGATCCAGGATACCAAGTGCCCTCCGTCTCATTGTTTGAACGTTTCTTTCACGTCTGTGATTATGCTTAAAGCATGCAGTGCAGGTACCTGTTCCAGCAATGTACAAGCTTCGAAATCGTTCCAGCAATGTATACTAGCGCACTACCAGAATGTTCAATGCCCTTGCAGCTTGTATACTGTCCCCTTTGACGGACGAAAAGCCCGCATTTTGTGACCGTATGACATCGTAGAACCCTACCTGAACTTGCTGTAGACCACCGCGATGATAAGAATCACCAGCACAGTGATGATCGCTATCGTGATCACCCGATTTGTAGCCATCCTGGTAGGCGAGTATGTCAGCTATTCCAAGCCACCACGGTGATATATAATCAAGAGAGGGAGCAAGAGAATGGAAAGGGATCATTACCTACGAGCCATCCCCCGCAGCGTCTTAACGCTTCTGTCGACATAACCCTCGCTCTGGTACAGCATATCTCCAGTATGGGCAATGCGTTCACGCTGTGCGCCCAGCTCCGCTAGCGTGCTGGCGCCAATTTGCTCTGTCTCGTGGGCCAGAGCCTGCGAGCTCCTCAGCCTTTGGGAGCTCCGATCTAGGCGCTCTGTTCCGGAGAGTAGCTGCTGGCGTTGCTCTTGCTGGGCATCGAAGGGCGAAGAGGAGTCCGGTTCGTCCGTGTATCGTGAGCCGAACCTGGCGGCGCGGTCGTCGGCAAGGGAGCGCAGCTTGCGCTTGTGGGCGTCGATATCGGTCTCGAAGTTGCGGAAGCGCGTGTTGATCTTGGACCGGCTGGACGAGGGTATGTTCTGCTTCTCCAGGCGCATTTGATCGAGCTTTGTGTAGATGTGTTAGTTGAGCACTTGCGAACCGGAAGAAGAGGGGAACGACTGCATACCAGCTCTTGTGCCTCCTCCAAGGCTCGCTCCGCTTGGCTGATAACCGCCTTGCGTGGCTCCCCGACCAACTCGGGTATTTGGTCCAGCTTCTGAGTTAGATCCGCCTGCACCAGCTTAAACTCGGCCTCATAGCTGCTGAACAGCTCCGAGCCCGCGTCGGTATCGAGGGGGTTCGACATTATGCCTTGGGTCTGGATGGTCGGGGGTCTGGTAGATTCCAAACAATGATGCCTGGGTAGGTTGCGCAGACGGTCTCCTTGTCACAGGTATCGAAGTGTCGTTGATAAGCAAGAGTGGAAGAGATCAAATAGATCGAATACGGTTGACTGGGAAGTGGAAAGTCGTCGTCTACTGGGGTATCGTTTGTTGCTGGTGATGATGATTGAAGTTGATGAATGATGCACGTTGCGTAATCCCGGGCCAGATGCAGCACAGCTGTCCAGGCACCCAGGCGCAGCCATTCAGCCCATTCCAAATCCGACATGGATCACGTGGGTCCTCTAGCCACAGGTCAAGCCACTATACTCTAGCGTCGACACATGCAGCTGCTAGCACGTGCATGTGGTCTGTGGTCTGTGCTTCTTCCCATTCAATAAATTCCTGCGCCGCGCGAAACCCTTCTCTCCCTTTCCTCTTTTTCTCTCCATGAAAGTTGAATCCCCCGGAAGCAGATTTTAGGCTCTGCGTCCTCTACCTTCTCTACGGACGTCGAGTTGTATTAGCCGGGCAGACCAAAACATGGAGCTTCTAAGAATTGAATATTAGACGGCGGTCTTCGTGATCGCCGCCTCTGAGTATTCGGTCCCGTTGAGTTCCGACATTCCTTCGGCGATACGGCAGGCATCCTTATGTCGTAGGCCCACATTTGGACGGTGCGATTTGTTCTCATAGCGGTTACCTGGCAGCCCTGGTAGGTTACCGGCTCCTCGTGTGTATTTCATTGCCATGTATTTGACTGTCAAGTGTCAGCTATTTGCAGGCGATTCTGACAACAATCCTGTCAGGCGATACAAACATCCTGCGCCACTTCCTACCTTCGACATTCCTATGACACGTGTTGCGTATCATCTCACTTCGGATCCCCCATTCAAAGAGTAAAAATAGGTAGGTAAGTAACAGACATCTGTCCTCAAAGGAACATCAATGCGAGGTATTCTGTCCTCATCATTGGGAGTGAACCGTGTCCAAATGATGGATGTGAGTCAGTGCGTCGCAGGATGGGCTGGCTCGCGAGCAAATGTGGCGCTTGACTCTTGAGTGGTTTCAGCACATCTATCGTTCGTGAAGCCATCACCTCTTTCGGCTCTTTCCCCCATACCTACTTAGGTAATTCCCAGCAGCATGGCCGATCATCGCATGTAAGTCCCGCCATCTCTCAGAATCGGGAGTAGGTGCAGTAGCCCTGCCTTCCAAACTTCCACCCTTCATGCATCGCGACTGCGCTAAGGTAGTTCGCGATTCACCCTGGGTCATCTTCGAGTCGCACAACGCCATATGACTATTCACTATCTCCAACTCGTCTCCTTTCCCCGCCTCGAAATTCAAGTCATCCTCTGTCACCCAACCGTAACTGGTGCACCTTATATTACCTATGATACATCTACCTCTTGCACGAGCCCCTCGGTCGCTGCGCCAAAATTGCTAGACCCTCCCAGTCTTCACATTCAACCACTTTTCAGAAATCGATGACATCATCTGTTAACTGGGTGCCCAGGAAAAAAGTTGCCATCGTCGGCAGCGGCGTCGCCGGTATAGGCGCTCTCTGGGCGCTGAATCGTACCCATCACGATGTTTACCTGTACGAGGCGGGTGACCGCTTGGGTGGACACACGAACACGGTAGAATGGAAGCAAGGCAAATTTCGGACGCTGGTCGATACGGGTTTCATTGTACTGAACACAGCAACATATCGTTCGTGAGCCTACAACTCCAGGCACACGTTGCAGTCCACTGAACCCCAATCTAGCAAACTTTATCAACTTTCTGAGAAAGATCAATGTCCGGACTGTGGCCACTGAGATGACATTCGGTGTCTCCCGTGACAAGGGAAGGTTTGAATGGTCCGGGACAAGTCTGGATTCTATATTTTGCCAGAGGAGGAACATATTCTCCGTGAGGATGTGGAGACTGATATTCGACATCATTCGCTTTAATCAGTTCGCCCTGGACCTGCTGAAAGAGGACGATACTGGCAATGGCAACAGGCCACCCGGAAATGCCGAGACCATTGGCCAGTACTTGGACCGGCAGGGCTACTCCGACACGTTCCGCAACGACTACCTGATACCCATGACAGCCGCAGTATGGAGCACGAGTCCCGACAAGTGCGCTTTGGAGTTCCCGGCGGTAACTCTGGTGCGGTTCATGTGAGTTGGGTTGTAGAAGAAGCAAGACCCAGGCACGGGTTTATATACACGGAGTATGCTGACAACATTGTTCAGGTGGAACCATCACCTCCTCAGCACAGTAGCGAAGCGGCCGGATTGGCTTACTTTGGAAGGGGGTGCCAAGTCGTATATCGATGCGGTAATGAAAGGCTTCCCACCGAACCACCTATTCCTCAAGACAGCCGTCAAGCATCTGACCAATGAAGAGGATGGCCGGGTTCAGCTCCACTTTGAGAACGGAAACGCCTATGTCTTCGACCACGTGATTCTGGCTACGCATGGAGACCAAGCCTACCAGATCATCGCGCCTTCGGCTACAGAAGAAGAGAAGGCTATCATGTCGGTCTTCCAGACATCCGAGAACCCATGCGTTCTCCACTCCGATCTCTCGCACATGCCCAAGCGCGAGACCTCGTGGTCGGCGTGGAACTATCTGACCGTATCATCACCGTGGACAGGCAAAGACATTGACCAGGTATCCTTGACTTACAACATGAACATCCTACAGCATATCCCACGAGGAGCGTTTGGAGATGTTTTGGTCACGCTGAATCCCATCCAAGAGCCAAAGCCGGAGTCCGTGCAAGGTCGTTACTCTTACTTGCACCCTTTGTACAACCCTGCTGCAATCCGAGCGCAGGAGGCATTGCCCAGGATACAAAATACCCGCGGGATCAGTTATGCGGGAGCATGGACGAAATTTGGATTTCACGAAGATGGGTTCAGCAGCGGCTTATTCGCAGCGAAGGCGCATCTCGGTGCCAGGCTGCCCTTCGAATTTGTGGACTCCACGTATATTCGTGGCAGGCAGCCTGAGCTCGGTATTGGGGACTGGCTGGTCAGAGTGATAATTCTGATCTTTCAAGTCTTCGTCATCGATCTGCTGAACCGGATCTTCAGCAGGACTAAAGCAAGTGTTTCAGCACAGGTTAACGGCATTGGCAAGAGGCTCACGGATGAGAAGCTGGCATAACTTGTATATCACTGTAGAGAAATAACACGGAGCGTGAAAGAGTCCAATGCGGCACACGAAGGACAGATTAGAGCTGGTAGATCTTGATCTTTGTGGAAACTATGTGTCCATAGCTTTAAGGAAGTTTGGTATTCCAGGTATCGTGATAGCGACATTGCCAGAAGCTCTTCCAGCTGGTAGCGCTCACCTCCAGCTGCAGCCCTACCTGAGAGCTAGCTGGAGCTGCGCCCCACACGACCCCTGGCAGGCCGCAGGCATCCATGTGTTATCGATAACAGCAGGAGCCGCATATGAGGTACCTACCTTGGAATAATTTAACTCGCATCATCACGCCAGCTCAGCTTCGCTTGACATCACGCATCCGAAAGCAACTTCGACGCTCATATTGCCACCCGCGAGGATGAACAGCCTCCCTCGAATACCATTGCGATCACTTCAAGCGAGCACCTCGCTATGGGCATGTACATCATGTCGCCGCTCTCTTGCCCGAGCGACGCAATCGCCCCTTCGAGCCGATCCCAGGCACACCCGTAGAGCTGTGTCGAATAGCTCTGCGAGTAAGCAGCAACAGGCGATGGCTCCCTCAATGGAGCGCATGCGGGCGTACTACAAGTACAAGAATCGGACTACCATGTAAACATCGACGTTCTGCTGTCGCGTACCTAGTAGCAGCTGTGTGTGCTCACGTGTTTTGTGGCAGGTTCTACACGCTCAGCATCATCCTCGGCACAGTCGCCTTTTCGTACGGCTCCGTGCCTATGTATAAGATGGTTCGTTTTCATTCCCAGTCGACTATGCCTCTGCTGCTATGCCCTACCCGTCTTTACGGATTGTGACAACCTCAGCTGACCGCCAATTGTCGTAACACAGATCTGCCAGACAACAGGCTGGGGTGGGCAACCGATCCGCGCCCCGGGACACGGTGGCAGCTCCAGCGACCAAGACTTCGACCCAGCTTCACGAGTCATCCCAGTGACGGACGCGCGCCGTATCCGCGTGACATTCAATGCGTCCGTGTCGGATATCCTGCCTTGGAAGTTTGTACCGCAGCAACGCGAGGTGCGGGTGCTACCCGGCGAGACGGCGCTGGCCTTCTATACGGCAACGAACCGCAGCGACAGCGACATCATCGGCGTCGCTACGTACAGCGTCACACCCGCGCAGGTCGCACCGTATTTCAGCAAGATTCAGTGTTTCTGTTTTGAGGAGCAGCGCCTCAATGCTGGCGAGACGGTTGATATGCCTGTGTTCTTCTACCTGGATCCCGATATGCTGAACGATTTGAATATGCGCGGCATAAACGAGGTTACGTTGAGTTATACGTTCTTCAGTGAGTCTTCCCGTCGCTCTTCTACCCAGGGTTCGATAATTGAGGACCCAGCCAGCTAATGAGATCGCGCAGAGGCGAAATATGACAACAATGGGAACTTCAAGAGTTTTCCAGCGACATAATTTTTCATATGTACGATAACGTGTCACAGATCTCAGCAAGAGCTGGGCGTGAGCCTCAGGGCATGTCTATGCTCTTGGATTCGCAAACTCAAATCGTACCCTCCGTGAGATGTCCGAGGACATACTGACGTTAGATTTGTAGGCGTCGCTGGTGCACCGGACTGACCCCTGTCCTGGTCTCCTGATCCAACAGGTTTCTGTGAGGCTTCACCGTCCCCTGCATTTGGCACCCGGCACTCCAAAGTCATTATGCATGTGTTAGTCAGTTCATTATCAAGCGCCGGGTTGGCAAACGTGGCTCGGTTGCCTATTTACAGAGGCATGCAAATATGTACCTGTCGTATTTGCACAAGACCATTTCGTCTCGCCCACCATTGAGAGCATATCTCCTCATTGTAACCGCCAATGCTTTCATGTACCTTCCAGCTTGTTTACTTCAGTCGCCTTCCCGCAGTTTGAAAGCACTCCAGCTGCAATGCGTTGTTACGGCAGATCTTTACCCCGGCATATGGAGCGAGAGACCGAGCTGCCATTCGTAGTTAAAGACATTTTCGCCGCAGCCGTCCAGAGCCAACATTACTATCCTAAGCTGTCGTCGTGGTCAGTGGGATCGTGCACACCCAGGGCCGCACTGTGCTTGGCCTTCCGGAAGACCTCTGTTTTTCGGTTGAGTGCCAGTCAGAGGCTGAGCAGTGAGGATGCGTGAACATGCCTGAGCATGCCTGAGTATGCCCCAGGTGTATGGCGCATGGAAAACCACAACCGGAAGCTGGAATTCTAAAGCAAGGTAGCTTAGTTAGTATACGCCAAGTGAGCACTCGACATGACATTGACCTCACACTATCGCATTTGAGGTTTTTCTCGCGGCTGTCCTCGGCAAGTAATGATGGAAGGGTATGTACTTAAGATAGGTATCAAGAAATCAAGGCTGTGCCGACGACCCCTACGCAGGGAGATATTTCCATGTTCCCCCGCACTGCGTACCTACTTGGCTGCTTGGAGCCTGGTCCCTGGACAGCCTGGAGACGGGGGATGTTGGATACTAGCCCAGATGATGCCACGTGGATAACAACGCTATGTCACGTAAATAACAGCGCACTAATGTGCGATCTAGCTAACAGGGCAAATCACTAGTAAAATAAAGTACCCGAATAATCTTAGCTTATTATAATAACATAATCAATATAACCCATTCGTATTTATATATTTAATGTCACAATTCATGGTCCAATATTGGGGTGAACTACTTGCGTAATCGTCTATCGGATCTGGAGACCAAATCTAGTACTAAATACACACCAAAGCACAAAAGTTCGCCTATCCATTGATCTGGCAATCAATAGAGCCTTGTCTGTCACTCTGAAAGCACTACTTTTAGTGCCTTTGCTCTTTTCATCCTTTGACCACCTATTCTGGTCAGATACAGCTGCCTGAACCGCTGTCAATACACCTGTACGGCGCCTTGTATTCCAATTTTAATAATTAAAAGTTCTATTAAATTTATGGAATAGGTACTAATATTATAAGTATACGCATTCTTAATTAATTCAAGATAAACATTATAGTTTCTTTTTTTAAAGGTAACAATATTTTATGGGTTTTAAAAGGATTTTATTTATTAAAAACTTTAATTTTAGAAATAACTTAAAAAATTTAACATTTAACATCATATTAAGCTAAAAGCTATAGATTCGGAGATAATGACGTTAATATTTTTAAATATTGATGCGGATAAATATTGAAAAAAACTTATTCAATTAATAGCTACATAAAAAGTAGTAATTAATAAACAAATCTTCGCTTTTAACCTTTTAATATAAAAAGCTATTGACTTTAAAATAAACGTTCTATAGTTCGAGTTAAAAATAAAGTATATTAACAAATTAAGGCTTTTATATTTAAACTTATTACATAAACATATAAACCCTTTTATATTATTATACAAAAGACCTTTTTAGAGATGAAACCTTCGTTAATAATAGTAAGTTTTTCTAAGCGAAAGGGCTATATATAGCGAGAATATAATATACGAGATTTAAACGCATTATTATATTATTATATTTAAGAAATTTCTTTTTAAAAATACCTTTTTTAATTGAAAAAAAAAATAAGAGATAATATTATTCTAAGTTATTAAAAAAGTTTTGGCGGCTTTATTTCTAATAACTTAATATAACGACTTTATGATTATTATAGCGTTAATAAACTTTAACTAGTTTCTTTAAGTTAAACTTAATGATAAAAAAGAATGTTTAAAAGTAATATTTTATATCTTTTAATAGCGTTTAATCTTTTGAAGAAATAGTTAATAATAGGCCTTATAATTAATGTTTTAAAAAGATGAAAAGTGACTTTTTTAACATTATATAATAAATTACCCGATGATATAAAAGATTTAATAAAAAACGACTTTTTTAAAAGATGATTAAATATAAGAAGCGAAAGAAATTATAATAGGTTATATTTATATGCTGTCGCTGTTGTACAAACACTGTCACCAGACCCCAATCTGCCACTTATTACTTGGACTTTCAAGGCGCTCACCACCATTAACGAAGCGGTAAACCAATCAGTTTATATCCAAATTGAGTCAGAAACTACTAAAGAAACTCACTTACATCAATAATTGATGCGTTGAGCTTATTTTTAAAGGCTACATATAGTCTTATGCACAAGGTCGCTTTGATTGATTCCCGGGTCCGCGAGTTAGAAGAGGCCAATCACTTATTAAGTAAATGTTACAGAACAAAAAATAAATATTTAATAAAAGGAGGAATACTTTCTATTAAAGATGCAGTAAGTCTTCAGGCTGCAAAGGATAGAAGTGAGCTGATAAGACAGGAAAGTAGTCATTGTCCAAGGAGGGCGGCAGTGCGTGAGCGACAGTGTGGCGTTTGTGGCAACACTGGCCATAATGTGCAAACTTGTACAATAGAGAATGAAATCTATGAGGAAGAGGAATCCAATTGATTGAATTGAATTAAATGCATTGTGATTAAGTTATTTGACATGGTAGTTGAGAGGTTGGTAAAAGTGTCCCGCTCGCTTGTGACTTATGTTAGGTGGCTTTTTAAATACATATACAAAGATATACAAAGATATATAAAGTTTTTATCTTAATAAGTATTAATAAAATATATGTATAATATAATTAAAAAGTAGTTTTAAACCTTTTAATAAAAGCGGCAGTTTTAATAAAGGCTTTAACGCTAGCGGCTTTAATAGCTCTGATAAGGATAATACGAGCTATAATAACAATAGCGATATCTAAGTTTTTAAACATATATACCTCGTTTATTATTATAATAACTGGGGTTTTAAGCATATGTATCTTATTTATTATTACGATATTAAAGCCATTTATAAAACCTTTACGTACGTTTATATTATTTATACGTTAAGTTAAATAATGACGTCTTTTTATTGAACTAAAAAAACTTGATTATTTAATAAGACATTGAAAGAAAAAAGCTCATATCGTTTTATATTTTATATATTTATGACGGTGTACAGCTGTATCCACCTGGTTGGATGCTGAGCCATCAGATCACGTGTATATTAAATAAGGAAGGAACGGGACCACTACTTAAAGTGTGTGCTGCGCACACCACATTGCTGGCTTTCTTTTCCTTTCTCACCTTGTTGTTTTCATAATCAATCCCAGATTGCAACACACCGACATAGGCATCGTGACAATATTCAAATAGTTAATTTTAAGAAGTTGTTTATTAACCGGACTTACTAAAGGCTTATTATAAAAACCAGCTTATATTTTTACTTTTTATCTGTGACTAAAAGAATTTTATACCGTTTAAAACGGCTAACTTAGTTATAAAAGCGCTTATATGACGAATATTTATATATATTAAATAATAAAATTTAATAACGTAGCTGACAAGCAAGTTGACATTACAAGCGAGTTGGCACTCGTCATGAACTCTCCAACTGCCATGTCAAATAACTTTATCACAACGCATTCAGTTCAATTCAATCAATCGGATTCCTCTTCCTCAGAGGTTTCTATCTCTATTGTACAAGTTTGCGCATTATGGCCAGTATTACCGCAAACGCCACACTGTCGCCCACGCGCTGCCGCCCGTCTTGGACGACGACTACCTTTACCCATTTCTTGTTTTGCCAGCTCAGTACCATCCTTTGCAGCCTGAAGATCTACTGTATCTTCAACGGAAAGTACTCCTTCTTTCACTAGACGTTTGTTTTTTGTTCTTCAGTGTTTACTTAGTAAGTGATTGGCCTCTTCTAGTTCGCGGACCCAGGAATCAACCAAAGCGACCTTATGCATAAGACCGTATGTAGCCTTCGAAAACGAGCTCAACGCATTAACTATTGATGTAGGTGAGCTTCCCTGGTGGTTTCTGACTCGGTTTTGGATATAAACCGATCGGTTTACCGCTTTATTAATGGTGGTAGGCGTCTTCGAAGTCCAAGTAGTGGGTGGCAGATTGGGGTCTGGCGACGGTGTTCGTATGACAGCGACAGCATCCAGCTTTGAAATGACACTTTCTGGGTCAAAAGGAACAAGCCCAGTGGCACTGAAACCTGCTCGAATGTTTCCTGGCGTCATAGCAGCGTTGTGTGCTTCACAAAACGCTGCAAGGAAGTCCTCTTTCAAAACGTGGGTTATATGACGCCGGATGAGATCCTCAATCATGCGACTGTAAGCTCGTTTGAGCAGGCTAAAACAGCCGACATCTAGAGGCTAGAGCCTGTGTGACAAGTGGGCAGGCATACAAAGGGTGATAATGCCGTTGTTCTGACAATAATCCTCAAAGACCTGGGAATGGTGGCTTTCGTGACCATCTAGGATGAGGAGGCGTTTACCGGCAGTCATACGCGGTCTGGTATACTTGTCGAAATGCTGAATCCATTCCAAACCAATCTCATTCGTGGTCCACCCGTTGTCGGACACGGCCACTTTCCAATCGCGTGGTAATATCGTGTCGCGATACCATGACGCAAGGTGGGTTTTGCCCTGTAGAATGATGAACGGCGGGACCACCCAACCATCAGCATTAACAGCAGAGATTGCTGTAGACCATTTCCTGTTGCCTTGCTGAGCTTGTCTAGGCCTGCCACGTCTTTCGGCGCTTGTAATGACCATGCCGGACCCAATAATGCCCATCATAAACCCAGTCTCGTCAAAGTTATAAATATCCGCGTCTTGGATACCATGTTTCGCAACTGCCGCTGCAACTTGGCAAAACCACGCGCGATATGCGTCTGGATCCTCGTTCAAGACCCTCTGGTAGTCTATCTTCCGATGAAAACACCTCCGGAGGCCTGGTGTACGTTTGATGAAGTTCCGCGTCCAGTTCTTTCCAATGCGTCCAGCCCCACGTGCCGCCAACAATTAATTCGCCATATCTTCAACATAACTGTATCGGGGCGGAAATGCTCGCGCATCCAGGTCGAGAATGAAGGAACAAATGACATTCTCTTCGGAAACCATAAGTTTCAAAGTATTGGGCATGGTGTCGCGTCGTGATGGCATTCCTTTGACTCTATTGCTCAAAGTGGAACGAGGGACGTTAAAGAGTTTCGCAAGCTGAAATATAGGAATATGAGGGTCACGTCGTTTAGCTTGAACAGCTAGCTGCAAGTCTGATTCGTTATAACGCGGTGCCATTGTTGTTGGTGGAGATATGATGGTTTGAATCGTATTGGTTGGAAAGTTCATGACGAGTGCCAACTCGCTTGTCAGCTACGTTATATTAAATACTAGCCTAGATAATATTACGTAAATAATAACGATATATTACGTAAATAATAGCGTATTAATATACGACTTAGCTAACAGGGCAAATTATTAGTAAAAACAGGTATCCAGATAGCCCTAGCTTATTACAACAACATAATCAATGTAATCTATCCGCATCCGTGTATTCAACAGCGGACGGGAGTTTGGAGCACCTGCAGCCGGCCAGGAAGGAAAGAGCCAGCCAGCCCCACCAGCCAGTCCCGTCCCGCCAGCCAGTTCTGCAGAAGGTGGTATCGATGCAGCTAAAGCGGGCATGAATATACTCGCTCTGAGAATATTCCATCATTGCCAGCACATGTATATTCGTGCTTCCTTTGGCCGCACCTGTACACCTGCATGTCTAACGAAATGGAATTGTGGAGACGCTAGCGTCTACGAATCACCTGTATGGTCCAGCCGATAACCGCCCACCCAATTGGATTTGACCTGTAGGTACCTATGTACACAGTACACAGACAGCTCCAGCCTTTTAGCTCCTGAACCTTCATGTTTCATTCTACCTTCCAACCTGTCATCTTCATCATCAAGTGCTGTCCTGTTGTTCATCACAGCCACTCCTCTCCATTGTCACCACCTGTCATCTTCCGACCTATTCAGCAAAGAGGCGCTGCGTCGCCGCCCTTAAATTTGATTGACCTCCGCAGACGCCCATCATTTCGTTGACATATCCACGCTTCGACACCCCATCTGCAACCCGCTTCGCCTGACAAACTCACGCCGATCTACCATCTCGAGACCGACCGACACGTAACGCTATATCCGATGGATGGGCTGTTCGGAAAGGGTCGGGCCTATAACCAAGTTTCCCAACACCCCTCGGGAGACTATGGCTATCCGACCCATAATGACCCCAGAGCCATGGGCCGAGCACCTGCAGCTGGCTACCCCGAAGAGAAGATGCAGAGCTCCCAGGGCCGCCCTGGACCAGCTGTCCGACCGAGCGAAGGGAAAAAGGTGAAGCACGTGAGAATAGGGAATGCCAATGTCGCCCGTCGATTCTTGGTCTCAAACACAGTTGGTGTGTCGCCAGACGACTACGGATACCATGGGGACGAGCTCTTCACGCTTCGCTTGAGAAATGAGTTGGGCAAAAAATCTTTCGTCTCGGCTCGATGTACACCGTCAAGCCCCCCTGACGCGAAGCTTCCAAAAGACTACATCAGCCTGAACAAACTCCAGCGAAACTGGGTCCGTATCACTGAAAATCAAGACGAAGAGATGACGGCCGAAGAGTACAGTGGGCTCCCGGCCCTAGTTGGATTAGACATCGAAGCCAGATTCGCAAACACGAAGGATCCTAAACTGACGTTCCGTGAGGATGACATGAAAGCTCAATTCCAAAAAACGTACGCCAATACGGTCTTTGCACCCAAGCAGCAATTGTGGATGGACTTCGGTGGCACCATGTTGTTGCTCTTCGTGAAGACAGTTCATATACTAGGGAAACACTCTTCGAAATCGACATCGGATCCCAACTCGCCAGGGATCCTGCCCTCCCATGGCTGCGACGAGATCTGGTTTCAATGGGTTGACATCGAGGAGACGAAACACCAATTCGTTCGGTCGATTAATAGGCCTCATTCGAATGCTATCCTTCGTCCCGATTTCAAGTTCGCCGAGTAAGTTATCAAAACTGGAGCCTCTGTTGAATATATGCTAACGTATTGGCTATATAGCATGGGCATAGGGGGGCTTGACGATGAGTTCAGTGTCATTTTCCGACGTGCCTTTGCCTCCAGAGTCTTCCCCCCGGGTCTCGTGGAACAGATGGGCATTTCCCACGTCAAAGGCCTCCTACTTTATGGGCCTCCGGGTACCGGAAAGACTCTCATTGCCAGACAGATAGGCAAGATGCTGAATGCACGGGAGCCAAAGATCATTAATGGCCCCGAAATTCTTAACAAATTCGTGGGTCAGTCGGAAGAAAACGTTCGGAAAATGTTTGCCGATGCAGAGAAGGAGTACAAGCAGAAGAAAGAAGACAGTGACTTGCACATCATCATCTTCGACGAGTTGGATGCCGTTTGCAAGCAGAGAGGGAGTGGAGCGGGTGGAGGTACCGGTGTTGGCGACAGCGTAGTCAACCAACTCCTCTCCAAGCTGGATGGCGTTGATCAACTCAACAACATCCTTCTCATCGGCATGACCAATCGGAAGGACCTGATCGATGACGCTCTGCTTAGACCGGGCCGTCTTGAAGTTCACGTGGAAATCTCACTGCCAGATGAGAATGGCCGCATACAGATCCTCAATATTCACACCGCGAAGATCCGAGCCGTCAACAAGTTGGCCGACGATGTGGACTTGAACGAGCTTGCCCGCTTAACCAAGAACTACTCCGGAGCCGAGATTTCTGGTCTCGTCAAGGCCGCTCTTTCGTATGCCTTTACCCGACACACAAAGCTGGGTGATGTCACAGGCGTCAGTGGAAACCCAAACGATGTGATGCTCAAGCGTGGGGATCTCATGAAGGCTCTTGACGATGTCAAGCCAGCTTTTGGTGTTTCGGAAGAGGAACTTACCAACGCGTCGCCTTATGGAGTGATCCATTACAGCCCTCATATCCAGTCGATCCTCTCCACTGGCCTCAGTTTTGTCAGGGCTACCAAAACGTCCGAAAAGTCTCCCCTCTTCTCCATATTACTTTACGGGCCTCGTGGAGCGGGCAAGACAGCTTTGGCCGCAGAAATTGGGTTAAAATCCGAGTTCCCATTTGTCAAGGTTGTTAGCTCCAAAGATCTCGGGACGAATGAAGCTACCAGGCTCGAGCACCTACGTCGTACGTTCTCCGACGCGTACAAGTCAGCTCTCAGCATCATCATCCTTGATTCCATTGAGAAGATTATCGACTGGAATCCCATCGGACCCAGATTTTCGAATGCCATCGCTGGCTACTTGGGAGACGTACTCGAGACGCGGCCCCCGAAGGTATGTATTTTCCCAGCTATGGTGATTCTTTGTCAGTGCTTACCATTGCGCAGGGACGGAAACTGCTGATTATTGCAACTACGAGCCAGCGGTCCATGTTGGATCAGCACGGTGTCTTCGAGTTTGACAGAGAGATAGCCGTGCCGGCCGTCAAAGACCACCGGGAGCTCGAGCAGCTTTTGATGGCGTCTGGAAAGTTCAGTGGCCCTGATGACATCAACGAGGCCCTGACCGAATTGCAGAACATCACGGGAACTCAGGACATTGGTATCGGCGTCAAAGCAGTGTTCTCGGCGCTGGAAACCGCCTCTGTTAGAGATTCACTGCCGATAAGCCTAGCAGAAGATATCAGTGCGCTTATGGCTGCCAGGAACCCTCAAGAATATTAGATGTTGGGCGGACTGCAGTCACTGCTCATCAGTCTCCGTGGGCACACCTTGGTTCCATGATATCTATACATTGATGGTTATATTGAGCTCTCTGGCACGAATGATCTCTGATCTCATACCCACTCCAGCTTGTTTGTTCCAGATAGTAGAGATCCACCTGGATATCAAACACGCTGAATGTTCCGTCGTAAGTCGTGTCAAATGTGAAATCAGCTACTCGCGACAGGGAGGTGGGTGGCCTCCCACACTATCGTTCGTTTTGGAAGTCGGAGTGCACGTGGACTGATTGCGGGAAGTTGCATGGGCTGCCTGGCTGTGCCAGTGTTCCGGTGTACCCCTAGCCAATCGTCCCCATCCCCCCTCCCTCCTGCATCCTCCCACGTCAGGCGATGTTACATTTCGCGCCAACAAGACTGTTAGTGCAGCCACTACATAAAAATGAAACCTAGGCACCTAGGCACCTAGACCCCTCGGTCGCATTTCATCATGAATCTTCCTTCAACTTTCAAGCTTCAGATCTGACCTCCACAAGTCCCTGATCGTTTACCCACAGGTAGACACCGATATGGCACAAGATGCGGCTGCTCAACACCACCACATTGCAGCTGAAACAGTTCTTGGGTTCGCGGCCACCGTATGCCATTCTCTCTCACACCTGGGACGACGAGGAGGTGACCTTTCAGGACATTCAAGATATCCAGGGCTCCGGCGCTTCGTCGAAGATAGGATACCAAAAGCTTTCGCGGGCCTGTGAACTGGCACTGAGTGATGGGTATGAATGGATATGGATTGACACTTGCTGTATCGACAAGACTAGCAGTGCTGAACTATCCGAAGGTGAGAACTGTCAGCAACCTATATGACGAAACGCGCTAAACAGGTGGCAAGCTATCAATTCCATGTACAGCTGGTACGGCGCAAGTGATCTGTGTTATGCGTATCTCCTGGATCACGACGTGTCAACAGGACAGTCGTGGACATTCGAAAAAAGCCGCTGGTTTCTTAGAGGCTGGACTCTGCAAGAGCTTATTGCTCCAAGGCGAATTGTTTTCTATACCAGCGACTGGTTCGACACTCGACGAGAAGGGGAGGTTGGCACGTGGTACATGCTAGGGACGAAAACGACTCTCCAGGTCAAGATAGAGGCCATAACTGGGATTGGGGCCCAAGTCCTCCTGGGACTCAAACCTCTGTCCGAGATCACTGCAGCACAGAAGATGTCTTGGGCAGCAAAGAGGCTAACCACCCGGGAAGAAGATATGGCATACTGCTTGATGGGAATTTTCGACATCAACCTGCCACTTCTGTACGGAGAAGGAAAGAAGAAGGCCTTTCTGAGGTTACAAGAAGAAATACTACATCGGTACGGTGATTATAGTCTTCTCGTCACGTCAAGGGTGAGTAACCTCAATCTCACGAGGGACAAGCATGAGGGGATTCTATTCAGCAGCCCCGTCGGTTTTGGAACCGAGACGAGGATACTTGAGCTGGAAGGACACGAACCTCGGGCAGATTATTGGGACAAATATTGGGACAAAGGGAGTTGGAGAGGAAGGGATGGACAACTGATGATGTGGCGCTCTATCGATTGGGAACAGGTTTCCGTGGCAAGGGCCAGAAATGAGGAGACGCAGACAGGAACACTATCTCGCACATACAAGAGCCTGGTTGCAGTGATTCTTTGCTGCCGGATCAAGGAGGATGGTCCCACAGCAAGATTCATGGCCTGGACCAACTGTTTCTATGGGGATCGCGATCACCTCATATTCATAAACCTGAGTACACGGCCTGATTCGGACTTTTATAAAGAAAACGGGCTCGTATGCCTCCACAAGGACCAGGTACACAGATGGGGTTTCGAATGGAAAGAAATGTACCTCAACCTTTCGACTGAGACGGCAGATGAAGGTACCTTTTCGTCTATAGGTATCTGGACCCCGCTTTCGTCCCCCCGTCCGGGGCGCCCGGACCGTATCTCGATAGATGCCTGGGCATCGTGGGTTCCAAGAAAGGAACTCCCAATCAACCCCGACTCCAAGGAACTTGATGGTATCTGGCTCGAAGCGTCTGAGCCGAATTTGACAGTCGGGCCAACACTCAAGCCTGAGGCTATTATCATCTTTTGGGCCCCGGAGTTTCGTCCTCGGCTCAAATACACCATTGTGGTAGGGAACGTGAGGGAGGACATGCCCAGTTTCTGGTGGTGCCACTTCCTCGGTGAGACGAAGGGCATCACTTCTGCCGAACTCATGAAGTCTGCGAGAAGAAAGTTTCAGCATCGAACCGACTTGAGTCTCGAAGAAACTGACTACGTGGAGTTTTACATACCTGGTGAAATTTCTTGGGACTCGATTTGTTTGAGAATATCAGTCAACGGACGCGGCCGGAATACGGTAGTTGTCAAAGCAAGTATCCACGGGAGAAAAAAGGTCGACTATTTTAGCCTTAAGGCCGACGACCTAAAATATTTGGAAAAGCAACCCAAGCGTGTAAGTCGCATCCAAGCTAGATATCGGCAACCCCCATTATTGACATGCTGCAGATTCGGATCAAGCCAGCGCCTTGGCCCCGCTCGCAACAAGAAATTGACTACGAGGAACGGCGACAGTATGAGAGCTTCACGGAAACAATGGTGGAGATATATCAGCAGCAGCTGCTTGAAAAGGAGTTCAATCAGCCACTCCATTTCCGCGTGCCAAAGCCAGGCCGGACCCACAAAAAGATGTTTGCCTGGTTCGACTGCAATTTTGTCTTTCCCCATAAATGTCGTGGTTGTACCAGAGAACATAAAGGAATGGGCAAAGATTTTGGATATGTGAAACGCCCAGTATTGAGGCAAAGAAGGAAAGATCTGGTAGCCGCCTGGGAACGCGAGGATCCCAGTATGAAAGATTATGCTTGGGTCAGTTGCACACGCGGTCAGTCTGTGGATCACATACTCTGGATAGTACTGCATGGCCTGCTTATTGGGTTTGCCATCATCTTGTCTCAGTACAGCCCAACTGGCCGAGCCATTTGGTGGTTGTGGCTAGTGACTGTGGTGGGGATGGATGTTCGGGGTAGATGGTCAGGTGGGTGCAGCCGCAGGGAGAGCGACGGCGACAGCAGGTTCACCGCCATCACAGTTAAGTACCCGCCCAGACCGATAAAGTGGCCCAAACTAGAAGTACGTCGTCGCCCTGGGTGGAATTACTAGCTAGTGTCAGGATGTGTGGATATTCATGATCGGGATCTGATGAACGGAGGCAAACCTCATCTATGGGTGTTATACTGCATTGATGGGATACAAGCGAACAGGATAGAGTTGGATTACGGAGGGCCAGGTTGTATATAAGGAGCCAGCACATTCACATTCTTTCAATATCACCGGGGTTATCTTTCTCGGTCCCACGAGCCAGCCTAGTCGCCGTGCCTCGCAAATTCCTGGAGACACAAGTCCTGACTCTTCTGAAAGTGTGTGTGTGAGAGAGAGAGAGAGAAAGTCGCATCGGATATCGACAATGGGATCATATGGATGCTTACTCCTGGATTGCGCTTGTATAGGCAGTACTCGAACATCAAATGTACATGAGGATGACCACCACGTGTAACGGTCTACCCCTTGATTCGCGGCTCCGGCGTACATGTGAGCCTCTGTCGACTCGAAATGCAAGCAATTGCCCAAAAAGCCACGACGTGAACACTCACCACATGCAGTCTCACTTGATGAAGCCGGAAGCATTACCGCGTCAGGCCTACGAGATGACACAGCCACGCGGCACAAACTACTCAAGCTCAACACTTGACCTGGCAGCAGGATGAATGAAGCAGTACCCAATACGATAGAATAAACTCGTGCCTGAAAACATGGTCAGCGGAATTTTGTGAGATTTAGGAATAGTCTGTATTGGAAGGGAAGAAGGATAGCTAATGGGGGTACCATCCTACTTGAATAGGTGGGAAAGGCACCTCTGACAGCTACATGTGATCCCACAGGATGACGACACATGTAATACTGATCACAACAAGGCTAAATACTCCACTGAGCACGTATTCTGACAAGTTTTGAGAGCCCGCGTAAATGAGGAACGCAGTAGGGGGAAGCAAGATAGACGAGGGGATAGGCCAGCACCCAATACGATGGAATTAACACGTGCCTGAAAGTATTTTCGAGGGAATGCTCGAGAGGCATGTAAATACGCAACGGAGTGGGACAGTTCAATATAGACAAGGGGATGGATGCTCTTGGATGGCCTATATCACCCCACAGACTGCTTGGGCTGGCTGTAGTGTGGGCTTGGCTGGCCTCGGATTGCAGACCACGATAAGTTGCAGCACTATGCAGGAACTATTTCATAAGAGGGACATGGACTGATGGCGACACGGGGAAACCGACTACGCACTGGGCTGCCATTCGGGACTCTATAACTGGACACTATGTGCTCTTGCATTATTACCGATGTATCTGCAGAGACTGGCTTGGGACCGAGTAGGTGAGCGGCATTATCTGAAGGCTCCTTGAAGACAGTCACGGAGCGGGCAAATCCCAGAATGACTCGTTGTTCTCGGGGACTGCTGAATTCAACTCATCGAATGGTCTGGGTATTGCTACTAAGTGAGACAATCTGATTCTACATACGGCATTGGATTCGTGCTCGTCTATTGTCTCCTCTCCCTATTGCGCCCATGTCCAGCTCCGGCTTCCTGGCCCAGCTTCTCGAGCGCCGCCTCGTACGCAGCTACCTTGTCATTGAAGGCGTCCTCCTTCTCCTCGGTAACCCTGATGCGCTCCACCCTCCGGCTTCGCTGTATGACATCCTGACTGGCGACTTCGTTCCAGAACCACCTGGCCTCGGGGTTCGTGAACAGCGTCCAGGCTTGCCCGGTCTTGCCTGCACGGGCGGTTCGGCCCACCCTGTGGACGTACGATGCTATGCTGGAAGGCATGTCGTAATTGATGACGTGGTCCAGCGAGGGCAGATCGATACCGCGAGCGACTAGATCGGATGCGACGAGAATCCGCAGCTTGCCGGCTATGAACGATCGCATCGTATCCCGACGAGTTGCGTATGGTGTGGTGGACGTGAGAGTACCGGTCATCCGCTCGAAGGTCGGCGCAAGCAAGGTGAGAAGACGCGATAGTCTCAGCGCGGTCTCGTTTGACTTCGTGAATATCAGAACAGTGGGCAGCTTCCGCAGGGGTGCTGGAGAGGCTTTGGTTGATCCAGGCGAGGAGTCTGCACCGGAGTCTGGATCTGAATCAGATCCGGATGAAGAAGTCTCGTCGGAATCTTCTTGTTTTGCCTTATCAAGAGTGGCTTCTCCAAGGATGTATTTGCTTCGGAGAAAATCAAGCAGGAACAGTGGCTTGAGATTAGGATCGCTGACTTTGATAGCTGCCTCTCCAAGGAACGCTGGAAGTGCATGGTCAGCTTGAGTATCAGCAGCTTCGACTTCATAACCTTCCAACACAACAAGCCTCGGTCTCCGAAGTTTCAATCCTTCTAGCTGATCGAGATCCCTCGTCATGGTTGCACTGAGAACGACCTTTCTGACCCCAGACAGATTGGACTGTTTATGATTGCGAGCACCTGGTAAATTCGTGGTCTGAAGGCGGGGAATGACAACGTCAAGCCATTGTTGAAAGCCCTGGCCAAGTAGCTTGTCGGCTTCATCAACAACGAGCCAACGGACAAAGTCCAGCGAGAAGCCAGGTGTATACTTGATGTGCTCAACGAGCCTGCCAGGCGTGCATATGAGAACATCCACCTTGGACCTGTACGAGATGACATGGTCGGGTAAGGTCTGGATCTTGTCTTCCCTCCTGCGAATGGCTGCCCTCTCCTCGTCTTCGGTATTGTATCCCTCGTCTTCCTCTCCGTCGGAAGCGGACCCGTTCAGCACGTCTAGTCTTTTCGCGCGCTGGGTATACGCGTCGGGGTCGTAACGCTCCTCTCTGTCGACTAGTGCATTCTGTTCCTGTTCCAGTGACTGACTACCCATGGCAATGGCAATGCGTGGCCTCCTCTTAGCCCCATCGTGCGCAAAGACTCCAACACACTCATCAAAGACTTGCTGGACCTGCTTGACCAGCTCGCGGGTTGGGAGAACTACCAACCCACGCAACCTAGTGAGGTGGCGATTGCCGTTGCTCAGATCTCGTATCATGGGCAGTGCATAGCCTAGGGTCTTTCCTGAACCCGTTGCAGCCGAGACAAGTACGTCGCCTTGCATCGACTTGCAGTGATGTGGTAGGAGAAGCGGTATGACGCCTGTTTGTATCGCAAATGCTTGCTTGTATCCCTTGGCGGACAACCTCTGGGCGGTTTCAGGGGCGATGCCTAGTTCTGGCGAGAGACCGAACTCTGTGAAAGGGGCAGTAGACTGCGCCGAAACCCGAATTGGCTCGGCCAGCCAGGACGGCAGCGTCTCGTACGTTGGCTTGCTTGTATCCGGAGCGACTGGCTCTGGCTGGGGAAGGGGTTCCAGCCCATGGACCTCGATCTCCTCGGACTTTGCGTCCACGTCCATCGCGTCGCCTGTAAGGGGAGGCGCATCTTGCATCGCAGCGTTGTCAGCTTCTTCCTCTTCCGCCACAACTTGAGGTTTGGGAGCTCGTATTGATTTCGCTTTTCTCTCCAATACCGACTTATGGCGCATTGGTGTGTCATCTTCGGGCTCAGTCGCTGCTTCAACATTTCGCTTCTTCTTCTTTTCCTTCTTCCTTTCCTTCTTCTCCTTGATCTTTTTCTCCTCCTTCTTTCCCACCAATGAAGATGTTCCTTCTTTCGAATTCTCAACGTCAACTTGCTGGTTCGAAGTCTCTTCTAGTGCAGTGGCGTCACCATTGGGACTCTGTTGGTCGGCTCCTGCTTCAGCAGACTCTCCAATAGGCCCGCTGACGCCATTAATTTTGGTGTCTGGAGTTGTTGACCTCTGCTTTCCCTCCGTCTTTGACTTTTTTGACTTCTTAGACTTCTTCTTGGACTTTTCGGGGGAATCGTCTTCTGTGATTTTGGCCTTCTTGGCCGGTGGCCCATCGTAGAAATCATTGCCATCCTTCGCATCATCGAAACGAACATGTTGGGAAGACTGGGATTGGGTCGGTGGCGCATTGTTCGATTTCGATGGTGGGATGTAGCGGGCGTAGGCCGTAGGTTGGGGCTTGGTTGAGGGTTTGGGGGCTATCTCGGCGATTGAGTGCGACTGGGCCTTGGCCGGAGCGCCCTTTGGCGGTGGTATATATCGCGAATACATGTCGTATGGTGGTCGTGGGAGGTTACACTACAGAGGTACTGTAGAGAGAACCCCACGATGGCGGAACTCTAGAGTCTGGAGCTTGCAGAAATTCTGCCATCGCATAAAATATGACCGCCTTTCTTATCGCTTGTTATCGGCTCCGGCGCGCTTACCTTATCGTTATCAGCGCGCATCGTGCCGTCCCTGCAGGTGCGTCCCGAGCAGCTGCCGAGGTTGCAGCAACGCCAATTGGGCAGCCGCAAAGCCCACGCAGCCATCCATGGACGGTTACCAGAACTCTCTCGAGGTCGTCTATCTGATGCCGACACAGCCAGCCAGCTTCATGTTACGATATCGACACTATATACCTTCTGAATCCGCATTATTGAGGTCTCGACGATCAACTGAGACGAGCGAGCATGTGATGGTTGCTTGTCTTTAATCGAACTTACTTTATGTATCGTATCGTCCAACAACTCTAAACTCTAATCCGCCCACAACGATAACAACCACACATAATCCCCTTGTCGCGGTCGAATCCCATACCTGTACGCTTCTCGAATATGACTCGGAACCCGCACGACTGTCGCCGTCACCAACCGCCAAGATGGACTCGAAACCTGCACAACAGTTGCCATCACCACCCGCCAAGATGCCGCGACGAACCTACAACATCGCTATGGTCAGCGATTTCTTCTTCCCCCAACCGGGAGGAGTCGAAAGCCATATCTACCAGCTTGCTACCAAACTAGTCGACCGCGGCCACAAGGTCATCATCATCACCCACGCTTACGAGGATCGCAAGGGTATCCGCTGGCTGACCAACGGCATCAAGGTCTTCCACGTCCCTTTCGCCGTCATCTACAGATCTGCTACCTTCCCGACCGTCTTCTCCTTCTTTCCCCTCTTCCGCAATATCATCCTCCGGGAGCGCATCGAGATCGTCCACGGACATGCGAGCTTGAGCAGTCTGTGCCAAGAGGCTATACTACATGCCAGGACCATGGGCTTGCGAACCGTCTTTACAGACCATTCGCTCGTGGGCTTCGCTGATGCTGCAAGTATTTTGACTAATAAGCTACTCAAGTTCACCCTCAGCGACGTGGATCATGTCATTTGCGTCAGTCATACATGGTACAGTGGCCCCTTTCCCCCTTTCTCTGCACGTGGTAGCCAAGTGCTGCGCTGATGACGTACAACTGCAGCAAGGAGAACACCGTCCTGCGAGCCGCTCTTGATCCCCTGATGGTCTCCGTCATCCCCAACGCCCTCGTCTCGGCCAACTTCAAACCGCTCCCCCGACCCGAGCCAGGGAGCCTGCCGTTCACTCAACATCCTCTGCCCGCGCACCCACTCGGTCCTAGTGATACCCTTACCATTGTGGTGGTCAGCCGTCTATTCTACAACAAAGGGACGGATCTCCTTACTGCAGCGATCCCCCGAATTCTAGAGAATCACCCAAACACACGCTTCGTCATTGCCGGATCCGGCCCTAAGGCGATCGATCTGGAACAGATGATCGAGCAGAACGTCCTGCAGGACAAGGTGGAGATGCTGGGTTCTATCCGACACGAAAAGGTGCGGGATGTCATGGTAAGGGGTCATATCTACCTTCATCCCAGCTTGACCGAGGCTTTTGGCACCGTCATCGTCGAAGCCGCGAGCTGCGGCTTATACGTCGTCTGCACCGCAGTGGGCGGCATTCCCGAGGTGCTGCCCTCTCACATGACCGTATTCGCCAAGCCCGAGGAGAATGACCTGGTGGCTGCCACCGGCCGTGCAATTGGTGCTCTCCGTGCGAATAAGGTCCGCACCGAGAAGTTCCACGAGCAGGTCAAGACCATGTACTCGTGGACGAATGTTGCCAAGCGAACCGAAAGAGTGTACCGCGGTATCTTTGGCGACATCAGCGATGACGAGTTCTATGGCTACGATGTCGGGAACGAAGCTCACTGGAGCGCCACCAGAGGACGCAACTTTGCCCTCATCGATAGGTTGAAGCGCTACTACGGATGTGGAGTATGGGCAGGAAAGCTGTTCTGCCTGTGCGTCGTGATCGACTACCTGATCTTCGTGCTCTGCGAATGGATATGGCCAAGGAAACAGATCGACTTTGCTCGGGACTGGCCGCGCAAGCCACCTGCGAGCGATGATGATGAATAGAAATCATTGTGGGAAATAAAGACACGACTTGACTTGGCTACAGGGAATATGCTGGGCGTCTTGGTGGGAGGTTTCTGGGGTGGAGTTGGGCCATGTGGGAAAAGTATACTGTTGGCGCTGTGCACCAGATGGGCAGCAACTTCGACAGTTGCATGGAGGTTGTACATTGCATCGCGATGGAAAGCACAACACAGTGTACACGAGCAGTAACTCTGCCACCGAAGCATCTCATAATGTGTAGGGCTTCAAGCTGAGCTACCGGTGTTTGGACTGCATCACGCCGTTGATTCTCATCATCGAATGGGGCTATGGTCCTTGAGCCTTCAGCTCCATGTATAAATATTGTGTGACATACTCTGCCAGAAGCGTCGGTCCTATTCACCCCGTGAAAGACATTGTCTTACTCTCCAGTCCGAACAATGTTGAGGCTGTTCGTCAGATCTGGAGATGATTTTTTTCGTCTCGCCATTCTTCTGGGAACGAGCGAAACAAGTCGGACAGGAATGTGTGCGCTTTGGATCTTCCAAAAGGTGCTCGGCTCTGGCGTTCGATATTGAAGCTACTTCGTCTGTAGCCCCTCCTGGTCTTTATACTCCGGTAAGTACACATACAAAGGTTTCGAGGGGAGACCGGCCTGCTAGTAATTGTGATTACAAAACAGCGAAGGCAGAAGGGCCATTGCTGATATGAGTACAGATGTAGCCTTTCCTCTATTAGCCTTAGTCATTGTTATCCAAGTTAGCTCGCACTTGTGAAGTCCCCAGCCGTCTTACATGCTGGTATATGCAGTGAGGTAAAGCTTGTGGAGACGATGAGACGCGAGGGAGAGGTGGACCGGAGCTAGCAACATGGCAGGGTCAAATGGAGTGAAAGCATGCGTTGGATGAGATCGCCTGATGAACACAGGTGTCTGAGCCGATGACAAGGCCATGCCGTACGTCGCCGGGTTATGATTCCAGCCACAGCCATCGAATCGACCTGTCATGACAATTATCTGTCGCTGATACTACATAGTCAGCGCTCAAAATGGTCTTCGTACCCTATCCCTGACCCGACTGCAATTTTCCTCCGCGATTTCCTCAGATGAAGCCGTATAAAAGCTACCTGCTGTGTCGAACACGCTCTCTTCTCTGTCCAGGCCCTGAGAGAAGCCCTCGGCGCTAATATCACCAGATTCTGGGTCTGAGTATAGCTGCTGTAGGACTTAATGAAGCTAGGGGCGCAAGGCATGGAGGGACAACGCGGTTTCGAGTTCACCAGACCGTAGCAGGCGGCGCAGTTCAGGACAGGCATCGGTGAAAGGGGGGCTACCCTGCCAGGAGCGCCGTTCAGCTTGAATGGATGAAGGCAATGATGACAGGAGAGGAAAGATGACATTCTGAATTTCAGGAGAAGTGGTAGATTCGTACGATCGGGGGCGGACGGGTATCGTGCGGGTGGCCTAACTTGGCCTGCTCTCTCTCGCACTGACTATGCGGCGTATTACGATTCCTCAAGTAACTCGCCCTCTGCCGGCAGATCCATCGCACTATGCAAAGGCTACCACCAGACTTTTTCGGCTCCATGGCCATAATGCCCCGCCGACTGAGTCTCCTGTGCCAGGCCAAATGAACGAAACCGCCGTCAAAGGAGGCTTCGGTGCTCCCCCGAACCCCCTCGACCTATCCTCGAAGAACTAAACAACCCCTTCAACAGCCGTACAAAACCAAACTACACCTAACGATCAGCCGACAGGTTACAGGTAGAGCAAAGAGTCCCATCAGGCCTAACTTTACCCTAACTGCTCCTCCCAGTCGCTATTGCCGGTAAACCTGCTCTCACCTAGCAGCTGGCGTCATCCTAGAACGAGTCGGCGATTCTGCACGTGTCGTACTTGGTTTGGTATTCATCCCGCACAGCACAGCACTCCGCCGTGGACGGCAAGCACGTTGGTCATGACGAAGTTGCGCGGCTCGCAGATGGCCGGCAGATGCCGCAGCTGCGCGCAACCTTGCCGTAGGTCTGAGTGTGGAAGAGTTTAGTCGACGCGTGCAAAGACGCGGTTGAAAGATTGTTCACCTATATGGTGTTGGTTTGAATCTAAATAGTGCTAACGTGGCTTCACCTTTTGGCTCATCTACAGCCCAACTGCGACAAAGGATGTCGGAGACCATATTTCCTGGGACGGAGTTCCCGTATGGAGGAGGATTTATTAATACATCAGTAGACGAGCGAAAGAGACAGAAGATCGCCATCAAAAGGACCTTGATGAAATGACATGCCTCGCTAGCTTTGCGTCCACTTAGAAAACCCCTGGCTAACAAGAGAAGTCGATCAGACAGAGCAGCCTTGAGGTGGATGATCGTACTGGTTACGACGTATTGTATCTGCCGTTAAGTTGGACTGGGCGGGCTGGCGTTCGAGGGATGGCGTATAGAAGGAGTTAGGAATAAGGGATGAAGAACAGGGGTAAAGGGGTAAAGATTAACGGGGGGCCGCGGTGGTGATCCAATCTGTTCATATTGGTTTGATTTATCATGAGTTAAGCTCTTTGACCGCAACGGAAGAGCCAAACCTAAATGCCCTGAAAAATGCCGAAAGCAGAAACCCCGTGCCTCCGCTGGAATACATGCTCTCTCTCAAGATGTGTGGTGTTTTTCCTTTTCCAAAGGTCCCGCTCTCTTGGCCACAATCTCACCAGATCTCGAATACCTGGTAGTTCCTAGAATCTCCGAGATCAACCGCCTCGACATCCATGATGCCATGCACGTATGCTTAGCCTACGAGCAGCCTGTGTTCACCCTCTTTACGGAGAACGACTGGCATTTGAGAACCGGAGACGATGCAGACTACATCACCAGGCTCGGTGGTAGATGGCACAAGACCAATTTAGCCTTTGGACGTTATCACTAGCCTGCGACACCATGTCATTGCATTCACAAGCGCGTCTTGGAGTATGAAGGCGTTCACCGACCCGTCGAGGAAACCGGGTATCTTACCGCCTCTCACTGCCGACCAAGGCCCTCTTACTCCCGCGAAGTCGGCTCTCAGGGTGGTTTCAAAGGCCTCAAACCTCGTACAGCCGCTCGGGTAGGTGGGCTCTTCCAGCTTGGCCGTTGTTCTCCAATTCTGCCAAGGATCTCCAAGATTGACGCCGAGTTCTGGATATGTCCGGGTCTTCGAGAGCTCCAGCACCATGTCGAACTGGAAACCACGCGCAGAGAGCCTCCGCTTGTCACCAGAGAATGTACACTTGGAGCTACATCCACCGCTGGCGTTGAAAAGTCTCCTTGGGCCCCATGCCTTGGTATCTGCATGTCGGATCCTTTCCGATTGATAGAAGGGTTGTGGAAGTCTTGCGTGCTGTACCGTCCAATCTGGCACCCACGATGGGACGTCGTGATCTCGATCAAGACCGGCGGAGCCGAGACAGTCCAGGGACTGAGTCATTTCAATGAACGCTGCCGCGGTTCGGAGGTAGATCTCCTCCACGGCGAGCTCGTAGTCCGGCTGGAACCTCACATCGTCCCTATCACTGCTGAGCCCGAGGACGGCGTAGATCTTGTCCCTTGTATCTGTTGCCATGTATGTTCTGGTACGCACGAGCATGGGATAAAGCGCTTCCACAAATGCTCCTGCGCGACGTCCGTCGTCGATATAGCTCAGTGTATCGAGGTACTGGTTCGCCACGCCACGTAGCTGTACAAGCTCCGGTATCGCGTTGGCCAAGGAGGCCTCGACCAAGCGTCTGTTAGCCTCGAGGCACTTGGGCCATGCGATGGTGTGGCCTCCACAGCAGAGTAGTGGTATTGCGCCAGCAGTCTCCAAGGGCTTGGGTGTACTAGCTTCTTGGATTATCCATGCGCGCTCCCAGTAAGGATCTCGGAGTACGCTGGCGACATCCAACGTAAGTGTTGAGCAGAGTGTCTCTATTGATGAATTCTGTGTACTCAGTTCGCAAGAGCGTCCAGGTATTGTACCCTCTGTCAACTTCACGTCCTCGTCTTCCAGAGCGTGGATGTCTTCTAAGAGCTCAAATGCATCCCCAGTGCCGGAGTCACCCTTTCCAAGCCATATGATTATGCTGAGGGACCTTTCATAGATCTCTCGCATCATCTGGACCTGCTGGCTCCGTTATACTGGGTCGTCCTGGTTGATGCACACGGCATCAATCCACAGCCAGCCCGATGACCATACATCTTGCTGCGCGGTACTATTGCGGCGTCGCAGAGCCTCTTCCAGGAAGTCGAAAAGGCTTTGCGTAATGAAGAGACTGTGGTTGTCTACGACAATTCCTTGTGTACGCATCGACGAGCCCCATCTGTACGACAGAGCAATGTAGGCTTCAGCTCGGCTCAAATCCACGCTGCGTAGCTGACATCTGATGATCTGATCATCGCTCGCGCCGAGGACTCTGAATTGGCGTATCTGGCTGGACGAGAGAGTGTCATATTTGTAGGTTGATGCGGTATCGACGGACATGCCGAGACTACTGCCAGTGCCTGCTATACCTACATGTAGTGTTTCGAGACTGCGAGTGAGGCGATGTGAGGTAGTAGGAGAGATGGAAGCTGCTTGGAATGTGCGCCAATGTGCCTTCGGCCTCACCCCGGCCCGCGGTCTCGCCTACGTGGCCATGCAAATACATCACCAACATGCATTAATCTGCAGGATACAAAGCTGAGATGCAGCCGGGCGGACTCAACCAAACACGCAGCTTTCAGCCCTCAGAAAGCATCTCCGTCCATCTCGTCCACCCGCCCCCAGCATCTCCCCCGACCCAAACGCCAGCACAATCCGTAGCTTCTCACTCTGACTCATCGTCGCCCACCAAGCTATGGCTGAGAACATTAAGAGTCAAGTCGAGGTCCTCGGTCAGCAAAGAAGTGCTCCGTCTCCGAGCCGAGTATGAGCAGCGTCGCGTTGCCACCAATCTCTATCCCCCTGGAAGCGGTCGGCGACATCTCGAACTAGACCTCCACCTTGGGGACAAGTCTTACATGACGTACTGGTTCGACAACGGCACCAATGATGGCCAATGCGTACGCATCTTCGACGGTCCCGGCACTCGCTCAGGCGATATCCTTCGGCTTTACCAAAACTTGCCCACCCGGTCAGATCACTTTGAGATCGACGGCGACGACATACGTCCACTGAACAGCTGTCTGGATAAGCCCGAGGACATAGAGGACGACTCTGAGGACGTGAGCAAGCCTGTTTCCAAGCTGCCTCTCGTCTCTGTCGACCCAGCGAAGCACTTTCTTAAGAAGGGCAAGTACCGAAGCGAGATAGAGAATCTCATCAGGTGTCAGGGCGGCTCTGTACCAGGCCATCCACTCTCTTCGAACGTTATTCAGCTTCTCGGCAGGTCTGGCGACGGGCAGCTCGTCTTCGAAAAGCTGTCGTTCTGCTGGCGTATCCTCGGTCACTTTTCCTCCTTGGCCCTTTACAAGAGCTGGATTCTACAACTTATTGACGGCCTGGGATGTCTTCACTCGGTTGGCATCGTCCATCGCGACTTGCGCGTCGCTAAACTTCTCTTTTCAGACCACGGGAGGCGCCTGGTTGTCTGCGATCTCGAAGGCCGCTGGGGGAATCGGTCAGCGCCCGAGGTCGCCTTCGAGGGAGGCTTGGAGAACTCGGGGTGGACCCCCAGATCCGACATATATGATATTGGACCCTGCATCAAGAGCATGGTATAACGGCGGGGGCATGAAGTTGGGACAGCCCCGAAGTTGGGACAGTGTCCCCACCAAAAGGCCACAGTTGTACCCCCAGATAACTCCATCTGCATTGAAGCTATAAATTATATAATGAATGCATTAGAACCGCCTTTTCTTGGTGTTTTCAGTAATATTAGTTGTTCACGCGGTAGCGCGCTGGCTGGCGGATCGCGCGGCGTGAAGATCGCACCAAAATGGGCTCGTCGGACTCCTCATTCGTGCCATCACCCTCTTCGTCAACAACAACCCCTTCATCTTCAGGGGGCTCTAATTCCCTCAAATCTTCCGAATCTGACTCCTCAGAGTCCTTAGAGAGAGATCTCTCTGATTTGTCAGTATGCAAGTTCTGTAATTCACTCAAACTCGTCGTCTCTCCTCCCGCTGCTCTATAGCAGCTCGTGCGGCCTCCGTATGCTCGATTTGATCAGCAATAACGTTCCTAATCTTCCATCGCCGTTAGTGTGGCTCTTCTTGAGGGGCCTTATGGCACTTTCTTGGTTATAGATGCTCGATTTTGGCGTCTTTTGCCTCTATTAGCTTTTGCAAGTGCTAGCTCAATCACTATCTTATCGTACACTCTTGCAACCGAGTGGACTCCTGTTTGCTGCTCATGAGTCTCAACAACTGCTAATAGCATCAGGGAGATATCCTGCCCTGATTTAGGGGCTTTTAGTGCCTTAGGGGTGGTCCCGGGGTTCATTATAACAGTAACTGCTGCTTGGATCTTTGCTGTCTTCATCACATGCTCGTTCGTGAGGGTCTTTTGTCGGTTTACAGGCTAAAGACTGGCAGTACACCATCCCGAACGCACGATAGCCTCTGTGGCTTCTTTGCGGGCCTTAGCCAAACAACTGAGAAACCGTACTTTGCCAATAGGAGCCAAATTGTTTAACTGACCAAGCTGGTTGATAAGGCGGTGGTAGGCGGCTTTCACCACAAAGAACACGGTCAAATCCAGGAGCTGGAAGATGTGAAACTACCTCTGTTAACGAAATAACTACTAATTTATATGTAACCTACCGTATGGGCAGGAAAAAAGCTCAGATAAACCTTATTTATATAGCACAGATACATGAATTTATCTGAGCAGTGGCTGCTATGGCCGTTGAGCCCCAATAGACAAAATCCATCTTTATCTTTAGGGGCAGTGTTAGATAAATAAATCTAGGGCTCAATTAGCATGTAATTAGCGATTATAAATAAGAAAAAAATCACCTTTTCAAGTCAGTGCAGCGCAATCTTGTTCGAGGACCAGTCGTTGATGGAGTACGTCACTATCCAGTCTGCTACCGCTGGATGCTGTCACGGCGAGCGTACTGAGGAGCTGGGACATGGCCGGCAGCAAGCAGCTATTACTCTATTGACGAGAATATCAAGACTAGAGAGGAAAGGAAGAGAGAGAGAGAGATAGGTACAGTGGGAGGTTGCCCCTTTAAGGGGATCCTCTGGTCAGATCCTTCCCCTATTGGGAAGTATCCGCTTGTCATGTGGGAAGGTCTGTGCAGGCCGTCACACTACCCCCCCCCCCTTATTAAAGTCGGTTTATGACGATGATTTCTTCCGAGTTCTCTTTATTCCTTATGCAGAGCCTCTTACAGGCAGGTTGTCTTCCTCATGATCAGTTAGGTCCTGATCATCAATAGCAGCCTCTATCCATTACTGTAACCTTTGAGGGGGACCTGACGCCTTGGGATTTGCGTCATGGAACTCTTTGACGCATACAGCTGAGTTTCTAAAGTTAGCTGCTGGGTACCACATCGGGTCAGGATCATGACCTGTCCATTCAGCCTGGTACTCCAGCTTGCCCCGGTTTAGGCGGGAGGACAGAATTTTATTAACTTCCTATTCAGGAACCCCATCCACGTCGATGCGAGGCGGTGGAGGGATCACCTGACCTGGGACAGGGTCATTTAGTGACCGTACTAAGCGGCTTGCATTGATGACCCGATGAGCGTTTATCCCAGGGGGTAAGTCAATCTCAAAGGCGTTCTCATTGATCTGTTTGACAACCCAATATGATCCCATGTAGGGGTTGTCTAACCCATCATGTGGGCGGTCAGTACGCCACGCTCCTTTGCGTACATATATCATATCTTCTAGCTTCCAGTCAATTGGTCGTCGGGACTTGTCGGCCTGCTTCTTGTACTTTGTTTGTGCCTTAAAGAGGTTGGTTTTAGCCCATGCCACAGCCTGTGCCCGGCGTTTAGCAAACTCTTGAGCGTCTGAACGACTCAGCCGCTCTGTAATAGACGTCTTTCTTAAGAGGGGACGCATTTATCCCAGTCAAACGTCATGATTAGAAGAAACCCCATTTCAACCTCAGCTGGAGATATGTTTGTTTGTTTGTTTGTTTTGTATTTAACGTGGGGGGTAGCTCCTCAGTAGTGCAAACCACGCCTCCCAGAGCCTCTGTATCGCAGGGTTGTGGAGGTCTCAAGATAATAAGTACAGTCAGTCCCGCTCACGGGCCCATCCCCGTTATTGTGGCGGTATGACCTTGGGGTCATCCATCTGGTCCTTCAAGAAAAGCTATCTATCAGGGGCAGATTGTTGAAAAGAACTTGCTCTTCTCCACGAATTTTGCCCATTTTGTGCTCCTCTCCCTTAAGTATTGTAAACAAGCTGTCCTAGGCGAGTACCTAGGCAGCAGCCGGTTTTTCCCCAGCCTCTTACAAAAGAAAATGTGTTGTGGTGTTTTTTTCTCACCACAGCTGCAGTGATCATTCGAGTCTGTATGCTCAAAGCGTTCATAGTATCTGGCAAAGTCGCCATGTCCAGATCTGGCCGTTAGAAGTCTGTGTAAAGTACTCCTCTTAAAAGATATAAGGTCTTTTTTAGTTACTGTATGTGAGTATATTTCTTGATATTTAGGTTCTGATTGGTCTTTCCACTATTGGTTGAACTCTTTCTTGCCCTTTTTTTTGAGATCTCTTTTAACCCAAGAAATTGTAGGAAGGTTTGTTATGTCTGTTTCTAGCATGGTACCCTCTTTTGTAAGTGTGTCGGCAGCTTCGTTGCCATCAATATCTCTGTGTCCAGGAATCCACTTGACGGTCACTCTAGGAATGTGTGCTGTGGCAAGTTCTTGAAATCGTAGAAAAATGTTCTGTGATGTCTCGGGTGGAGTCCCATTGAGCGCGTCTATCACTGACGTGTTGTCCAGGCAGATATATAACTGTTTTCCTTGTCCAATTGCCCTGGCTGCTGCAAGATCTTGGAGAGCACCATGGACTTCAGCATCTATTACTTCTACCTGGAGAAGTCTGCCCTTTCCCCGGTATATTTCTTGTGTAGTGCCGCCTTTCCTGATGGTATAACCCCATCCAGTGCGGGTTGTGCCTTGGTCGTCCAATTGTGATCTATCTGAATAGATGACAAGGTCAGTGTTCATGTTTCTCTCCTGTAACCATTGCTTAAAGAGCTCTATTTCTTTGTCTTTGTCTTTGTGGACTGGGGGCTTCTTTCATGATGGCCTGGTAAGTATTGGTTTCTAGAAGTCAGGGACTAGCTGGAAGCTCTTTTGTAGCCTTGTTGGATTCTTGCAAGCTTGTATTTAGAGCCTGCCAACAAAAGGGTGTCTCTGGTCTATTCGTCCTAGTCAGAGGCCATGACGTCGTCTTATTGATTCTGTAAGAACTCTTATTGGGGGAATCTGCGATTCAAAGTGTAGGATATGTCCAGGGTGTGTTTTCTAGACTGGCAAGATAGCCCTGATCGCCGTTCGTAGTACAGCATCTATTGTTCCAAGAAGCCCCTTAATGCGACATGCTAATGTTCCACCTAAGCTCCCAAATTTCTTGATTCCTGGGTACCAGGTCTCCAGGCCGTGTGTAAGAAAAGGAATAACACCAGCTTTCATAGCCCTCTTGATTGACTTTACTGGAAGTACTTTGACTGTGTTGTATAGTTCTCAAAGGTGATTTGCTACCTTATTAGCTTTCTTGGCCCAGTAAGAAACGTGATCTTTGAAGTTTAGTTTTCTATCCAGGAAGACACCCAGCCGTCGTATGGAGTCCTTTGCTATTTTGTTCATTGTTCCGTGGCAGACTGGAGGGTTGTCTGAGTTCTTTTTCCTTGAGAAGTGCATGATCTCAGTTTTGTCAGGGTCAAATTCAATAGCGTTGTTATGTCCCCATTGACTGAGCAAGTAAAGATTTTCAGAAGCCTCTGTAGCTGTTTCCTCAAGATTCTTTCCAATGCAGAGAGTCGCTAGGTCGTCTGCATATCGATTGTGAGATAGAAGGACGGGGAGCCTTACTGTACTGAGGCGCAATCTGGGTACCGGATTATGAACCGTTACGGACAGCGCTTGTACAGCAAACCCACGATTCGCATATCACGGACATCCGGGGAAGCACATCACTGGCTGGATTTTGTAGAGGAATTACTTCTGGCCACAACAGTATAAGACAGCTCGTCGCTTCTGTCGGAATTGCAATATTTGTGGACGTTCGAAGGTGTGGCGATTAGCAAAGTAGGGGCTTTTACGACCATTACCTATCCCAGACCGGGTTTTCAGCAAACTCTCCATTGATTTTATGACAGAACTACCCGGAGACAGTGCCGCTCCACGCAATTTGATGGTGATGGTAGACAGAGCATTAGGGACGACGACTCTGGATCCTACGGTGTCAATGGAAGCGGAGGCTTATGCAGAAACGTTCGTAAACAGCCATTACAGATTTCACGGTTTCCCGGCCTTCCTCACATCGGACAGAGGTAGTAATTGGGTCAGACGTTTCTGGACGAGGTTATGTCAGGTTACAGGAGTTGAGTAGAGGTTATCGACGGCCTATTATCCATAAACCGACAATCAGACGAAAAGAATGAATCAAGAAGTCCTCGCCTACCTTAGAGCTTTTATAGCCTATACTCAGGACAATTGGCCTTAGCTACTTCTGACAGCGCAACTCGCTATCAATAACAGGCCGAATTCAAAGACAGGTCT